TTATCGCATTGCATGATTGAGTCTCTTCACTCACTCACCCGGAATCCCCTTCCTGCTATTACCGTTCTCACACTTCGCGGAAATCGCCTTCGTTCGCTTGCAGGCATTGAGCGGTTGCTCTCTTTGGAAAGATTGGATCTTCGTGACAACAACCTCACGGACCCGACGGAGATTGCACGGCTGACCAGTCTCCCTGAAATACGGGAGATCTGGGTATCTGGCAATCCGTTTGTCAAGACCCATTCTGGATATCGAGTTGTAATCATGAACCTGTTCCGCCGGACGCCTGGTTATTCCGAGGACATCATAATTGACGGTAGAGGTCCAGGATATACGGAGAGAAAGCAACTTGTTGAGCGAGTTGCAGAGCCGCAAGCTGCACCGGTTGTACGCTCCAGCGCGGCAGATGAATCAACGGTGGTGCAAAAGGCTACCCTATCAAAAGTCCCCCAGGAACTTGCAACTTTCAAGCCCCAGGAAGACGAGGGAGAGTTGCACATTAATGGCACACAGCTGAAGGACAGTGACGTGGGAACCAACCGTCGCAAAAAGCTTCAACGACGCAGGATAGTCGATATCTCGGTGGACAACCCGTTTACCACTGATGGTCTGGGCAATACAGGAAGTACGGCTCTTCCCGTTCTTCCGGTTCAGCAAATCCAACCGCCAGTTGAGCATCCGACTGTTGCCCCTGTTGATCAGCTGTGGAGGCTGGATAGCGCCGCGCACTCCGGATCATCAAGCATCCAAAGCCCCGCAAAACCTATGCATTCGCCGAGTCCTCCTCTTGTACAGGCTTTGCATGGTAAGGACAGGAGCATGGATGAAGAGTTTTGCCGCCAGCAGCTGGAGGTTCTTCGTCAGGACGTGGGCCATAACTGGCTAACTGTTCTCGGTGAGAATGATTGGGATAACTCCCATAAAGACTTCGCTCACAGCTCTGGGGCAGGCTTGGACCATTCCGCCCATATCACTACACCCCCAATCACCCGCTCGAACACACAAGCGATCCTGAGTGGACATGCATTTAGCGGATAAAATACCCATTTTCTTATTTAATAGTTCCTGGTCCATGACATCTCCGGGGACTCCGTTCACCTCTTTACGTTTCTGTCTCATGATTCCTGGAGTTCTCTGTCGTGGATGCGACGTTTACCTGCTTCTGCGGGTTCTTTCAAATCTCTTTTTCCTTATTCATGGGGACACACAACTCCCATCCGGTCCTCCCAGGACTCATTTGGATAACATATTCCCAACACGAGCTGACCATTCTATGCATTGTTTTCGGCGTTGGATGACTTACGAGACATGGTGGGTTGGATGTATGAACTATTTACGGCCTCTGCTTTTTTTTTCATTGTTCAATGTCTCCATTTCCTTTTTCCCCCAAAACGGATCCTACGATGGCCCTTGTTTTTTGGGCGTGGTCTGGGAAGGCACAGTGAAAGACATTTGTTTTTTTGGTTCTAGCGTGTACTTTATGACTCTGATTTCGGGCATGTTGGCGTTGGAAGGAATCTTTTTTGACTTGTTTAATTCCCCTCTTGTTGGTTTTGTCAATTTATGATGCTGCAGAGTATTGTATAAGACCAGGGCTTATAGCTCATTTGAGAAAAATGCCAATTATTTTTTTGGAGAGATTCGTATAAACCTCTATACAAAGACATTATAGATTCACTATAAATGTACTAGATCAGCATCTATGCTTGGACCCTTTGGCGTCAAGAGGTCTCGACCCTACAACCCCTCTATGCAAAAGAAAACAGTCAAAGCGTTTTGTAACACAGAACAGATAGAATAATAGAATAGAATATGAAATAATATAATAATAGAGAATATAAATAGATAGAGAATATAAGGAAAGTAAGGAAAAGTAGGGCGGGAAGATCAAACATGGGCAAACACAAGGGGAACTCTTCCCGCTGAAAAAAGATATTCTTCTCTCTCTCTTCTCTCCCATCAACGTTTTTCTCGATTTGAAAGATTTAAACTGGACTAAGAATCTTTTCTTTTGAAATTTTCTTCGACACCTCGATTCCTTCACGATTCTTTTCAACCCAGTCCTTCGCTCAGCCTTTATCTTGCGAGGCGTCTAGAAGCCCATTCTCTTCGATAACGTGCGCGTACACAACTCGGATAGGCACCACCGTCCACATCCGTCTGGCATCTCTGCCAGAACTGTTTTTTCCCTTCTCCTTTCCCGCGGCCGTTGGGGCCCTTCTATAGATCTATTTGATCTTGAAATATTCTGTTTGGTAGGTCTCTCAGTTCTTTTCGCTCCGCTCCTCCCCGACCGCCCAAAGGGGGAGAAAACTCAGCGAAAAAAAATCTCGAGCGCGTTCTTCAATTTCGCCTCACTGTGGAACTTGAACTGCAAACTCGACTTCATCTTAATCTGCGAAGTGTTAACAACTTGTTTTTTTCCAGTAACAGGACATAGTCGCTGCGTCATCAAACCTCTGTTATTCCAACCCGATCGCTCCGGAAGTCTCTCTTCCACCCTTCGTTTCTCTTTCTCATTTTTTTCTCCTTCTTTCGTGTTTTTTCGTTAGACATTATTCGCCATGGCCGATCAAGAAGTGGATCTGGACTCGATTATCGACAGGCTCTTGGAGGTGAGGGGTAGCCGCCCTGGCAAGCAGGTTCAGCTGCTCGAAGCAGAAATCCGTTTCCTCTGCACCAAGGCTCGCGAGATCTTCATTTCTCAGCCCATTCTTCTCGAACTCGAAGCGCCCATCAAGGTAAGTTTTTTTATGTCGGAAAGGTCCCCTCGAGTCGGAATCGGCCTCCGTCTAACATGCAGGTCTCGCTAGATTTGCGGTGATATCCACGGTCAATACTATGATCTCCTGCGTCTCTTCGAATACGGCGGTTTCCCTCCGGAGGCCAACTACCTCTTCCTCGGTGACTACGTCGACCGTGGCAAGCAGTCTCTCGAGACTATTTGCCTCCTTCTCGCGTACAAGATCAAGTACCCCGAGAACTTCTTCATTCTGCGTGGAAACCACGAGTGTGCCTCGATCAACCGTATTTACGGTTTCTACGATGAGTGCAAGCGCCGATACAACATCAAGCTGTGGAAGACTTTCACCGACTGCTTCAACTGCCTTCCTATTGCCGCCATCATTGATGAAAAGATCTTCACCATGCACGGTGGTCTGAGCCCCGACCTCAACTCCATGGAGCAAATCCGCCGTGTCATGCGTCCCACGGATGTAAGTTTCTCTCCTCCCCATTTCACCCCTCTCTGGTGGATATGGTTCTCTATTGGCAGCGCGAAGAAAAAGTGACAGAGTGGGGGTGGGCTCGTGGCTGAAGGCCAACATCGCTGACTGAAATAGATTCCCGACTGTGGTCTTCTGTGCGATCTCCTATGGTCCGACCCCGATAAGGATATCACCGGTTGGAGCGAAAACGACCGAGGTGTCTCATTCACATTTGGCCCCGACGTAGTCTCGCGCTTCCTTCAAAAACACGATATGGATCTGATCTGCCGTGCACACCAAGTTGTTGAGGATGGATACGAATTCTTCTCTAAGCGCCAGTTGGTTACACTATTTAGTGCGCCCAACTACTGTGGTGAATTCGATAATGCCGGTGCAATGATGAGCGTAGACGAGAGTCTGCTCTGCTCCTTCCAGGTGAGTTATTACAACTCTCAAGTCTCGAATATTTTCGATCATTTTCTAACCTACTTTTTTCTCCTTCTTGATAGATCTTGAAACCAGCCGAGAAAAAGCAAAAGTACGTTTACGGTGGCATGAGCGCCGGCGGCCCCGTCACTCCTCCGCGAAAGCAAAAGAAGAAATAAAAGAATCAATACGAGCTTCCCCATGTGCAGCAGGTTCGGGCGGAGATAAGCCTTTCACAAATCTCTTTAACAGCGCCCTCACGACATTCTCCCCACAATCCCCGCGAGTCCTCCCCCCGGATCCACGAAAACGATGAACGACCGAGGAACCCCTCCGCAGCCAGGGCAGCCCCGATATTCCTCAACTCCCACCCCGATAATATCACAGCTTCATTCTCAACTCCTCCCGGGCTCTCTCTCATGCGACATGCGATACAAAAAACAGTCACATCATTTCCTGGCCCGTGCAACCCCTACTTCCGGAGCGGAGTTCAAATGCTTTGTTTCTCGACTCTGTTTCTGTTTCTGTTCTAACCATCTGGACTGGAATGTTTTTTTTCTCCCCCTTTCGGCATCCTGGGAACGGGGAAGGGAAACTGGTTATCTTTTTTTCTTTTTTTTTCTTACTTCTTATTGTCCTGTTCCTTGACCGCATGTGTTGTTGTTTTCTTATCGAATCATATTCGTCTTTCGAATCTTTTTCTAGTTCGATACGTACAAGGTAGTAGTATTCTCTGTCCTGCATCGTATATGGGTTTGGAATAGGAGTCTGATGCTGGCAGTGTGTGGTTTCGGGGTCTAGATTGTTTTTGTTATATCTGTAAGAATCTTGAGTTTAGGTAGGTTATATTTTCTATTTTTAGGTTAATGAAGTTCAATCGCATTTATACTCGGACTAATAGATTCATACTTGAAGGTAATTGTCTGTCTTTACTAGTCCTATAGCCACGGTGGAGGAATAACCGTGGACTAGTTTCATTGTATGAGAGATGATCAGCCATAGATTTTTTGATATCTTAAATTTAGTCCATTCCATACACACAACAACCAACTAGACAATAATTTGCATGATATACCTGCCAATTGAATGCCATTGTTCCCAAAAAAGAATCCAATCTACCAAAGCTGGTTGCACTGAAGACCTCTGAGTAGCAAATATAAGCCATGTGATATGATCACTGAAACTGGAACGAAATTCGTAGGCAACACATCCATATGCTTTATACCAAGAAAGAAGAGATAAATTCAAGTCTTTGGACTATAGTATCCAGGAAAAACCAGCTAGCTAGCTCGAAAAAAGCGCAGAAAGAAGCAAGGATTGAACAAACATGACAAGATGAGCGCGGTACAGCGTTGTCGAGTGACGCATTCAAGACGTACAGGTACGTCCGGGAGTAAATATGATTGGGTTTGTGGGAGGGGTATGGGACTGGGTGTTCAGGTGTAGAGCAATGTTGAAGTGAGCCAAAGGCGACGCCAAAACCAAAGCCATTTTCGTTTCATTTGGACTCTTGCTCAAGTGAATGAATATGGATTTTGCGTTGATGGGTGAGAGAGGGAGATCGGTGTCGGGGAACAGGTAGGACTCTGTTTAAACATATTGGGACAACCATCTGATACCCTCGCCGTATCCTGTGAAAGAGAAAAAAAAATTAGTTAAAATTGTTTCAATGTGTGGCTTAGCCACGGCTCCCAAATTCCATTGTATATCCAATGCTGAGGGTTGGGATTGACGAAACTCACCCTGTCTCATAACAACACTGCACATGAACACCTCGATAGGACGGATACCCTCGAGAGGGACCTTGCCCTTACCAGTGGTCTGGTAGAGACCGAGCTGGTGGCGCAGCTCGTCCTCGCTGACAGCGTCGGGGTGATCGATCTTGTTTCCGAGAACGAGGAAGGGAACCTTAGAAAGCTCCTCCATGGCGAGGAGAGCGTCGAGCTCAGCCTTGGATTCGGGGAAGCGCTCGTAATCCTTGGCATCAACCAAGAAGACGATTCCGCTCACTTCGGGGAAGTAATCCTTCCAGAGACGGCGGGCTGAACGGAGAGGTAGATTCGTTAGTTATGTTTGATCTCAAGATTCACTGTGGAGGGGTGTTATGTTGCTTGGCACTATGCTTGCGCAACACGGTTCCCCATCGAGAGCGTCACTCACCCTGCTGGTGACCACCGAGATCGAAGGTCGTGAAGCGGTTGTTGCCGATGGCCAACTCCTCGGAGGTGGGGTGTGCGGTAGGTTGCAGGACGGCGACACGGTCGTTCTGTTAGATGCCACTATCAGCAAACAAGCCCATAAAATGCCCAGTCTTCATATCTCTCCCATGCTATATCAAAGCCCCAAAATCTGTGCACAACGAGCGCAACCAGAATCCAGCCTTGTACCCAGCGGAATTGGACATCAAAGGGTCGGGTCTTGTCATTTCCAAACGCCAAACGCTCAACTCACCTTCAACATGTGCAGCAGGGTGGTCTTGCCAGCATTGTCCAGACCGAGGAACAGGAGCTTCGCGTGCTTATTGAGGAGACCAAGCGAGGCCAGGACATCGTAGACTATAGGACAAAGAAGCGAATCAGCAAATTGTACCTTGCACCTCGATATGCACATCTCGATCACAAACAGCTGGTACCGCGGGACAGCCGTCGCATGAGTCAATCTCGGAGCCGGAATGAACAAAATGTTCAGTTCTGATGCAGCTAGACTGTCCGGAGAGATATCTTATCCTCTCTTTCTGTGTTTGAGATCGGCCCCGGACAGTGACCGCAGGTGATCGGTTGTGGTATCGGGAGGGTACTTACACCAGTTGACGATCCACATGGTGAAGGGTCGGAGTCAGGAAGTATTGTAGAAAAGGGTGAGCAGGTATCACAGATTATCAGTGACAAGCTGATTGGGGAGAGGTGGATGGACGGGGGTGGAAGAGATAGAAGCAAAGAAGACAGGTTTGATGTTGTGTTCGGGGATCAGGTTTGATGCCTCAGGCAGGAAGACGGAATCTTCGCGCGATAAGCTCCGGGGGACTTTGGGGGGAAAGATGGGCTGATTTGGGTAAGTTGGGTATAGACAGCTTTGTAGATTTGTGATTTGTTGGAGGATATTGATCATAATTGCGTACTTCTGTCTTGTTCAATCGTGGCAAAGACTTGCCACTATTTGACCTTAGTATTACTATTGCAGTCTACTATAGGAAAAGGTTCATCTAAAATATTTCATATTCACTCCCATCAAACTGATGGATCTCTTTATTCACAATGCAGAAAAGCCAGATATGGGTATATGCACCGCAGCCATGCAAGACAACAAAGGAAAGCGACCTCCAACAAGTCCTTAGGACCGCAGTATAGGAAAAGAGGGAAAAGAAAGGATATAGATATACTTCCGACAGAAAATGCAAAGAAAGAGCCACCTCCGTGTAGAAATTATTGAAGCAAAAGGGAAAAGGGATAAGGGTAAAGAAACCATTCATGTGGACAACACAAAGTCGGCTAATATGTGTAAGAAAGCGAAAGGCACTCGGATCGCTAACCGAGCAGGGTAAGACCCCGAAACCAAAAATGTGACAAAAAGTAGGTATGTACAGGTAAAAAAAAACGGAGGGGTGAAACTTTTTCATACAAGTTCCATGTAGGTAGGGACACCTAAACGGATAGGACGAGCTGGGCGTCTTGACCGACGCCGTAAGCTCTGCACCTCTCAGCAACTTCGAGGCCAAGCTCCTTCATCCGTTCGGCTCCATGGCCTGGAACAGGCCGTTTGCCCATCTGCTCTTTGGCAGCTTTGCGGCAATGTTGACGCCAGAACTTTTCTTTGCGTTTCTGACGCTTTTTCTCGAGCCCCTCGACAATGTCGACTGGGCCACGAGTGTGTAGCTCACGGGTACGTGAGTGTGAACGTTCATCCTCTGGTGACTCGGAGAATGGCGGGATACCTTGCCAACGGTGATCTTTGTCCAGGCCGGCAAAGAAAGGATTGGGAACGCGGGGAACTGATTTGGTACGGACGAGGGGCCGGCGCTGAACCAGGTGGCTGATATTGAGACCTTCGGGAGACTCAACAATGTGCATCTCCTCGGTAAATTGCCACCTTGATGGGGTGGGCGACTTCGCTCGTATGCGTGGGGGCGGGGACTTGAGGCGCTTGGGAGAGGTGCGGCCAGTGCGACGGGGTGGTGGGGACATCAAACGCCTAGGAGAGCGGAGGGGTGATTGCTTGCGGGCTTCGCCCTCTGGCCGTCCTCGGGTAAACTCATCGCGGCGGCCTGTGGCGGAGGGCACACTGGAAACCTCTTTCTCAGATGGTTCGATGTCTTCGTCGTCCTCCGGATCGCTGGTGGGGAAGCTGGGGTCGATATCCTGCGGGATGACGATTTGTTTTAGACGACGCCGTTCTTCGAGGCAATTTTTGTAGGCAAGTTCGAGAGGACGATCCTCGTCGAGAGTTCCACAGACAAAGTCGGTACTATCAGGAAGGTTCGGGCTCCTCGGACGAATATTGATGCTCTTGGGGGTCTTCGAAGCGCGACGGGCACCGGTCCTTTGCACAGGGGCTGGAAGCCAGTTCAAGTGATCATCCGTCATTGAGTCGAAAGATGTGTTCGAAGCGCGGCGTTCCATGGTCGAGGGGCGTGTATCGATTGGCTGACTGGTGGGTTCTGGGACATGGTGTGATGATCCCCAAAACTCAATGTCGTCGCCATCTTCGTCGCTTTCGTCCGACTCGGCAAAGCCAGCCTCGTTGTCCGATTCGTTACCATCGTCAGAAGAGAAGTCGTGCACAGTCGAGTCGTCGTCAGGGAGGTCATCCATATCATCCTCCTCCTCCAATGCCTCTTCTTCTGCCTGCTCACCGAGTCGTCGGATGGCCATTTCTTTCTTCATGCAGTCATTCAGAGTAATCTTTTGCGTATAATCGGCATCCCTGTTCACCCATTCATCATCTTCGTCCATAGAGCTAGCAAACTCGTGGAACCGAGTGGCTTCGGATTCCTCGAACTTTCCCAGTCCACTGGTCGGGACACCCTTGTGATCTGCAGACGCAGAGACAGCCTCCTTGGAAACCTGCTTTGGGGTTTCCTCCAAGGAGGGAGATGCTCTACGTGCAACAGGTGCAGGGGAGCCACGGCATCGCGGCCGGACGGAGGGTTTGCGTGGAGGAGATCGTTCTCTCTCGTTAACAGTCTCCCGTCCAGGGCACGCGAAAGTGAGTGTTGTTTTGCGCTTGAGCTGAATCACGGGTTCCTCCGTGGGAAGCTCCTGCGGTGCTTGGGCCTTGGGTGGGAGTTCCTGTGACGCAGCGGGCGAGATCGGAGAATCTCGCTCATTCTTGTCATCAGATTTACGACCACATGCAAAACTAATGCATCTTTTGCGGCCAAGGTTAGCTTCAACAGAAGTTTCACTGGCATCAGCGACCTTCAATTTAGGGGTCGAGTTCTTCTTTCCCATCAACGCAGCATTTCTCATCATCTGAGGTGGTAAAGGCGGGCTGGGAGTATTAGACAAAGATGGACTTGTGAGGCCGCCGTCGCTGGTCAACTCGGCCGTCGAAACTCCACTGATGTTGCTATGAGGGTAGGATCGGTACATATAGGAGTCGTAGTGGGGGGCGTGTGGATCGGTTGGGGACATCTCCGGGCTGCTCCTTAGCGCGCGAGTGAGCAGTGATTCCTTGCGGTCCACCGCCGGGCGAGCAAGGACGATCTGGTCGGAATTCATTCGGGTGGCGTGCATGACGTGTTCAGGGGGTTCGTCGACGTCCTCGGCCAAGTCAGCCTCATCGTTAGTCGGCTTGGTAGATGAGTTCGATGACATGAGCATCTTCAATAGGTTATGAAAAGAGAACATTCTTTCTCCGCCATGAGACTGTGCCATGATTCGAAAAAAGGGTTCGCGGTATAGTTTCAAGGTATAAAGAGGAGGATGAGGGTGAGGCAAGTGGCGTAGGATCGAGTTGAAGGCGAGGTTAGGACGTTGCTTGAAAGATATTAAGTCTTTCAATGAATGCTGTCTTGATATCGATCAATGTTTAAATCGATCGACCATGAAGGCAGAACAAGATGTCCCAAGCGAGGACGATTGTCATGATATAAACCGCATGACTAGGGGGATTCGAGACGAAGGAGTATATTCGCCAAGATCGATAATTGTGCCTAAGAATGGCAACTCAATGTTGAGCTGGAGAATAGATCTTCTCGAATACCTCCAGGTTTCGAAGGCCCGTGCTTTTTTAGAGGGATCGAGATAAAGGAAAAAAGCAAGTTCAGGAATGTCGAGGTCGAAAAATGAAGAGATTATAAAGAGTAAAAGAAAGAAAGGGAAATTCGGGGAAAAGGTTGACAATAACAGAATAAGAAGACTCGCGCATAGAAGTGCAGGGGTCAATGTCTTGGAGGGGGGAAGAGAGAGTGGGAGTGACGATACGGCAGCTCGGCACTGTCGTTTTCGGACTAGTTCGGTCTTTTTTAATTTTTCTTTTCCCACGTTTTGTTTAAATTTTCAATTTTCCGTCTTTTTGGTAATTTTTAGTAATTTTAGTAATTTCCCTAACCTTTTTGGATTTCCTGTTTTTTTTTCTTGCTTTTTTTTTTTTTTTTTCAACTACTCCGTAACGATCCCCAACAACCCCAAAGACCCCCATTCTCTTCGAATTACCTTACGGTCACCCGTTTTATCTTTACAACCATAGGGCCATATTGGACAGCCCTGAGCCCTGGAGATGACATTTCACTGACTAAGAAAATATGCCTTGCCACTTTTACATTTGACCTTCTCCAAAGTACATAGTTACATCTATATTTCTATGTTCTATATTGCTAACGTTCTTCTCTTCTCTATTATAAATTGTTGATCAATATTTCTATATATTATGTTTAGATGCATTGTTTCAAAAAGAAACTAAATGTAGCATAAAGTCGTTCAATTTCAAGTGGACCATCGAGTTGAACTTGCTATGAGGGATTTTGTGCTGAGACTAAACCCGTTTCAGGGACCTTTTTCTCTGTTGAAAACCCCCCGTTAAACCTGACCTCTCTTAATACTTTCCGTGATTGTGTGAATCCACTTGCCAACGCAATGGTAAAAATTCGGATCTTAATATCTCTTCACCGTATATCGTAGTTCCATAGTATATCGTAGACCTCTTAGTAATTGTTCTATCCGTATTGGTATGGTCATATTCCAGGCACAGAAGTCATTCCCATACAATCGATAAAAAAGAAATGACTTCCCGATTGGGATTGAACGCTACTGAGCCGTCAGCCTTGGCCGACTTTGCCCCTAGAGCTAACGGGGTTAAACACCTTCAATTCTCTTACTCGACCGAAACTCGTAATAACAATGATAACTGAAACTATAAACGCGCTGTACGCGCTTCGTGGTTTCTGCTTTCTATTATCTACAACAGGGCTCTTGGCGGTCTTCGCCGAGCCCTACAGTCATACCTGAATGCTTGGTATTGATTTCTCTTATTGATTTCTCTTCCCTTGCTCCTAATGCGGAAAGACTTCTCTCATCTGACGTAGAGTAACATGTAGTATATTAGTCATTTACTCGCCCTCGCATCTTGGCCTTACACAATTTCAAACTTCCATGACTCAAGTCTCTCGGAGCTTCTCGGGTACAGAAGTCTTGGGTAAATTGAATGTTGCATCTTGTACTATATACTCTACCCCGTACAGGTTTTGTACAGAAGTACAAAGTTGTATCCACTGACCTCCGAACTACACCCCAAAACGGACTCTTGGCTCTGCTCCTTCCCGGTAGATCAGTCTTGGTATACATAACACATAGCGCATAGAACAGGCTGTACCTCCAGTTATTTGTAGATAGAATTGATCATCTCTATTGGCTCTCATTGCAGTGCCAAGTCCAAAGGCAGTCATTTTTTCTCTAGGGATGCCAAGGTTCACTCTTCGCCAGCATGGCCTCCATTAACACTCCAAATTTAGACATTAGACATCAACTGCTTCGTCATTCAGAGGCGAAGCGTTCCATGATCGTCAAGTTGGGCATGCAATCGATCTACAGTACAGCTCACGGAGTATGTGTTTCAGCAGGTAACTTTGTTTCTCGTTATCTCGACTCCGTACCCAACTAATCACCGAGCCGAGAAAAAGCAAATCCCTCTCCAGGTCTAATGGCAGATAGACAAGCACACCTGGGTAACCTGCATCGAAGCTTACGAAGACTCGCTGGGCATGTTGAAAGAAAAGCGGTCAGCCATCAGCCCTAGATCGGCTGACCGGGCAAGATTTTCCCTGCGCAAGCCCGACTCCAAAATATACATAATCCGGACAATAAAAAACTCGCAGAAACGAAAAAAACCCGAGAACTCCACCAGTGACCAAAAAGCCCCCAAGGCTGAGATTCACACTGGTTCGTGGAGATATGCACGACTGCAGCCACGACCCCCTCGGGTCATGAACTCCCCGTTTAAATCGGGACAAGCTTCGAGAATCCGAGGAGATCCCCCCACAGTCTATCTGTGCGAGCAGGCATACCCCCTGTAGACACAGCCCAAGCTCACTAGATTTGCATGCTCTCAAACCTTTGACCATGGAAAAAAAAGTTGAGTTTGGAATTTGTGGAAGAAGCTTGTTAGCAACGCAACGGGTTTGCGGACATTACCCGGGCAAGATAAGGTAAGTTCATCTTGCTTGCAATTTGCCCTCAATCGTGGTATTATTTTTTTCTTCAAATTTTTTATTTTGCTTTGTTTCTTTGTTTTATGTCTTACGTACCCAGTACATAGTACGGACAAAGAGGATTGTCTACGGACGAGCGGCGATCTTGCATACAGGGCGATTCGCTGTATCTTACCTCTTCAGTTTCCCAAAAAGGCGAACGCAGCCGGGGCGTGAAACCCGTTTTGAAACTACATCGTATCCAAAACTGTACAACGATACGAATGTACCTAATGTCACTGTCAACGTCCGCCGTACTCCGTACAGACGTGCAGGACAAAAGTTCCCGCGCTGACAGCGACATCGCAGGCTAAAATAGAACGTTCCCTTGGCCACCCCTCACTCCTTAGGACTTGAGCTTGGCTCTCTCCGCACGAAGACGGGAGAGGGAAATTGTCGTGGGATCCAATCTTGGGCGGCAATTCACGCCAGATGGTTGGGATTGTGTAATGGGCCAAGAAGACCCCCTCCTGATCGGAGAACTTCTCCCAGTGGAGTCGAAGGAAAAGTTTGTGGGACGGGAGATTCTATACCTCGAGGACATGGTTTGATGTGAAGGCCTATGGAGTACGGAGTATAGTAGCGTCGTGTTCGTGGCACGATGAAGTGGAATTCACTCAATTGACGATCAGCGATCCGCTAGAACAATTACCCCAAGTCCCCAATTGTAAATGTTTAGCGCAATAAGGTGTGAACTGTGCATAGGACACGGATCTCCGAGGATAGCACGGGAGAATAAACCCCAAATACATATTGACCGGAAACACAACCGGGAAAGAGTGGAGTTCAAGAATTGAATACGATTGGTCAGATGCAAATGTATGCGCGATAGGCGGGACGGGTAAATTGAAATAATCCGATTTCCACTGTACAGATTGTACTATGTATGAGGCATTTTCATTTTCGACTACTGCACAGCGCCAGATGCAGTTATGTGAGAACGTTTTATGTTTATATTGCTAAAATTGACTTTGGATATTTTTGTACACTCTGCTTCCAGTCTCCTGATTTGGAAATAGGGCCCTCCTCTTTTTACTATACAGCAATGTGTGATCTTGGCAGATATTTCCCCCAATTCCCCTCCAGGTTTCACGGAATAGAGACAATGTACAACGACTATAGAGTACCCCGTCCACTTCAGTACTAATAAATCAGATACCAATTGCTGGTCTGTGCAGAATACATCTCCAGTTTGGACCCGTTAGGGCCGTTAGGTCCTGATACCCCCGATAACCCTAACCCCAGGTCTTCACCACAAACAATCGACTGCCAAGTCGGATTCGGACGCTAAGTTCACTTCATACTTCACACTGGGAACACCAATTCCATTGAGCACATCTCCCCCGAGGAACGTGACAGCCTAAAGATCAGCCTCATGACCTTTCCGCCAAGATAAACTAGGGGGTTCACAAAATCTGTTCAACAAGACAGGTAGAACAGACAGATCAATGATCTACCCGGCAGTGCAGAGTGCAAGGAGCTGGCCAGTTACTCTGGGCCTCACCGGAGGAATGCTTGGCGACAGCGCGTGATGAAGCAAACTGCCAAGATCGAGGCATTGAATCTTCAGAATGCGCCCGGTACGACTTGGGGTGTCGTATGGAACCGTTATGGAAAACGATCAGACTTTCCGGGGTGACAATACGGGGTAGCAAGAGCAAGGAGAAGGGGGGGAAAGGGCCTAGTTCTCCACAAAGGGGGTTCAGCTTTAATGATTCTATTTGCGATACACCCCCTTTCTTGAAGAGATCTTGGCACTAAACCCCTTCGATAACTATACGCTACATGATAGGATTCCCTCTCGATGCCAAGCACTGTGCAACGCAGAGCGAATTCTCAAAAACGAGCTCATCCTTGTCTTACAGCGGTTATCGAGATGGGGGAATGGCCTTGCCAAGGGCGATCATGGCGATCATCCTGATACCATGAACATACATGAATAGAGTCTTGGCACCGCTGCTATTTGCATTCTATTGTTTGTGCCAAGAGGTCGCACCAGCGCTGAGTTAGGGGGTTACAGTGGCAGTGCTCGTTGGCTCGGGATCGACGGGCGACAGGGCTTAGACTTTTGACTCGGTCCGGTCCGATTGAGATCTATTGAAAGCCTGTTTATGCACTATTACCTGGGTTATTTAGGTGCCTAGGAGTATGTTGACTCGAATCTTCCCTTGGAGTGCATTGTACATGTACGATGTACACTTCACCGTTAGGAATAGGATGCGATCGACACTGTGGCGTCCCTTCATTTCTTCTATTGCAGATGAACTATTCAGAGACCTGCGTGAACAAATATAGCAACCTCTCATAGAGCAAGATATACACCTTGGCACACGCCACTCGAAAATATCGGCTCCTGCCATCGCCATAAGGGCTCATCCTTACAAATCCACGTCAGATGCGCCCGGGCTCTTCAGCCAAAGTCCGAGGCACACCGGGCATCCCGTTCCGAGATTTCTGACATTTCAGTTTCGGCGTATGTTGTACAACGTATCGCCACTGTCTAACAGAAGATTGGAAATCTTCTGGAAGTGTTTGATAATCCATCCCAACCCCGGGCCGATAAACCCGCAGAACATGGTTGGTCCTCGCATTTGATCATCGGGTGTCTGTGAACTTGCCAATGACAATTCAGTTCAGCATGGGAATCCCGTGCACGCTTCCAAGCACGGCATCGGATGCTGTCGGAAAAATAATCCTCGAGTCTGCAGACCGCGAAACGGAGAGGGTAGACTAGGAAACGGTCGCACCTGGTCAGCAGCCCGGGAGAACTAACATGACCATCTGATATTCCTCGAATTACAGTATCATAACGGTCGCATCTACAAGCCAAATGATCATGATGCAATTTGACTCATTTCGCGCATGACACAGCGATGATTATTGAAATTTTCTATATTCTATATGATATAGGCGGAATGATATCATTCTCAATAGGGCGCGACATGACACAGGCTGAAACACATTTCGGGCCATGCGAAGCAATATTAAATTCAGAACCGAAACTAAGCCTACAATATATTCCAATATATTGTATTCGGCATACACGGTGTACATCGTATATAGAGCGGCAAACGAAACGCCAGTTCCAGCGGTTTCAACCGTGTCCATCGCAATAACCCCAACCACAAAGCACCCAACCACGGAAATATGCGAAGATCACTGAAAGCGGGAGAGGATGGGTTATCAGTGGGAGTATGCTCGAGCGACAAAACCCGACCCTACGTAATCGCGCAAGAACCTCCAATATCCCGCCCAGTCATTCGCTCGGTCGCCAGCCAATCCCTGTACAATATGAGGCCCGTGTTAAGCTGGGGCCTTTTGAAGGCGATCTCAGTTGCCATAATACGACGGTGGTATTAAGCGATCTGTGGATAAGGCTGATATCATACCAGCGATGCCCTGTGTTTTACCATGGGTCCAGAAATGGGGCTTGAGCTTCTAACTTACTTCTAACCTACAATATACGTTTCAGGTGCTCATTTGACTATCCGAACCGGTGACATCACGAAGAGAGATCATGGCACGGTGATCGGACGCGTGGATTATTGCTATGGTAGCCGTGCTTCGACTGTGACCTGCACTAACGAACGTAAAGGAGTATACCTGTAGCCGATATCTCCAGACGCCACTTGCTAACTATCCATCCGGGTTACGGTTAAAATACAAAGTATATGCGCTGGTGTGAATTATCAAACTATTTCACGTATTTCCTTTTCATGTTATTGCATGTAAAACGAATTTACACTCTCGAACAAATTCCTTTAGCACTAATTAGTGGCTAAGTATGCGTCATCGACCTGCCCGTTCCTGGATTTTATACTGTATAACATGAGTCATGCATGCGCCTCTCTATACACCCCGGGGAAATTAGATTCCGTGTCTAAGTGGGATATCTCTTTGAAATATCAGTTTGTATCATAGCAGGAATAGTCAACTTAAGGACGACTATATGTGCATCCCAGTCAGTAGTACACCCCGCCCTTCATTACCAATATATAGGAGCAAAAGAAACAGAGCTAATATCAGGACACTCTTACAGAAGTTAGTGTTAACAGATCTAAAGAGATGAGTCAGATGGTATGAAGCGAAGCTTAGAATCAATGCTTCGTGCAAGTGGATATATCCATGAGGCTGAGAGGGAACCCCCACTTCCGTCTCTCAGCCAGCTGGAGGCTCCTTTGGATATTTTATGGCATGGTGTATATTAAATACTAACATAAAGGGCTAGTAGATCCTATTCAGGTAATTTGGACATATTAAACAGGGAAAATGGTCGAAACATAATCATCGGTCTTATCTAGGCCGCCACGTTTAAACCTACACTTTCAGAGATGCCTATTCTCTTTCTCAATACGAGGTGAAAATCCTTCGTCTTCCCTATCTCCAACCACCTTTCTTTCCATTTGATTATCTTAGCGATGGAATACGACCCAAAATCCCCCCGCTCGTTTGCTGCTTCTTATGTCTCTAACTCCCGCTTCCACCGCTCCCTGACCATTGAGTCAACTCCAACCCATGGCCCTCTCAATGTGACTTACGGCGATTATGGCCGCGAGTCCGATGAGAACGGAACTACTCCGACAGTCCTATTTATGCCGGGTATGTTTTCATCCCGGTACATCGGACTCTGTCTACACACGATTGCCGAGAAATGGGGTGTGCGCGTTTTAGTTGTTGATCGGTAGGTGTACCCCTGCCCTCTTATATATATAAAACTAAGATCAAGTGCATGTAGTCCCGGAATGGGGAATTTCACCGAAGTGCCGCTGGCGCAGCGAGTGTCCATCTGGATTGAGACCGTCCCAAGGCTGTTGGCACATCTAGGCATCCGACATGTCTCGTTAGCATCTCATAGTGCTGGCACTATTTATCTGCTTAATACCCTGTATTACTGTAGGGATATTTTGTATCCCGAGAAACCAATGGTCTCCTTACTAGGTATGTCGTATTTCCTGTACATCATTCTGTCCTTTATACATTGTGGTCTAACCTCATGAATAGCACCGTGGGTTGACCCTGCCAAGTCAGGCTGTACATCCATGAAAATGGCCCAATACATACCTACCCCAGCTTTCAAGCTCTGGCATCATATCCCACGTCTCTTTGTGGCCAGGGATGGGTCTGCAACAGCTAAGAGTGGAGCAATGATCGCCAATCTTACTGCCTCTTTTCCCTCAAGCAGCGGTGATGAGCAGGCAAAGAATCGACTCTATATCTCGCAGAACTACGGACTAGATATAGACCAGCAGAAGGAGATAGACTCTTCGATGATGCAGGGTATGTTCGCGGAGAACACGGTTGGCTCTAATAGTGAGGCGCTGCAGTGCCTACGGAAGGAGCCTAACACATGGGGTAAATGTGAAGACTATGAGGTCTTTGTGCGTGAGTTGGTAGAACGCGAAAGAGGACGAGAGGGAGTGCCGTTGAAAGTTCAGATATACTTTGGTGAGACGGATAGCATGATTGGCAAGAAGGGTCAGGCTTATGTTGAGAGCTGTTGGCAGACGGCTCATGTGGACTCGGGGGGTGCAATTGAATTCGATTCGAGGGTAGTGTCTGGCACCGACCATGATACTATAGTGCCGTCTGCGGAAGTGTGGGAGACTATTTTTAAGAAAATGGTGGCTTAGTAGTTCTCGAAATAGAATTGGCTCGACCTAAGACCTGGCGCATATGCATATGTAGCAATAGACCAGATCAAACAATTCGATATTCTAATTCTGGTGGGCCTCAATTCCTTCCACCCTCTTCACTTGCACGAAGTACGACAGCCAAGGCTAATTGGCAAAGTATTGCACGTCCTTCTCCTCATAGATCAAATATGGTCCATATTTGTGAATGCGCAGAAACTCTTGTTTATCGAAATGCGTTTGTTTGTCACCCTTCATATGCTGTCTATACCCATCCGTGTCAACAGCGTTGAGAATGTACATCTCGGTTCCATTCTGACATACCGGCGTATATGTATATGTAGCTGACATGTATACTATACGAGCCTCCCACTAGCAGCGGATGAGACGCTGTCACTATATTACGGGGATGTCAAAAGGCTAGCTGCACAAAGCCATGATATATTGATGCATGGATGGCGCTCCAAAACTAACTAGATACATATATACAAAACAAAACTTAATAAATCATGGCCAACAGCTTATTTCCAGTTCCCAGCATCCTCCGCTCCCTCGGCCACCCGTTTGCCCCCATTCTCAAGACCTGAGCTTGCACTACCCAGCGCATTCCCAATCGGCTCGCCAGCACTCCCCGTCGCGCCTGTGATGGTATCGCCAATGCCTCGCCCGGCAGTTCCTACCACTCCGCCCACTGTGCGAGTGACACCACCGACTGTATTTCCAAGTGTGGATGTGACGAATTTGGCAGCTCCAGTTACGCCTTTGTCTTGGTTGTTTTCGAACGGCATGATGGTTTGGATTTTGTGGTGGATTTAAGAAGATTTAGACAGGGGTTCTTCGGTTTTGCAATGAACGTAAGAGGACGAGGTATAGAGGTTTATAGATTGTGGTAATTGACTTGAGAAAAACAGGTGGCAGAAGGGCATTGTTATATTGGGGCGTGCACCCTATGACATCATTTTGGTGGCTTGGTGGCACGGGTGGCTGTATACAGGCAATATAGATAGATTGGTTTCTAATATATTCTAATGTCAATGACGGAGGAAAAGACATACCAACCACTGGGAACATGATGTCAAGTGTATCTTTCTAGTAGTATTCTCAAATATCCTTCCGAAATATCATTCTGTTTACATATCTCGTTAGTTTTATAGGTAGAAAAAGGCTTAATTATGAAATGAACTTTTCAATATATAACAACAAACAAAAGGAATTCGCTGACCGAAAAAATAATTTTGGGACAAACTCCCTGCCTGTCATAACGCGGTAGGGGTATCATTCAAAGGAAATAAGAGAATAAAATGACAAACGCAAGCAAGAATGAAAACAGAATGAAAAGAAAAGCTCTGTTAGAGGCGGCGAATGCCTCGGCGGCCAGAATTGTGCTGGCTCTGGCGAACAGACGATCTCTGACCAGCAGATTTACGTCGATGCGTTTGTTCAGTCCGCTCCATCGGCTTCACCTGCTCTGTCTGCTCTCGCAGCTTACAGGCTTTGACACGGCGCCACCATCTAGTGATCACCTCATATGCCAACTTCACCCTAGCTGTGGGGATAGCACACGCGTACTTATTTCGTCTCTCGGTGAATGACCTCCATGCCCGTTGAATAACAATAGCGGAGAAGGCACGCTTCAAGGTGGAGGCCGCCCAAGCATTGTCAACCGGTGGTGAGTGTTCTATCTTTTTGGGGACTCTGACGACATTCCCTTGGGTTCTACCCAGAGCCACTCGCACTGGCTTTCGCCCTTCTTTGGGCTTGACTGTTCTGAGAGTAGCGTTTTGAACGGTTGGGCGGGCTATCTTGGACACCGGTGCATGATTTTTCGGTTTACTTTTGTTGTTGGTATTGATGGAAGTCCCAGGAGGGATGTTTTCTTTGCCACCGCTTGTTCCAGGGACATCAACTGCTGTCACCACTAATTGAAGAGGTTTCAAGTTTTCCTGGAGCGGAGCTCTCCGAGTAGATCCTGCCAGCAGCTTTTGTGGCTGGCATTTAGCAAGCTGTGTCTTGCAGCGGTTGATCTCAGCATTCCCCGAGATATGAGGAATAGCGTCTTTTATTTGTCGCTTGGGTGGACTGTAAAGACCAATTAAGGCGGTGGGAGTGATAAAGTCATTGTACGAAATGTGTATTGTATTGTATTGTCTTGAAGGCTCATGCCTCGGCGAGCGGGGAGTCGGACCTTCGTCAAGAAGACCTGGCCTGGTATCGAGGCTTCGGCTTCCTAACAAGAAGTGAGGCTTCATACTGAGATGATAATTTGGTCAATTATTTTGAAAGAGAGTGAATGTTCACGGTTGTTTGTTGCCCAGAGAAGCGGTGAGGTCAATCAAGGGATTGACTTAAAACGCGGGGAAGGCGCGCGGGGTGTGAGACTTGATTCTGTCAACAACTTCGGGCGCCTGGGCAACTGTGTAGTTGCGTGTCAATTCGATAGAGATCGAGGATCGAGTGCCTGGAACAGTCGATTGCTACATATGGACGAGACTCGTGTTGACCTGTGGACGGGTTGTCCAGGGCAACACGTGGGGTAAACACGTGACAGTATCAAAGTGTCGGATGAAAAGGGACGGGAGGCACAGATCAGACCTAGATAGAATGTTCGCTAGTGCTGACCAATAGTCCCATCAAGTCGTTGTAGGCTTTACGAAGGGCCTATCTCCATGGGAGAGCACACTTTCAAGTTTTCTTCTCCTTGCTGTAGAATGAAGATCATACAAGCTGGATATGACTCTAGTTCAATATATGTACTTCATTATCACATCGCTGAGGATAATTCAGATCATACTGTTTTCCAAGCCGTCATCAAGTCAGTCTTGGCCTCATGAACCTCCTTCAAGAGGTGTTCCACCAGCCGGTCATGCGCGATGCCCGGTAGCCCGGCTTCGGCTTGAAATCTTTGCATCCCTTTCGGGTACGAGAGAGCGGTTTCCCGCATACGGGCCGACAGTGTCTCGACTAATCGCTGCATATGTCGCAACTCGCCCAGCGTGACTTGAGCTTGAATGGTCAATCCCAGTGCCTGGTCATCGACCGAGTGATCTCCAATCGTGACGGGTTGATGAACCACCTTCTCCAACGAGGAAGGGTCCTCATCAGGCCCACTATTTAGCTCGGACGAGCTGCTGGGGCTCACGAAGCACGCGCGGATCATGGCGCGGTACCACGCAATTAGTCGGGAACAGATAATTGCTAGGACCAACTGGTTCTGCGGGCGGAGGGCACAGGTGCACTGTAGCATGCGGCAGACTGACATGCCTGCATCTTTATTGCTTTTAAGGACTGAGCCGGACATGCGTGGCGGCTCGGGTCCACTGTTGTTATGACTGTCGGCGCTTCGACGGGAGACACAGTTGGTCTGGGGGATATGAAGTGAGCGAAGGGATTGTGTTGCCACTACTATGCAAGGAGCTTGGTTCTGTGCGAGACAAGAATCTAGTGTTGTTGGGGGTGGTGGTGTTTGGAACGGGGTGGGAATTGAACCCGGCACAGCAAATGGCGGGGTGGAGCAATCCAGCGTCGATTCGTGATTGTTAAGCCCATCGAAAACCATCTGAGGTATGGGAGGAGAGCAGAGGTCTGGAATACCGCCAAAATCCATGCAATGTGCCGCTGGCAAGGTATCAAGGTATATACCGGGGTCAAGATCGACATTCAGATCGAGATCTAGGTCGTTCATTGATGCATCGAACGGATTATCTCCCGACCCCATAGGATGGAGTAAGTCATCATAGGGTGTATATTGGGCGGATAAAAATTGCCAGTCATCATCTTCAAGAGGCATTTCTCGAAGAGATCAGGGCTTGAGGCCATTCCCTGGATGTCGCACAGTAATTTTCCGGTTCCTGAACGGCCCGTCAAAAGTGGGGCTTAACCAGATTAGGTTAGTTCTTATTTTAGCTCAATCGAAGGTTTTTGGACAGACATCACATTCAGTCCCTCTCTCTCTCTACCTTGAAAAAAACATACTTCAAAAACATTGTTCATATTCTGGAATATCGCCCGGATAATGCTCAAAAGTGGTCAATTGCTTCACAGCTTGGCTTGCATACTTCTTATCTCTTGGCAAGGAGGGGCGGAAGTGGGTTAAGCGGGACCAAGATCGAGTCATCTAGGTAAGGGAAGAAGACAAATGTTAGTCGACGCCCAAGGAAATGCTAAGGGAATTATCTATATAAGCAAGGCCTCAGTCTACGGGTAATCAGTCCATGACGAATAGGGACTGACGCCATGGACGGTAATCGCATTCAAACCTCGCGAGTGTCCAAAACCTCCCCACATATCACCTCTTCGTTACAAACCCCAAAACTCAAAGATTCCTGCGATAAATGCTCTACTTCCAAAGTACGTTGTACAAAAGAGAAACCTTTCTGTGCCCGCTGCGAAAAGCTCGGATACACGTGCTTCTACAGCCCAGCAAGACGGGCTGGCCGCCCCTACCGGGTAAGGAAACAGATTTCAGAGGGAGCGAACAGCGAAGCACCAAATCAAGCCCCTGCGAGAGATATAGCAACGGCCCAGTTTGTAGACGAGAGCACGAGACTATACTCTCGCTTCAATGCCCCCGCACCCGTCGACGTAGCCTCCAATAGCTCAATCTCGAATTTCACCCTACAAGCCAATTCCACTCAGCCTAACAACGGAACGAAACAAACAGACCTCAATAAACCAAGAAGCCATCAGACCTCCGATCCGGACTGTATGCTCGTCACTCTCGACATATTAGCCGAAATTGAAGTGCAAGCAGAGCAATTGAGACGGGTATCCCCCATAGATGCAAGTCTTCTCAACACAACAACACAAACTATTACAGCAGCTTTCCGTCGCCTCTCTATAATTCTGATATGCCCTTGCTCTGAGCGAGCAGAGGTGGGGATGCTTGTTTCAGCAGTTTGCATATCCATCATCGATATACATGCCATGACAATTGCGAACATTGCCAAAGGCCAGCCCCCAACTGGGATGCTCAGCCAGCCGATGTCATGGGATAGCCCCAGTATTGGGTCTCACAGGTCCCCTGAGCATGAGGCTACAGCTATGCAGGTTTTTGCGGAGCTTTCAGAACTGGCCAAGCTCATTTTGCAGCTTACTGGGCGCTATGATGAAGGAAGTGGGGGATTAAATAGGGTGGGTCTAGGGAACGCATCGGAGTTGCCAACGGACTTTCTGCCAGGAATGGGTACTTTCTTGCAGGAGAGGTTGCAGCAAATCACAAATGATGCTACTCATTGGCTTTGATAGATCTAGTTCTCGTTCTTTTGCACTCACGTTTCGGATTGCGATTTTTGGAACTATGTGTTACAAGAGCAGTCGGCCGCTTATCCGACTTATATAGTTGACGATGTAAAATTTGGATATAACTATTGAATATGCAGTTGACCCAAGATGATATTGAAGACTCCCTACCAGGCTTGGCATAGGCTTGATGCGGAATAAGTCGAGAAATTCAGGGCTGATCACCATCTATACTTCGAGTAAAATCGTGGTCTAAGACTCAGAGCAGTCACTCGTCAGCTCATAAAAAGGGAAACATGTTTGCGATTCAGGCCATACTGGTCAATCTATTATAATTATGCATCGAATGAAGTTATTCTACAACATAAACCAATTCGGCTCTTGTCCTGTGACAGAAAGTCCAAGCTTCCCCTCGCCGGCTAGTTTCGATAGAACCTGAGTTATGAATGGTCCCGCCATTGCCTCCAGCTCGGGCCCATAGAGACATGCGATAATTTCCCGCGTTGTTAAGGGTGCCCTTGTCTTTGCATTGCTCTTCATAAACACCGATAAGACCTTCTTTTCTCGTATTTCCCAGTGTCTGCTCCAGACTATGAGTTTGGCTGGCAGATCTTCAATAACGGCACCATGTCCGGGGTATCCAACTGTTATCTCTTCATTGCGGACACTTCGGGTCATGACTTGCAAACTGTTCATGTATGGCCCTAGATCTTCCACAACAACACTGCCTCCATGTCCAAGCACATTGTCACCTGTGAACATGGCGCCACTTTCCTCCAAGATAAAGCACATGTGGTCTTGGCTATGTCCGGGCGTAAATAAGGCTCGCAGTGTAGTTCCTTGGACAGTAAAAGTTTGTCCATCGCGAATTGATTGTTGGCCCCTATCCGGGTCGGCTTTGTAGACCGCCGCCACCAGATGTGGATACTGAGCCAATAGCGCCGGGAGACCACCGGTATGATCGGTATGCCAGTGGGTCAGCAATACCTGGGAGATGCTCAATTGGTGTTTGTCAAGATAGTTGACTAGAGTCGTGAGCCAGATTGGACATCCCTGTGAACATGAATATCTTGTTTAGTCTCCCAAATGTTGAACTAGGATAGCCAACTCACTTGTCCTGTATCTATCAGAATCCTTGTCTGGCCGCTGCCGACTAGATACGTGTTCGTTCCTTGTAGTTGCATGTCGCCTGGGTTCCCGCCAAGTATTCTCACCACCTCGGTGCTGAGTTCCGTGACAGGTGGGAGATATGGCAGTCCAGAGTTTCGAGCAGATAGATATTCCTGCCACCCTGGCTGCTCCCACGCTTTTTGAGGGGCCATCTCTCTTTCTGGTAGACACTGGATGCCTAGATACACTTTGCGACTGGAGTAAGCAGTGGAATTGAGAGGTGGGGGCGGCGGGATTTTGTTGAGCATATGCAGGAAGAGAGGGCATGCATGGCTGCCTGATAGAACAGGCCTTTATATTCGGGGATATTCCAACTGGCCCAAAACGCATTCGATCAATTCATCCACCCTCGCTCCGAGGTCTACGGAAGGTTTGTGTAGAGCCTAGCGACTTTTTCAGTATCCTCGATACACTAATTTTATTGGCAAGTCATCATCAATCAAATTAATCAAAATTCGTACAGAAACACTTGTGAGCCCAAATCGTGCCTTTTTCCTTCCTTTTTTTACCGTCGATCTATAAGTACCTAAGAAGACGACTAGAAAGACCACTGAAAAGACCTCACACGGTTGCTTGTGCGGCCGACTATGTATTCTTATGGTGACTACATTGATTATTAGTCTGCACGCTTGCTCACTTCAAACCCCCTAGCTTGGATAGTCGGCCATCTTACAGAATCTTGAAATGAAGGTCATTGCAATTTGTAACTTTTTAACAGATTGACCAATGAAAGACAAAAATACTCAAACCCCTTACTTGGATATTTGAACCTCCGGGCGATTCCGTATGACTAGAGGACAAGATAGGTGATATCCTACAGAACATCAATCCGGTCATATCGGAAGAGCCGCAGATTTCGATCGACGATCTAGTCCTTGATGACCAAAATACATGGGCAAAAAACCTGTAGTTGTACCTACCTAATGCCATGCAGATGTACGTCATGGACGCGGTATTTCCATGACAGCCATACATTAGGGCCACTATCGTCACCCTTAATGGTTTTTGCGTTGTATTTCAGATGTATTATGTTGTTGTTTTCATATAGTGCTATGATGCAGAACTCGGTCACAGTCACTCATTGTATAAAAACAAAACAAAATAGAAACATTTTCGTCATTCTAGAAGCATCATGGTTGCTGATCTATCCTCCAAATGGATGTATATGGATTATACTAGGGGGTTTATACTTAATGACTCAGCATTGTGTACATAACCCTGGAAAATTAGAGGCCTCGCTTGCATGCGGCTTACGGCCAGATCAACAAGATGCACAGAGTACATGGTAAACCTTGTCTCCATTGATCAGATTGGCTGTTAGGAAATTAGTGTACATCGTAGTTTTATGTATCTAATCTCCTTTAGATTAACAGACTCTCCTTACTTGTTGAAGTCATTAAAATCATCGCCAGGAACAGGTAAGTGGGTCAAGTCTAAATTAGCTCGTGACTGGGAGACCTCCTTTCCCCGGACGTGTGCCTCAAACGTGGCCCCAGGCATTCTCAAACAAGCATTTACATTCTTCATTTCTTTTTGCCTGGTGCCTATACCTCAACGACATGGATCTGTAAGCCTGTTCTTATCACCTGCCTGCGTCACCACTCGCCACCTTCTCCGCTTTCCTGCCACGGCATGATCCCGCAACATGGAGTCAGTCGTGTATGAGAACTCGCCTTTGGCCGAATATTTGGAAGGTTCGCTATGTTTGAGATATCCGGAGAACTTGAACTCGCTGACATTAGTGCTAGGGGAGGGTGGAAATGAAGAGAGTTGGCCCGTGGAGGAGAATCAAAGTGACGATGATCATACCCGTTCCTTCAACTTCGCCCCCCAGGGGGCTTCAAAATTCCAGGATCGCGTTCGAAACAAGCTACCGAAGCCTCTAAATCTACGAGGTACATCACAAAGGGAACTGATCGGGAAAATATATGATGCTTGCTCGGTACGACCCCTCATCTACGATAACACGGGATCAAACTGACTCTATTTCCTGTCTAGTCTGCACTGAACGTCCGATTAGCACGAAGCGACAATGAACGATTCTTGGAACAATTTGGCTATGTTATTGTCGCATCACAACTGTTGAACGAACACAGCGCTCCTTCCTACACATCCGCTGCAGATGTACTATCTGCAAAACAACCCTCAACCCTCCCGTCCCTATCTACGACTTTTGGAATTCAAGGCGCGCTGGTCACAGCCCTCACATCCTTTTCTATTGCTTGGTTATTACATTGGAGCCGTTCAAAGACTGGGTCGGGACTCAGTCTCAAGAAAGTTGGGGTGCTCCTGATACTTGTGCCCGCTGTCGGTGTCTTGTTCTATGCTTTCGCAAAGCGGCAGTGGTTGAAATATCTTCGGCACCAGGCTGTTGAAGCAGCTGGAACTTTCATTGGTAATGCTCAAGGGTTTGATTCGGCTGCGTCGGCTTCCGTGGTCTTTATTCAGGAGGTTGAACTTGTGTCAAGAGGTTATCGGATGTAAGAACGCGATATTTTTGGTAGCTATAACGGGACTAACGCAGTATCACAGAAGCACTCCTCTGCCACCCATCAGTCGCCTGGAGGATCAAGTGCAAACGCGACGATGCTTGAGATTGCGTCGAGCGGTTTCGGAATGCTTCTACTCCATGCTTGAGCGATATATTCAATCCCAGAACACCTTACGCCCACTTACCGACGAAGGAAATCTTGCGAAATATTACGACATTTATGACATTGGACTGGAAGAACTTGAAGCAATTGAGACGTCCCTGTCACAGCGAGCCAATGAAGACCAGTACTCATTGCGCGCCCTGAGGGATCTATTTGGAAAACTGTACAGTGTGAGAAAAAGCGTGCTGTGCTGCTTGCTAGCCCTCAGTGCCGACGGTGGTGGCTCCGATATCGCTCGGTGGAGTTCTGCTGTTGAGGAGATGCGTGAGCTTGCTTCGGTGACTGGTAACAGCATGCTGAAAATGACAGCAATTCTAAATGAGGAGGACCGTGAGTGTTAATCTCTGTTTTCTGAAACAAGGACGTTAGCTAATATTCGCAGGTGATAATATTCCTCCATCCCCACTACCTTCCGCCTCACCAAGCAAGGATCACCTGCGTGCTCAATTTCGACGCCTCAGCTCTTTGTCACAGGGGGTCCGTGCCTTGCATGCTAAAATGCACATTGCCAGCGAGGAGTCCCATGCCAATCTAGAATGCGCAGACCCGGATGACTTTGAAGCCACCCTCCTTACACAGTATGACTCGGTTGGTAGTGATCTTAGGGCTCTTCTCCAAGAGTGGGAAGTTGGTAGAGCCGCATTGGTGAATCAACACGATCGTCTTAGTGTAGGGGATCGCTCTCGACCGCCAAGTACTTTCTTGTTACCCATGTCCCCCACCCCCAGCCTAGGAGGATCTACGGCAGTCGAGGGCAGCCCGACGGATGCACTGAGAGCCTTAACTGGCGAAGGCCGACCGGATCTGACCCAGACCTACGATGATGAGGAAATTTTCGAAGCTGTTGTACTCCCGGCCTCGAGAAACAAGAGAGTGTCTTTGACAAGAGACGAGCGTCTTGCACGTGTACGAGAAGACCGTGCCAGACAGGCGACTGCCAGAGAAAAGGCAGATGCCAGCACTAACATGCTCAAGGAACTGGAAATGGTCATCAAGCAACGACCAGGAAACAACTCTGCAAAACGAGTTACCAGCATCTAAGACTTGGATCTCTGTCTCATGCTTGATGCATTCCACAGAATCCATCTATTTTCGTCTGCACCATCTGGCACAGGCCTGACTTCAAACAGCGCTAGCAGCTGGGAGTCACAAATTGATACCCACAACATGTATAGACGGAGCCCGGCGACAGCGGCGTTTTATTCGAGGGATATTGCTTCTTGCTTCTTGCTACTTTGCTTATTGTTTATTTCTTTTGCACCATTATTATCTGTTCGACTGTCTTTATAAGTGGTCTTCGATGGCGATTGTTTGGGCATTCATCTCCGTTGACTGTGAAGATTAACGTCGATTCTTTTTCCAATTTGTACATTACCGTAGCTCTTTGCAAATGAACCATCCTTCTATCATCCATATCACTCGTAATTGATCATTATATCGGCAAACCCTTATGAGGGTGTATGCTTCGGATGCCTTGTTGCCTTGTTGCCTGGGGTGTCTAACTTAACCCAAAAGGGACATATCGCCAAACGCGACCGCGTCTTCCCCACCCTCTTAACGCGATCCTTATATTAGACTTGCTGCCTCTTTCATCTTCGCTGAAATACATACCCAGTTCACTCTCCTCATATCTCTCCCACTTTCTTGGCTTCTCAGAGACATACTTTCTCTCTTATCTATTTACGACTCAATTTAAACATACACACACAAAACCATCAACAGTAAGTCGGCCAACCCCCAAATCGAAAAGATTGTTGTGTGCGAAGAACCGACCAACTAACCAATTCTCTAGTGTTGGAAGCACGATTGGAACAGGCAAGCCTTCTGAAGCGCGTATGTGATCTATACCACTCAACCAATTCAGCAATGGTCAAATTACTAACTCTGTTGTGTGTAGGTCGTCGACGCCATCAAGGATCTTGTCCAGGACTGCAACTTCGATTGCAATGACTCCGGAATTGCCCTGCAAGCTATGGACAACTCGCACGTTGCCCTAGTTTCCATGCTTCTCCGCGCTGAGGGTTTCTCTCCCTATCGCTGCGACCGTAACATCGCCCTCGGCATCAACCTGCTCTCCCTGACCAAGGTGCTACGCGCCGCCCAGAATGAAGACATCCTGACCCTCAAGGCCGAGGACTCACCGGATGCCGTCAACCTGATGTTCGAGAGTGCAGAGACAGACCGACTGAGCGAGTATGATATCAAGCTCATGGATATTGACCAGGAGCACCTGGCCATCCCTGAGACTGAGTACGCCGCCACTGTCGAGATGCCTTCTGCTGAGTTCCAGCGTATCTGCAGAGATCTCAATGCGCTGTCCGAGTCAGGTAAGTAACTTTTCTCCTAACGCGATTCAGGCCTGGCTATCAAACTCAAGACCTGTCGTGCTAACATCTTTTCTAGTTGTGATTGAGGCCAGCAAGGAGGGTGTCAAGTTCTCCTGCCAGGGTGATATCGGTAATGGATCCGTCACCATTCGCCAACACACCAATGTCGACAAGCCCGACCAGAACGTCGTCATCAACCTCTCCGAACCCGTCGCCCTGACCTTCTCCCTCAAGTACCTCGTCAACTTCTGCAAGGCCTCCAACCTGTCCTCATCTGTCGTGCTGCACCTTTCTCAGGAAGTGCCGCTGCTTGTTGAGTACGGTCTCGGAAGTGGCCACCTGCGGTTCTACCTTGCTCCTAAGGTATGTTCTTGATTATTCCAAGCTTGACATTGTTGGAACCTGAGCTAACATGTTTAAACACAGATCGGTGACGAAGAGTAAACGAATCATCCGGTGGTTTCAAGGGGATATGGGCAATGCTAAAAATGAAGCTCGATGATAATGGAGAGAACTTGGAGGAAAATGTTCTTTCACTACATCCCTAACAGGGGTTTTACAAGATGTTCACGATAATTTATACATTCAGCGGTCGAGGTTTCGACCTCGCAAATTTTTCCAAACAAGCACTTTCCCTAGAATTTTGTAGATTACCAACATCGCTACGAGTATGATTCTTAGAATATTTCACCGGCCATTCAGCTAGCAGAAAGATATATTTCATAGGAAATTCAAGTATTTTATTGTTTCCACCACTCTGAATAAATCCCCCACAAACTCCAGCGACCGAAACCCAGCGCGCCCGCAGGCAAAGGACCCTAAGGAACCTCGCAGGGATGGTCCACAACCCCACTAATCAGCAAGGTCGCCAAAAAAAAACTCTTCCCAGATACTCCCCCAAAAAGCAGGGGAGGGAACAAGAACTGACCTTTGAAAAAAAAGAGTGAAGCGCCATCCCCACCAGAATGATCGGAATCGAATGATACCATCCATCCCTCCGAAGAGAAGACAGAGCAAGGTATGCTGCGTATTGCACTAAAGTGTCATCACACACAATCTCCGCACCGACTCTCCCAAGGGCTTCAGGACAAGGCCCATGACAACAAGTCACCACAAGCCCCGCCCCTTCACCCGATGTTTCTGATGTCAAGTGCAAGTGTGGGTAAGAAGTGATCTAGGATCACACCAGGCCCTCACGGGCAGGACCGGCGCCGACGCGCGAAAACGAACGACGACGCGGGTTGTGGTTTGAAGATTCCTCCGAATTTCTCATTTGCAAAGGGTCTCGCGGCTCTGGTCGGAACCCAGAGCTGCGAGGACGGGCCGTGAAGCTCGCCGTGTGTAGCAAAGAAACGCAGCATTGGTGGGGATGGCGCTTGAGGAAGGGAAATTTGGCGTGCGAGGTGGGTTTGCGGATTTTATATTGCTGTCACGTGGGATGAGTCATCTGTGCGCTTGTCCCATTTAGGACTTGGAGGGATATAGGGCAGCCAGTAAGTGATGGTTTTATTGCAGGGTGCTAATAATTTGTTTGATGGTTTTTTTCTCATGGGCACTCCAATCTATAGCGTGAGACTGGACTATTAACTCTACTGTGTGTAACTCTTTGGGGATGAATAGCATTAGAGCTGTACTTGAATATATATAAATGTAGACTATAATCGAAAAGAAGTCCCAGTCCTTCTAAATTTGCTCGAAAGCTCGAACAATATACGTCTTCCCTTGAACTTCCACCTTCTCCCCCGGTGTCCTCCAAGATCCCTCTCCCTCTCCATCAAGCCCAGCCATCATGGAAGGCAGAGTACCTGCAGTTTCGCCAACTGCGTATTTCTCACTCCACCCCGATCCCCATTCTTCCCTCCTGGCACTGACATCAGCGCCGGATTTCTTAACAACCAGATCACCAGATGGAGTCTTCTGTCGTGTATGAGTCTGAATCTGACTCAATGCCAAATACGTTCCCCAGATGCGACCGATAAAAGTCTTCGTAACCGTAACCTCTCCTTCTCCACTGCCGAGGTCTCCATCATCTGACTCCAGTACCCACGAAAGACCTTTTCCAGGCCCCTCGGGACCCTCTCTGAATGGCAAACCCTGCCATACCTCCTCATACTCCTTGTCTGGTGAACCAGGGAGATCATGACGAGGCATAGACCCCATCTCGAGATCATTGCCGTTCGGCAAGGGGACAAAAGTTCCACAATCGACTGTTTCAAATGCATTTTGAGAGTCAAGCTCATGGGAAAATGTCACCCGCACTATTTTGCTGTTAAAGGGTCGTTCGTGTACCTCTTGCTGAATGCAATGAATTCTTTAGATGCGGGTAGGGTTGTAGATAGCTTACAAGGGTCCTGACTCTCCACGATCCTCTGCCCGGCAATCGCCCAGTCTATTTTGCCCGTCTCCGTTTCTATCCGCAAATCAACGTACCAGTCTTTGACGGACATCACGATTGTATCGGTTTTCTCTTCGGCGGGACCCGAGATCCATCGGAACGAGATTCGCTTGGAGAAGCGACAATTGGATTGCTCGGGGTTCATGGCCATATTGCTTTGGTGCGGGAGTTAGGTGGATGGTGTACGGATACGGGAGGGTGTGTTTGTGTGATTAGATTAGATATTGGTGCTTGTATCTTGGTGAAACAGATTCGAGTGCAACTAGGTAAGTGGCAACCGAATTGGGAATGTTGAGGAGAAAGATCGTCACTTGGTTATCAGTTCCCCTCACACCCCGCATCGCCATATTCGGGGCCCTCGAATTACCGTTGAGGCAAATAATTATGGTTATCATATCATTATATTAGATCATATTGGGGGCTATTGTAAATATCTGATCAGTTACTGTTTTCAATTCTGAAATTATAACAATCTTCCGATATAAAGAAACTAAGGCATCCAGTATCACTCTATAGCCGTAAAGATCAGTTTACAGCTCTGCCCTTCGGGCCTCGAAGAGATAATTTGATCGTCTAACTTCATCGAAGCAGTCATATCCGAAGCCACCGTTGTCCGATAACGAGAATACACTTCCCGAAGCAGCATCTTCATCTCAACAAGCGCAAGACTAAGAAGTATCAGCAATCAGTAGCAGTCAAACAGAGAGCAAAGAAACAACTCACTTTTTCCCCGTACATCCCCTCCCACCTGTAGCAAAAGAAAAGAAAAGCCTATTCCGCTCCGCAGTTCCCTCCTCAACAAGCCACCGCTCAGGATTGAACCGATCAGGCTCAGGGAAGACACTCTCATTCATCCGATGCACCGAATAAGGCTGACAACTAACAATGGTATTCTCCGGAATGACGAAGCCATCAATCTCCCTCCCGCCAGCAGGTACATAGCGAGGCAGAGACATCGGAATAGGCGGTGCACACCGTAGCGCCTCTTTAATGACAGCGTCGAGATACACATAGCTATCCAATGGTGCATTGGCTGGTGCAGCGGTAAGCTCTTTGTAAAGACTTTGCTGGAAACAGAGGTTCTGAGGCTGTGAAAGCTCCCACATCAAGAAACACAGACCATCGCCCGTTGTGTCGATGCCGGCGGCCATGTGGTCTTTGCATTCTGCGGCGGCTTGTATTAGTTCCAAGTTTGATTCTTTGCGTTTGAGCTTCTCCATCAGGGAGTGGCCGTCGAGCTCTATTTGGCCTGCCATGTCTAGCACGTATTGGTTTGCCTTTGGGGCGCTGCGGGCGTGAAGAAATTTCGGGAAATAGGGTGCCAATGAAGGGAGGTAGTACTCTAGGAGGTTTTCTGGGTTTATTTTAGTATTTCTTACTAGAACTTGGAAAACGTAAAATGGAAATAGAGCAGTGCATACTCTGGAGACTCTGATGATAGGTCAGTTCGTGCATGATTTCGAAGTCTTCGGCTACGTTGAGAGATCTCAGGCCACCGGGACTGAACATGAAATGAGTAACGCAGTCTAGGGCATAGCAGTGAAGCAAAGACTAGGAGAATTAGTATGTCCTCGTGCTGATGCTGTAATCTTGATAACTCACGTAAACATCCACACTCTTTTGGCCAGCCTCAGCACACTTAGATACAAACGCCGTGGCCCGTTCGTGGATAACAGCCATGGGCTTTTCTTTCATGATATTGGTCATAGCGTATCTATCGGCAAAGATGCGTTTTCTTTTGCTATGCTGGTGAGTATTAGCACTTGAATAATTCATTTCTATTCGGAATATGTACCTCATCTTTCAATAAAGTAGAAAACATTGTCCTACATTCTGTATTAGTAGCTGGCCAGCTATTTCTCTCCAGGTTTAGTGCAATGCTTACTTGGTCTTAAACTGTTTAAAAAGATCATAGTACTCGGTTTTGTCATACCCACTGCCCCCTGAAGCATAAATTTCTTTAATCGCATCCAGGCTGGTAAATGATACTTCATTGGGGCCTAGCCGGACGACGGGACCATAGATCTTGTGCAAGCGATGGATTGATTCTCTTCGATTTGCAGTGAACTCCTGATACTTAATCCACAAGCTTGTGAATCGAGTATACCATGGACCCGGGATCGTAGATAGGGGCGAGAGGAATCCGCATATGACAATATATCCACAAAGGAAGATAGCCCCGGCCCATAGAGACAGCATGTCGTATCAGACAACTCCAGTATAATAAAAGGTCTTGAAGAGTAGCGAATATGCACCCTACACTTATTTATACCATAGATCTGATTGAAAGATCTCTAATTCCGATTAGATAATGGACGTAAACTTGGAGATTTGCCGATATCATCGCTATCAGAGTGCGGGGAAACTGAGCATGCGACTGTGATAACACCTTAAACCAAAAAGGGAAATCTGAGGAGATGACTTCCAGAATGATTGTACCAAATAGACGCCCTCGCTAGAAAAAAAAAAGTCAGGCTTGTCCCAATCCTGGCGTTCAGGCGTTCAGGCGTGTAGAATTTCATTGGCCATAGACATTGTTCAGGTTCAAATATATTTTCTGCAACCCAGCGTTCATCTAACAGTTTCCTGGTCTAGCGGTTATGATTTTCCGTTAACAAATGCGATTAGCAGATGTTCCGGAAAGGTTCTGGGTTCGATTCCCAGGGAAACTATTTTTTGTCATTTTTTGACATATCTTTTGCGTTAACAAGTTCGAGTTAATTGATCTGAAATGATCTGTTAAATGTAATAAAGATATTAGGGCATGCCGATCACTTTAAATGTTGGATTTATTCGACTCGTCCACAGCCCTAGAACTCACCACGAATTCCCATACAACACATGTGTGATAGATCAACTATGTGATGCCAAGCCCTACACCAAAAGGCCCAATTCCCTCCCTAAATAATCAGTCTTCTGTTTCACTGTATCACTTCCAAACTATTCCATTCTTACGAAGCAATTATGAACACTCTAATGTGCGCTGAGGATATAGCCTGGGAATGGGCTGAGAAAATATCCCACAATTGGTTGCTTCAATTCCTAAGGTCGATATCAAACGACCGATCGCGATGTTCATCCTCGAGCACAGAGGGGATGGTACCGAGTTTGCCATACTCGAAAAGGGTTCCTATAACATTTCCTTACGCATGAAGTACCAAAATGATGCTCTGGTTATACGGCTACCTCAGCCCGGCGGCGTATTTTTCCCCGAGGAAAAGGTCGTGAATGAAGTTGCTGTGATGCGATTTCTCATAGACCAGACATCGATACCTGTTCCGTTCATTCTACACTTGGGCACGAAGAAGGAAAGCCCCCCTTGAACTAGGCCCATTTATTCTAATGGAGTATATCGAGCATACAACAAATATGTACGACGCTCTTAATACCCCTGGATGTCCGAAAAAGGAACGTGGAATCCTAGACCCAAATATCAACGACCATACGCTAGAATTTTTATATGGTCAGCTAGCGGGTATTCTACTACAGCTTTCGAAGCATTCTTTTTCCCGTATAGGATCTCTCGCCCAGATCGATGACTCTACCTGGGAAGTGTCGCGTCGACCCTTATCAATGAATATGAATGGACTGGTACGACTAGGAGGATTACCACGGTCTAAGCTTCCCGACACCGTATTCAGTACAACTTCTGGTTAGCTTGAAGCCCTTGCGGACCTCAATATTGAGCACTTAGTACACCAGAGAAACGATGCTATGGAGTCAGCAGATGACTGTCGACGAAAGTTTGTGGCACGGCAGCTTTTCCGTAAGCTCGCCAGAGAAAAGCGACTTCTTGATCCATCATTCGAACAAGGTCCTTTTAAGATCTGGTGTGACGATTTCCGACCGGGGAATGTACTACTGCATGATAATATGCAAATAGCCGGAGTGGTAGATTGGGAGTTCACCTATACAGCACCGATTGAGTTTTCTTATGCGCCACCTTGGTGGCTGCTCATTGAGAAGCCCGAGTTCTGGCCAAATGGCATGGATGACTGGGAAAATGTATTCAGTCTTCGCTTAAAGATGTTTCTCAGGGCGATGAGAGCTTGCGAAGAGACGGAGATTCAGAAGGGTCACCTAAACGAGAGTCAACGCCTCTCTGGCCATATGCAACAGAGCTGGGACAGCGGACGTTTCTGGATTGTGTATGCAGCGTTGAACAGCTTTGCATTTGACGCAATCTACTGGAAGAAGATTGATCCATTGTTTTTCGATGCTGCTCAAATTCCTGAAACAGCTTGGAAAGAGAGGCTTGATCTGCTGGGCGAAAAGGAAATAGAGGAGATGGAGCAACTGGTTGCTTTGAAGCTGGAAGAGATCAAAACTAGGGTTCTGAGGTGGGACCCGGATGAGTATACTGTTGAAGCAATGGCGAAGGCAGCTGAAGCGGAATGAGCCCACTAGGTCGAGAGGAGCGGAGCAACAGCTTTTGCATAAATACCTCGTTGATTACTACCAATGATGTGTGTTTCGGGCGAGATATGGGCATCCGGGCAGGTCTTTGAGCTATAGCAGTATTGTTTTATTAGACGCTATTAGTATGTACTATGCTTAGGCGTATAAGAACCTAGCTCTTGTATAGTAATTGGCTTCCTGAATTTGCTTCGGGATAAGTAAACATAGCTAGTCACAATCTTACTACGGAGTCCTGGAGTTATCCCGAGACATATTACACACGGGCTGTTGCCTAGAAAAACATGATCAGCTTAGCGAACCAGATACCCCCCATCATGAGCGTAGAACCTAGAATCTTCAGCATATGAGACCTCAGTGCATACTCCATAGTAGTAAACCAAGATCTGGAATTCAGCAATTTCATTGTCCGGCTTGCCTTTGCCGAGATAACCGGCGCTGGCTGAATGAGCCACTGGCTCGATTATCTCCGAGCCGCGTGGATTAAATATCAACGCACCGCATATGTATGTACGGAGTACATAGTTGAGACATAAGCTCGGGTATCTCAACTTGAGTATTTTGAAGAATGGACTTTGGCTGACTGCAATATGATGGGTGTGGGCCTGCCCAAGGTGGCATTGACACATTGGGGCCGTTACCGGTGGATGCTATTTTCTATACGGAGTACTAGGTTTTACATGCAAAAACACTTGGTTTTGAGGGTTTCAGGTTAAGAAGATGTGATAAAGAGACATGTCAATAGAGGGAGATGAAATTAGGGTAATTATATTTCAGTACCTCGGTACAGTAACACATGCAACCATGGATGACCCTCAGGGGCTCGAGTTTCAAACGTCTCAGCCACATGCCCCAGCCACTGTGGCATTGCAGTTTCTCGTTATTACACAGCCTTACCTCCACAATTACTTTCCGGCGGGGATTCATTTGTGGCTTTCGTTAATTAAAAAGTGTCAAAAGTTAAGTTTTAACTGGTCTGACATGATTACTAATATTGGGATATTCCAACTTTGGAATTAATGAGGAGTGCACAATATTCCAGAACCAGAAGAGTATATATCTATATACCTATTTACTATATATATTATGTACTCTATGTAGGTACACACATATATGTAGGTGAAATACCTTGTGTGCAACATACAGACAAGAAAAAGAGTCTGGACTCTAATTTTGGTACCTGTCGCATGTCGATCCACCCCACCGATTCAGGAGAAAAAGGCGTTGAAAGCAAAAAATAATTAGGTCGCTATAGAAACTGTTCAGGGTCTTTATGGAACTAGAATTTGCCTAATTTGTACTTTTTTTAACGGAGTATTGAATTGTACATAGCCTGCGTAATCTGTGTGTGACCCGCCCCATGGTATGTGGACAACTTTGAACCCCAGACCCCTACTTTCTCTCCCGTCTCGAATCCTGGCCTCTTTTTTTCCCCTTCTTCAACTCTTTTCTGTCACTCGTTTTCTTACTCTTTTTATTTATTTTCTTTTTCGAGGGTTACATGGTATTGTACGATCGCCAACACATTCCCTATACTCCCCCCCCCGCTTGACAATTCGGAACTCCGCGGGATAAAAACACAACAAACTACAGAGTAAAAGGGAAATCATCGTCTACATATCTTAAATTCATCTTTCAAACGGTCTGCCTGAACGGCCGAATGCCCCTGTTGAGGCATACCTGCATCTCCTGACGAATCCTGACTTGCCAACTAAATTGCCAAGCCTTAAAAGAAGCACACGAGCCTCCGGGTATTCCAATCTGCCCTTTCCCCCCGTGTCGGGCCTATTTCCCACCGGACCTTATAAAGTGAAAAGCCACCGTCAGGTGGTAACACCGTCACCGTGTCTTTCCCTCTTCACTCTGCCGACCTGAGCTCCACCACGGAGCCACTCGGCAAGATTCCTTCACACGGGTCGCGCGCTTCTCTCTTAGGGGGTTCTTTTGATCCCGCCTTTCGACGTCCAGGAGGCGGCTTCCGCGCAAGAGAGGGATACGCCAACGTCACTCCTGCGACCCATACCCCCAGGATGTATCTCCCAAATACACATTGGACGTGGTCCTTCGCGATCGTCACACTCGTCCAAACAATCGTAACCCTCAGCCTTGAAAGGTATGAAATGCCGAAGCGAAACATCGGAAATCAAAATTGACGTCGCCATTTTTCTAGTTACATCTTCGCGAATTTTCAAATCCAAGAACGCGCAAACAACAGTCCCGCTTCGAAAACGATCCCTACTTTCCTCGCCCTCTATGGTTTCGGTTTCCTGTACGAGCTTGTGCTAGTATACGACGCTCTGCGGATGAAGAACACGATTCAGATCATCGGATTGTGTATTTGCAATGTTGGCCTCCTGATCTACGGCGCGGTTCAAGTGAAACAAATTCGAGAGGCTGTCACCACCTTGGCCCTGATGGATATGATCAGTCCAGTCGTTTGGGCTCAATCCGAGCCTTTCCTAATCATCATTCCATGCATTGTGGCGTTGGGAACATTATTGATGACTTTCGTCGCCTATAAGCTCTATGACGAGTTTGCATGGACCATTTACAAGCATATTAGTGCTGATCTGCAAATGAAGCGTCGCTACCTCACCTACCAGGTTCGTGTTTCGTTCGACCTCCCCATATACAACGTGACTAACCGGTCGCGAATCAGATCTATATCGCTCTCTTGAAATTCGATTTCTTTTTCTTCCTGGGCTTTACTGTTCAGTTCCTCGTCTTGGTCTCCTCAACTAGCATGGACCTTGAATTTGCGCTTACAGTGGCTGCCATCCCCGTGACCATTCTCATTCTGGTCTGTGGCGCCTGGTTTGTGCGACGAGAAACCATGATTGGCATGATTGTCATCATTGTAAGTCAACAATATCAGCAATATCGATTTAACTTCTAACGATCTCATCAGCTTCTCTTATTCGGCGCAATGGCATATTTCTGTTTCAAGCTGTTCCGAATGTATTCGCCGGCAACTTACTTCAAATACCTACCCGCTCGACCATCGATGACCTTCTTTGCCATCATCACTATCATTTTGATTGTGATCACTATCATCAACGCCTGCCTGTGCGCCCACAACTTCAACCGCGGTTTGAAGCCCCACATCAACAAGAAGAAGAACAAGGAAGCGGAAAAGACAACCGAGCTCTCTTCGAACCTTACCCAAGTACCATCACGAATGATGATCGACTGATCTGGTGCGAAGAAGGGTAATGTCTCTATAGGTACTTTCTCGCGGCGTTAAATTTTGGATCCTCGCTTTTCTCTAATCTGTGAACTTTGTGTCTGTGTGACACCTTGAAATTTAGCCTGATCTCTTTGTGCATTTTGCTTTCTTGCTCCTGGGCTTTCGGCTCAGTGTGATACCTCATCGCTGTCGAATCTGCTCTGCCCACCATCTCCCATTTTCCCTGGCTCTGACCTGTCAAAAAATTCCTGTGATTTTACTTTCCTTGGTTTCCTTTACATGTTCATATCCATACCCCATACCCCCCATACCCCCTGCACGAGTGCACCGACGGCGTTATATGGATGATTTGATTCCCGGAGGTGTTCTCCACGTCTTACGACAGCCATTAATGCTTTTCCCGATGAATGTGAGCTAGCCTTTTTTATTAATTCAATGGACTAGACACCTGGATAGTATTGTAGTAGCTGCTATATTAATACATAGAATTGACTTCAGATTATCATACCTCATGTGGTACTGAAAATTGCAATTCACTGCTATATCTAAATATCTAGCGTCCTGACTTCTCGTAGATTTCAATGTTATATTGAATTCAATCATCTACTCACTAAGGATCTCGTAGAGCCCTGGAGTTGTGCTATTGTAGTAATGTGCGCCGAGTCATCCTGATTGGCGGATCGTCGTGTAATGTAAATACTGGTAATTATCACCGGATTCGCCCCCAACTACCGGGGTTGACAAGTCAAATACGGTATCACCCAAGAAACCGCGATCGTGGCCTCAACTCCGCAAACCTCCCTTTCAGACCCTCTCAAGCTCCTCCTTTCCTTTCTCCTTGAATTGCAATTCCATCTTTCTTTTAATACATTTTTTTTCCCTTTTACACTCTTCCACCCACAATTAATCACAATGGTAAGTTCATCTCCCCGGACCCGGACTCCAAGAACCATCCATAGGACGATCAAGCCAGCTTGCTTCCATCCACCAACGCAACAACCCACTACGAATTCAACCCAGTCTCTCAATCCGCAACTAACACAATGCACCACTAGGCCTCCCCTCGCCCAGCGTCTCCCCTCACCTCAGGCGCCGAGTCCGGCCCTGACTCAAAGTCCGGTGCCGCCGCAGCCACCGGCAACTCCGTTGGCCGTCCCTCCTCTCCCTCGACTCCTGGCGGCCCTCGTGCTGCTATGCGTCGCCGTGCCGCTGCCGACCACAAGGAGACCCTGCGCAATGCCCGCCCTAGCTCCACCCGCTCTGCCGGCGCCGGTGGCTCATCCGGAACCATGCTCAAGCTCTACACCGACGAGAGCCCCGGTCTCCGCGTTGACCCCGTTGTTGTCCTGGTCCTCAGTCTGGGATTCATTTTCTCGGTTGTTGGTCTTCACGGTAAGAACTCCTGGAGATGAGATGGTGTTGTTGAATTCGTTGCTAATTACTTTCTCTGCAGTCATCGCCAAGATCACCCGCAAGTTCTCCGCTTAAGCACCTGATCAGTTTCAATTGCGCAGTTGATATTCCCTGAGATGCTTTGTACTATCTATCTCGGGCGTTGACTGCGCTCTCCCCCGACCTCGAATCTTCTCCTCATACCACCTCACTTATCCACTCCTATACCCCGTGACCCTTGGGCCATTTCTCGTTGGTGGCGCTGGAACCAAATCAACCCTTCCCAAACAACTGGCGTGATTCCGTTTCCGTTTCCGTTTTCATTTTGATGTGTGTAGTGTTTTCATTTGCGCTGCAAAAGAGAGTTACTCAACGACCTATCTGCTGTATAGGTCATGGATAGAACTAATCTATTCGTGTCTCTGTCTTAACTTTCTGTGTTATATCCATTGGCTTGTTTCCTGACGATATTATGCGCTGGAATGTGCTGTGGCTGTGGCAGCTTGGACTGAAACATGGTGGTGTTTGTTCTATCCGGACGTTTGTCTGTACAATATAAAGACTTGACTGAATCTGTTTCCGGCATTTAATTTACTTTGCTAGTACCTTTGTAGACTATCAAGCCTGGATGCTTGAATCTGCGGGTGATCCGGAGCAGTCGTGGAATGGCGAATGAGCTCTCTTCTCCATTCAATGCTGGAGGCAACGCACCTAGAACAACCTAGCACAATCTGTCTGCTTTTTGGGGCTTCGGACATGACTTCCAGATGAACAATTCGTAATTGGACTTATGTATCTGCTTGCTTCCATTCACATCTTCCATGATAATATTTCGTGGGAGCGTTGTCTGCATCATAGGTTCTTCAGGCTTTAACTTGGGATTCGTGGTGTCTTACTACCAGAGCAGATACACAATGCATCGAGAGGACCAAAGGAAATGACCACCTCGAGGCATGGCCAAGAATCTCGCCTTAAGGGAAGTGTGACGATAGATGACATAGACGGCTACATCTTGTCAGATATGCCTGAGCTAGGGTATACTATTGTGAAGAGCAGGAGCAAATCTACACAACTTGTGCTACTTCATAATATACGGTTATATATACGGTCAAATAACAATGGCTGTATCGTTGGGGCGTTGGTGGTAAGACGTAGCATTAACCGGCCGGCAAAATTGGCTGCGCCTCTTCCCCTTATAAAGCATTAAAGCGAACGTAATTTCGCCCGAAGCAAGATTAATTGGATACAACATCGTTTTTAAAATAGGGACAGCATTCATAGCTCCGACAATGAGTGACAATCAGGCAAACAACGACGCCACGGAATACGCGCCTCGCAGCTGCCCCCCAGGCTTCTCTGATCACTCCTTCAAGACCGACAGCGGCGTAGAGCTTGCTGTACGAATCTGGCCCGCTGATCCTCCCGCCAATGAGCCAGCCCCAGTGGTATTCTACACCCACGGCGGCGGCTGGCTTGCAGGAAACCACTTCGCACCGCTCCCATGGATGCAACCTGGCTTTCGCCAGCGAGGCTACCATATAGTATCCCACAATTTCCGTCTTGGTCCACAGGCGAGCTATGATATGCAGTTACAGGATTGCTTGGACGCCGCGAGTTGGTGCCGCGCCAATCTCCCGTTCATACTCGGCACAGACACGGTAGACGTGAACCAGCTGATCCTCTGCGGTGACTCAGGCGGCGCACTCCTCACTGGCCTCATGGGCCACCATCTATCACCACCGCCAAAAGCTGTCATTCTCGTTTATGGAGTAGTCGACCCAGCAGCGGCATGGCCCATCCTAGCGCCTGTTCCCGAGAACGCCAAAGACGCGCCGGCATGGGTTGGCGAGTTCTCTGATGCTGAGCTGGAAGAATTTCTAAAAGACAGAAATGAATCCAACATTTTGACCGATGCGCTATGGGCTGATGAGAATAAAACTGAGTCCGAGCAGGTGCTGAGTGAACGATGGGGAACCGATGTCCGCTTCACCCGTCGCATACGACTCCAGGCGGAGCTTCACCAGTGGCGTTCTGATATAGCTGCGCGTGTCGGTTCTACTGCCAGGTCTGTGCGTCTGGGCTCGCTACATGCTGAGCGCTTTGCGGATGAAGCAGCGCTGGCTGCGTTTCTGCTGTCTATGTCGCCATCTCCGCTTCTTGAGACGAAGACATGGTATCCGCCAACGGCTTTCCTGCATGGCATGGGTGATAGGGCTGCCCCGCTTGCACAAAGCCAGGATATGGCTAGGCGTCTCAAGGAGATGAATGTACCGGTCGTCGAATGCTATGAGCCTAATGAAGATCATGTTTTCGATCATAAGTATACTGTGAGTAGCCCCTGTCGCAGGTATTCTGCTAATACATAGCTAATTAGTGATTTAGAGCCCTGATGTGCCGGGATGGGACACATATATCCAGCCCATTCTGGATTTTTGCAACCAACATATCCGGTAATTGTGGATAATTGGCCCACTCATGCCCCCTAAGGAAGGCGTCTTGATGACTGAATGTCTTGATTGTCACCACTCTACACAGTGTATTAGATCATTCATCAATATAAAGATTTCATATTATATAAATCTATAGAAGCGATTGAGATCGGGCCCAGATATCAAGGTGGATAAATTTCCAGGTTTCGAGCGAATAGGCATTTCTTTCCCGGAAGGTAGAGTATAACCTTTGCCTTTGATACACGGTGCACACAGAAAGGTAACGCCAGCCTTCTTTTGTAGTTTGATACCATCTTATGAGCAGGTGAATAAATGAAGACTCACTATCGGAGAGTCTTCCCATAGCGATATAGATTTCGGGGTTTTCGGCGCGTTCTTTTAGGGTTTTTATCGCCGTTCCAACTAACTGTACCCCATCTGTTAGAATCAGAGACAACTTTTAAAGGTAGTCGATTCTTAGCAGGATATCCTTGTTGTCGTGCATAGGGTGATTCTCTGTTAAGTCATTAAACTCTGCCTCCATCTTCTCACATTGCTGCATTATTAAACGGCGAGTACGGTAGTTCTCGATGACAAAGGTGAGCAAATCTGGGCTTGGCTCGCATAAGGGGTATTGTGGAGAAGGGTGGCAGTCAGAGACAGGCTTCAATTCTTGACTACCAAGTAGTTCGGAGCTTCCAAGTAATCCGGACATTTCTTTGAGATAATGAAACGATTCTCGAACAATGGACTTTAGTATGAGGTAGGAAATAGGAGTATTGAATATAATTTAGGATCGAGGTTTGAAATAGTAGAAAGATATATGTTCTGGGGCATCATTGATACGTATATCTCTCGCCGCGGCCTAGTAAGGAATAGATCTCTACCGACGTAGCTTTGCCCCAAACCTTGGGACTATTCCGAGCCCTTTTCGGCTAACCTTGGAAGGTTTTGTTTAAGCCTTTCAGATTTCATATCGACGCACAGCTTCGAATTTAGCGACGGCGTTCAAGTATACCAGCCCTTTCGAAATGATTGATTATGGTTTTGCTCCACAATGTCGATATTTAGGCTTGTAATAGCACACATCTTGTAGAAATGTCTAATACAAACTCACATTTCAAATGAAGTTAGGTTATACCAGAGGGCGCTCAGAGGAAACTATCAATCCTCAGGAAAGGAAGATCGGAAGACTTTTAGATATACGACATTGTAGGATATGTAGGATTTCTTCCTCATTTTTTTCTACATTATCCCTCTAAGCTAGCAGCAAGTGCGCTTGATTTCAATGGGGATCTAGACACGGTATATACGCGGAAAGAACAGAGATCTTATCCCTTCGAAACAGATCACTCATAAGATAGCCAGGTGCTAGTAATCTCACCCAGCTCCCCATTATTCGGCATCAAAAAAACCCCATTCGAAAGCAAAAAAACACCGCTCTAAGCATTCTATATCCAACTAGTCCTTGGAAAGGAAGTAGTCTGGCTGTATCTGGTCTCCTTGTAAAGCCATCAGCAGCTTGCCCAGGCGGTGCTCAGATGCGGCCCACTGCACTAGAGGCAATTTACTCGCAAAGGAAGTGATATTTGATAGGAATTCGTAAATTTGTTTGAGAAGGATGCTTCAGATCTTTTGCCCATAATGGTTCCAGTATTGTCAGCCTACCGTGTAGACCATGATTACACGTCATTCAGAATAAACATCTCCCACGCCGCTTATCACCATCCGCACTCTCTAGCAAACATCTATATATCGGGCGTGGCGTATGCCTTCACAAGGAAGCAGTCGGTGTTCGAAGTTGGGTTGGTGGTGCATTATATCAAATGACACCGTGGAAACCTGAGCTCTGATTCCGTTTGTGTTCGTATTCGTGTAACTGTGTTGTGTCTGTCAGCTTTATGTAAGTTATATTCGTGAAAGTCCCGCAGCCCGGAAATAATACCAAAATCAAACCAACCCAGATGATACATCGCCCTCAGTAGCTTGAAGCGTGCATGAGTTAGGTGTTGAGCGTGCAGTCTTCAAGGAAGCGGAAGCAATATCGAGATTTGCTGGGTCAACATACTACCAATATCCGGAATGCAACGCCATGTCCCTGAGTCCATACAGCCCCGTACTTGGTACGGCGTGGCCAAGAGGCTTCTTCAGACGGGCTCTTTCCGCTGGGAAAATCAGATGATGGGTCTCAATTATCCCACCAACCGAAGTGCAGCCTTCGCTCCAGCGCGGAGCGAACGATGCTGTAAGTCGCGCAGCTGCTCCGTTAGCTCTGATCATTTTCCTCTATCGACTACAGTAGCCTATGCAACGCATAGTACTCCCACAAGACATGACAGATAGGACGTACTGTTAAAACTTCTCCAAGTCATTACTGGAGCTGCTGGTTACGTTGATGTCTGTGGTAACTGGTCACGATCTCTGAGCAAATGGTGAGTCTCCGCGCGCTATACCCGCCGGCGCTCAGTGACCACGGCGACAAAGTCAGGGATAAGTCGGCGCATTGGTATGCCTGCGTCGTGCGGTCGTTCAGGCTGAGGAGGCGGGCTGAGACTCTCCCAGAAGTTGGCCATGTAATAGATATGGGCGAGTAGCTCGAGGTGCATGTGTTCACAAACACTCGGGATCTATGATGTTAGCAAGTGAGCCCAGCGTGATATCTAGTTGATACTTACCCCGTTGAACTCTAGGTTGTTTATGTTGCTGGTCTCATGGTAGAGGATTGGTGGGCATTGTGGACGCATTGCCCATATTCCATGAGTCTAGGAGCTGTCGGTCGAGGGTTGGTGGGCAAGGTTGTCCGGTTGCCACCTGGGAGCGGCTCGCATTGTAGCCTCCATGGTGCCTGGAGGCAGGTATGTGATGGTTGATCGTAGGCAAGATGTGAGAGAAACCGTAATCATTACTAGTGATGTAGTGACTGACAAAACAAGGGCTAGTGGCCTATCGCAGAAAATGAATTCCCACAATGTGATGGCCCTGAAAGGGTAGTGATATAGAATGAAGCAAGAATCTGGTGGCTAAAATTCCGGTGGATGGATATATAACGTTTTATATCAAATGATATAAATAAGCATGGGGAAGAAGATAGGGATGAAGTTTCATTTTGAGGAATGTTGGGGTTTTATAGGTAGGGATAGCTGCCGACAAAGGAGTGCAAACGGAGATGCAGGAGACTACTTGCGTAGATATAAATAAAGATTATGTATCTATGGAGGCAAACAATTGGTGAAATTGTGGTAACTGCACAACTACCCTCTACGTTACCTTTCTATGATATATTATAGTTCTTCCCCCTCTATACCGCGCCCATTCGTCTGAGATATAGCAGCATGCTCTAGATTCTAGTGGTGATATGGTGGCTTCAATCATTCAAATAGTTGCCGAGAGAAAAAGCAAAAAAAGGGAGACGTCAAATTGCATGGTGACTGAAGAAGCTGGTAGCTATTGAGTATGCTATGGCTCACTCACCAGTGTCATTCTAAGGATTTAGATTTGTTTTTAAGTTGAGAATTAATATGTATACATAGCTTTTCGCTGGTTCTTTTTTTTACACATATTATTTGGAGATATGAATTGTGTTCATAGCTTGACATATATCTGGCGCTCAAGGCGTGAAACAAAAAAACAAATCTTCCAAAAAGAGACAGACATATATATTTCTTTCATAATCCACAGTTCAATAATTAGATAAAGCGTTTATTCACCCGTAGACAGGTTATACAGCCTATAACCATACCGAGATCGGAATATGATAAGGAACTTAATCCAGACCATAAGTTCTCATTGTATAATGTTTTAATAAAGTGTAGATAGTGGATCTCGGAAAATAATAAGAATGAGTAAAAGCTGCCAAGCCTCTCGATCAGCCCTAACCTGGAGCCGGGGAAACCCGATATCCCCATATTCTCGTACGGAGTATAGGAATAAATCCTTTTAGTATTGTGGTTAATATCAAATGTCTGAGAGTTCTAAGGTTTGCTCGTAAATTCTTATCTTGCATAGTCTCCAACCAATCAGAATCATCCAATCACAAGTACCAGAGCTAGCTCCAGGGTAACTGATAACAAGCCGACATCAACCAATGATCGATAACATCTATACCCCTAGTTTAAACCTTCTTCAAAAGACTTTTTGACATCAAGTGCTCCATCGGGACGTTGGCTCTCTAATTCGAGTGGCGTACTCCCGAGGTCAGACGGTCCGTATCCCTGCCTTACGTGCCATGGCATTACGAGAGCATGCTGCCCTTATCTGGCAATCAAAATGCAGAATCCCTATCTAAGCTCAGATCAACCTTGGAAGGATCGTCATGCTGTACCTATTTTGGATGCGAATTCGGAGGGGCCCGCACCATGCTTTTGATGCTGTGCGTCCTGGCCCTATATGAGGTTGCTATCTGCCAGGAACTTGGTACATATTTGCAAGTCAGCATTGGAAAGTTATTCAAGGCGTACTCTTCATATCAATCAGAGGATCCAAGGTCCTGGATTCCTAATTTGGGGTACATTGCCAACGTCTTCCACATTTGTTCCTCTGTTGCCAGCCATAAACCCTGTGGAGTCCCTGATTCTTCACGTCAACGACATGGCGTCCGACGGCGTTATTTTCACAGCGCCTTTGTCCCAGAGTTTTGGATATGGAATTATCCTAGGTCTGGGGTTTGCATTTGCACTACTGATGATTTTTATCACTTGGGCTTTGAAACGGTGCGTCTTTATGCCCTGCATCGAGATCGGTCACATAAGCTGACAAAATGATTCTATACAGCTATCAGAATGAAGTCCAAACGTCTGAGATGTTCTCAACCGCAGGCCGGTCCGTCAAATCAGGACTAGTTGCTGCCGCTGTTGTCAGTAGCTGGACATGGGCTGCAACCCTTCTTCAGTCATCTGCAGTCGCATACAAATACGGTGTCTCTGGACCATTTTTCTACGCATCAGGTTAGTTCCCGCTGTATAAGTATGACAAAAACGCTCTATATCTAACAATTTGTGTATCTGTAGGCGCCACTGTCCAGATTCTCCTATTCGCAACACTAGCTATCGAGCTCAAACGCCGTGCGCCGAACGCACACACTTTCTTGGAAGTCGTCCGCGCTCGATATGGAACCCTTGTACACATCGTCTTCATAGTCTTTTGCTTGATGACCAACATTCTGGTTACAGCGATGCTGCTCACCGGTGGATCAGCCGTGATGACATCTTTGACTGGAGTTCCTACTGCGGCAGCCTGCTTCCTGCTCCCGATTGGTGTGGTGCTATATACTCTCTTCGGTGGCATCAAGGCTACTTTTATTACGGATTACTTGCACACCGTGGTTATTCTGGTAGTCATCTTCCTCTTCGCCTTCTCTGCTTATGCCACAAACGCCGAGCTAGGATCGCCATCAAAGGTGTACGATGCGCTAGTTGCCGCATCCCAGCGTCACCCTGTTGAGGGTAATGCCGAGGGCAGCTACTTAACTATGCGCTCTAAGGAGGGTGGTATCTTCTGGATAATCAACCTAGTTGGAAACTTCGGCACCGTCTTCTTGGACAATGGTTATTACAACAAGGCTATCGCCGCTAGCCCTGTCCATGCATTCCCAGGATACGTGATTGGTGGCATCTGCTGGTTCGCAATTCCCTGGCTATGCGCAAGCACAATGGGCCTCGCAGCGCTGGCACTAGAAGGCTCGCAGCGCCTGAGCTCCAACGACGTGTCTGCCGGACTAGTACTCCCCTTCGCAGCTGTCAAGCTGCTCGGCTATAGTGGTGCAGTCGCCACAACACTGATGATCTTCATGGCTGTGACATCCGCATTCTCTGCGCAGCTGATCGCCGTCTCTTCGATCTTCACCTACGATATCTACGCCGCCTACATTGACCCAAGCGCAAAGGGCAAGAGACTTGTCTGGATTTCGCACATGTCCTGTATCGTCTACTCAATCGTCATGGCGGCCTTTGCGACGGGTCTCTACTACGCCGGTATCGGTATGGGATATCTCTACCTGCTAATGGGCGTTATCATCTCTTCCGCCGTCTTCCCTGGTGCCATGACCCTGCTCTGGAAGGGCCAGAACAAGATCGCAGCAGCCTTATCACCACCCCTCGGCCTGGCAGTCTCCCTCATTGCCTGGCTAGTGACAGCCAAGAAGCAATACGGAGTCCTAACCGTTGACACCACTGGCGCTAAGTAATAATCCCCCTCCCAACATCTATACTACAAACCCAAACTAACAAATCCCTCCAGCTACCCCATGCTTGCTGGAAATGTCGCCGCCCTCCTCAGCCCATTAATCTTCGTCCCACTCCTCACCTACACCTTTGGCTCACAAAACTATGACTACGGATCAATGCGCGCAATCCGCAAAGTCGACGACACAGAAGTCGCCGCTGCCGCCCACGTCGATCTCGAACTAGTCCCAGGCGAGGCTGGTCCCACGCAAGCCGAGAGCGAAGAAGAAACACGCCAACTCAACCGCTCAGCATTATACGCGCGCACGCTGACAGTCTTTATGGCATTTGCTTTCCTTATCCTCTGGCCGATCCCGATGTATGGGACGTCATATGTGTTCAGCAAGAAGTTCTTCACGGGCTGGGTTGTTGTCGGAATTATCTGGTTGTTCTTTACTCTGTTTGGTGTTGTGGTGTTCCCACTGTACGAGGGACGGGCGAGTATTGCTCGTGTCGTGCGGATGATGTCGCTTGATCTTGTGGGGAAGAAGCCTAAGGTTTACCGCGGCACGAGGGATGGTGGTGATGATACGGCTACTCCTTCTGGGGTTGCGACGCCGACGGAGATGCTTGGAGAGAAGGATAAGCTGGGCTCGGAGAAGGAGATCTGAGGATCTTGCTGGTGATACCTTTGGAGCTTTTCTTTGCGCCTTGATATTGGTTTTAATCTTTGCGACTATTTATACCCCTACTGTTACCCAATTTATTGAATTTGGAATCCATGTCACGTCATGCACTATATATATCGGAGCCTGGAATATCTGAGCATAATGCTCAGATATAGTGGTCTTTTTGGCCTAGTGTGTAACTCGCCAGTCCAGGGGCAGGTTGTAACAATCCATCTACTTTATCATCATACGTCTTTTTACAGGTGCCTTCCATTTTGAGCTCGTCGCCCTGGTTTCCCTCGTGGCCTTCACTTGAGGAACCATTTGGACCTTCTTAGCTTCATTGTCATGAAAACAGACTGTTCTTCGTTGGGCGCTCCATTGACCATAGGGAGGGAGATCGAGGCCTGTCCGTTTGTTACTGTAGGACCTGCTTGATTGATTCTTCTCTTCATATTTTATATTCGGGAACGAAGTATGCCAGGCTGATTAAATCAAAAGTTCGAGATTCGATAGCAAAGAAAAACAAAAATAAAGTCACTCAACGCCAAAGGGTAAACCCACGATATTAAGCTAGAACAGGCATCCCCTGCCAAACCCTCTTTCTGCCTCGCATTACCGGGATAATTGATGCGTCTTCATGCTAGTAGAGTTTGACCATCTTTGGAAACTCATTTGTATCCAAGCCCACCCTGCGCTTGAGGCGGAGGCTGCAGAGGGGGCTGCTGCTGCCAACCTCCCTGGGCCCCGGGAGGGGGCTGGATGCCATATTGCATGCCTGCCGGAGGTCGTGTGTCAGGCGTGATATCAGGCCGGTCACTGATGCAATAGTATTAGTATATCATAACAAGCTGATAAAATTTCACCGTTGGATAGAGCCTACCGTAGGTCTTGGGTGAAACGGCATGTGTAACATTGGACCTCCTATATATTACGTTAGTAACAAGTCAAGACATAATCAATAGAAGAGTATTTACCTTGTACTTGTGCATAGCAAGGGGAATCAATGGCTGTAACGAGGTGAAAGTTAGATATCTTGGGCTGTTTCTCAAGACGATGTTCATGCGAGCATGAACTTACAATGAAGCAGACTGTGAAAAACGGCCTGCAAAAAGTATTAGTCAAGTTCAAACTACTCTTATTGGGTACCCGAAGGAGAAACATACCATCGGGTGATACAGTGACCATTCCAATGTTGGCCTAATGTGGAGGATCAATAAACTATCCCAATAGACCACTGACGTCAGAACTTACAGTTGTAACAGTATGCGCGAACATGCTCATATCCCTCGAGCTGAGATGAGAACTCTGCATTTATGGTCAGTATCTCATTCAATACGACTGGGTATATCCGCAGCGTCACGGATACCCGTCGATATGACTTCAGGGACAGGGTCCACTCTGGTTCTGGATCGTGGGTCAAACCAAGATGACTTACCATGGGTTCCGAACGTGATACAGAAAGCCATAATGAAGGCAAGATGTAGAAAAGTTGATATAAAACTACTGAAGAGCACCAACTGAGTGCTGAGCGCTATTTGAAGAACTGAAAGTCGATCAAAGACGAAGGCAGCTGCATTGGGGGTGTGGCGCTGTGGCTTGGCGCCGTCTTGGCAAGGAGCACGTGATGTTCAATATGGTGTCGTGTGATTGGTCAAGTGGTTGATCGATCCCCTGTATAAAAGCACATGTGACTATCGATTCCAGCAGGAACCCGTAAAGTATTAGCGATCATATATGCACCATTAGCATAGTATACGGTGTATCTGCGGAGGGCCTAAACTCGGGGAACTATATTTCTGGTCGCTTTACGTGTTTTGGGTGGACGCGCTTAATCAATAATGGCTGTTCAATATGAGATAACAGCCTAGACCAAATATTACTTGAAGACAAAAGAGTCGCTTGAAAACGCATTTCTCCGGATATCACTTCCCCATCGGCGCACACGTTGAGCCTAGACATATCAATCGCATCGCATTTACTGGGTCTTGAAGAGCAGAATTGCGCAGTGGCCGAGGTAGAAGTAGATGAAGTGCTTGGTCTCTGTTGAACATTGCATTAGTGTCTTGTTATTAACATAAGAATTATATAGAATTGACAAACCATGGGTGACAAAGCTTCCAAAGTTACGGCCAACCACGCAGTGCCAGGAAGCGCCCTTGCGCGAGTCGAACTGATGTATGGGATTAGAAATGCGATCGAGGCGGGGTGGAATTGGCGAACCTCTTTTTTGATATACTGGGCGATGTCCTATAAATGGTTATTATCGTATTCGGATTTCCGAGTAGTTGAGGGGGCGCATGCCTTTTCCACTCTGAACTTCTCCATCGCTTCAATGGCTGAGGGGTAGGTTAGCTTTGGTTACCTAGGGCGCTGTTGATGTTCCATACCAAGGGCAATAGCCTCCTGTTGCATATCCTCGGTCTAGAAAGTGAGTCAGGATCAAGTGGCCATGGTTGTTACGCATGGGTGTCCTTACCATATCCACAGACTTAATCTGCGCTACAAGAATCATTTAGCAATTAGTCAGTTGGACTCAGAGGGGACAGACTTACCCTCCATGGGCTCCTTCTTCTCAGCTGGGGGAAGTGCCATTGTTAGTAATTAATGTATCAAAGGAAGTTTGAAGGGGATCCGGTGTAGCAATAAAAAAAAAGACGGGGTAGGGTAACTCCGCCGATAACATGAAGCCAGGGTCACTTTATTGCCGGTAGAGCAACCTCACCGCCAACCAGACCGCCCGCGGCACTATGAAAGCAGAGAAAAAAGTTTTTTTCATAGAAACTTCGAGTCTTCACACTCCTCACAACAAAATCCCAAAATGGAGAGCACCAGAGTGTTCGTGGGTGGTCTCCCACCCACATGCTCCAATGACCAGCTTAAGAAACATTTTGCAACTCGCTTTCAAGTCACAGATGCTCATGTCCTACCCAAACGTAGGATGGGGTTCGTCGGCTTCAAGAGCCATGAAGCAGCCTTGCAAGCTGTGAAGCACTTCAACAAGACATACATGAAGATGTCAAAGATCGCTGTAGACATCGCTCGTCCGGTATGTCAATTCTCTGCTCTCTTGCTTCAGCCACTCTCCTTTCGCCTGTGCACGCTGACCAATTAAGGTGGTCTTGAGACTGACCCGTATTATTACAGATTGATTCAAATGACGCTGAAGATGCTCACCCCACACGAAGACGTGATACCACGAATGTTAATGATGCATCGTCGGATAACAACCTCAAGCGCAAGAGGGACGGACAGGACAAATCAGACCCTAAGCTACAAGAGTACCTTTCTCTTATGGGATCGTCATCAAAAACTCGGACATGGGCCAATGATGATGAAATGATTAAGCCGTCTGTGGACACTGTTCCCGTTATTAACCAATCTGCGCAGGAAGAGGAAGAAGAGTTGCAGGAGTTGCCTTCGCGCTCGAAAAAGCCGAAGACAGAAAAACCTACAGCAGTACCAGAGCCGGAGCAGCCGGAGCCCATGGTCGTTGACAGGAGTGAGGAAGAGGTGGCCCAAGAAACATTAGAACAGGATAAACCTGCGGAGCCTGAAGTGGAGACTGCACCTGTGTCTGATGCAGATTGGCTACGCTCAAAGACGAGTCGTCTGTTGGGCCTTTTGGATGAGGAAGAGCAAGAGGAGTTTGATCAGCACAAGGCCACTGCACCCCCTACTGCACCAACCAGAGCTGCCTCACCACCTTCCTCGTCTGGCGATGAGCCGCCGCAGCGTGACGAGGAATCGCGCACTGCGGCTATTGAGAAAATTGCGCCCAACACGACTGACGTTGACAGCATCACCGAGGCAACGCCGGTAGATCCGAATATTGATCTTATTCGGAACTCTGCTCGGTTGTTCCTTAGAAATCTTGCATACGACACAACAGAATCGGATCTACAGCCGATTTTTGAACGTTTCGGAAAGATTGAAGAGGTTAGTGCTTTTGTTTTGTTTCTCCTTTTTTCCAACTTGCCCCACCTTCCCTCGTCGGCTAGCTGGCTTTTAGCCTCCTTGCCACGAGTGCTCATATGATGACTTTCCCGATAGGGACATCCGATGCAAATTGCAAATGATGTTATCAGGACAAGATATTTTAGTAGATGCTTCTTGACTATCTGAACGAGCCAACCCAACCCACTTTTGCACATTCACACATTATATTCAATGACCTTGAGTACTAATTGGATATAGATTCATGTCGCTTTTGATACCCGCTCCACAACCAGCAAAGGCTTTGCTTATGTGCAATACGCCGATGCTGATGCGGCTATTGATGCCTACCAGACCCTCGATGGAAAGCATTTCCAGGGTCGTCTGCTCCATATCTTGCCTGCTTCTGCGAAGAAGACCTACAAAATTGATGAGTATGAATTGTCAAAGCTTCCTCTTAAAAAGCAAAGGGAGATCAAGCGGAAACAAAACGCCGGTGGATCTTCATTCAGCTGGAACTCCCTATACATGAATGTGAGTTTACTATTTACCACACATCGAAACATCGAGACTAATTTTGATGCAGGCCGATGCAGTGATGTCATCAGTGGCTGGAAGACTCGGAGTTTCCAAATCAGAATTGCTTGATCCCACCTCTTCAGATGCCGCCGTGAAGCAAGCACATGCTGAAACGCATGTGATTCAAGAAACGAAAGCCTACTTTGCCTCAAACGGGGTAAATATTGATGCTTTCAAGCAGCGTGAACGTGGTAATACGGCTATTTTGGTTAAGAACTTCTCATACGGTGTCACATCGGCTGAGCTCAGGAGTCTGTTCGACCCATATGGCAAGATAATCCGACTCTTGATGCCACCGAGTGGCACCATTGCTATCGTGGAGTTTGCGCAACCAGACGAAGCCCAAAAGGCTTTCAAGGGCATGGCTTACCGCAAGTTGGGTGATTCCATCTTGTTCCTGGAGAAAGCACCGAAGAATTTGTTCGATGGTTCAGCAGCTCCACGCACACTTGCTCCCGAGACTCGGGGCAAGGATCAAGGATTCTCAACTGCAGACACGTTTGCCGCAGATGAGCCTGATGACAGCGTAGCAACCACGACACTTTTCGTAAAGAACCTCAACTTCTCAACCACCAATGAGAAGTTCCTGGAAGTGTTCCGATCTCTGGATGGATTTATCACCGGTCGGATTAAGACCAAGCCCGATCCCAAGCGACCAGGACAGACCCTCAGCATGGGATTCGGCTTTGCGGATTTCAAAACCAAAGCTCAAGCCCAGGCTGCTATGTCTGCTATGAACGGTTACAAGTTGGATCAGCACGAGCTTCTCATTCGTGCATCCCACAAGGGCAAGGACGCCGCAGAGGAGCGAAGACGCGAAGATACTGCCAAGAAGGTTGCGGCGCGCAGAACGAAAATCATTATCAAGAACTTGCCGTTCCAGGCCACAAAGAAGGACATCCGATCCCTATTCGGGGCTTATGGACAACTTCGGTCTGTGCGTGTTCCTCAGAAGTTCGATCACACTGCTCGTGGTTTCGGTTTTGCAGACTTTGTAAGCGCTCGCGAAGCGGAAAATGCCATGGACGCGTTGAAAAACACGCATCTCCTGGGGAGACGATTGGTTTTGGAGTTCGTGAACGAGGAGGCCGTCGATCCCGAGGAGGAGCTCGCCCGCTTAGAGAAGAAAGTAGGAGAGCAGATGGACAGGGTCAAACTTCAACAGCTTACTTCTGGCGCCGGGCGCAAGAAATTCACTGTAGGAGGGCAGGAGGAAGAGTAAAGCCCTCGTCCCTTCTCCCTACAAGGACACGGCCATGGATTGGCTTGTTAACACCCCTTGCAGGGAAAAAGTGGATTAATGTACCATGTACGATTACTTGCATACTACCATAGCTACATTATGGCAATAAAAAGATACCCCGAATTATTCTGAACACGTTCTTTGCGGCTGTCAATTACCCTGCAGTCCCGTCCTCGTGCACGTCTCGTGCCCTCTTGATCCAGGCGTAACTGTAACCCTACTTTACCTTACTGTGTGCAACACCTTTCTTTCTTCCCCACAACTTCAGCTAAACTGTTCCTTGGATCGCAGGGTCATTTTACTTAATTTAGTTTGCTCTTCTGATGGTACGCAGGATTATCAACAGAGATCAGCCAAGCCTGCATTCCGGTGGTGTTTCCTGGCCCTGACCTGGCCTGATCAAGCATTCCAGGTCCCGTGTAAGAAGGCAATGTTGTTGGACAATTAACATTCCTAGGACGCCATGATTGCCACTGATTGTTGTGGTTTTTTGTTGACGCTGGTCCAAGCGATGGGCGTTCAAGGTCACTTCGTACTGCACAAAATCTCCGACCACTCATCACTGGATCGTGCTGCTGAGCATCCCTTGCTTCCTGGTCCAACTTCCTTCACATATCGAGCCCTTTCTTGACTCCTGATTTGCTGCGGCAAGGTCGGCTTGCCGTTGTCCTTTGGCCCTCTGCTCTCCACACGACGATTGGACGTGCGCAGGCCAGAACCAGGACTTACCCAGGAGTATGGACAAGGCGTTCGAGGGACCGTAGGCCAGGCAAAGCAGACCTGCCGGAACTATGTTGCTACTGGGGCTACAGAACCCCTCTCCAAAGGGGAGTTATGGTTCCCTATAAACACCATCTTGCTCGCTCTCACATTCTCTTTCCCAGGTTCTTACATTCTCTTGACTTCTTGCGTTCTTTGTGTCGTTGTTTGTGACTGAGCTGCGTTCTTTGCCAGACAGTAAGCATTTGACGGTGCCTCTCAGTCCACTCCTCATCGGAATCTGTCATTCTTTTCGAGAAGCCCGTCCTTGGTACCCTCCCATGGCTACTGACTGGCAACCCGAGTGCCTGGTCACTCAGAACCAGTCATCACTGGATACTGTTGGGGCTCATTCTGATCGAGCTCTGCAGAATACCACTGGGAATGTCCAGTCTTATTCAGATCATTTAGCTCATGCTGATATCGCTGCCCGTGAGGATCAACTCCATCAGCTTGGCTTCAAGTATCCTCATCCTCCTCACCCTTCTCAGACCTTGTCGGCCTCGGGCTTGCATCAGCAGCATGTAGCCGCTCGGCTTCATCAACGCAAGCTTCGCAGACTCCACTCAGTTGGGCCCAATTCTCAATCTCGCCGGGCACGGAGTAGCTACCTCAAGTCCCAGAAGTACTTGGAATACCGCGCTCGTCCTCGTCGTGATACTGGCAAGGACGGAGAGCCGGTGTGGTCTGATGAGTTGGAGGATGCCTTCCAGCAGGGTAAGTTGATGTCACCATAGTGATGCATTGACTAGAAGCTAACAACCGATTCCAGCCCTCGAAGCGAACCCTCCCATGGGTCGGAGAAAGTGGTCCGAACGAGGCAAATCGTATGGCCGCAACGAGTTGATTGCTGAGTACATCTTCAAATTGACCGGCAAACGGAGGACTCGCAAGCAGGTGTCAAGCCATCTGCAGGTCCTCGACTCTTTCCTGAAGGGTGATCCCGATTGTGAGTTGTCAAATATGAAGGATGTTTCTTCGTTTTACTAATATAGTATTCTAGGGGAGCGACTCGTCCGCGAGGCATCACCGGAACGATCATCGAGTGTGCATGGCTCAGCGCCCGCTCCCAAATGGAGAACGGCATCGGAGCACCTTTCGGCATCCAGCCACTACGGCAGCCACACACAGCCCTCATACCATGACCACATGAGATCCATGCAGCCATATGCTGGAGATCTCCCACCACCACACTATACCCTTGGCTCCAATATGCAGGAGACTGCTGCGAGCACCATTCATGGCTTTAGCTTCGACATGTGGGTCAGCGCTCCTCAGCAGGCCAATCGCATTGACAAGGCATTGCATGCATACACTCGTCTGCAGGGTGATCTGCATCATCCCGTTCAGCCGCCCATGCCTCTTGAGCATGTGAATGGGTGGCGGTCTTCTTTCCCTCACCTGGCTTCCATGGTGGATGACGTGAACAACCCCTTGGACTGCGATATCATCTTGTTAGAAGTGAACCTTCAGCTCATGACCGACTTCCCCCCGGCGGGATCACGGCTGGGAATTCAGCTTGACCTTGACTACGGCCACCCTACTGCTGGCGATGTGTTGGGAGTCAGCCAGATGGACAACTGGACCTGCAGCACACACGTCTATGAAGACAGCCAGAAGCTCCTAGAGACTTACCACGACCTACCCAAAACCCAGTCAACCAAGGTCAAGCCTCTCTTCGAATCATCGTGGTGGGCTAAGTTGTTCACTCAGTTGACTCAAGAGAAGCGTATGGCTGAGGACTCGGGAAACCCCCAAGCTGCTCGTGACGCTGACGAGCATACCCGTCACTTCTTCCGCTCCTTGTCTGCAGTGCAGGAGCTCCGTGCCACCTTGCCCAGCTCTCGCCGGCTTTCTAATCAGTACCAGGGCCATCACGGCGATGAGAGCAAGCGCATGGCCGTTCTAGCTTGGAAGTTCCGACAAACCCGACCCGGCGAAGTTGGCACAACTACTTGGAGACGGCTAATTCCGGCGCCGGACCGGACTACTACCAATAGCCCGCGCCCAACCTCGGGGGTTGATCTTCCTCCCCTCTCTCTGGATTCCATCCTACTTAGCAAGCCATCCCACCCCCAGGGTGTCTACCAGGCTCCTCAGCCCCATGACCTCATCCACCACCCGAGCCAACCACACTCACAATGGCCCATGTACCAAACATCTCACGACAATGTGAATCTCTTTAACCCCTCCAACCACCTGGACTTCATGGCATCCATTAGCAAAGCCGAAGATGGACTCAGCGACAAAACCGCCGTCACCTCCGTGCTGGACTCCTTCTCCACCAGCCTCGCATCCGAGAGCATCCCATCCACAAGTATCCACGGCTCCAGCGGCGCACCAGTAATGCTCAACGTGCACGACATGCCTCTCTCCCACTCAGGAATAGGCTACACAATGGGTCACGAAGCATCCCACTATGTGCCATCTCAGCAACACAGCGTGAACCTACACGACAGCAATAGTGTGCTACACGGCTTCTTTGGCTCGAATACGCAGCCGCTTGACGATCTCGGTCACGGCCAGGCCTCATGGGGTGCGCACTCCACATCCATTCCCGGAGACGTCTCCGGTAACTACCACATTCCTTACCAAGGGGAGCACCATGGACCTGTATCGCGCGAGTCGCAACAGCCACACCATTTCGACGGTCTCTTGCCGTCGGAGGACCTAATGGATAAGATCGTGGGGCGCATGTCTAATGGTCCCAGCATGCATGGGGCGGGCCCTGATGCGAGCGCGGGCTACGACAACGCCACCGTGGATGCGGTATAACGATATTTTTGGATTCAAAAATAATAAGTAATGATAATCATTCTGGGAGTGGTCTCTTGTTCTTTTTTTGTGATTTTCTTTATTTTATTTAATTTTTTTCCTATTTTTTGTGATACATCGGGGATATCAAGGAACTGGAGTTGGGATATGTCTTGGGCGTTAGAAAAACATTTATTATTTGACTATTATTGGAGTATTTGACTGGAACCACAATAATAATAGGAATATACACCAATCATACCTATTTGGTTATTATTCTCTATAATATTTCTCCTCGGCTAAACTCCCCCTAAATCAACCACTTTAGCCGCAAAACAACTTCGCCGGTGGGGCAATTCTGGGGATTTTTAGCAAAGAAAGACCAAACGGAGGCCAAAAGGAAGATCAATTGAAGGAGATTCAACTAATTTAGCCTGGACCTTAATATTCCGTGCCTTGATTAGAGATATTTTAAATCATACACCCGCGGGGTCCCTTATATACCCCTCCATGCCCCCAATTTCTTATCTTTTCTCTTTAGATTTATTTCCTTTAAAAGACATTCACAATGGTTGCCCCTACTGTCAAGCTTAACAGCGGATTTGAGATGCCCCTTGTGGGCTTCGGCCTCTGGAAGGTCAACAACGACACTTGTGCCGATCAGGTCTACAACGCCATTAAGGCTGGTTACCGTCTCTTCGACGGCGCCTGCGGTACATACACACCTCCATAAATCAAGCCATAATTGACACTAACACCATTAATCAGACTACGGTAACGAAGTCGAAGCCGGCCAGGGTGTTGCCCGTGCCATTAAGGATGGTCTCGTCAAGCGCGAGGAACTCTTCATTGTCTCCAAGCTCTGGAACAGCTTCCACGAGGCCGACAAGGTCGAGCCCATTGCCCGCAAGCAGCTCGCTGACTGGGGTGTCGACTACTTCGATCTGTACATCGTGCACTTCCCCATTGCCCTGAAGTACCTCGACCCCTCCGTGCGCTACCCTCCCAGCTGGACCACCGCTGAGGGCAAGATCGAGCTCGCCAACGCACCTATTCACGAGACCTGGGGTGCTATGGAGACCCTCGTTGACAAGAAGCTGGCTCGCAGCATCGGTGTCAGCAACTTCAGCGCCCAGCTGTTGATGGATCTGCTCCGCTACGCCCGCGTCCGCCCCGCCACCCTCCAGATCGAGCACCACCCCTACCTCACCCAGACCCGTCTCGTCGACTACGCTCAGGAGCAGGGCATTACTGTTACTGCTTACTCTTCCTTCGGTCCTCTCAGCTTCCTCGAGCTTGATCTCAAGCACGCTAAGGATACCCCGTTGCTCTTCGAGCATGCCACTATTACCAGCATTGCTGAGAAGCACAACCGCACTCCTGCCCAGGTCCTGCTCCGCTGGTCTACTCAGCGCAACATCGCTGTTATCCCTAAGAGCAACAACCCTACTCGTCTTGCTCAGAACTTGACTGTCACTGATTTCGACCTTGAGGCCAGTGAGCTTGAGGCTATCAGTGCTTTGGACAAGGGTCTTCGTTTCAACGACCCCATCGCTGTAAGTTTGGTTCCTGCAAAGTATTGACTATTAATATTGACTTGTTTTTCCTTTAGTACGGCCTTGGAATCCCCATCTTCTAAGCGTGTCCTGATGGAAGACGGAGGTGATCCCGTCGGAGAAGGTCTCCGCGATATTATGATTTTTACGCCTTGGATAAATTAAATAAAAACATACCAATTTCAACTTTTTTTTTTAAGAAATAATCTTCACATCCAATTTAGCCAGAGTAGCATGCAGTTTGTAGATAGCCAATTCCGCCAAGAAGTGCCGATCTCGACGATCCGCCATTTTTCTCCAACCTCCAATGTCTCCGTCAACTTCCCAATAACAACCTCAACAAATTTCACAATGGTGTCCCCTACTCTAGCGCGCATGACTGCGCAGGTTCATATTACCGGATATCCCATGCCAAAGAACCTATCCGAAAGCAGACAGCTACTACACGCTCTCCAGAAATTCGGAGAAGTATTAACATACCGCAACCTCAAGGTACAGAGTCCTCTCCTACCATTCAGACAAGCCCTGATCTAATAATTCCCTCAGTACGACACGACCAATACCTCGCCAAACCCCAACCGCCCCATCGTCGCGATTTTCGAAACAACCGACGCAGCAGACCGTGCGATAGCGGCGTCACCCATAACCATTCCCCTACCGACATCCACCTCTACCTCCACCTCTAAATCTCACCCTTCACCCTCTATTCCTCTCACGTCGACTACCAATCAAACTCCTACACCCCGCTCACTGACCCTCGAAATCCAACCCTCGCGTCACAACCACGCCTCCGCGCTCAAACGAAGCCCCTTCTACTCCACCTACAACCTCTTCAAAAATAACCCCGTCTACGAAGATCTAATCAGCGACGAGACGGGTATCCCACTCAAGGAACTCGCTGATACCCTCTCGAGCAAGAAATATCCAATCGGCGCTGGCGTCAAGTCTAATATCCAGGAGGAAAATCGGCGCATGGGCGCGACGAGTTTGGTGAATATGTGGAAGGAGGGGATGGGCATTGATACTGAGAATAAGAATGAAGGACAGGATTCTGGTGACAATGGATCTGTGATTGAACAGGTCGGTACTGGTATTAGGGAGCCTGGGGAGGGATTGGAGGATGAGAAGAAGAACTCGGTGGCCTGAGCCGGAGACTAGTTTTGGCCTTTCTTGTTGCCTAGGTGGTAACTGGAGAGGGAAGAAACTTTTTCTCATTCTGTGCTGCTGAAGTCGGATCATCAACTTCAGCCAAAGACACCCTCCCCTTTCATGGGAAGTTGCATTGCCTGTGCGCTGAAGGCGCAGATGGAATCCCCCCCATGGCGTCAAGATCTACAGCTGCGGTTTGCTTTGGCGATTCGCAGTCAGAATCTGTCTGCTCGGGAAGCTCGTTCCTCGATCTGACTTGTTCGCCATGACCATCCCAAGCTTCCTTGGTTCATGAAATCTGCATGGTCAACGCGGATGATTTTGCTGGGTAGACTATGCCAACGAACATGGCCCTAGTGGACGAAGCAATTGACTTGTCCAATCACTAGCAAACTCCCGAGTGACCGCAAAGCTAAAGAGAGTCTACGAATACATAGGCTAGCCGATACATGATAGTGAGCTACATGTATTCAGTTCCATCTTATACAAAATGAGAAGGCTATTTCCCCTCTTCTCCCAATGGTCCTTCACTTTCGGCTTAGTCTTTTAGGCAGGTGACTTTATCACTTTCTATGTGTTGTTTTTTTCCATTGGCCTCCCAGTCCTTCCCATATTCTCGCACTGATTTCCCTGCATTCCCACCACCGAACCACTTCTTTCACCCAGGTTTCATTTCTCAGAAAGGTAGTATTGTGTTTTTCAAAACTTGCATAGATAATCACATCCCAGGTTATATCGATCTGGGTGCGACCCATATCTTCGGTGACGCGGTCCTCGCCCGCTCACATCACAGCCCGTTCACATCCCAACCTTGCGATACCGAGCGAGAGCCCCTCATCTAGAAACAGACTAACAGGCCAGAGAGACCGTTTTGGCAGGGTTCCGCTCGGACCTAATGAGGCAAGGGGCTCGCTCCAGGGAATCCAGCACAGTAGATGTTGCACAAATCTTTGTTTTCCCGAGCTGGGTGAATATAATAGTACGCTGGCGACGGAGTAGTGTTGGGTCGTTGAAGCACGCAGTGTAAGATATTATTATTACCGAGTTGAGGACGAGCGTAGCTGTAATTAGAATCACGGTAAGGAATTGGGTCCGATGACAGTCAAGTAGAGAGGGGTATTTGCTCGCGATATCTCGGATGGGAGAAGTAAAGGCCCTATCATTCCGTTTGTATGTTATCCTTGAACATGTGGATAGGTGAAGAAGTGAGAGATCTCTGGAATTTAATCTATGGAAGGTAGGGTATTTATACCCTGATGGCAAATAACAAACTGTTCAGTCTGCCAGCAAACAAGAAGATATGAGAGCGCAAAGCACAACGAGGGTCTTTGCTGTTATGAACGAGATGCAGTGGTATTCCAGGTATTGTTGATAGGGTAGCCTTGAGCTTCGTCAACTTGCATGTTGACGCCTCTAGGCTTCTTCCATGCAGTAATTAACTCAGGATTGTTAGAATCGGAACGCATACGTGGCGCGATGTGTAGATGAGCCGTTCCTCCGCAACGGCTTTGCACGTAGAGCTTTCCATGCACAGGCAGCGGGCAGTGATCGGTATTGGCTTCAAGCTTCTGGTGAATGATGGTCTCCCAGGTCTCAGATAGGACTGTCTTGGGTCACTTAGCATAGGGGCGTCCGACATCTGGGTGGTATTTTGAGTAGCAGCGGCATCCACAATTGGTGCGCCGGAGCTGGTATCATTCAAAAGTCGGCATGCAAGGTCTCCTCTCTCGCGGATGGTGAGGTCTCGATGAGAAATCGCTTCATCAAGTTCCTGTCGCACAAGGGTCTTGCGGCTATGACACGATGGTATTAGACTTAGCGACAGGGAAGTTACTACTGGAACTCTAGCGTGACTGATGAGTGCAGATGTGAGAATGCTTGCCTCCTATAGTCCCCTTTGGAAGCCGATTTTGCGTGATTGCCTTTGAGTTGCGGAAAACATCGACGGATGATGGGGAGCGCTTCAGTCTCCCAATTTGTGCTGCTTTGCCAAGAGCAATACAGACCGAGCTTGCAGATAATAAAGACATGAAAGGAAATAAAGAGAGAGAAGAACTGCCCGCCATCTGAGAGGCCTGGAGGTCTCGAGAAGGATGACAAGCGGAGAAGCGCTCAAGGAGACACATGCCTTCGTCACCGCGGTCGACCTCGCCGATAGCGTCTTGAAAGATCTTGGTAACATTGTGTCAGACGTTGATCACCGTGCCATTCCAGTGGTGGGCATTATCCTCATTATAGAAGATGTCGAGAAAGCGTGTCGCATTTTATTTTAGCTTTGCAGTTTGCACAATTTACGACAAGGCATATATGGCCCTGTCGTGAGCCGTTAGGACCATATTGGTACCCGGCTACTCGGTGCCACTACCATGGTAGTACGCAAGTCCTTGGTTTTGGCATTCGTCTTGTTGAGAGCAGCCACCTAGGCGTAAATAGGTCGAAGAAGCCAGCGGTTATAGACGGTAGAGACCTCGGGAGACACCCAAGGACCGTGCCCTCGAAGCTTCCCGGCTGAATATATGACGAACTTCTCGTGTCGTGGTAGGTGCGGCCTCAGATCCTCCCAGCGTAAGTCTGCTAAATGTAGGTTCTTCACATCGCTTTGAGATCCTCATGGCAAGCCGGCCAGAATGAGCGTACATAGTATAACCGAGAGAAAAGTCGAAAAACATGTGGATGAGCCCAAGGAGAGCCAGTACCGCAGGACCCCGGCTCTTAGAGGCCCATCGATGTCATCGGCGGATGTCAGTTGATATAACTTTTCAGTATAGTGCGAAGGCTATATTTCAATATAAGAAAATAGTCAAGATTTCAAGGTATATAGCTAGAGGTTGCGAATATAAAGTTGCCGATGGAAATAGATGAGCATGACACTGGGAAGGGAAGGTGCAGTTATACATTGATACCTGATTTCTCAGCGTATAACTGGAAGGGCAAACAAAGAAGCACTCAAGTTTCTCCAAATTTGACTGAAACAAGTGGCGCCTATTAGATATCGCTAGCGTGAAATAAACTATGGGCCTTCACACGTGAATGACTTCCCCGAGATCTGGAACTATTGAAGATTCAAACAAAGGAGATCATACGGCCAGAAGCAGGAGAGGTGGCAGTGCTGGGTCTTGGCAGAAAGTGAAATTAATATATTAATAGGAACGCCAAGACCAAATTTGACGCCGTGTGACATTCCGCGCAGCGGAAAAGACTTGGCATATTACCCCCTTAATATGAGAGAAATGACATTTAGAGGGGTTTCCAATGTACAACTCAGACGGTTTTTGGTCTCTTCAAGAGTGTGTTAGAAATTCATTCATTTAAAATGTTTTATTGTCTCCCCCTAGCCGCCTAACCCCGGGTACGCCGGGAAGGGGGGCGCCTTGGCATTACTACAAAAGGAAAATTCAACGCCAAGCGTCTGAAAACTGGGCTGAGCAAAGCTGGGCATCTGCATCCAGAACGAGGTCAGGCAGCAGGATTGGTCTGCTGTCTTGGGGAGGATCACTTTGTACATAATCCCGCTAGAATGGCGCTTCGCCAAGTGACTGGTTTCATCTGATGGGTTCCATTGAATTATCACCTTTTTGTCCTAGGGGGTAATACACTCATATTCTTCTCCCTGGCCTCGATGCTCTCGACTGCTTTTCTTCATCTAGTCCCATGCATTTCCTCCGATGTCTCCGATGTCGGTCGCCCCTGTCACGTCAAATGAGGCCTGTGACCCTTTCTAGGTGGTTGTTGACCACTGTTCTGGCTTGCCTTTTCGTACAAAATGTCGTTGCAATCGTTATTAACCCCGAGGATGAGAGTAGGTTCATTTCATACAGCTAATAACCTCAAATGACTTACATGGACTTTCCCGATAGCCTCCCTCAAAAATGCCGCCAAGACCGTCGCCACAACCATGATGAAGTTCTACGATGACCGCGACTCGAAAGATATTCCTGGTAAAATGGACGGTACCTGGTGGGAGGGTGGTTCGATGTTTATGACCCTCATCCAGTACTGGTATTTGACGGGCGATAGCCAGTTCAACGCTGCCATCCAGGAAGGCATGTATTGGCAAAAGGGCGAAAACGACTTCTTCCCCAGCAACTACTCCCAATACCTCGGAAACGACGATCAAGTGTTCTGGGGATTAGCAGCGATAACAGCCGGAGAGCTGAACTTCCCAGAAAAAGACGGCGAACCCTCGTGGGTTTCTCTGGCCGAGGGTGTCTTCAACGGACAGGTTCCTCGTTGGGATATGAACACTTGCGGTGGAGGTCTGCGATGGCAGATTTGGCCTTACCAGAATGGATATGGGTTGAAAAACGCCATTTCCAACGGTGGTTTGTTCCAGCTGTCAGCGCGTCTGGCACTATACACTAAGAACGCCACCTACGCCGAGTGGGCCGAGAGGATTTGGGATTGGAGTGCGACTACGCCGATGTTGAGGAAAAACTGGGTTATCGCCGATACCACTTCTGTTGCTGCGGACTGCAAGGATCACGGTGATCACCAATGGACTTACAACTATGCTACGTATATCGCCGGTGCGGGCTATATGCACAACTACGTATGTCTACTTCTGTCACCCACGGCTTGACTATCCGGGATATCCAAACTAACTGGTTTTATAGACCAACGGCACTCAAAGCAAATGGCTCGAAGGTGTCTCAGGATTGATTGGGGCATCTGAACAGTTTTTCCCTGAATCCGGTGGAAAGCAGATCATATCCGACATCACCTGTGAGCCGATCAATAAGTGTGATCGCAACCAGAAAACCTTCAAGGCCTATTTCACTTCATGGCTCGGATTCATGTCGCTGATCGTACCCTCCAATGTCACCGCGGACGTAATGGGCAGATTCAAGACCTCCGCTGTCGCTGCCTGTCAACAATGCTCCGGTGGAAACGCCGGGACTGATTGTGGAGTCCGTTGGACTAAGAAGACCGAATGGGATGGGAGTTCAGGCTTGGAACAACAGATGTCTGTTTTGGGCGTTCTTAATGCTATCATGGTCCCATTCAAGGGTCAGGGCCCTTACAATGCCGACAATGGTGGAACATCCAAGAGTGACCCACACGGCGGCACCAATACAAAGGATACCTTGGGGCCTGGACCTATCACTACAGGTGATAGGGTTGGCGCGGGAGTCTTGACTGCGATCTTTGTGATAATCTGGGTTGGGGCTATCTTTTTCATGCTTCGAGGCCATTAGATACACAAACGTGAAGGCCTATAAATACATGTACATTTTGGAGTTTTGATACCTTGGGAAATGCAGGCATTTTTGTTATGTTTTATAGCGCAACCAATTCACAACTATAGATTCAGCCACGTAGAAAGCAAAAACAAGGCATGATCAGTAGTAGACATTGCAACAACCAGAAGTCCAATACGTGTTTTCTGATATTGCAATGTTTTACTTGCCACAAAGAAGCTGACACAACGTGTAGATTAAGATGGTAGGGACAATAGAAAACAATGGAATGTTTGCTTGATGCAAGATACCGCTTTATCTAAAGTCAGGTCTCCAAAATGTGAGGGTGGAAGATAGCTTTTTATAATCCCCTACGACCTCAACGCCCATTTGGTTTCCTTTCTACGAGAGTATGTGGTCAAAGTCTGGAAAAATATCATGTAATAATCAATATGGAAGGAGAAATTCTATCCAGCATGAAGAGAGATACTGGACAAGTAGGAGATCGAGATCGAGTATGCCACGAGCAGCCACACTTCCAGCATCATGTCGTGGTGAAGGTCTCACATGTCCCGATTTTCCTTTTCTGTGTCATCTCAAGCCTCCTCATCCTCTGTAGTCTCGGGGACCTTGTCGTCCTGCTGAGCTGCTTCTCCAGCCTCGGTAAGTTTGGCGACACCATCCTTAGCACGTTGAAGACGCTTTTTCGCTGCGTTGGTAGTGATTCCATAGTGCTTGCAGACAGCAGGAAAGTTGATCTGGAATATGTTACTGATTTAAGCGCTGAAGAGTAACCGATGAGTGAGATAATAGTGACCTTAGTGTCTGACAACCTGATGCAGGTGAGAACGAACTCGAGCCGTTCTTCCAGCATAATCTCGCGACCAGTTCTGGGAGGATACATAGAAACAGCGTGCTTGGGAGGCTTGGCCTTGGTGGGTTCGTTAGAAGCCATGGTGAAGATGAATGGCTAGTTGGTGTTGTGCAATTGTTTGATATGGATGGAGTGGAAAGTGGGTGAGATTTTCTCAGATTAAGGAACTTGGGGAGAGGAGGAAGAGAAGTAACGAGAACTGAGGTCGAAACTCTCCTTCCTGTCTCAATCTGTTCCCCCCCGGACATTCTAAGTTCCCTCATGTTTAGATTTCTTCTTTTCTTTATCTCCTTGGGAGTTACCATGAACAGCTATGTTACTCACTATAATGACAGCATCCACGCACTCTCTCTTGACATCGAGCCCCGATTCCTATCACTTCGTCATTGAAAACATGTGGTGATGCCCCAAGTTGACTTACCCTCAGGCCTCGATTTGTCAACGTGCACACCCAATCGCCCCGAGCATTCGAACAATGCGACTATGAATGGCTCCTTAAGCTTCTATCCAGTGAATCCTCGTCATCCACTTCCAAATTGTTAGTATGGTTAGTCAATCAATCGCCGTCCCGAGGTCGGGGGGAAAGAAGATAGACGGATTGTAGATTCAGTCATTCCGATGCATTCCGCAAAAAGCAATATATATCTGAGCTCTGGCTTTGACGTCGTGACAAAACATCTATGTGCAAATCTGGAGGCTCTTCGCCACTGCTGTAGCCCGTAGAATTCGTCCGTAGATCCTTCCAAATAGGGCTTGTTGGGCACCTGTCGTACTACGTAGAATCATGCACCTGTGTTCTATATTGTACAGCCAGCTAAATTTTGATATCTGTGTTTACTGAGTCATTTTGTGCTACCTCCTCCATCTTCATTTCTTGGTAGTGATCAGACTAACGTCATCCCCATTTGCCGAATTTGAAACAGGCGGCTTCCCAATTGAGCAAATGGCCAGTAAGGATGTTGCAGTCTTTGCAGCCAACCCATTCTCGGACTACTTGCACGGTATGACACGGGATCCCGAGACTATACCCGCCTTTTCCATGACCGGCTGTGACCCCTCCAGGTGCGAGATGAACACACTCAGGTTGCGGATGAGAGAGAACCGAGACCCTGAATACAGCATTGGTTGACCTGTCTTGGCCTGTTGTTGCAATACTTGAATTAGCACGCTGGCACCTGACAGCCCGTAAAGAAGAATCTAGTGGAATTTAGTACGCTGCATGCTTGCGAATCGACTGTCCCATTTCTTCGATTTCCGTGGCCCCAGCATTACCATCGGTACCGCTTGCTCCTCAGGCTTGACTGCCATCCACATGGCCTGTCAAAGTCTTCGCTCGGGAGATGCGCCTTATGCCATCGTGACCGCTGCACATCTGAATATCTACCCTCAGTGTACCATTATATACACCTTATCCTAGCCAGTCCCATCTCTGAATCCCTTTGGCATCTGGCTTAAGCTAACTGTAACGCACAGGCTTCTTTCCCCCGAAGGAAAGTGTTACGTGTTCGACGACCGGGCAACGGGGGGATTCGGTCGAGGAGAGGGAGCCGCATCTTTGGTGCTTGAGCCCCTCAGTGCAGCTCTTGAGTCAGGCGACCATATCTACACCGTCATTAGGAATACAAGTGTTAATCAAGATGGAAGAACAAATACTGGACTCACTATACCAAGTGGCGAGGCCCAAGAGGGCTTGATTTGATCCACGTACGCCTCCTAAGGCCTCAACCCATCCCAAACTTGTTACGTGGAGGCACATGGAATCGGCACTGCCATTGGCGATCCAATTGAGGTGCAGTCCATTGCAAATATATTCGGTAAACAGAGCACTGCGTTGGAGCCAACGTATATCGGATCTGCAAAGTCAAATTTCGGCCATTTGTAAGGTGTAAGTGGCCTAGCATCGGTGATCAAGACTGCGTTGATGCTTGAGAAGGGAATGTTGTTGCCCAACACTAACTTTACTAACCCGAATCTCAAATTACATCTGAAAGAGAACAACCTCCAGGTTCTCACTGGGACGAAGCCCTGGCCAAACTCTGGGTCACAGTGCTTCGTGGTGGAGGAGCTTTACCCAAAGGAAGGCGCCACCCTGCTCCTACCCCTGCTTAGTAGACGCATCAGAAAAGGTATTGTGCCTCGTAGACTGCAGACATTTTCTCTTCAAAGCTCGCGAACTGTCTACTATAGTCAAGATGGCTGTACTCGACCCCAGAGCCTCTAGCACCACCACCACCATCACAGCTACCCCCACTGCCACCACAAGCACCAAGACCACGGGGACTTCTATCGCCCCCAGCGGGTATATTGGAATCGGCATTGGGGCTGCGATTGTCTTGTTCGTCTTCGTTCTTTTCATCAGATCAAAGATCAAAGAAAGAAAGAAAAAGAAGGACAGAGAGACGGCGGAAGAGGTCATCCCGTAAGTGAACTACAGAATCCCAGAGGAGAATCTTTTTCTGAACAATACTGACATCTTGTGATATAGCCTCTACGATCTTGGGACGGCGTTTGATCCGCAAGCCACCTTGAACTGGCAGTGGATGCGGAGTAGAGCTGCTGGTAGGCTAGGCCCAGTAGCCTTCTCTTTACCTCGTCAGTGCTAACCAAATATTGTATTATAGGCAAAAACAGCCCACTTCCGATCATAGTAGAGCCGGCCAACGAGGCTGATATCCCGGCCCTGTCTCTGCAGGCCCGCTCCGTTGGGTTGTCTCCCTCCCCCCCACCCCCTCCTTCTTCCAACTCGCCTGCCAGCTCACCCGCCGCTTCCTCGGACTTGTTAACCGTTGAGTGGCGGTATCAACTGCCCGCACGCTCGCCCTCCCCTCTGTCTGCCCTCCCTCCCGCCGGTCTTGCCGTCTACCCCGGTCGTCCTAGCCCTCCCCCACCCCCTCCCCCTTTCGGTTCTTCGTCTCACTCCCTGCCCACTAATTTCCATAACGCTCTTGATGACGCCCATAAATCTGGCCGTATTGTCCGGAGAATTGGGCGCTGGGTCAAGACCCAGTTTGGATGGGAGTAAGCCCCTCTGGCACCAAGGCGTTCCTCTGGGCGTTTCACCAGTTTTGCTTCTCTCCGAGAACCTCAGCGAGGTGAGATGAAGGGAAAACTGGATATGTGATAAATAAAGTTTTTGGTCTTATTCTGTTCCTTGTGTTTTTTTTTCTTCTGTGTTTTTATATCATTATATATCGCATTCTTGCTCTGTGTGCTTGCATGGCTCGCGAGCGCTGTCTAGCTTTCTTGGCTTTTCTTCTCGTGCTGATCCATAGATCTCATCGTTCGCCGTAAAAGTTTCTGATCTCAAAGGTGGGTTCTGTAATTAAATGGAAGGTGAGAGTCTTGTAGTCATTTACATTTGTGGTACAATAAGTAGTATATACGACGCCTAGTAATAAGTTTGACGCGACTCCAAACCCCATAGCCTTGGAAGATTTACTACAGATGAAGCAACCTAGTTGGAAGGTATTGAGCTAGTGAAATATCTAGTAAACTATTAAGGACTTAGTCAAAGTTGCAACTACTTCATGTCCGATGGCCTATATTACCAGCAATTCCTCAAGGGTAATGAACAACGTCAAGCCTCTTTCTCGCCGTTGTAGAATACGGTGAAATATATAGCAAAGTGTAGAGGTTTGGTATTGGTATAAAGAAAGATACAAACATATCACAGAAGCAGATACCAATATGCTATTTTTCCCTCTTCATAATGCCTCGTCAGAAGTCTCATAGAGAAACAAAAGCGACTCGCAGGAAGCTGCAGATCCCAAGAGTCTCAGACTGGCCGGCCCTTGAGATGTTTCCATACCTCCTGGATAGCCTGGAAAAACATCCGTGCCCTCGATGACTTGGATTTGAAGTTCCCATGGCCGGCAATATTGTTTTTGTGGTTCCAAATCAGCTCAGGTTGTCTATGCGATGTTGCGCCCAACTTTGAAGAATCAAAGACGCGATCAAGCTCGGTATCAGAAAGCTTTTTCAGGGCATCAGAGAGTTCGTTCTGGCCGTGTGATATTCTTTCCTCAAGTATATTCGTAGCCTTTCATCAAGTAGTCGGCCCCCTTGAAGTACATACTCCAAACCTTTTGGGCATCTCAAGTCGCCTTGAAATGAGCTATCGAAAAACTTTTCGAATCTAGGGTCAAGATCCCTCATTTTTCGCGCCCATTCCCGGAAGCATCTTTCATTCTGAATGACAGTGATAAGTATATTATCCTGGCTTTGATAGTGTGATTCGTATTGTAGAGGACTATCGTTAGATAATTTAGACATTGTCGGAGATAACAAAACAGTTCTGGGAAAATCTGGCCTGGTAAAGAGAAAAGAGAATTGTTGGAAGGAATTCTTCTAGTCTTATTCTTTGAAAGTAGTAGAGGACCCTTTGAGTTTGGCATAAACTTGCCTATCCACCTCCGAGGACTAATATGGATACCAAAGCCATGGTACCCATACTACTAAGCTCCTTTGGGCTCCGGAAGATTTTCTTTCGACAAAGTCGAAAGGGTTGCCGCTAATAAGCTAATCGATAGTTGCTTCATTGGCTCACCAGAATCCCAACTTGCGTATCTTGGAAATTGGGGCTGGAACAGGAGGAGCAATATTGCCTTTTCCACAGGCTCTCGGTGAGCCAGGGGAAACTGGGCAAACACTCCTCGATTTCTATGTTTTCACCGATATAAGTGCTGGGTTCTTTGAAAAATCTAAGATCAAGCTCTAGACATGGAGGCATGTATTGGACTTCCGAGTTTTAAACATCGAAGAGTCGCCGGAGGGTCAGGGTTGGATAGAAGGGACCTACGATCTGATCATCGCAGCAAATGTCCTACATGCAACGGTTAATATGTCAAACACGATGATAAATGTCCGGTCTCTCCTCAAACCCGATGGGATGATATCGATGACAAACCGGATATACCGGTAAGCCAGTTATTGTCCAAGAGTCAGTCTGTTGAGGATGGCTGATCCATTATCTACGAGGCGATCGTAGAGAATTTTTTCTCGGTCTTGTCTTTTACACTCGGATGATATTGTACCTTCGAATCCCCCTAGTACGTATGGTGTGAATTCTTTGGTTGCCGGTGAAATCCGTAATTGGATTGCGTGTGAAATGAAAGTGAGTCCGAGTCTACCACAGCTTATGAGCAGTGGTTCTTTTGTGGAATTGTCAGACACTATCGCCCAGCGATATAGGGTAGCTGTGGCGGCCTGATACTATTCTATTCTATCAGTGCCTTTATGTTTGGCATTTTAGTTGAAAGGGAAGAGTCTAGGATGTACTACCGATATTTCTATGTGTTCAAATAATAGAGATGAAATAGAGATAGCATGATGTTGACGATGACGATTCATTGTGATTTACTAAAGTAAGGAGAATTAAACGTGCTCTGAAGATTTGACATAGAGTATTGGTGAGAACTAACCTTAACGTCTACCAATCGGGGATTTACTGTTCACTACCCAGTTCCTATGCCTGTTGTTTATTGTACAAAAGCTGACGATGAAAATATGGCCTAGCGGTTGTTAGCTGTGTGAAATTAAGCAGATTGGATATAATAGAGCTGGAAGAGTAATAGAGTAATGAAAGAAAAGCCAATTTATACGACACTCATGACGACCTACCTAATGAGTAAATTGCCTACTATAAGTATATACTTGTCATGAATAACATTGTGCAAATTTAATGCGATACACAATGCTATGCATGCAGTCTAAAGCACAAGAATTCCCGTAGCTTCCTATTTGTTTATTGTGAAGCAATTATCCACAATATGGCTGAGCATTTGATCCCACTGAATATAGCACTATCAATTGTTCAACCACAAACTTTCTTCAAGCAATAGAAGGAGATTGATTCAAGCCTCAATCCATAAGCGTCAGAAATAGGTATATATTTCCACCAAGACGCGTTGGCCTTCTGCTCAGGAGTGAAGAAAGGCATAGTAGGTTTCGAATATGTCTCCGGCAGAGGAATAAAATCTAGCCCCTCCGACCTCACAATAAAATAGCTCCAAATATTGGCTATCAAATCCCCCAAACGAGGAATAACATGGAACGCGATTATCTTGCATCGCCACGTATCAAGAGCCTCGATACGGGTGTATATATTCGAGCTTGCACACATTGCGTTTGTCCGAATCTGTCGACTTGATGCCCAAGAAGATAAGCGAGAACCAATAATCTCAGTAGAGAGGTCTGATTCAGTTTTTGATTCCAGAATCGAAGCCAAGCAATTTGCTAATGATGCGGCATTTTCGACAGCAGCATTGGCACCAAGGCCTAAAGTGGGAGTCATCTGTTTCAATCAGAGTTGTCTCTCATTAGTTTTTGATGCATGTACTTACTTTATGTATTGCATCTCCAAGGCATGCAAATCGTTCCCATGTCCAGTGCTCGTACATTGCCTCTTCAAGTGGAGTGTAATGGCATGATGTGGTTTTGTCATAAATAGTCTTAAGCCGAATATTAGGAGCCATCTCTTGCTCCAAATAACGGCCGACATGCGCTTCTAATTCGTCTTTGGTATATCGTGGGATATGGGGAGCCTTGTACTTTCTGTCCATTTTGGTAACTAGGAACCAGTAAAGAAGTCCATCTGTTCCAGAAATGAGGACGGTGCTAAATCCTTTACAAAGCATTCGATGTGCTATTCCGTCTTCAACCCCAGCTACGTTCTCAGATACTCCATATACACAGGAGTATTGAGCCGTCATTTCTATTGATATTGGTCAAAAACGAAAATATGAGGTTATCCTGTTGAATCGTACCTGTGGTATCTTTTTTTATGATCTGTTCTAACCCATTGTTTCTCATATGCTGCCACATGCTCTGTCGGACTGAGCTGTGGGCTCCATCTGCACCGATAATGATATCACCTTTGTAGGAGCTACCATCAGAACAGTGGACAATGACCCCTTCGGGAAGACTTTCAGCCTTGACAAATTTCTTCCCTAGCAAGACTTTTTCCTTTTCGGGGATATGGTTGAAAAGAATCTGAAGCAGATTTTGCCGCTGTATCCACCCAATTGGGTATCCATGACTACGTGAGTGAGCAGTCTGTCCATCACTGTTCATAACCACACCCATCTTAAGCTTACCGAGTTTGAAGAATCTCAGGTGTATGCAATTTGCGCAGCAACTTCCCATTCGCTCGCCATGTATAAAATGCCTTGAGTGGCATTGTCGCTTCAGATATCTCATCCAACATTCCCATTTGATCCAAGATCCTTGTTCCATTGCTCACCAGACATACTGCAGCTCCAATGTGTGTTGTGACCATATCCCGGGTTTCAAGCACGAGGAAGTCAATGTTCTTGCGAGACAACGCATTGGCAAGTGTCAAGCCTGCAACTGACCCTCCGACTATGATAACCCTAAAACGAGATTCACACAATTTCTCAGCCATATCGAGTGGTATTCTAGGTCGAGGGTTGAATAAAAGTGACACTTTTTCGGTGGGTAACCACTTTCCTTAAGCCAGTTTCTAAGCTTATCTTTAGGCGCCATCTGATAGCTTGCCAATACACTGCATAATGCGACGCCGGAATGTCGGGTAATACAACGCAACAGGGAAAATAACCCTAACTTTTTTGTACGACAGCATACCAGGCAGATATGTATGATAATGATGAGCCATTTTAGGATGCTTCCGGGCCAAATGATGGAAAACCGAACCTTACGCTTCTGGCTATAAAATCGATAATTCGGGATCATTTGAATGTTTTACTTTCCCTTGATTATCACCACGACAGATGCAAAAAAAAAACGATTTACAAGTCTACCTGCAAGAGGAGGACCGCCTCTGATCAATATACATTCTGGGAATGCTTCGCATATGACTGGAACAGGTGTGTTACTCCTTTTTACTCGATGCGTTCCCTTTCTGCCTATACTTTAAGAAAGAAAAGTAAAGTTGGTGGAGGACAAATCGGAAGTCAATCAATTATGGTGATTGAAGCATTCCAAACCCGAAAGGTCTTTCCTCGTGTATGTTCCAGTTTCCCGATCCAGCAAAGATCATCACTTAGATATTTAAGCCATCGTTTTAACGGAGTCTAGATGTGTGCTTGAGAGAACCTTCACTTCCAGATGCTTTCTTGTTATGGGTGCAAAGTAGTCTCCCCATTTCATATCATCGGATGTAGTTTCATATAGTTGCATGTCCAGATAGCGAAATATATACGCAAAGGCTATATATAATTCGGAATAAGCGAGGCTGGAAATAAGTGTTCGTAAGCTCCACAGAAGATGCACATAGATGTTTCATATTCTAACTTACCTGATACCAATACAGCCCCGCGAGCCTTTAGAAAAGGTTACCAAGTGCCGGTCCAGATACTCAAAGTCATCGCCAAGCCAGCGCTCAGGCTTAAAGGACTGTGGATCTGGAAATACCGAGCTATCAATGTTATACACATACTGGCTAAGCGAAAGGATGGTCTGTAGTTATATAGTTAGCGGATTAAGGTAACGTGCGAACTCAAGCAACATACTCCAGGGGGTATGTAATTCCCACACAGTCTGACGCCGGATGGAGGTACGACGCGCGGCATTCTTCCAGGGACACCATGAGAAATGCGAAGCGACTCTTTTAGAACGGCTCTCTAGAAATAGTATTATTAGTCACTTTCGAGCGCTATTAGAGTCCGAACAAAAACCCTATTACTTACAAGATAAGGCAGTTTCTCAAGTGTGTCTGCGTTTGGCATTGACTGGCCATCAAGTATTGCACTAGAAACTTCCTGCTGGAGTCTTCTTTTGATTTGCGGGTTGTTTAAGACATGGAAAGTACCATGAATCAAAGTATTTGCTGTCGCCTGTTCTCCGCCAACTAGTAAGGCTAAGGCTTCGGCCGTGAGGTCATTAATAGATGGTAGTGGTAATCCTGTCTTTGGATCTGGTTGTAAGATCCGGTCAAATATACTCGTATGCTGGTTCCCGATCAATTTAGGCCGATTGATCGCATCTAGAGCTAGGCTCCGAGCTTGCTATAAATGGAAAGGTTAGCGACGAAAAGGAGAGAATGATGCAGGCGATATATTGATGAACTCACAGTACGCAGGTGAAATACTGCAGCCAACATTGTATCCAACTTTGCAAGTATAGGTAATTGCAGAGCAAAACTAACAATAGGCCTGAAAAAGTCATGAAATGTGCGGATAAGAACTGTAGAGACAAGAAAATGGCTCATATAAACCACAGACGGATAAGCAAAGCCCGGGAAATCGAGCGCCCCAACTTTTCGCTGCCACCCATAGTTCATAATCACGTCTGTGGTAAGCGAGTGATAGCCTCTTGTGAGATCAACTATTTTGTTTCTTCTGCCATATTCTCCCAGAATATCTATGAACTTCATGACCGTAGTGTGTATTAAAGGGTTACCTCTTGCAACAGCTTCTTTAGTGAGAAATGGTGCAAACTTGTCTCGTCGTGACATGGAAGTATTAAGATCTGACATGTTGAAGTGAGATCCTTCCATAAGAGGGTGGTCGTAGAATCGACGCATCTTGTCAAATCTGGTGCCGACGCTGAAAACCTCGTTATAAGCATCCACATCATGGATATGTAGCTCGTTGGGATAGGTTCGGACAATTTGCCCTATACACCAGGGGTGAGATGTAAACAGAAACGGCATTTTACAAATACGCACCATATTTTTGATGAAGTTTTGGAAGAACTAGAGTGTATTCGCCCCTCAATGTCCAATACGCGCCGTACAGGCTCGTAGCAGCAGCCAGCTTTGGTCCCGGAAACCGTGAAAGGGGGTGGAAGCACAGCCTATAGATAATACGGAGGCACTGGAGGCCCAGAAAGACAGCTACTAACCACGGCAAAATCATGCTGACAACGATGGACTTGTTCAAATATCAGAAACAATTGTTGAGAATATAGAGAGAGGGACGAAGAAAAGATATTTCTTAATTGTAAAGTCTATGAAGCCGGAAAGTATTTATACGCAGTAAATAAAGCAAGCAATCTCTCAACTGGGAAACAGCGTTGCAAACGCTCACGCAGCCGTAAAGACGAGATGGCATCATCCCAACGATGATCTTGCGAAGTGCTTTGCGAGTACATATAATACACTGTTAGCCTAGCTAGTGGTTTCGTAGATACCCTCCTTTCTATTTGCTTTCGACTTTTCCTCAAGAGATTCGCGTATTAACACCGTATTGGCGTTGATCTACGAGCCACCTCACGACTCCCAATCTGCATTCGTGAGATCACTGATCCTACAGGGCAGAGATTCGCCTCATCTTCGTCATACGAAGTAACACCGACTCGCGATTTCGTTTCGCGGGATAACTCATCCCGCCTCGTCTTATAAGGAATGACCTACCCAGAGACTTTCTCCTCGGAAAATGGTAATTAATTTAAACATGTAGCATGCACATGCGTGCACAACTTCACTAAATATCCTTACGCACGAGGCCGTAATCGGATTCATTGTAAAAACTAAAACAGGTTTCTCATTTTATCATGTAACGAAAGTTGTGAAGTCGAGAAGCTTCTATTCGATTCATGGAAATCAGAAAACTTGTGAGAATGATCGACAGTAGATTATTTCCTACTAACATGTGGTACAGAAAGGTTTGTTGTCAGGCGCCCGGTTTTTGATATTGACCGCTAACTGCTTTTTAATGACTATTCATGAGTGCTATCAACTTGTTATGAAGAAAAGGCAGTCCGTGATACCGAAGGTACGAAGTGAGACTTGTAGGATGGAATCGTGTCCATTTTGTTCCCCACTTTGTTTTCATTAGATCTGGCTATTCTCTATCAGGAATCTGACACATGTCATACTCCAAAAGAACTTAATCTATTGGAAAGCCAAGTATACACTTCGCCATGCTGGCCCCAAACAGCCTCTGTGCCTACCAGCGCCCGCTGATAATACAGCAGAGCAGTATCAACTTGCCCGTTCCTCTCGCATAGAAGGCCAAAGTTCCTAAGAGTGTACAAGGCTCGGATACAGGTGAAAGTCGAGATCGCGCCAAAAGCCGTCTCATAGCCTTTAAGTGCTCGTTCGTACATCTCCTCTGCCTCTTGGAGCCGGCCTTGATCTGTGTATAGAAGGCCGAGGTTATCGACAGTATTTAGTGTCGACGTGTGTTCTTGCCCCCACGCCTTCTCCTTACCTTCTAGCGCTCGTTTGAACATCGCCTCTGCGTCTTGGAGCCGGCCTTGAGCCGTGTAGAGAAGGCCGAGGTTGTTAACAGTATTTAGTGTCGACGTGTGTTCTTGCCCCCACGCCTTCTCCTTGCCTTCTAGCACTCGTTTGTACATCGCCTCTGCGTCTTGGAGCCGGCCTTGATACGTGTAAAGAACGCCGATGTTATTAACAGTATTCAGCGTCGAGTGGTGTTCTTGTCCCCACGCCTTCTCGTAGCCTTCAAGCGCTCGTTTGCACATCTCCTCTGCCTCTTGGAGCCGGCCTTGATTCGCGTAGAGCAAACCCAAAGAATGCAGAGCCCCCACAGCCTCACCTTTAACTTCTATATTTCTCATAGTCTCCAAACATCTGTCTGCATGTGCAATAAGCCGCCGTTGTAAGAGCCAGAATTCGTGTTTGTCTTCCCCAGGCACCCGAGCCGCTACACATTCGACTGCTGTCCAGGCCATACTGTTGTCAAACTCCTGATTCAACACATGAATCATCCACGAATGAACGCAGCTGTGTACGCTATACCCTCGTGACTCCACATGCTGTAATGTGGTAGTCGGATCAGCTTCAACGAGTCCATGGCTGCACAGTATTCGTAGGCTTTTATGAAACATGAGCTTGCTCTTTGTCAGCTCGCCCAGCTATTCCGGCTTTTCTGGGCTACTATACTCCAGCAGCTCATACCACAAGTCTTCACTAGCAAAATACGCCCATTGTCGGAGAAGCATAGCTGCAACTGGACTCTGCTGCTGAATATATCGATATGAGAGATTCCATGTCGAGTACAATGTTTGATCGTATGCCGGCAGTTGCGGTGTCTCTTCGTGTAATTGCTGCCATGATTCTCGGTACAGCTGGAGATACTCGGTACAGCTAATCGAAACTTCCTCTAAGTATGCGCCAGCTGTCGCGAGGGCCAGAGGAAGTCCATCAAGCTGCCTCGCAAGATCAGTAGCTGCAGGGTCTGCCTCCTATTAGTACATAACATCCGACCATATCGTCCTTACTCACCTCGTTTCAAATTTTCACGACCAGACACAGAAGCCAGGACCTCAAGGCTATCATTGATATCCTCTAGCTTGCGTAGGTGAATAGTCCGGCCTAGCTTTACCATAGAGGACCGCGTGGTCACAATGATGGCACCGTGGTCGGTCTCGGGCAGGAATTTCTGAAGATCAAAAGCCTTTGCAAGATCTTTGTCGTCATCGCTATATGTACCTGCCTCGACAGAGGAAGCATGGTTTATACCTTTCCCCGTATGGTTGCCCGATAGGGGATTATCATAGTTATCATAGACGATTAACCAGCGATCGTTCATCGGGTCGTCCAACCATCGTTTGACCGCTTTCACCGTCTCATTCAGGTCTCGGCTCTCCAAAGCACCTGCAATGTATGAAAAAGACGGGTGGTGGCGTATAATCCACTCAGCTGTACGAGCAAAGCTTTGCTTCAATGCTGTTTCATCTCTTGCATTTAGCCATATTGTCGCCGAGTAATGAGAGCGATTTCGTTTGATATGTGCGATGGCTAGCTGTGTCTTGCCAATACCACCCAACCCATGCACCACGACAGTACGGCGTCCAATAGTTGTGCCGAGGATTTCTTTCATTCTCTCAAGCTGATCTTCTCGTGCAATGAACCGGGTCACTTCGGTTATCTCGGACAGGTTAAGTGGAAGCTCGAAAGTTATATATCTCGGATTCGAATTTCTAAATAATGCATTAGCAAACTGTAAACGTATATTTAACGTCTCTGCATGTTGGAACTGCGAGAAATTTACCGTTGCACGTCTTCCATAGACATATGGAAGAATAATTGCCGCGCATATGCGGCCGCTACCGCCGCTGCGTAGCCATGCCACTGGTCGTTCTTATGCGAGTCGCAATAGTCGGAGATGCCTCGAATTACCATACAGGGGAAATCGGTAAGGGCTCCTGCTGCCTCCGTTTCGAAGCATAGAACCCCATGCTCCCGCGCCAGGTCATCCCTCTTCTCAGCATCCTTCATTACTACGTCTGCCGATGCTATTGTGCCTCGGTGTACAATAATAAACGAGTCATCTTCCTCGTCTGTCGGTCGCTTAATACGCTTGCTCTGGTCACATCCACTATCTTCACATGATACCCCTTTCTGCTCATGTGTATAGTCGGATGGGTAAAGATAGTCATTCACGGCACCAGGGAACTTGAAGTGGCGAAGTCCTCGACGGCTAGTTTGGATTCGCCCCAGGTTCCTCCAAATTGGATCATCATCAACCAGCTTGCGTTGGACAGCCAAATCTCGTGCAGCGTTAAGAAGCGCCGTTGGCGGGGCCTTGATGAAACCTTTGCGTTCAAAATGACCCACCTCCGCCTTCCCATGGTCGTACTGTATCGCCCCGGAGTGGACCCCCATCGGTTGACTAACGACCACATGCCCTAGACGGATCATTCCCGAGTCGGTCTTTGTCGGGACGCCACCCCCAATCCCAACCAACAAGGCATATCTGAGATTTGGGAAGGTCATCCTCATTTGAGTAACGACAGTGGCTGCGGGGCAGTTTCCCGCTTGAGGAAGACCAGCGATGACCACATTATGATTGTTGATGCTGCCGAGGCGGTAAACGTTTGTGTCCCCGAATGGTTGCGGAAGACGATTGTGGTTTTCGTCTAGCATCTTCATTGCCGCGATCTGTTCCACCTCCAAGGGGCATATCCATCCCACTCGGTAGGCATCACGGCTCAAAGTTTTCAGCGACATTTCTAGCGGCACAGTCAGCGCACTTTATCAAAGAGAGATTTCAGGAAACAGGGCTTCAATATTTTAGCAGTCGTCGAGTGAAAACTATTCAAGGTAAATGAGGACCCCAGGAAGAAGATTCAAATGTGAGCGCAAGTCTCGCAATTATCTACTGGCATCCGGACCAAAGGGGCGCAGCACCTAAGTGCGATAGACCGCGCCAGAAGTGCGTTCTGAGAAACGTTCAGCCAACCAGACACGAACACGACTTGTGAGACAGCGAGGATGGCCAACTGCATATCACCCGGGTCATTGACGAATTGCTCGTACTGTTTACACCACAGGAGGCCCAATGATTCTTGTATTAATACGAAGCCTTGGGGGAGCAAGACATGTCTATGATCTTGTCCAAGTAAAGAGAGAATCCAAGCTAGCAGCGGCGTTTAACATGAAAGATGTTAGGTTAGTACACGTGACGTGCATGAGGGCCTGATTTTGCAAGGTTGGTGCCTGACTTATGCCCGATTTTAGAATGAGAGCTGGAAAGATGCCAGGGAAAGAAGAGATTGTATAAGAAAAAGAGCCAATTAACACACTCAAAATAATTGAACAACAAGCAAATTCCCTGCGTTACTAACTAGACAGCGCAAGAGGGTTCAATTTGTTGAAAACATTGTCCGGGTCATATTTCCTCTTCACATTGAGCAAGGCATCAGCATTAACCCCAAACATATCTTCAGGTGTTAAGTTGTCATCTAAAGATAAAGTCAGTACGTATTTTTCAAGCTCTGTCCCTCTTCTACTCACCGTGCGTGTAGCCGAAGAATGTCGACACCAGTTTATCTGGCTCGTGACCAGCTCGCCGGAGCTCAGCTTCACACATGTTCTGGATTTCTTCCCCCCATGCTATGAAGTCTTTATCCTTGCTTGGATCAATCCATTGGAGAATGAGTACTCCATTAAGAGTCTTGGTTCGAGTTGGGAAGGCGGTCTCAGTAATGGGCACACCGTCGACTTTGGAGAGATCAAAATAATCGACCGCAAAACAACTGCTGGCCAATTCTGGCACTGCAGTGAACTTGCGGCCGACTTCTTCCAGCAATTCTGAGGCAAACTCAGGCCGAATAGGTGGAACAAGTTTCACTCCGAGCATCTCTTTTCTTCCGCCCGGCGGCATTACATCGTCGAGCATCGTGTTGGCCTGTGCATATGGTCTCATTTCCATGCTCGTGCTGATACATTCCAAATCAACAAGACTAGAGAAATGTGTACTCCCTTCTTCCTGGGAGCCATTGAAGAAGAGTACCGTGGTGACAACCGGGGCTCCAGTATCAGGTGACAGAGCAAGGACGCATTGTGCTGCCGCGTTTCCCTGTGGATGAACCAGGCAAGCATTGAGTGCCTCGATAACTTCAGTCAATTTGTCACACGCGAACACCATCGTGCCGCACCAGACCATGTTGGCCTGTGTGTGTGCCTGGAATCTTAGTTCCGCTGCCACCCCGACATTCGCTCCAGCGCCCCGAATCGCCCAGAACAGGTCAGAGTGCTCGATTGGTGATGCGTATAAGACTCGCCCATCCGCAGTGACCACTTTGGCAGAAAGGAGATTGTCAAGGACTAGCCCATACTTCGGAGTCAGATACCCATATCCCCCGCGCATAGTGAGACCCCCGACTCCCACTTGGCTGACTGTGCTACCAACTACGGCTAGGTTGAACATAGCAGCAGTATCGTTCACATCCTTCCACAATGCACCGCCCTGTGCAGTGACTGTTGAGTCAATAGAGTTGACACTGACCTGTCTCATGCTTCCAAGATCGATCAAGATACCTCCATCGCTCGAGGAGGAGGTATCTGTAGAGTGTCCTCCGCCCTTTACTGCCAGGTCCAGTCCGTTATCTCTAGCAAAACGCACGGCGATTGCAATATCTTCGGTGCTCTTCGGCCGTACAATGACTCCCTATACAGCATATCAGTTGAAGTCCAGTATTCTGTGTGGTAGACTGGGCGATACCGCTCGTTGACATCCAACTGCCGACCATCTATTCACGCATTTTTCGTACCCTTCAGAGCCCGGAGAAAAAACAGATGTTGGCTCTTTAATTTGAGACCTCAGGATCTGAATCTGTCCTTGAGATATTCTAGAGATCATCACGTTTTGCAGAGCGAAAGTCAATATAGACAAGACCTATGTATGGGTAAATGTTGTTATGTCTGTTATACGCTAGCAGACATATTTCCAAGTTTCTGTTGCTCTATCTAATTAAATATTATTCGGCCTGAATCCTGTTTTTTTTTTTGGCCATCGAATGTATATTGTAACACAGTGACCTGACCCCAACATTTGCCTCCCAAACGAGAACCGCGACTTTGGCTAGAGGCAGAAAAGACATCCATATGCAATAATACTTGTATTGGGTGAATTTTTATGCAGATCCACGTGCAGGCGTGTAACTCTTACGTCTAGTGCGATGTATAATATAGTACCTTCACAAAACCTTTGAAGTCTCATTGCATATAGCGTGACCAAGCCGAAAAGATAATGGATGACCACAAGCTTGTACCACGAAAGGCCTGGGCAGCTTGTTTATACACGGCTAGTAGGAGTCTCATGCATATATAGTTAGAGACTGTGTAGTGCAATAATATACCTACCCAATACAGGTTCCGCCGCAGATAGCGTTCCAAAATTTACCTTCTCTACTCTATACGATACACGTTCATAAAGTCCTATCTTATCTAGGATACTAGGTTGAAGACGCAACGAAAGATAGAAGATCAAATGCTATTTTATCAGCTCATGAGACACATCCTAGAGGTTAACGTGAATAACTTTTTGAACGAGGTATAGTTGTACATTTCTGGCAAAGGTGGCGATGTCATACCAAGAATTTTGTTCTATAAAATGGCCGGCACTGTATCCATTATTAGACCATTAGATTCAATTACATCTTTTATCTTAGGAAAATTGGTATCAGCTACTTCAGCAGCATAAAGCGCAATGGAAAAACGTCTTGTTCAGCGTGCAAACGCTTCTCGCAATGCAATTGCAGTGATTGATGGCGATATAAGTATTAGCTATCAAGAACTCATTGCACGAGCTGATATCCTCGTCGAGAAATTGCATGAAAGATCAATGGAGCTCGCGGAGCCTGTTGTTATCTTACTTGGGTCTGGGTATCAACAGATCATATCGCAAGTCGCTGTCATCCGAGCTGGAGGGACCTGTGTCCCCGTTGACCCCTCAATGCCTTCCATTCGCCTAGTGGCCATGCTACACGAGATCAACTCCCGCTTGGTCATTGTCAGCAAAGCTGAGATGGATCGCGTTTCAGACTTTGAGGTTATCCCAGTTGAAGAAGCAACTGTGCAGGATATCACTTTCAGCAAGAGTGATTCAATCACTGTACAGGCAGGATGTTTGGAAACGCATCGCAGTCACATTTTATTCACCTCCGGCTCTACGGGACTGCCGAAGCCCATCGAGGTCCTGGCTTGCGGTATTCTCCATGTATTAGCCTCTGATCCAGCTACACTGCTGGATCAATCTGACCGTATGGCTATATTTGTCAATCCGGGATTTGACTTCTCCCTCTGGGCAGTTTGGGGATCACTACTTGCTGGGACGACAGCCATCCAAATACCCAAGGTGGTCGTCAGAGATCCATTTGCTCTCAAAGACTTTTTGGAAAGCAAGAATATTACAGCAATAATTATACCAACAGCGCTTTTCAATGTTATTGCCTTGAATGTGCCCAGCGCGTTTCATGGTCTGCGCCACGTCCTTGTCGGAGGCGAGGCCGTTAGTGTTGGTGCAATGAAGAGAGTTCTCACCAACAGACCACCAGACAACCTGTGGAATGCATACGGTCCTACGGAGGCAACCATATTTGTAACAAAATGCCGGGTCAATCTGGAGGAGACACAACACCCTCGCATCAGTATCGGACGAGCCTTTGGAGAATCCAAAATTTATCTGCTAGACGAACAACTCCGGAATATCACCGGTACACATCAGACTGGGGAAATCTGTGTTGCCGGACCCCAGGTGTCACCGGGATATCTGAATCGACCTGAGGAGAACGAGAAGCAGTTTATCCATGTCAGTGCCGCCACACTAGGAGAGGAAGATGGGAGTCCTGGAACATCAATCCGTCTGTACCGTACTGGGGATCTGGCGCAATGGAGAGACTCATCTGGTACTTTGGATTATATTGGCCGAGCAGACAAACAAGTCAAATGCTCTGGACACCGTGTGGAATTGGGCGATATAGAGCATACGCTGGAGAGGCATCCGGAAGTGGGATCATGTGTTGTCATCCAACACAAACAAGAGCAGTCAGAAAACTTGGTGGCATACGTGATCCCAGTTGAATGTGAAGCGGAAATTCAGCTTCACGAAATTATCAATTGGGCAAAGGAACAGTTGCCTTACTACATGGTCCCCACTTCGATTCAAACCCTCTGGAAATTTCCTCTTACATCCGCTGGCAAGGTTGATAGGAATGCTCTGGCTCTACGTTTACACCAGACATCGAAGAAAGAGGAACATGAGGCCAAGCAGTCCGCACAGACGGAAAGCCAAGATGACTGGCTTCAATCACATCTCCAAAAGATGCTGAACGTATCACACGTTGATCCCAATAAGGATATATTCGCTTTGGGACTCACTTCGCTGCAATCTGCCCAGCTAGTAGGGAAGATCAAGCAACACAGTGGGAAAATTGTGACGCTGGCACAACTGCATGAAAACCCTACCCTAGAAAGCCTTGCAGCTCTACTTCACAGCTCCGATGAAGACAACACTGGTCCCGCTCAGATCACGCGGTGGGTAGAAGACTCCCATCTAGCGGATGATTTAATTTCCCCTCCAGATTGGCAATCTACCGAAGAGGGACACGTTTTTCTCACAGGAGCGACAGGATTCGTCGGCGCATACTTACTCCATCAACTTGTGTCTATGCCCAGGGTGAAGAAAGTAGCCTGTTTGGCCCGAGGCCGAGGCCACCTCACTGCGAATGACCGTATTCAAAAAGCATTGGAAAAATACGATCTTTGGGACGGTAGGCTAGAAATAACTCAAAAGATCATCACTCTTGATGGAGACCTAACAGATGCCACTCTCGGTCTGGGAGAGGATAAGTTTACCTGGCTCAGCAACTGGGCTAGTGTAGTCTTCCACATCGGTGCTCGAGTCAACTGGTGTGAGCCTTACGAGGCTCTTTATGGGTCTAATGTAGTTGGCACGCGAAATATTATCCGGCTGGCCACTCTAGGCCGACGCAAGGCACTGCATTATGTCTCGTCGATAGACGCGTGGAGTGTAACTGGTCTTGTGAACAAGACAAAGCAAGTTTCCGAAGACGCCCCGCTCATGCCACATCTGGGATCACTCCCTTACGACATGGGATATGCACAGACTCAATGGGTGGCGGATGAGATGATTCAGAGGGCGCGGGCCCGTGGTTTACCCGCAGCCATCTATCGTCCAGGGTTCGTGATTGGAGACAGTTCACGAGGCTATGGAAACGCAGATGATTTCTTTGCACGACTGATTATGGGGTGCATTCAGAGTGGTCGATTCCCCCATCTTCCCCACCAAAGACTGGAGTATGTGACGGTGGACTTCGTCTGCTTGGCTATCTTGCATATTGCATCAAAGAATGAGAATCTCGGTCGATCATACCATCTCGTCTCCCCGGATGTGGCGCAGTCGGTGAGTATAGATGAGACATGCAGCTTGCTCCATAAAGCTGGATATCCAGTCAAGCAAGTTTCATACCAGGAATGGTTAGAAGTAATTCAAAGTTGCACGGGGAATCCATTGGAGTCAATGATGCCTATGCTGCAGGAACCAATTTTGGAGGACTTGACTCGCATGCAGACAAGCATGTATACTCCAATCTATGAGACCGAAAACACTGTCCAGGCTCTGGCAGATCGGCCAGATATCAAATATGTTCCTTTGGATCATGTGTTACTACAACGATGCATCGACTTTTGGGTAAGCAGGGGATACTACTCGCTCTGCTGGTAGCCTTGTTAAGGCAATTACAATATACTCGTGCATGCAACAGATAACAAATTGAATTTACGGTTTCAGTTTTGCTTTCTTGAAGTCTCAGAACTGCCCACCTGGATCCTAATGTTGATGGATGTTCGTGCTCGTCGTAGCTCAGCCTCATAGTCTTTATGCAGTTTAGCGCAGATCTTCTCAGGAAGTGTGCAATCACTCATTCCTCCTTGTCGCTCCGCATTCACTCCGTTCCATACAATCACACTGAAGCGTTGTTAGCTCTCCCAATATCAATGTATAACTCCGTCACTACATCCGGAGGTAGGTTACGAATGTAGAGCCGGCCATGGCCAGTCTTAGAAGTCATCTTCGACGTCAATTTCATAGGTCCTCATATTCTATATGTAAAGAATCATCCCGCTCACACTTGATTATAGAGATGTCAGACCCATTGGTCGAGTAGACAGAGTATAATAAAGATATTGAGGTATTACCCTCGTTCCCTAAACTCGGACGAATGCTGTAAAGTAAAGTATCGTATTAGAATAATGTCCGGAAGTACTCATATACTACAAGAGAAACACGGCAAAGAGAGAGAGGAGACACTTACTAGCATCGATCTGCTGGATATTCGGCAACGCCAAGCGTACCTTATTCCGATACACAGCTGGACCATTCAATTGCAACGGATTACCCTCGAAGTAAACAGTCTGCAGCTTCTCCTTATCCTTGAGTTCGCGCTCAACTTCCTCAAAGCTAGCAAGCTGATTATTCGAGGCCCACAGCTCCTCGAGGTTCTTTAGTGAAGCAAGATGTTCAAGATGGGAGACCTGGTTGTTGGAAAAGTCGAGCACGCGCAGTGTCTCATTGGATTCTAGTCCTGAAAGGTCGGTCACTGCATTGTGGGAGAGGTAGAGCTCTTCAAGCTTGGGGAGCGCGGAGAGACCCGTGATTTTGGTGAGGCGGTTGGATTGGATGGAGATGATGCGGAGGTTTGAGAGGCTGTCCAGGTTCTGCGAGGGTGTCAATTTCTTCAGCTGGTAAGGTACGTTGGGTGCCAATTGCTGACCTTCATTTCAGTGATCTTGTTTTTGCCAAGCCAGAGTTCTTCCAGCGCGGTCAGTGTTTCCAAGTTTTCGATTTCCTGAATGGACCCTGTGTCAGTTTTTCCATTCATCGCCTCGTATGGGCGTATCATATAGTACGAACCCGAATCTTATTCGCGCCCAACTCCAAGTTCTTGATTCCAGTCAATTCCTCCAACCCCTCGATACGGGAGATTTTGTTCTGCACAAAGAAAATCTCGGTCAACTTCTTCAGATGTGAGATATTCTTGATATGCTTGATCTTGTTGAAGCTCAGATCCAAGCTCGTCAAGTTGTGGAACTCCTCCAGGCCCTTGATGTGAGAGATGAGGTTATCGTAGAGGTCGAGTTCAGTGAGACTGGCGGCGACATTGGGAGGGAAGTTGATTCGTGATATTTGGTTCTGGCGCATGCATAGTCTCTATATACCCAGCGCGTTAGCTATCTGGGCGAAACAAGGGAATGCCGTGCCGTTGCGCTTTCGAGGAAAAAGTGGTACCATAAGCCCACCTCCGCTAGAAAACACATACGGATTCCACGGTTGTTGGGGGTATGTACCTGAAGCTTAGGGAAACGTTCCAATTTAAGAGCGGAAATCGACGATATCCGGCAATGCACAAGGTCAATATCCTGCAGAAGAACGATTAGCAATCGTGTCGCGTCGATCGGCGGAAAGTTCACTATCTGCCTACCTCTGCATTAACATCTTCGTCTGCCAATAGATCTGAGCAGCCGTTAGCTCATCAACTCGCTAATGACCGATCAGTGCTGGGCAATCAATCGTCCAGCGACCGTACCTTCATCAGCCTCAATCTCCTCAACCGGGGGTGCATCCGGATCCGAGTAATCTGAATCCTCCAGCGCCTCCGGGTTTGTAATAACGGCCTTTGGCTCTATCCTCATTTTTCCGTCCCATCCCTCCTTGTTCTTCATGATTTCAGCCAGCGTGAGAGATGTGGGATGTTTAGAGGTGGGCGGTGGGAATTGCGATTGCGGGGAGCTTTCGTTTTTATCGGGAGATGATCGCCAATTCGGCGATTTAAAAAAAAAATCAAGGGAAATCCTATATGGTGAGCTCGAAAGAACAAAAAGGCAACGAGAAATGTTGGCACTGAGAGTAGAGAACTGAAAACTTGGTTTCGGGAAGGTCGAGGTGACTACATCATTGTCTTAATGCGGGCTCAATGCGGAATAGCCCCGAGGCGCTTGAACATTATTCACATATGAACTTATAGATCAGAGAGTTGTAATTAACGGGCTGAATTCATCTCTACTCTAATAAAACTTGCTCCATTTTGTTTTCTGGATACGTCTTGAGGGTTATGTACAGCATCGGCCGTGATCATGTACATTGCATGAAATAATCACTCCAACTTTGGCAGCATAAAGGGGATTATTAGACACTGCTCACTATGAAGTAGGTGTATACCACTGCCAGGAAGAAGTCCCAGCAAAGGAGGACACAATCAAATGCATGCCCATGTATTGGTGAGCTGAGATAGAAGCAATAAGGCCATGTAGCAAGGCAGAAATGAGAAAAGAGAAAACATAGGGGGATACAGCTGGGATATGATAACCAAGAGACGCCTGCAGAATGCATAAAAAGCGAACTTGTTGGGGTGTTGGGGAAGGGGAGAAAATACACAGAAAATGGGGGATCAGGACATAAGGGGGTGTTGATAAAGCACAGGGGAAGAAAAGGAAAGGGAAAAAAAAGGGGAATTGGCTCGCTCGGAGCGTAGTGAGATACAAGGTCAAATTGCAATACAAAAGGTCGAAGATGGTCAGTGCAAGGTGCTATCCAAGAACGACGACAAATGCAGGAGACGGGGCCTTGGCCCAGTAGGATACCAGTTCCATCTGGGTCCATGTTCGGTCGTCGAGAAGGGGAATCGGTAGGAAACAGGGCGACTACCCATCAATGGCAGCAATGCTAGGCAAACGCAAAAGGAAAGGGCTTTTCTCACGTAGAAAAGAAAACAATTCGCTCAAATGGATATCTCAGGTATAAGAAGGATCCTGTCGAGGCATCTACAGGGTGCAGTCCAGAACCATGCTGACATCTTGGACCTGGGCCCCTGCAAGATCCTCCAGAACAGGGATGAGATCGAGCAACTCATTGTCGTGAGCGTCAGAGAACCAGCTGCTGATGGGAATCGCGTGCTCAGGGTGGAAGATGTAGGATGTGGGGGAATTATCAATGATGATTGTTTCCTTCAAGTCACGGCCGACTTGTGAAAGATCCTGGATAATGGTTAGGTTTATTCTCAATCACTAAAGACAAAGCACTCACCTTGACGTAGTTCCCCTGGTGGTTATAACAACTCTCTCGGAACAGGCGGTGATGAATCACGTTATGGATATCCAGTTGATCGAGCAAAGGGTCGCCATACTATAACGCAAGTCAGTGAGTGTCACTCACGAAATCATCAACTATCAACTGACCTTTGAAACCGAAGCAGTAAATACAACCACTTCGTAAAGCTCACCAACACGCTTCATGAACGCATCCACGCCAGGACGCTTAATCACATAGATGTTATGGTATTGACCTTCAATCTCAACTGGAATGGTGAAGTCGGCACGCTCCAAGACCTACAAAATCAATAATGAGTAAGTTGATGCAATAAGACGATGGTACGCTTTGGACTCAGATTGCAAAACGACGGGGACTTACCTTGAAGCTGCTGTGAACCAGCGTCTCATCTAGGTCGAGAACCAAGCACTTTCGGCCACTTAAGTGAGGCAAAGGTGCAGGGAGTAAAGGATGCCCTGCGTCCTCATAGTGGCCTCGAGGAGGAGCAGGGGGTGCAGGTGGCAGAGGTGGTGGCGGTGGTGGGATCACGACGGGGAGTTTCATTTCTTGGTGAGATGTTACTTCTTCTTGACCATCGGTGCCGAAATTTTTTGGCATGGTTGAGGTTGATGCAGAAGTGAGGTCCTCGGTGGTTGTGGTTGATTGACCCTCCCAATCCTGGGTGTTTACATCTGCTTTTGCTGTGTCTGCGTTCACTTCGGGTACTGATCCCATCGCAATGCCCGTTTTGGCAGGCGGGGTAACATCGTTGGTTTGATCTTTCTGGGCAGAAACTTCCGGCTGTGTGGCATCCGCAGAAGGACCCTCACCCTGCACACTAGCTGTGGCAGTCTGAACCGGAACATTGCGGTCTTCGTCGCCAGCCTGATCGGCGCTGACTGTGGAGTTCGCCTTTTCATCTAAATATGGCTCCCTCGATTCTACAGTGCTGGAATCACCAGTAGGAGCCTCTGCCTTGTCTGGGGTAGGCAACTTATTGGAGGCAGGTGGCCGCATGGTCGTTTTCTTTGCGGGCAAAGCAGTGTCATCTGCATCAACATCCGAAGAGCAACAGCCCAAGAAAGCCAAGAGCTTAGATGGACTTTTCTTCTGTTGAGACTTTGAGCTGTCCTCAGGCATAGTCGACACCTCTTTACTCTCCTCCACATTCACTCCGTCCTGAGTCCGACGCGACCGTCGGCTACTTGCCCGACTGTGATCTCGTTTCGACCGCAGAATGCTCACTTTGGAACTCCGTCGCGAAGGCTCATCCTGCGCTGCTTCCTCCGACTTTTCCGACCCCTGTTGTTTGTTTCGCAAGGATCGTCGCGATGGGATCGGGATCAACAAATGGCGTTTCTTCGGTGCGTTGACGCCTTCAGCAGCCGATGTTTTATCAACCGGTGCAGTGGAAGACAAAGCCGGATCGGAAGGTGCGACAGAAGTTGCGTCCTGGATCTCGGTCGCATCAGTACCTCGACCTTGTTCGGACTCAACTACGGAAGGAACGATGTCAGCAATCATATCCCTTTAAAGTACAAGTGAAGAAAGGAACAAGCGCATTCACTTACTGGCTGAGCCTGGAACCCCAGAAGTATTCATGGTGGCTTTGTTTTCAGATTCCGGAGCTGGATCTCGCCCTGTTTCTCCACTCATTATTGAGGATGGCTGTGTCAGGTGCGCTGACACAGATAAATATAGTGAATGGAAGCGAAGCGAAACAGTTCCCAGGTCTTAAAGGTCGAATCAATGCCAGAACTCCCTGAAGTCGAGAGAGCGGCTATTAGGGATGTTAACAAGCCTCCTGGATAAGCAAGGCTGGAAGTTCGCACGTACCGCCTTTGGCCCCGGGAGTGATCCAACACCCACTGATTGCAGGTTTTGAAACCGACAAGCTAAACGAACAGCAAAGGGATATGTTATCTCTGCCGTTCTTAAGGAGGATGCTCGGGGGAAGAGGAGTCAAGAGTCGGGGGGATGTCACGTGAACCTACGGTGTGGGAAAACGGGGGGGAAATGGGAATTTCCTTTTTTCATTTTCTGACGCTAAACAGGGCTAACAAGGCTAGCAAGGCACAGGGGCCCTTTTTTTCACACGCTACTCCAAGCCATCAGCGGCTACGGTAAATACTCTTACTTGTTATCACACTATTGCAGAAGGGTACCCTGCATTTGATGTTACTTTTACGTTTTTAACGTGTGATCCTTACTCTTGCCCTATAACATCATACCTACAACATCGGGTCTGAGTCAAAACAAAACAGAATCATTTTTGAGATCCCGATCAGGACCTGTGGGGGGATCTAATTGTGGATATTAACTGTGATTGTTATTGTATGGCCCCTTTTTTATGGCCACTTTTATACTTTAATGACCACTCATATGCCAGTAAGAGGAGCTATGGCCTTCAAAACGTGATTGATTTCATTTGATGTGATCCCCAAATTAGATCCAGTCCAAACTACAAACTAATTGCGAACTGCAAATTGAGTTGTATCTGTGTGTTCGTGTTCGAATTCTCGAGGTCTAGTTGGGTTGGAATGTTTCAAAAAGGTTATGGGGGAAGTGGACATAATAAAGCCAGAAAGGTTATCAAAGAAAAGAATACCCCGGTGGAGATATAATCCATGGGAATATCACCAGGATCAAGGGTTCCCCCATTTCTATTAATATCTTCAAATTGTCTAAAAGATCAAAAGGGCAAGGGAGAGATGGCTGGGCAGATGAAAAAGGTACAGTCAGCTTTCAAGGGTTTCCCCACGTGAGGCTTCTCCACATATCCGAGGTTCACATGCAATCCCCATATTGTCCACCTCAACTTCACTTTACCTTGAAATGCCTTCCATATGGTTGGAAACACACTCAAAACTAATCTGGCCTTCGGACTCTAGGGACCAGCCTTCAGTTACCTCGTGAGTCGGAGGTCTCAGTTTGAAGATGGCTGTCCAGTCAACCCTTCGGCATCCGGAGGATCCGCTCCTGGCACTATATCGTCATTACTCCGATCTCGTACGCTCCAAGTTTCAACGCACGTCAAAAACAGCCCGCTTGATTGCAACAGTAGCCCTTCTTTTCTCCATCATCGGATCTGGTTATGGGGGTTATAAATTGCTCCGAGGGAGAGCCAAGGAGCGAGCCCGGGGTCGCCGTCTATTACGCCGAAACTCTGGTATCCGGGGTAAAGATGGATCTCGAACTATCTACGTGCCATACAAAGACTCTCTGACCTCCAAGGTTTTGATCCATCCCACGAAACCGACTACCTTCGACGCTCATCGACGACTGTTCCTCAACCCCCCAGCATCGGCTCGCAGCAAAGATGATGGCTCAACAAGTCAGATCCCTCCTCCTACAACCAAACCAGGTCTAAATTTGGCATTCCTACATCAGTTCTTGAGCTTGGGTAGTATCATGGTCCCGAGATGGGGAAGTAAAGAGACTGGATTGCTGATGAGCCACGGTCTTTTTCTCTTGATGAGAACATATCTTTCATTGTTGATTGCCCGGCTTGATGGTGAGATTGTGAGGGATCTAGTCGCTGGGAAAGGAAAAGCTTTCTTGTGGGGCATTCTCAAGTGGTGTGGAATTGGAACACTTGCTTCATATACCAATGCGATGATCAAATTCCTCCAATCGAAGGTTTCCATCGCCTTCCGCACTCGGTTGACCCGGTATATCCACGACTTATACCTAACCGACAATAACAATTACTATAAGTTGATGAATTTGGACGGTGGAATTGGTCAAAGCCCTGATCAGTTTATCACCCAAGATCTTACCCTGTTCTGCACGGCTGCCGCATCACTATACTCTTCGATGGGAAAGCCGTTGGTGGATCTTTTCGTATTCAACTATCAGCTTTACCGCTCACTGGGTCCTCTTGCCCTGAGCGGCATTTTGGCTGGGTACTTCAGCACAGCTGTGGTACTGCGGAAACTGTCACCACCATTTGGAAAGCTCAAGGCCGTAGAGGGCAAGAAGGAAGGAGATTTCCGTGGCCTACACTCCCGACTTCTAGCCAATGCTGAGGAAATCTCTTTCTACGGCGGAGCTGATACCGAGCGGGTGTTCCTGGTCAGGAGTTTCAAGGAGCTGCAGCGATGGATGGAGGGCATTTACAGTCTCAAGATCCGCTACAACATGCTCGAAGACATGATCTTGAAGTACTCTTGGTCGGCATTCGGTTACTTGATAACCTCCCTGCCCATCTTTCTCCCCGCCTGGGGTGGCTCGGGTGGTGCAATGGAATTGGCCAATGCACCCGAGGTTACAGGTCGCGAGCGTGGCCGCATGAAGGAGTTTATCACTAACAAACGTCTTATGCTTTCTCTCGCCGATGCTGGAGGCCGCATGATGTATAGTATCAAGGACATATCTGAACTCGCTGGCTACACCTCTCGCGTCTACAGCCTGATTGCCACCTTGCACCGTGTTCATGCCGATGCGTATTACACCCCACGAGGCTCCCACCCCGAACTATACTCTCTTGCCGATTCCCAAGGCACCACCCACAACGGTTTCGACGGAGTCCGCTTGGAGCAGGTCCCGATCGTCGCACCATCCCTCCATCCAATGGGCGGTGACGAACTCATCGAGTCGCTCTCATTCATCGTCCACTCAGGCGAACACCTCCTCATCTCGGGTCCAAACGGCGTAGGCAAGTCTGCAATTCCCCGTATCGTGGCCGGGCTCTGGCCCGTATACCGCGGCCTGGTTAGTCGTCCTCGAGGCTTCGGCCTAGACGGAATCATGTTCCTCCCCCAGCGGCCTTATCTCAGCGTCGGCACTCTGCGCGACCAAGTGATCTACCCGCACACGGAGGTCGACATGCGCGAAGCTGGCGAGACAGACGCAGCCCTACAGAAGATCCTCGATGACGCCCATCTTGGATACCTGCCACAGCGTGAAGGCGGTTGGGACGCTCGCAAGGAGTGGAAAGACGTTCTTAGCGGTGGTGAGAAGCAGCGCATGGGCATGGCCCGGCTCTTCTACCATGAGCCGCGGTATGCATTCATGGACGAAGGCACTTCGGCTGTTTCCTCGGACGTTGAGGGCTTGCTATACGATAACGCCAAGGAGCGAGGTATTACTCTTATCACTATTTCGACGCGGGCGTCTTTGAAAAAGTACCATACCTATAATCTGACCCTTGGCCTGGGTGCCGAAGGCGAGGTCTGGGAGGTCGAGAGAATCGGTACTGAGAAGGAGAAGCTTGGTGTTGAGAAAGAACTTCAAGAGCTGCGAAAGCGTCTGGATAAGGTGGATGAGTGGAAGCAGCGTCGCGAGGAGATCGATCAGGAGCTTCAGAAGGTTTGGGCTAATGGTGGTGAAGTACCGCCGCCTTATCAGGAAGAAGAACACTCTGGCTCTGAGGCTCTAGTTGAAGTAACTGCGAATTGAATATACGCAGTCTCCATGCACAATTACTAAAGTGTCAACCTTTGGAAAGATAGACTGATGTTTAACAAGTCTATCCCTATGTACAGTAGGGATATTTCTATGTTAAGTCGTGTTGCAAGAATAGTTGGCCACTTCTTTAGCTTGCCATGTCTTCTTATGAATCTTTTTAGCAACTTTTTTCATATAGATGTCTTTTTTTTTCAAAGCTATTCCCCCAACTTACTATGTTGTAGTGTATCCTGCCCAGGTGGATACCCTTGAATTAAAGCGGCATGACGATTTTTCCGTTTTCTCACCGCCATCTTAAAGCAGCAATGTCCCTTATCGATAAGCTCACCACAACGAGAAAACTATGGGAGCTCCATAGTTCATCCTATCAACAACTCTTCCTCACTTGCGTTCTCATACACACCCTCTACTAATTGTCTAAAACAAATTATTGTGCTACATCAGTTTTCTATTTGAATTTTTCATCATTCCTGAGTCCCAAATTCCTTACAATCCATTCTGCACTCCCTGGGCTTCCCAGGCGGGGAAGACAAAGGGAAGACAAAGAGAAAATAAACATGTCTTCTAGCAGCGACGAAGATTACCTCAATGTTGAGTATATCCCTATGGAGAATACTCCCAGTGATGGAGACATGAGTACATGGCCTGGTGAAAATTACCTTGAACGCCCCGACTTTCGTTGGCGGCAGTTACTTGCTGAGAATTGGCTCAAGGCTATGGGATCTTATGAAGAGGGTGAGTTGCCAACAGATATCTCAGATTCACGTTTTCTTCAAGCATGCTGCCTGTGTTGCACTGTATGGTTTTGCGCGTTGTATTGGTCGTGTGACTGCGTCTGTCGCTTTGCCCAACTGTTGTTTGCTCCCTTGATCCTTTGTGCTCTATACTATCCTTCTCTGTTCTTTCTTTGTTTCAAAACTTCATATATCTAGTCTCAGACTAACAGAGCATATGTAAGGTGTCGCTTATGCCATTGAAAAGTTGCCTGATGGATACGGCCTATTTCAGCGACCTCGTGGCACCAATCCTTCAATTGTAAGCTTTCCAGTGTTCGTCCTGATCTCAACTAACATTATTATACAAAGTTTGACCCTTTTCTGTTTGGCCATCCGAGCGGTCGGTATTTCCAGTCACAAATCAGTTTCTTCCCCCATTTCCTAGCTCTAGTCAGGAACGAGTTGGACAAGTGTGAATGCAAACTCTGCATTCCAATGAGGACAAGCCAAGGGAGTTCCGTGCGGGGGACTTCGGCGCCGGGAACTAGAAGAGCTATGCAGCCAAGTGAGTGCTACCATTGTCTCTATGGTAGATCGTTTATTGACGCACATTGAGTCACCACTGAGCGTCGGCCCGCTGATGCAGAGGGTCCGGATTACTGGCGGATTATGGTTATGAAATTGAAAGATAAGGGGCATCTCGATGAAGATATTGAGCAAAAATTCAATCTCGACTGGGTGTTGACCCATGAATGGCTTTCAGATTACTTCATGAAACTGGTCCTGGATCCCGCTTACGTCCCTCGTCGGGGCGAGCTTGTTCTGTGGATCTGGCAGGGTCTGGAAGACGGCTGTTTGTTGCGCAACCCCGAGACTGGGTTTATTGAAATATTCGGCAACGACAACGAGTGGCACGGCGTGCCCAAGTGGCGTGCCGGTGTGGTTACGCAAACCCCTGAGGAAGAAGGGCATATGGTGAATATCATCGAAACTCCGGATAATCCACGCGGGCTAAGCTACTCTGGTTTCCGGGTGGAGACTCTACCGGATCCACTGGGTAATGACAAGTCTTACTCGGTGCAATACGCCTATGTTCCATTGCGTAACATCAAACCTTTCAACACATGGCAAGCCTACCTCAATGGCCAACAGCGAGAGGACGCACATCCATCCATCGAGAATGCTATGACCGTCATGTCTTCCTGGAGCATGGTTCACAAGTTCCACGTTATTGGCGACTGGCCCAACGCCCGGATCCAGTGCAAGGGAATCTTCGTTGGAGCCGAACTCCTTGCCCTACACGACACCGTCCGTCTTAGGCCGCATGGATTCCATCCTGACCAGCTCAAAGACGGAACAGTCGGCGAAGTGACGGACGTGATGGTCATTGAAAAAATCCAACTCTGTCTTTCGGAGTGTACCGACACCGACCCGGAGCAGCTAGCAGAACACTTCACGGCCCTAATCTCCGGCAAATTATTCACAACCAACCCAAATCGTATTACCGAAGATGGTCCATTCAAATGTACAGATGCAGCAACCGAACCTATCCCCCTGACTGCGGAAGAAGCAACGACTACCTTCCGCCAGGTCGGCTTGAGCGACTACGGTCCCTGGTACCGCATGGCAGATGGCAGAACTTGTAACGTATCTCCGCACCTAATCATCGGTCGCTGCTACGAACCCCTCGCGGCAGAACTCATGTTCGGCACCCACGCCTTGGGTTACGACGTATCCGGCGTTATGGAAGGTCGTGCATACTCCTCGCAAGTCGATACGCGCATGGCTAAGGGCAAAACGTGGTTCTGGGGCGACTGCCGGGTTGAAACGCTCGGACTGACAGAGATCAACGGCGTGGAATGCGGTCGTACGGCGGCGCAGCGTGAAGACCCCCGCAAGTGGCAGGCGATTATTAAAATGTCGCACGGCGAATTCAGTCACGCTCTCCGACGCCAGGCTAATATCCCGTCTTCCGGTGGTCGACCCTTTAAGTCTTCATCTTCCGCTCTGAAGGGTACTAGCTCGCGGCCGAAGACTGGTCTTTCGCAGGTTGCACGGAACAGTAAGATGGTCAGTTCTGCTATTGGCAGTGCACCAGAGACTGAGGAGGACTCTTTTGACGATTATACTGGATTGACTGATGATCCAGTGACTGGTGGTGTCTCTGGGCTGGGGCTTCAGGGCAAACATTCTTCTGGGGAGGATAGTGGGGAGGACTATCCGTTTGCGTAGGTTGATTCGACCTCATTGACCGTTTGTATTCCCTCCTTTTAGCGGCATATCCAAGATACCCATGGGCGTTACGGAGGGATAGTTCTATCTTAGCCAAATGAAATTATGTACGAATAGCATAATGTCCAAGTACGATGTCAATGTGTAGAATAATAAGCGGGAAATATGCTCATGTTGCAACTCATACTAACAGAGAAGTAGAAGATAGGTAATATCGATTTCATATCTATATCCATAGAACGACATACCCTTATACACACCTTAAACCTCACTCTGTCCAGCAGGATTCCCTCTAGCCGACCTCTTCTTCTCAGACCAGGGGAAATGAATAACAGGAGGCAAAAAGAAGCTATTACTACTATCAGCCATACCAGCAAAGGCATTATACCACGCCAAGAAAGCACCAATCAGAGCGAATAGTCCACCAGCCTTTATCAATTTTTCATTCGGCACTCCATCCACATTGAAAAGGTATCCAAGGGCGAGCAAGAGCAGAGCAAGGTCGACGAAGAAAAACAGCGAAAAGAACGCAACAGTGGATTTGAGAGTCAGCATCGTGACCAGCGTTGTAAAGATGAACCAGCCCTAAAGAAAACAAGTTAGCTTTCTCCTCCTTCTTTTTATCCGGAATAACATACAAAGAGATACAATGCAAGTGAATGATAAAACATAGCATGAGACCCATGATCGGCCTCTTCAAGGGCCCCGATGATATTAAATCCACCAGGGATGAAAGTAATAGCCAGCGAGATCCAGAAACCACCGTAGGATGAGAGGACCGTCGCGCCGAAGGTATTGCCAATAGCCATTTCCCTAATTAGTTAGCGAAAGATAAATAAAATGCCATATATTTCCATAACTGGGTAACATACCACATGCCAGCCAAGAGCTGTACCAAACCACCGTAAGCCAAAGCTGGCCCGACGACAATATTAGGCGCAGCGATGCCCTTGACGTTCATGTTTAGACATCCCAGTACGAAGGTGGTGAGTGCGAAGGCGCAGAGGCCTAGCGGTGCTGGGTTGGCGAGCTTGCGGTCTTTGGGAATGCGGTATAGACCTGGCTGGAGGTCACCTCCAAAGGCAGGGTAGCGACTTGAGGCTGTGTTGACGTGGGCTAGAGGGCCGAAGTGGCCTGTTTCGTAGTCGTCTGTGCTTGGGGAAGAGTTGTTTGTGTCTTTGACACTAATTCCCTCTTGGGACATTGTGGGTTAAGGGTGTGAAGGAAGATGTAGTATAGAAGAGGGAAATAGCGGTATTGCAACAATTCTGGAGGGAGAATGAATGCACAGGAATTGAATTGGGAATTCATTCTGCTTTATGTAGACAGTCGTGGATAGCTAGACATAACCACAATGGCCATATCAGAATTCTGGGGAAGATCGGCGATAGTGCGGGGGAAAGAACCAAAAAGGAGTCTCAGGGATTTGACAATGATGGCATGATATTGCTGGTATCTGGGTCAAAACAAGTGAACTCAACAAAACTCCTTGCCACGATGGACAGTTCCGTACGTCCGTAGACGATCATATTGCGAGTGATATATCGAGCGAAGATCAACATGCAGATCTCATTTCAGACTTAAAACTATGGGGAAATGCGGAGACCACTAGTAGATCTTGGATCTACTTATAACAGGGTTGATGAGGGGATTACAATATATATGGGCCTTTCGGGGTCTTAGGTGCCCAAATGATGTTGGATTATCGTGTAGTTGCTTGGCTACAGGTCTTGGTAGTTCAGTCACTGCCGACATTCATTGCCGGAGGACATTGGGTCTGGAAATGCGTTGAATTCGCCTCCGGGGATTCTCCATTCTGGTTGGCCATCATTTTCTCCAAAAGACCAAAATAAGGATCAATTTGAATTAACCTAATTCCACTCAAAACATGGACTGAAAAAACAACTATACTCAATAATTCTTCTGCACAACGCCCCTTGCAAACTCCGCAAAGCTCAACCCAGGCTGAACCTCCTCCTCAAGATTCGGCTGCGTAAACACAGCAAGAGTATTCCTCGCAATTTTCTGCCCAGGACTAGCCTTGGCCCCCTTAACAAAATGCGGCACGGCCATAAACTTGCCGCGAGTGATCAACTGCAAGGCCTCACCGGTCTGGAAAGCCAGACAATCCTTGGGGATATTGACCTTAACGATTTCATCAGTGCGCGAGCGAATGTACAGTCCAGCCGACGGGTCCGGGGAACGGGGCAGTTCAGGGAGAGTGGCAGGGACAGATCCCGAAGATGAATCAAGAGTTGGAGGGGAAGCCGCTTCATCAAGGAACATGGCTGATGTCAAGCCTGTCAGACAGCCGTGGTCAAGATGTGTGGCGCACCAGTCATCGTCACTGGCAGCCTCTTCTTCCTGATTGCCGGGGAAGTAGTGTAGCAGCCGCGCCTTGGTTGTCAGGCTGGTTGTCACGACGTGGTGCAGATATCCAGGCTTGTAGTCTTCGATGTTGGCTTCCGCGTAGCGATCACATGCCTTGGCGACGAGAGCCGCGGTATCGATGATCAGCTTGCATAGTGACTCCACGCTACCCCTGAATTCGGGTAATTTGGTTGGGGAAGGCCAGATGTTTGGCGCGGTATACTGGGGTAGATCGGGGAAATTATCTGCCGGGGCGCTTTCTAGAGATGCATCCTGATAGAAGGCGCAATTCACATAGTACGAGCCCTTCAGTGTGTCGAAATGGCCTGATTTCAGTGTTTCTTTACCGCAGGACCAGCCGACCAAGTATTTGGATTCTGGGCTGGTAAGGGATTCTACGTGGAGGTTAGTTTGATTCCGCAAGTCAGGGTGGGTTGTAGACTTACCCAGTTCTGGTTCAGGGAGAGCTGCCAGATATGAGGCATTGGAGAGAACCTTTGCTCGCAGGTCGCTAAAGGTCGAGGGGAGGTCTTTGACGACAATAATGCCCAGAGAGGCCGGTCCGAAGGCTTCGGTTAGAGTGTCGAAGGATACAGTTCCTGCATGACTTAGTATCTACTCTTTGTCTTTCTAAACACATAACTTACCATCTACAAGTTCCTGCAGACTGACAGTAACGGCGTCAGCCACCTGGATGTTGTTCTCCATGATGTGTGTAGAAATCAAAACTTCCCCGCTTCCAAGCGTTTTATCTTAGCGCGCTATCTTTTCAATATAAATGGCTTCCCGAGGTCCTTCGCCTATTTGCACTAAGCCGACACGATGTTACTTGATGCAGGGATACAAAGAACATATCCAATCGGAGTCGAGAATTCAATTCCCATTCTTAGTATATCATACAAGCCATATCTAATATTACAAAATTCTCACTCGCTGCTCGACTGCCCATGGCGTCTAGTCACAGCCCGGAGATTGCCAAATGGCAATACATCGCTAATTCGCTTAGCTCCGGTGAACAGCATACAGAGACGATCAACGCCACAACCCCATCCACCCGTAGAAGGCAAACCCCACTGCAGGGCTTCGAGGTAACTCTCGTCTACCTCGCCGGCTTCACCAGCAGCCTTGCTAAACCGCAGTTGGTCTTCGAATTTGCGGCGCTGCTCGAAGGGTGAGTTCTCCTCCTCGTATGTATTCACAACTTCCTTGCCCTCAATGAAGAGTTCACCGCGCGCGGCGACGCGCTGCTTGGTCGTTGGGTGGATGAAGGATTTAGAGAGTGGGGAGAGACATTCGGGTGGATTTATGATAAATGTCGGGTCGATGCATTGCGATTCGACGTAGATACTGCATAGTTCGTCGAGGAGGCGGGGGAGGGTTGGGTTTGTTGGGAGTGGGAGGGAGAGTTCGGTGAAGATGGCGAGAACTTTATCTAGGGCGTCGGGGGATTCGAGATTAGGTAGTTTGTGACCGGTGGCCTCTTCAATGCCTATAAGGAAGTCGATGCGGCGGAATGGTGCTGTGAAGTTGGCTGTCGTAGGGTTAAGAGTGCCTGTGTTTAGGGCGCGAATGTGGGCTGCCATGCCGGAGAGGAGGTCTTCAGTCATGGTCATTAGGTCTTCGAGGTTGGCATATGCCTGGTAGAATTCACAGGTGGTAAATTCTGCGTTGTGGGTTTTGTCCAGTCCTATATCTCATCAGCTTTGCTAGGCATGGGTCTTATCTGTTTCAACATACCCTCATTGCGGAACGAAGGTCCAATTTCGAATATCTTGTCGAACCCACCAACCACTAACCGCTTGAGCCACAGCTCTGGTGCAATTCTCAGCGACAGCTGGCGGTCTGGGAACTCAGTAGCGGATGTATTGAACGGACGAGCAATTGCGCCGCCTGCGCCAGACCCGATGATCGGGGTACTGACCTCCATAAAGGACCGGTCGATGAAGAACTGGCGTAGATATTGTACAAGCGCCGCGCGGGCTCGAATGATATCGGCCGTTGCGGGGTCGGCGAGGAATTGGACATGGCGAGGGTAGGGAGAGGTCTCGTGATTGGTATCGTGAATGGGCACATCATGCAGACACGGCGAGAGCAGCTGCGGCAACTCGCTCACGTCGATAGTGAGCTCGCCTCGTCCTGTGCGGTGCGGTCTACCGGTTACAGCTAGAATATCGTTTAGCGGCGACACTCGAGTCAAGCCGGACGGAGACGAGACATACAGAAGGCGTCACCGCGACGCAGAAGACGATAGAACTTCTTGAAGTCCTCGGGAGAGACACTTTCCAGACGACGCTTGTTGCACATCACCTGGACTTTATGGCCATCTTGCACGATATCGAAGAAGATCAATTTGCTTCCTGCGAGTCTATAGGTACGGATTCTTCCTACTATTCTAAGTACATGGGCATTGTAAAGGCCAGAGAGCAGAACCTACCAGATACAACGACTGTGTCTTCTACTGAATCATTGTCGGCGAGCTCGGCATAGCGAGAGCGAAACTCGGCGCAGCTCACTGTGCGTGTATCCACTGCTAGGCGAGGGTATGGGTCTGCGCAGGCATCTTTGATCTGCTGTATGCGCTCTTGCACAGCCTTTCCTGGCGATGCTGCAGAGCTATTATTTCGAATTGGCTGTATGGTTAGTCGTGATAACAAGGGAGTCTGAATGCGAGATTGTCTAGCGAGTCGCAGGCCTGCACTGAGAATTCTGGGTTAGCAATGGTCGATAAAATTGACACAATTGATCCAAAATTAAGCATTGAGCTTTGTCAGATAAAATCCAGTACGTTCAGTGCCCAAAAGGACATCACTGTAGCGGTTCTAATGCGGGGATATATCATCATATAAGGGGGATGGGAAAGATGGGAAAAATGGGAAACTGAGTTAAACAGTAAACAGTAAATGCAAATCTTACCTGTTCTTGAGGCCAAAGCCAGATAATGCCCATCTAGGGCGAATTGAAAGCATAGCAAATTGGCTTTGCTCTCACATTGTTGACAGAAGAAGAAGAAGAAGAGAAAAAAAAAGAAACGGAAGAACCGAGTTTTTCCACGCGGGTGGCCCAAGCTTCTCCGACCTCCCGTGCTCCGAATACGTTGGACACTCTGGTGCTACTACTCCATATATCAAGCCTCTTTATTCATCTACACTTCAAATCTACTTTCACATATACATCATGTCTTTCCTCTTCGGCGGTGCCCCCAAGATGTCCTCGGCAGAGAAGATCGCTGCCGCCGAGACAGAAGTCGAGATGATCTCAGACATGTTCAACCGGTAAGTTGAAGCTCTACGGAATATCCAAGCGCTGTATCTCGATTCAGAAACCAGAAGACTACAGAAACTCCCATTCCAAATCTATATTCGAAATATCTATGTCCCAATCCCAATTCTAACTTGTTTCCGTTGCGATAGCTTGACTGAGTCCTGCACCAAGAAGTGTGTTCCCGCCGATTACCGCGAAGGCGACCTCAACAAGGGCGAGTCCGTCTGCCTCGACCGCTGCGTGTCCAAGTTCTTTGATGTCAACATCAAGGTCAGCGAGAAGATGCAGGGCGAGGCCAATGCCAACAAGCAGGGTGGCGGCATGGGCTTCTAAACGTGTTAACAGCGAAATCTTTTTTGGAAGAAGCTCTGGTAGCCTTGAAGCTAGAGAGCTCGGTGGTCTTTGTTTCTATGTAAGGCTATTTGACTGGTTCGGCCTACTGAAAATGGGCCTGTTTTGAATGATGGTTCACGTTTTATACCATCCCGGATGGGAGGCACGATCGCCGGTCTATCTCTGACTATGTACAATATGGTGGATAAAGGAAAAACAGAGAATGAAAAAAAGAAAATATCATACATGTGTCGTCATTAGGTCGAGAAGCCCATGGATCGCGCTATCCATGCAGCCCAGGAAGTGTCATTCTGTTCCTCGCCTTTGACCAAGGCTTTGATTCTCGTCTCGACATTTACAATGTGACGGTCAAAGTCGCTCAGGCCGGCTTCCATGTCATCGACTTTGGACTCGAGGACGTGTAGTTCGTAGTCCAATTTGGCGCCCAGCAACTCAACGCGCTTCACGCCATCGGCGAGATGGTGGCTTTCATCTATGAGGATGTCACTGGATCGTTCTCGCAGTCTCTGATAGTCGGCGAAGCGTTCGAGGTAGACTGAGTTGAGCTCATCGTGTCGGTCATATAGAAGTTGGTTGAGACCTTCCACGGAATCCACTTGTCGTTCAACCCATGGCACAGTATGCTGGCTCAACTCTTGAATCCGCGAGCTGAAGATGCGGCCCTCTGAGGCAAGCATGTCCTCTTGAATAATGGCCTCCTCCAGGTTATCAGTTTCTTTGAACGTTGGTTTCCCGCCCAGCGGCTCCCATTTGAATATCACTTCTTCCACTGTGCTGAACGACAGGTGTCGTGCGCAAAAGTTGTCTCGCCGTTCAATCTCGCTTTCAGGGGTTCGGAATTCTTCGAAACTTTGCGGCCGCCGCAGGGCCATGACTGCTATCCCGCTGATCGAACCGTCACGTTCGCGGTCAGTTGATGCCACCGTTGACCGAGACATTACGCGTTCCATATCTGAATCTTCCTCAATGATTGGAGGATGCTGTGCAATGGACAGGTCTTGGGCTTGTGGTTCTGGCTCATCTTCTGGTACAGGTTCGATATGGATTTCAGGGGCCTTTAATGCAGGTTCGGGAGGTGGCGACACTTGAGGTTTCCCTTCCTCCTCAATAAGCTTTTCAATATCGTTTGATATCTTCCTTTCTGACCGGAGCCCAGAGTCAGTCCGCGTTTTTGTTGACCATGCCTCATTATCACTATCGATAAACGGACGGTATGCAACATCATGTGTCACCTCGGAGCTGTCTCGTGAATGATGATAGTGATGGCGTAGGCCCTGCAGTCCAACTGCATCTTTGAAGCGTCCTAACCCTGCTCGCGCGTCTGAAACTCGTCCGCTGACGCCCTTCTTGCGATGATCTTTTTCTTCAGAAGTCGGTTCTGGCATCTTCCAAGAGCGATCCAGCCCCGAGCTTCCTCGCTCGGCATTCAGATCCTCTATCGAATGCTTCTTGCGACTGGTCCAGACATAACCGCCTTGTTCATCAGTGGTAAACATCATATCCGATCCTGTACCGCGAGAAAATCCGTCTTCGACGCCACTCTTGCGCGGTTTGCCCAGCCACAGCCACTTTGCCCTTTCGCCATTGCAGCACTGTACGAAGGTATCAAGATCCAGTGTTTCGATATCGGCAATGCCACCTTTATCGCGCCCGCGGACCATTCCCATAACCATCTCACCACCCTGCCCACTGAGTTCCGCCATGGTTGACTTCACTGCATCGGTCCAGCCTTCTGCATTCGCGGCCTTAGCCGTGACGCGGTGTAACCGGTCCAACGTAAGTCGGTCCAGTCTTCGCGATCGCCTCATTTTTTGAGATTTTTGGAATCCACCAATGCCTCTTTTTAGGTTGGGAATGTCAAATGCATCTTTCCCCACGGGGGCGCCAAAGGCGTGCAGTCGATTTCGAGCTCCAAGCAACGTGCCCAGCAATGCAGCCACGCTAGTGGGTCCTAGGCTACTATCACCCGGCTCAATGTTGTACAGGTCTGTTCCAATATCTGTCCACCAATCGCTAACTGCTGCCTCTGTCACATCACAAAGTAGCCCATCCACATATTCCGGGGCTAGCTTGTCAAACACCATCAAGGCAATCTGACACTGTCTGACCAATTCCATGACCGCTTGGTATAAAGGAACCCGCTCACTTGTCCGGTACAGCTGATGAAACTTGGCTTCGGTCGCCGCTGAAGGAGGTTGAAGCTTCAAGCCCGCGCGGCCTGCGCACCCAAGTCTCTTTAAATCTTCATTCACAATGAAATCTTCCCGGTGTTTCTTAATGTCGCCGTTGGGTATTGGAATTAGACTCAGGGCAGAAGGAAACGAGGACAGATCCGTAACCATGACCGTCCCTAGTGGTGTTTCCTTCCTTCTGGCGTGACATTGCTTCATGGCATCAAAGTACATCCGTAAGCGAGGCGACCATGTTGCCTCATTAGTCGGAACACTCAACACTCCCACAATGACTGTGTGCGAAGGGTCACCGGTATAAGTCGAGATGATGAATGTTGGATGCACACGAGAGCAGGCCCATTGTTCAACGATATAAATTTCATAACCTTGTAGTGTTGCACGTCGCTGGAGTACATCGGTCGAGGGGTCTTCTTCGAGGTATCGGAGGGCGACCGCATCCGTGAACACAAGTCGCTGGTGGCCCTGCGATGGGGGACGTTCGGCTCCGGTTGCGTGGGAGGCGGCCTCCGACGGCGCGGAGTCGGTGCGATCGACCGTGGGGGCACTCGGGGCGTTTGTCTGCATGATGGCTGGTCTCCTTTCCAAGCTTATTTGCCAAGGAAACGAAGATGAAAGTAGCGCTGATCATTCAACCCTAAAGCAGGTCACCGCTCCTAAGCTCAAGATGCGAAGGGAAGGCCTTCCTTCGATCCTCCTGCACTCTTGGTCAGGTCGGAACAATTGTGGCATATCCAGGCAACAGGGTTTGAGGCATAATATTAGCCTAAAGTGAAACGAGTTAAGGCAAACGTAGTATGGGCGGACACCTTGCAAACCACATAAACGCCCCGAAAGTGTGCAGAAGTGGCGACGTCATCCCGTACCTTATGGGAGACGAATCATGTGACCATGGCTGTCTGGTGGGACCTCCGAAATATTGGGCCAAGCCAAAGTACCTAGATATACCGCCTTTTCTATTATGCCAGTTCTGCCGTTCTAAACTATACTTTATACACGTGATGTAGGGCTGTGAGCCTGGTAGCTGGTAGTCAATAGGTTATACATAAAAAAAAGTCGTTCGCATAAATTAAGCCTTTTTCCGCCTTTTCTTGCCGTCGACCTACTTAAACAGAATGATACCTGTGGACCACTGAAAAGACCACCGAAAATATATCCCTGGCCCTATATTCTTGTGCCTGTATAACTACAAGAAATGCGGTATAAAGGGCGGTATGTCTGGGTACATCGATTTGGCCCAATGTTTCCCACTGCATATGGATGGATAAATTGCTAGGCTAGCCGATACAGAAATATAGAGACTTAAACATCATTGATTGGACTCTTATTTTACAAGACGACTTTCCTTGACACATTTATATAGATGTGAGCTTCAGAACCCAGTTTACGTCTTTGTTCGCTCTTGACTAGAGAGTTTCCTGGTTCAGAATCAAAGATGCAACTATTTTCTCTATCTCTAAGCTTCAAAATGTGGTATTACCCATGATCATCTGGGCATTATTCCACTTAGCAATCAGATGACCTCGTGTCTCCCATCCACCCGACCACGCAGGGAGGATTTTGGCAGATTATAATGGGCTTGAGTCAAGTAGTCCAACCTGTTATTATTCAATCAAGCCTCCTAACGTATTACTAGGATTCTTAGCTTGCTTTACCAAGTGGATTAGGTTCAATTTTCATGTCATCTGCTAGAAACCTTCTGCTAAAACTACCCCATGAAAAATGGCTTTGTTGGGTAAGTCTGTTCATTAGGAAATTGTGCACAAGCAAAAACTTCTCCCCAAGTGTGCCGCATGCGTGGTAATTTCCCCAGGAGATGCTGCTGCAGGTCCTCTTCTGTCGAGATCAATCGCGCCCAAAATGTTGTGTAGACATGTGGTATAAAGATTCGCACAGCGCCAGCAAAGTCAGCATGCCGTAGAGGAATATCTGGACTGGTAGTTCCATCATAGGCTGCCTGTGCAGCCATTACAAATGCTGGGGAGGGCATTGCTGGACAGGAAATCACCGATTCAATGGCATCCGTATTGGCATAAAGGAATGCATCATGACGGAGGCCTGGATCAATTTTGTTCTCTTCGCAAAGACGTCGGAAGTAGCTAAAAAGGAATTAGCAGTGCGCTGGGGCTATGCAGGCCATCAGTAGCTGGGAATTTATCTTACCTGCAAAGATCAATCACAGACGCATTTTCCATGGATTGATCCTCTATCCATTGTATCTTCCAATGTGGCCAAATACACGGAGAATTTAAAGGGAATACTAGTGCAGATTCCGTAGCATGGATGAAGAATTCTTTGAACTGCTCCCACGATGAGTCTTCGCCAAATGAAGTCCGGAGGCATACAAATCCCCACGCTGGCTGCTGTTCAAGATGTTTCTTGACTCCCTCGACCCATGGTAGCTTATTACACCTCGTAATATTTTTGAGGTCATCGATGGAGAAATTCCTGAGTTCTGGCTTCCTAAGGGCTTTGATCCGCTTAATAATGATCTCTGCGTTCGTATGAGCTTTCTTCTCTGAATCCATTTCCGCGACGGTGAGAAGCAAGTTAAGCGCATCCTGAAACTTCTTCTTCGTGTTTGGTGACCACCATCTTTGATTGCCCATGTACTTCTGATCTTCAGGAATAGAATTGCCGAAAGGAGTATTGAGAATAATGATCGCCTCCATCTCAGTAAGGCTATCCGTCCTGGCGGCCTTTTGCACAAGCCCATCAGTGGTAGATCCAACGTAAGCATTGCAGTAATAATCTGCTTTATCCAGGGGCCATCGACGAAGCATTTTCAGACGGTCTTCAGTCGTGAGGATGGAGGGATCGACTTCTTTGACGGCTCTTTCCCACTTGTCAACGTCTTCCTGTGGTGGTTGTGGCCCTACGTCAAGGAATCTCCATCTGACTTCGGTCGCGTCCGTCATGACGAGAAAAATGGAAATTATGGGTTACTTGTAACGTCGAAGGTGCTGTAAATTTCAAGGAGTGAGATGGAGAGAAGAAGAGAAGTGAAGGAAGATAACAAAATAAACCAATCTACAGCCAACAAAGAGGTACATATGCAAACGCGGACAACATATGTGTAGTACGGCGGTTTTGCACGACTGCAGTATGCTTACATTATGATTCGTTTAATTCTAGGATTTTCCTCATATATGTCGCTAGATTTCAGATACAAGTTCCTGTGGGAGAGTTTACTTGGAGACTTCCGAAGTTAGAAGTCTTTAATCTATGGATTCTTTTGATGGAATTGATTCGCAGAAATATTTATACTACAGAATGCATATAAACACATAACTTTGTACGGAGATCAATTAATTGTTAACATTTTGTTAAACCCCCATGGAGTGTTGCTAGAGGAAGGTTGAGTATGCAATTTTTAGTAAAAGATTCATCACTACACTATTTATACTAGTAAGAAAGAGTCTATTAAATGTCCTTGATTTCAAGCTGACTACATTTAAATTCGCACCTGATGCCCTCCTATCTTGATAGTTCTGATATCTCCTACATAGTGGGACTGTGACAATCTTTTCCTGAAACGCTGTATATTCACATATTTGATATGCTGATTGGGCATTTGAGGTCTCCCGTTCTATGGAGACGGGATATCCCAAGTCTCCGTTCCCGTAATGAAAGTGTCCGGCTCCTCGTCAATCTCTTCAACTATATTATTGATCGAGTTCAGAACGTGTGCGGCGTTCGGGTGTCCAGCTTGCTCGGCTTGCGTCCACACGTCCCAAAGACCGTTTAGTCGGCGTCGGACCCAAGACTCGACTCGCTCCATTCTGGCATTGACCACATAGAACGCGAACTCCATATTTCGCGTGCCCAAGTCCTCGAGATTTCGTTGTGGATCAACCACATTGACACGTCCAGTAAAGTATCGCAACTCATCCGTGATATCGCGAAGGGAATCAGATATAATGCGCTCGGTGTGGTTATTCCAGTAACTGAACACGTGCGCTGCCTATTCAATTCAGCACCCATCAGTCAAGCAGACCAAAAGTGCTCAGCCATACCTGGTTTACAACAGAAAGTGCCTCGTCCACTCGGCCAACGCTATCCGGCAAATTCCATTGGTCATAACCATGCTCTTTCCAAGTGGTATCGGCCATTGGGGATATACCAGCGAAAATTCGTGCTTTATAAGAATTTAATGTCTGCTCGGTATTGACATTTCTTTGAGGATTGTTCCTAGACCCGAATGCCTCCCATATGCGATCAATTGGGATGCCAGTTCGAGTCCCAGTAGGGTCCCAAACTGAATATTCGGTCTGGAAATAGCTGTTTTCGTCGAGAAGGTCCCTGGGGACGACTCTCATATTTGAAGTATATACAGTTCCATCCGGGTCTGTGTTCGTTCCCCGCTGGAAAAACTCCAACGAGCGCGGCAGATACTGCAGCTCTAGGCCATGCTCAGTATGATAGATTAGAGTAGGATCATTAGAATTGGCTGTCGCTGTTAGATCCTCGCAATTATATGGATCGTTAGCAGCATGGTGCCCTGCGTTAGGATTCTGGGCGAGAAGATCAGCACCATTATGGCCTGAGTAGTAAGTAGGCGACAACGTAAGGGGGAAACTTCAACGGGACAAACACTCGGTGTGCTGAGTACCATCAAGCGGCTGCCAACGACACGTGTAGCTTAATCACAGTGAAAATGGGTATCAGTTTAGTAGATTTTCACTTTTTGAACCCAGATGTCAACTCAACAAGCTGCAATAACTTGATACCGGGAGAATCTTACTGTGTGAAGGCAGTTGGAGATATCAATACCTATTCCGGCTATGAGGGTGTCACTCAGACTAAGTGTATGTACGAGGGCACTATCGCGAGCTCATGCTTGGCGACCACCACCTTGCCAACAGACACCTATTGGGACTTTCCTTCAGCCATGGATTCGACCAGTATATCCACAAGTGTTCCCGCCTATACAGCTCTGCCTTTTGCATCAGGCACAGTGTCTAATTGTGCTAAGTACGAGAAATATTACGACCCTGGAGCCAACAGGTCTAATACTATGAACACGTGTGGCTTCATTGCCTACTTTATCGGGATTACAATCGATGAACTATTGAAAATGAACCCTTCGCTGTCATATAACCATTCGAATCCCAGCGCTTGCTCCTTGCAAAAAGGCTACCGCTACTGTGTCAGACTACCGAATGGCACGGCCTCGATCACTACATCATCTCCTTCTAGCCATTCGCAACTACCGCCGGTATGACTACCTGAGCTAGTATTGAATAACAACAAAATCTGGCATAGTCGGAAACTGTGACAAGTTCTACGGTGTGATTTCCCTGGTTTACAGCCTGACTTCTAGATTTGCGTTGGTCTCTGTCTCGGTATTTGAGTACCGCGTTGGCATTTTTCGTATCACAAGAACGGTGTGGACTTCCTGTTTAGTCTTATCTGTAAGGCTTCCATATTGCAAGTGTAGAATATTATTTTATCCTGCATCATACCAACGGGTCATGTGCCAGTGTAAACAAGCCCGGATTCAATTTTACCTGCGTAACCTAGGCTAGCCTAGATCGGTACGTAGGTAGGCCACGATAGAATATAATCTCCATGGCACAAGACATCTACATTAACCGCCATGATCTAGCATACAAAAACAGATCAAAGAAACACACCATGATCCCCCTTCCTTCCTTGTGTTTCCAAGACGTTTCAGTACGTAGTACCTCCCGTAGCCCATGTTGGAATCTCCGTTTTATCTGCCTTTCATTCTCAAGTCGAGCAGGCGTTGCGGTAGATTAGTAGAGGCATCGATCAGTGTTCCATCAACGTTTCGGATGAAAGCACTGAGGCTTTCAAATCATAGGTCACCGACCAATCGCCCGCCGGCTCAGGCTCAGGCAGTTTGAGCTCCGGGTTGTGTCTGTTCATTCCCTTCGCAAACAGCACCCTAGCATAGTCGAGGTCAAACACGAATGTCGTCTCGCCGGTCACAGAGTTTTTCACTTCCGCTGTAGCCAAAACCTCATCTATAGCGATGTACTCCTCCGGTTTCGGCACACTTGCCCTCTCGATTTGTTCCTTCACATGCTTTGCAGTCTCGGCATCGAGCCGGGTGTCGATGAAGTATAACTTGTCTGAGCCGGCCACTGCCACGTATGGAGTATCCGGCGCCACAACCTGGAGTCCATATCCTGTTCTAATAACCTTTGGTATATAGTTGCCCCGATATTCCTCTTGGAAAGTTGGTGAGCCTTCGCATGGTCGGAACGGGCTCAGAAGCATGGTGATTAATAGTAGAAAGAGCATTATGGCATAGGGACAAGTTGAATACGTACGGAGTCTGCTTCATATCTGACATCGTGCAGGCTGATCTCATGATTGGTCGAACTAGCGTAGGCTGACCTCGTTCAAGCTAATCTCATGATTGGCCATCGCATTGCTATCACAATGTTACCTCGCGTTGGAGACCCCTGCTTAAGCCTTGACATACGGGGTCCGTGAACATAATCTCCATTGTACAACAAATCTCCGTTTCGCCCCCTGTTCTAGAAAGCCCCCTGAGTTACATGCATCTCGTATCCAATCTGTCATATACTATGCTCTCTAGTTCCATAGTTTATATACACAACATCTTCTGGTATACATTGTTCCGGCCCCTGATATTTGAAACTACATGCTAATTCCTCTACGGGAACAATGACATCGAGAAAAAGTACCAAATTTTCGAATGCCATCACCAGGATATTTGACAGCGAGATAGCAGACACAATTCCCGTTTCCAAAGATGTGCCATGTTATAAGCCTATTATTTCAAAATATTTTCTCCAAAATATCTAGGATATCCACCTCCAATCACCCCGCACCCGAATGTCTACCGTCCATGCTATAGAAACGTCAGCAAAAAGCTCATCTGGATGGACGGGCTATACAGACTCCTCCCTGATGACTACCTGCTCCACCATGCCCACCGTGGTGTTGTCCATGACCGCCAGGACCACCGTGATGTTGGGGATTGGGACCACCCTGAGGTCCGCCGTGGCCGTGATGATGACCCTGCTGGTGGCTGTGGTTCCCATGGTTCCCGTGTCCGTGCTCATGCTCATGCTCGTGTTTATCATGCTCATGCTCGTGCTTGTGGTTATTGTGCTCATGCGTGTCGTGCTTGTCGTGGTGGCTAAAGAGACCCATGGTTGATTATGAGATGAGGATGCCGGGGTATGGTGGATTGATGAACAGTGAGATTGGGAGTTACTTGAGTGTGAGTATAATTCTAGAAGGATGAAGAGGCACCAGGCATTATTTATAAAGACTGAGTGGCGTCAGCAACGTGGATAATGAACTTGTGCTAACTGAACTGAGCCTAGTTCTAGATGATGGCATACTTACGACTGCTGATGTGGGGTAGCAGAAGCCTATCTATAATTGGGACGAGCTAGTTCGGCTACTTGGTGGATTATTGATGAAGAGGTAACCGTATCTCGGATCAATTCGCCATTATTACGTAGTTGACATGTTGGTCGATCCCTTGCGATATATATCCGGGGAGAGTTCTGTTTTGAAATTGAGCTTGCGGCCGTTCAGTTTCGATGGCAATATAAATAGCCAAGCTCTGCAACACATATTGGCATTTGTCGATCATCTTGTGGCGTACGAAACCGGCGTCAATTGGGTAGTCTTCAGCCGCTGGGCTTGGCGTTAGGACTACGAAGTATACGTCGATGGGTACGTATGCCTCCCCACAACTCTGCCCTAAATTTATGAGCGAAATTCCATCATCTAATTCTATTATTGAATAGTTGAGGGCCATTGTCGGAGTTAATTGCCTTTATTCCAAGATTGAGGGTCGAACCTAAGCATTCTAACCGGTGAGTGGAACGGGTCCCGACAGGTTATTTGTATACAACATATGGAATAGAACAATTTCAAGAATTCATACAGGAATTGCCAACGGAAGAAAGTCTTGGTATTCGTTTCACGAGCACAGAAATATATATGTACATTTTAAAAAGGTCGCGAACCAAACCAAACGCTATAAGTACCAGCCAAGCGCCTATAAAAAAAGGATCAATCAAGCCATGAGCTAAGCCAGCAAGCTCATGTTCATCTCGAGCCGTTGATATCCTTTTGGATCGTGAAGATTCCTTTGAGCAGATGGCATCAGATCGACAATCAAAGAGAGAATGTACCCAGTGAAGACAAAGGCGATGACTGTGGAGCCAATTAGTACGATGAAAGGCAATAGAGATGTGGAGATCATATCTGTATATATACTTACCCCATTCAAGAGTAGCTGCCATGTTGTTCTGCTGGTAGTGTGTATGCTCAGTGATACGGAAGACAATGATGAGCCCAAGCTCAACAACAATGAACGAAGATTTGATCACAAAGCTTGTCATGAGCATAGGCTCCCGCAGAGCATGTGCCATGCCTAGGTATATATAATCCAAACACATCAAGGCCGCGCTAAGTAGGAATCCCACACTGCAGCAGTCAGTACGTTGTAACGTATAGGTATATCGATCTCGGCGAAGGACGTACATGAAGATCGTCACGCAGACATCATGCATGAAATGGTGGGTGATGTTATCGAGGACGGAGAGCATAATCAAGCCGATACTCCCAACGACTGTGAAAAAGAATGAACCGTGTGTGCACGTTTTGTTGATATATCCCTTGTTTTGGACATGTTGATAAAAAGAGAGGTTTAAAAGCAGAACTGTGGTGATGCAGCCAATCATGAACAATGGCTTTAGTTCCTGGGCTCCGATATCTGAAATGAATCTGCTCAACCCTGTTAGTTAAATCTTGGCATGGCGATCGGGCTGGCCAGGAGAGGCAAATGCTCACGGGATATTCTGACCAGGCTTCATCAGGCCATATCTCGGTTCACCGATCATAGTCCAATGGCCTAACATAGCGAGTAGCATTGCTAAATCCAGTGTTAGATCATTGGTCAATGCGACTGTGGAAGATTGGAGAACTCACCTAGCCAGGTGGACGCGGCTACGGTCGGAAAGAGCCAGGAAGGGGGCGACATAATGGCGTGTGCGTAAAGCTAAGGAGTGTGTTTTGGAGCAGCAGGCATAGTCTTGTTATAGCGATAGTATCAAAGAGCGTGGGCTGGTGAAGTTGGATACCAGCCACATCTCTCTACTCGAGCAGTTGACAAAGAGAGAAAGTGATCCTTACGTTGGGAATAAGGCAACGAGAGGTTGTGCCTGTCGATCCCTACTCTCCTGCCCCTATGACGAAGGTCAGCTATGGGTCAATTATGGTATGTGGGTCTATTAAGGAATTGGCAGCCCCTTGATAGCTGTTTCGTATAAAGAAATATACGTTTCGTATATGAAAGACCCAGGTGGGTTTACAAAATTAGCACAAAGATAGTGTATTTCAATGTCACACTCATGAAACTTGGAAGATAATGAATTTGGCCATGTATCGATGAAAAATCTGATTGCTTGTTGATCCACCGATCTTCACAAAACAGTTATTCCACTGGTTATCCTTGAGTATCATCGGTGGGGGTGGGGTGGGGGATATGCTCTTCGACATTGTATGTTGTAGAAGTAAAGCATTGATTGTATCATGCACATGGTAGGGGGTAAGATGTCCCAGATGTGGAAGTGGAAGGGATCCGCCCGTGCATCAAAGGTTGTATTCTCATTGTGCGCATCCTGTGACAACGGTGCGTCAAATAGCATCAAAGAGCGACATATATTCCTTGGCAAACTTCGAAGAAAAGTGTGGTCTGAAACTCCCATGAGAATTTCGCTGGTTAGAATCTACCCAGGTGTAGGGCCAAAATCACTGCAACTCCGACCGTACCTGCAGCATAATTTCAGATATCGATTCTGAAAGGAGAGAGGTCGATAAGCACGGAGCACATATGTAACTGTGAATCGAAGATTGGATGTGTCATAGGACGCAGATGAGACGGAATCCAGAATCCTTAGCGGGTTCCACGCGGACAATGGGGTATGTACAATATATGGCATGCCGTTTTGACCGTTCAACCTGGCTTGACAGCGTGGCAATTTCACTCTCACAGAAGAGGACAGGATCTGCTTCATTGGTAGGAATGCAGTCGGTAGAGGTACTTATTGTAAACTGAGAGGTGATCTATGACACGTCAGTAATGTACGGAATAATTCCATAACAGGTTGGCCCCTAAATTGGAGCACCGAAATGAGGAAGGCCCTGGGGTTATTAACAGCTTATGGGGTCATATTCGACTAGCGGCCGACGAGGCGCCAGCCTAAAGTTGGTATCTGTGAAGTTGGTGATTCAACGCGGCTTGTCTTATCACGCAAATTTCCACTGTACAAGGGCCAACAGCCAGGGACAGACTAGACCCCTGACCCAATGTTCCAGTTCAGGCTTCGGGTACGTTACATCAGTGGGGCAGTGCTGAGACATGCGACACTCGCGATAGTTACAAGAGGATTAGAAAAGATAATATCTCAGCGAGGAGCGAAGCACAGACTGTCAAAGCCTACGGGAGCAACAGACCTATCGGAGATGATGAACGGGGACGCGACCAGGGGACACAATAAGCGACACACAAAACCCAAGACAAAGACGCGACATCAAAATAAACAAATACATTTCAGCTACAGGTTTCTCTATGTAATCTCTTCTCTAAGAGCCACCTCATGGGTAACAAGTAGTGAAAAGACTTCCAGATACTTGAGGGTGACGGATCTCCCATCAAAGCATCATGTTCGAACTCGATGACTAGCAAGGAGACGAGGCAGTAGTGTTTCAAAAATTCCCAAGCTGGCCCGTAGGCCTACTTGAAGTAGTCAATTTGGTAGTTTTCAACTAGCAAAAACACGATCTCGGATGTCTCCTCACTGATACGTGTAAAACCCGTGCACTAGGATGGAGAGGAAAAAGAAGAAGAGGAAAGTCTGGGAGCAGGTAGGGGTATTTATATTTTTTCGGCTGCCAAGACACGCGTATTATTATTTTTCCGATTCCGATCTCGAGGTCCATGGTTGCCTAGAATCTATATGGCGGTGAGGTAGAATTAGGGCAAAATAGGTAGGCGGTACGGGGTAGATATATCAAGAGCGGTCAAAATACTACCTTCGGAATGAGGTGAAACGCCAGGGTCTGTAATAAATTGATTATGGGATATGATATCTCAGCTATTGGGATAATTTACATGATAATTAACATGCTTTTTGCACCGTAGGCTCTCCTAAGTACGGAGTAGCTTCTGTAAGATTAACATGTGAACAAGAGCTCCGTAGTGGATATATTAAATGGGTAATGCTATGTTGTAGATTGATGTAGTACCACACTAAGTACCTGTAAGCTAGTAAAGGATCCATTTAAAATATGATGATCATAGAATTCCTTAGTTTAGTGCTTCAATGTGATCACTTGCCATTCAGGCATCTTCCGGATAGAGGGGTTAAATCACGTGGAAGATCACCCGGAACAGCTTGTTTCTGTGCCCAGGTGTCTTCAAACGATTTCATCTCCTATCGTTTCTATTCTAGCAATATTTTGGAGCGAATAACCCTCAGGACTGCGTCTATATATCGTATATTCTATCCGATTTGGAAGCCGCGAGATAAAGAGCTCTTATCTGACGTTCTCCACATGGCGAGACTCGGTAACCTCTCCAGTCACCTCCGAGCCCGTCAACCCAAGCCCATCTGCAATGGACGTGGTGCAGAAAGAACACAGCCGACTCCTCAAGAGGACCGAGGGGTCTCAGAGTATCAAGAATGTTCAGTCTGCCATTGATTCACTGCAGGCTGCTCGTGATGCTATTGCCGCTGGTCAGTAACCAGTAAAACGTTCCCCGCTAGCCTCAACTAACACCGGCTCCCAAATAGATCCATCCACTGCCTCTACCACTCTAGCCACCCTTCAGAACTCGGTCAAATCTTCCTTTGATTCTATCAATGACAGCCTGAAAGAGACTCACAGTGGCCTTAATAAGTACACCAAATCTCTTGATAAGGTATCCCGAATCCTGATGACCCATGTGTTGCCACTAATCTAACACCTGGAACAGCTTTTCAAAGACCGGCCACTTCCTAGCACCGATGACGATGGGCTCTCTACACAAGAAAGCCTCATCAACCGCGCGATCGCCATGCATCTCCTTCGCGAAGGCCAGTTCGGTGTGGCCGCCACCTTCCTTTCCGAGATTACCGATGAGAAGACAATAAACCCAGTCTCCCAAAACGGGCATGAACCGACCAATACATCAGCTAGCCTACTCGATATTGACGAAGTGCCTTCAACCGAGATTCGGAAACAATTCGCCTCGATGTACTATATCCTACAACAACTACAAGAGAACAGAAACTTATTGCCTGCAATCGAATGGTCAAGGGAAAATCGCGAGGCGCTGGAAGCTCGAGGCAGCAATCTCGAATTTGAGCTTTGCCGACTACAGTACGTATGGCTATACCATGGCGGAGCGGACAGCCAAGGAACCGGAAGCGGATGGCTAGCTGCCCTTGAGTATGCGCGGCAGGAGTTCCATGTCTTTGTCCCTCGATATTTACGGGAAGTTCAGCAGCTAGTCGGCGCAATGGCGTACTCACCCAACCTCGGCGGTTCGCCATATGCAGGCCTTTTCAACAACACCTCGGCCTGGGATGACGTAGCTCACTTCTTCACTCGCGAGTTCTGTTCATTGTTGGGTCTTTCAGCAGACTCGCCGCTTTACATTGCTGCTACGGCCGGCGCCATCGCTCTGCCGACCCTATTGAAGCTACAGACTATTATGAAATCGAAGCGGACGGAGTGGACATCCGACAACGAGCTTCCGGTAAGGAAATTAAAATTCTGTGTGCAAAGCAACGCTAATGTTTGTATTTTCAGGTCGAAATACCCCTCCCTCCTCAATATCTCTTCCATTCTATCTTTGTCTGTCCGGTGTCAAAGGAGCAGGCGACCGATGAAAATCCTCCTATGATGATGCCATGTGGACATGTTATTGCGCAGGAATCGTTGAAACGCCTGGGTAAAGGTAACCGCTTCAAATGCCCATATTGTCCTAGCGAAAGCCACCCCAAGGATGCCAGGAAAGTATTCCTGTAATGTAGGTCTTTCCTTTCTTCTTTCTTTCTTTCTTATTTCTTCTTTCTTTGTCCTCATTTATCTGGGCATTTTCTTTCGGCAATCGGCGCGGGTAACTTCGGGAACACCGGGTCTTGTCAAGGGCGTTCAGCGTCGGCGTTCAGGGGCTCATATGTTGCTACATTACAAATGCAAGTCCATTCAAAGATGTACGGAGCACTGCAATTTAATTCAAGCCTGATATTTAAAAGTTCAAAAGGTAAATCAACGCCATTCCAAGGCCAATAAATCCAAAATCAGAATTTGACGATACAAAACAATAATCCACTGCAATCCACTGGCGATTTCCTAAATAGGAAATCGTAATTTCCTTTGTCTCAGTGTAGACATCTGATTGGCCACATCCAGACCCGTGACCACGCGCCCATTTGGCGACTCGAAAAACCCCTTTACGCGGTCAAAACTAATTTGTGACGCGTCTTTCGCTGGGCTGCACTCCTCTGCGCAGCATAATTGGAGCTATCCAGCAGATCATCCATACACAAACCGTCCGTCCTGTAATCTCCACAGGGTGCAATATATGTATGTGACTTGTCTCCGTAACAAACGGGAGCTTGCAGCTTTTTCACTCAGTCTTTTATAAATAGTGCCCCATCTCCCCCCCTGGGCCCATTCAAAGCTGTCTTCGTATTCTCCCCAATCCCCGTCTCCTATCCAGACCATAATATAATAGCAATGCTGTCCAAGAGAAACCCAGAGGCTCCAATTCCTGGTCGGTATCGCGCAGCAAAGGCTTCGGCCTTCACGCTCCAGTCGCGCAGGATTCCTCGCGACAGAATCAAAGACCGAGCTCCCAAAGACAAAGAGCGAGACAGCTCGGGTTCGGGCTCTGGCTCGATTGGAAGTAAGAGTCGAAGAGTCGAGCAGCGTCGGAAATTCGACAAGCCCCCAGACGTAACGTAAGTCCTGTCCACGACACGTATCTCCATCTCCATCAGCATCAGCATCATCTACATCATTCATAAATCCAATCACTAACCCCTACCCAGAGCCCCCTCAACAAGCCCAGTAGTAATGCTCCGCGTGGGCCCAGAAAAGCGCCTGTTCGCCGCACACGAAGCCATCCTCCACGCATCCCCCTTCTTCGCAGCGCACTGCGCAGCCCAAACACCAAATCCGAATGCGCCACGGCCAAGACTCTCCCTCCAACCACCAAGCAAGCGCATCGATCTCCCAGATGAACAACCCGAAGTCCTCTCCTGCGTCCTCGAGTACCTCTACAAGGGCGACTACTACCCGCGTCTACGACACAATCGCCAGACCCAGACATGGGAGCTGGAGGACGCCGATGCGGGCGTTGGCGCCGGCACTAGTGGGGAATTAGGACAAGCGACGGCAACGGTGTTTCATCATCGTGCGCAGGGGGTGATACTGCGGGATACGGCTATTTAGTAAGTCTTTTCTTGGGTTACACTCTTTTCAATTGGTTATCAATGTTTGTGTACTAACATATCTTTTCCAGCTGTGCAGCAGAAAAATACAACCTCCCCCATCTACAGCGTCTCTCGCTGCGCAAGCAGGGCCTTCACACTGGGATCCAGTGTAGCACGATACTTGCGAGTGCGCGGTTTGCGTATGCTAACACGCCGGACACAGAGTCGAAGCTGCGGGCGCATTACCTTGCGCTGATTGTGCGGTCGAGGAGTACTTTCATGCGTAGTGGGACTATGCAGGCGGAGATGGAGCGTGGGGGGAAGTTTTTTTTTGATCTTTTTGTTGCTTTGTGTAATCATATGGTGAGTTTGCTGAGTTTACTTTTTCTTTGGGGGTTTGAAGGACGGCTTGCTAATGGTTTACGATGTAGGATGATTATACTGGTCAGTCGGTTGACAGTTCTGCTGTTACGACTCATCGTTAGAGATATGGTAGAATTCAGAGCATAGGTGGTAAGTTGATTGTTGGCTTTGGATTAACTGCGCGATTTTGTATTCTATATCGCTGCTGGCAGTGTTTTATACCCGTGTACTATTGTGTTCATATCTGAATGGAGAGCATGTTTCAAGGTTGTTGAGTTCTATTCATGCGTAAATTCGTTAAGTTAGGTTCTAACATAGTCCAGCTAGCCCGATTTTGATAAACCTCATGTATTGGGCAGCGTGGATTTGGACTTTAATGAAGCGAAGCTGGTGCCTTGATCCGGGCGATGGTCAAGTATCATGGTGCTGGTGTGCAAGTGTATCGTGTCAGGCCAAAAGTCTTCAGCCGTACTGTTATCCGATCAGCTCGAGTATTATAGAGTGCCGAATAATAGCTGTATCAATATAAGTCATAGGCGGACGCATACCTGACGGCATTTAAGGGACTGAAAACGAGGGCGTTGTCGAGGAGGATTAGACGAAATGAGGCGCGAACAAGTCGCAGTGCATTGTCACTTACGAACGTGTTTAGACACCAGTGCCCGGAAAAGCGCCTGCCTTGCTCAAAACGATTATGCCTCGATCACGTGCGATATATCCTTTCATGAGTCCCTAATGAAGCGACATGTCAGTAAGCACTTACGGATTGGCCATATTTATCGGCCTACCTTGTAAATAAGGTTGGAGATCAAACACTCCACCTCATCAATATCGATACGCGACCGACCGCTTGTAGAAGTGCCCACACGGAGAGCTGCCGCAAATTCATTCACATGAACACGGGTTCGTCGAACCGGAGGCTGGCCCTCCTTGGGTTCGTCGAAACCACCAGCGAGGAAGACTTTTCGGAACAGGTTGCGCAAGGCAATGTCACGTCCACGTTCCAATGGCAGGTAGATACGTCTTTTCACAAACTCTTCCTCGCCGGCAGACATGGCCTGGTCGAATCCAACCAAGTCACCCTTTCGGATGCAGTTCGACAGAGACCGGAAAAGCCTCTCGAGTCGTGGGAATGGCGCGAGAAGCTGCTTGGTGGGGAGCGTGTGTGTGGTGACGAGGTGACAGGGAATAAGGTAAGTGAGAATCAATCTACTAGTCGTTAGCAAGAAATCATCTAGCGCTAGAGGGCTACTAACTCTCGATTCTTGGTTGCGTCTCGGTGGCACATCTTCCAGGCCCACGTCAGATGTTCTTCGGCCTATATTGCAAATGATCAGTCTCGGTAATGGCCCACGGACATAACTCCTGGTAATACCTCTGTATAATTCTCTTCCAAGAAGTGGATGACCCCAACATAATATTCGAACGTGACAATGTGGGCTTTGGGGAAAGCTTCGGGAGGGGGGAGATCGGCCGATGAGGCATTGATGGCACGGAGCAAGTTTTTGGTGAGGCCGACGGAGTTGATCTACAGGAGAGAGATTAGCATTTTGCTAGCGACAGTGAGCTCGACATTTGGTACCTTGAAATATGTTTTGAATAGGAGATTGGTCATATTATAGATACCCCACTTGCGTGACTCTTCAAGAGGTGCCCTGGGTTTGGTCAGCAATGGAACAACTCAAGAATCAATCATATCCTTACCTATCACTCAGGCACAAAGTGAACATCCGGTTGATCACCCGAGCAGCCTCCTCCAAGTTCGCGTTTTTCTCAAAATCAGCTGCGATGTCATCCTGGAATCCAAACCCAGCAGAGCCTTGAGATGCTGCCTCGAGATCGGCATTGACCGCAAAAGTACGCAAGTACTTTCCTACTGTGTACAAGCATGGCAATGTCCAAGCCGGAATACCGGCAGGGCCCGAGTATCCTCGGATAAGGGCATTTGCAACTTTTTTCCAAGAATTGAAGACATTAATGACGCTAGCACTTGGAAGGCGATCTTCGCACTTAAGTATTTCGCCTATAGCTTCCCAGTAAACAACGAAGATGTCAACCCAGGCAGCCTGCTCGGCCTTTGGCAATTTCAGACTTTTCCCATGGAAGAGACCATAGCTTAAATCTTTGGATATATATTCGGGGGTGGAAAAGTCGTAGAAAGAGCGCAGCCGATTGCGATCTTCAGCCGGCGCGATTGGAGTGAGCACTGCAGCTAATTCCGGGCCGGACCCATTGAGGTATGCGTTCTTGAACGCGATCGCAAGAGAACCCATGGTAGGATATCCGCTAGCAAAAGAACGCGTTAGTTGAATTGTTGGAGAAGTGATCAGTTGAAAAGAAGCATTCGAGGTGGGGTAAGGGTTGAGATCCGACCAGACAAAGACGCAGACAATCGAGTGAGGAACGCCATACTTTTGGAGAAGGCATGTGGGGAAGGCGAGGTAATGTGGCTGGTGAGATGTGGCGGAAGAACAGTGGCGCAGTTTGATTACCAAAGCGGACTAGCGCATAACGGAAAGCCTCCACTCGCTTAGGGCAAGGGCGGCAACCCTAAGCACAATTGGAACCTCACAATTCTCATTTTCCACCGACGGCACACTAACGACTCATCCACCACAGCGACAATCACAGTGAGTACCTCCTACTAGAATTTATCGGAGATTTATACTAACGTTGAACTCTTCCAGATGGGTGAGTGATTTTTGTTCCCTTCCCGATACCCCAGAACTTTTTTTCGAGACGACGGTGCGCGCATATGGTTGGAGGAAATTCGAGACGCAAAGACCCCGACGACATCGACATGAGACAGTCATAGAAGAGGAGGATGCAATGGCAAATCGACATGGCCTGGGATTGTTATGAAGGAACGCACAACGCTGTCAGGGCTCCGCATGGTTGAATCTCGAATTTTTCGATACCTACAACGCACCCCTGGTCTTCTCGAATTCTCGCCAACTTGAATCGCGCACCGCTTCCTATCCCGAACTGAGCATATGGGCAATTGGAATATCCACTACGAACTATGACTGACGGAATCCCAGGGCGTCTTACTGAGTACCAGGTCATCGGGCGTCACATGCCCAACGAGGCGAACCCCACGCCCAAGTTGTACCGCATGCGCATCTTTGCGCCCAACACTGTTGTGGCCAAGTCGCGTTTCTGGTACTTCATGTCCCAGCTCCGTAAGCTCAAGAAGGCTAACGGCGAGATCGTTTCCCTGAACGTGGTATGTTGGGATTGAATATCCGAAGACAAGAATGGTGCTCATTTTTTTTGCGTCTAGATCGAGGAGAAGCGCCCCCTCAAGGTCAAGAACTTCGGTATCTGGCTCCGCTACGACTCCCGCTCCGGTACCCACAACATGTACAAGGAGTTCCGTGAGATGAGCCGCACCGACGCTGTCGAGGCCCTCTACCAGGACATGGCTGCCCGTCACCGCTCCCGTTTCGGTTCCATCCACGTATGTTACACTACTCGAACTTTTCGATAACGTCCACATTCTAATCAAATTTCCCCTGCAGATCCTCAAGGTTGTTGAGATCGAGAACAACGACAGCATCCGCCGCCCCTACATCAAGCAGCTCCTCCAGAAGGACCTCAAGTTCCCTCTGCCCCACCGTGCCGGTGGCAAGGTCGGAAAGAAGGTCTTCGCCTACTCTCGCCCCTCTACCTTTGCTTAAATGTGACGTTCTGGGTGTTGGGTTCGGAGTGTGTGGATGAATGACTGTTTATGGCCATGGCATGCATGAAAGATGGTCGCGTGGAAACCACCGCCCCGTTCACGGGCGAGATGGTTGGATGTCTCTAGTCCCGTATGGTGGCATCTCTAGGTTATTTTGAAAAAATCATCGGGTTTCTTGAATTATTCGAGTTCTAGTAGGACAGCGAGCATACATGGACGTAGCTCCATTCGGTAGATCCCTATGGATATCAGCCTAGGATAACGGGCTGTTGTCCTTTGGATTTCTTCCCAAGTCCTTCCATTCACAGCGTGCTCATCGACATGGATGTATACAAGATAGTCGTTGAAAATCGCTTATTGCTGGTCAAACAATTCATAACGAACTATATGCATATATCTTTATGGCTATCAACAGGATCATTAAATACTACATGTAGTCGATCCTATCATCCCCCGGACTGTACATTTGTAATTTCAATGCCGACCGGAGTAAATGTCAGATATCGGAGTTTCTTCAGCCGCTCGAAACCGAGCCTTGATGCCCTGTGGATCAGGCACCAACTGGCCATCTCCAACTGCCATTGTAGTTGCAGGTTTTTGTTTTCGGTCTACCAGTAAAAGCTATTTAGGATATATACGACTTTTTACCCGAATACTCAGTATCGAAAATATTGACCTATGCAGGTCGCAATCCAGGAACATTCTATTGCGTCATTCGAAATCCGGTAGGGAGCTGTCCGCTTTCGCATATGTAATCCGATTTCTTCCCCGGGACGTTCCTAGGTTCCTCTCCCTCTTCCCCCCATTCTCCCCCAGTTCATTGCAAACATGTTTGCTCGTCAATCTTTCCGCTGTGCGCAGCCCTTGAAGCAGGTTAGTTGAAATAGGTCCTCGATTCAATTCCGAACAATACTAAAGGCGATTGAATCAGAGCTTCCGCAAGTACTCTGCGGAGGCCGCTCCCAAGAAGGCCAACTTGGCCCCCATCTACGTTGGTGTGGGCCTTGCCGGCCTCGCTGCTGGTGTGTACCGCTACACCAACGGCGCAGTTGCTGAGCCCAAGGACCGCCCCAAGGTCTTCAATGGCCAGGACTGGGTTGACCTCAAGTTGGCTAACATTGAGGTCCTGAGCCCCAACACCAAGCGTCTTCGCTTCGAGTACGATGATAAGGAGGCTGTCTCTGGTATTCCTGTTGCCTGTGAGTAGTCTAGGTCTGATAATGGCGCTAGTCGATCACTAACAAGCATATAGCTGCTCTGTTGACCCGTTTCAAGCCCGAGGGTGCCGAGAAGAACATTCTCCGCCCTTACACCCCCACCAGTGATGAAGGTAGGACCACCATGAGCCGCTCATTTTCCATTTGCTAACACATAGCAGACATCCCCGGCTACCTTGAGCTCGTAGTCAAGGCCTACCCCGGCGGCCCCATGTCTGAGCACATCCACTCCATGAATGTCAACCAGCGTCTGTCGTTCAAGGGACCCATTGTCAAGTACCCCTGGGAGGCCAACAAGCACAACCACATCTGCCTGATTGCCGGTGGCACTGGTATCACCCCGATGTACCAGCTCGCCCGTGAGATCTTCAAGAACCCCGAGGACAAGACTAAGGTCACTCTGGTCTTCGGCAACGTCACCGAGGACGATATCCTCTTGAAGAAGGAGCTGCAGGAGTTGGAGAATACCTACCCCCAGCGCTTCCGTGCCTTCTACGTCCTGGACAATCCTCCTGCGGAGTGGACCGGTGGCAAGGGCTACATCACCAAGGAGCTGTTGAAGACCGTCCTGCCCGAGCCCAAGGAGGAGAACATCAAGCTCTTCGTCTGTGGCCCTCCCCCTATGTACAAGGCTATTTCCGGCGGAAAGGTCAGCCCCAAGGACCAGGGTGAGCTCACTGGTATCTTGAAGGAGCTGGGTTACAGCAAGGAGCAGGTGTTCAAGTTCTAGATTATTGTCAAATATGTAACTAGAATATTCAGCTAGTTGGATATGCGGTGGGACTGCCATATATATTGGTGCATCTTGTTTTCAGCGTGTTGCCGTATTTCTGGCTGGCTTTGGATGTCATTAATGAAATCAATACATTTTGCCTCCAAATATAAAATCGTGCATCTGGTCGTACTTATCTTGTTCCATATTTCTTTTTTTAAAAAAGAAAACAAAGTGCGGGGATTTGGTGAAGATGGAAAGATACGGACTGGATATATATATGCACACTGGGAATACCTTGGTAGGATACAATATTAACCAGCAAAAATAGCACCTAATAACAAGTTATGTAGTAATAGTGATATAGCAGCGAGCTCAGGGATCTACATCCGCAATATATTGAATAATTGCCTACAATATGTACAAGTTGCTCCCAAAGTGCTACATGCATATATACGTATGCACAAAGTACTGGTAGCTAAGCGACACGAGTAGGTAGTTCATAGAAGTACTAAAGCCAGAGAGAAAAGAGCCAAAAAGTCAGTTTCAAATGAAATGAATTAGGAAATCAGAACAGGTGTTTGTACTACAAGCTTGACACCTTGTGCTCAGCTGAGCCCCTCTTCTACAGGGCTTGGGCGACCCTGAAGTTGAGATTTTGGCGGGGGCGAGCATAGCCCACACTTGAACATGTCCCAGCCCCCCCAAAGAAGAGGGAAAATAGCAGGAAAAAAACAGTAAAATAGCGAAGGAATAGATGTATCATATAACCAAAAAAAAAGGAATTTATATACAAGAATAAAATTGTTAAATTTGAAATGTAATTCTTTAGCAATTAGGTATGCAAGTAGACGCCCAGCCTATGGGTTACCCCTCGGGGGTCCTGAAGCCCGTAACAACCCTTGGAAGTTCCAAAATTACGTATTTATTATCAGTTTAGAAATCAATACAATATCATAGAATATGAATGAAATAGTAGATAAAATAATATATGAATATAATAAGAGAAAGAAGATATATCAAACCTGTGTTGCCTAGGGTTCCCGGGGGGGTCTCATGACAGCCTAAGCCTAAAGCAGAGTTGAAAATGCCCGGGCACCTTCGGGGCGCCTTTGCTATTTAGTGGGTACTCGGCCCTTCCACCCCGGTCCTCCTTACACCCACCCCCCCGACACACCACCCACACCCCCCCCCCCATTTTCTCTTTTCTTCACCCTAACTCTACCAAAACAATGGCTTCCAACCAAGATGATACGACCGTTCAGGTCAACAAAGAAGAGCTTAGACGCGCTGGCGACTTGGTATGTTTCCCTTTATTTTAACCTTATAATTTTGCTATTTTCTTTGTTTCGGTTCTTTTTTTTTTCTGTTTTCTTGTGCGCATCACCACTGCGCGCCTTCTACGCGTCGCGTTCGAAGATCTATAAAGCTATACAATAAGCTGTTGAAGCTTAACTTATACCATCACATACTTAAGCATTATGTTGGCAAGCTTCATGGGCAAGAAAAAAGAACAATCCCTACCCATTCTCCTCCCTACAGACCCGAGGACCGTCTGTACATCACACACTTGTCAAATTACGCGCCAGACTTACCCCTCTTCTTTCCATAACCCTAAACGCAGACATATACCCAATGACCTAGCGCAATTCCTATTGACATATTGCTAACAATGCATCATAGATCGTCATGCGTCTGATGGAGGTGCAGTCTTACATCGCTGACTTGGGCAAGGCCTACATCCAGCACGTGAGCAACATCACTGAAGGACGTGATGCTAACATTGAGCTTCCTCTCGGTCCCTCTGGATTTATGGGCCCGGACATCCCCTTCCGCGCTGGCAGCCCCGGTGCTAAGTCTGAGGCTGGTGGCCCTAAGAAGCGCAAGCGCGCGCCCGTCGACCCTAATGCGCCCAAGCGTGCCTTGACCCCCTACTTCCTGTATATGCAGCACAATCGCAGCAAGATCGCTGAGGATCTTGGAAATGACGCGCGCCCCAAGGATGTCGCCGACGAGGGCACCCGTCGCTGGCAGAGCATGGAAGATACCCAGAAGGAGGTATGTATTGACAGTGAAGCAGACCCGGCTTGATATTGTTTAGTATGCAGAGCTAACGCATCCATATAGGTCTGGAAGAAGATGTACGCCGCCAACTACGACCAGTACAAGCGCGACATGGCGGCCTACAAGGCTGGCCACAAGGTTGATGAGGAGCACGATCCCGCCGCCAGCCAACTGCAGCAGGACTTTGCCGATGCCGAGCCCGAGGCTGAGGCTGAGGCCGAAGCTGAGGCCGAGCCTGAGCAGGAAGAGTCTGCCGATGAGTCCACCGAATCATCTGACGAGTCGCAGTCCCCCTCTCCTGCGAAGGAGAAGACACCCCCGCGCAGCACCACCAAGCGTCGCCGCAGCGACACCAAGGCCAAGGAGGCTGAGACTCCTGCCAAGTCGCCTGTCAAGCGCAGTGGTCGTAAGGCTGCGGAGCCGGTGGCTTCTACCCCCGCTGCCAAGACACCTGCTGATAGCAAGCGCAGGAGCAAGAAGCGCAAGAGCGAGGTTTAAATGAATAGTTTGTCGTTTCTGCTTTCTGATTTCTGATTTGCTTGGCTCTAGGGTCAGATGAGATGGTCTCGGTTCGGTGGATGTGTAACCTCCCCGGTTTTGCGTTTTTCAGCGGCGTTTGGGAAAAACTGTACCTACTTAGCTTGAATTAGTGAAATGGACTGATGGGTGGTTTCTAGATATTTCCAGTATTCATAGGGTTACCGTTCTATATTGTAGCTGTATAGTTCCAAGAAAAAGATGCGGGTCCAAGCTTTCCCCCTCAATATACAGCCTAAGACTAAATCAAATTAAATCAAATTAAAACCAACTAACACTAACTAAAACCAACTAACTAAGTCAACTAAAAGCAACTAAAGACAACTAAATTAAACTAAAATGTCAAGTTATCAATTTAGCAAAGCCTTGACTAATGCCCGCCGACGTCCGTTCCCCGACCCAATCGGCCTTCGCGGCACTTATCATAGACATTGACCTTATCAGCCCTTTCAAGGAGGTTATGGACTCCCCACATTCCTCTTTTTTTTTACTTTCTTTAGACCTCTTCTCTTATATCTTGCTCTTTTTAAAGCTCTGAAAGCTCTCAAATTGCTTCTACAGCCTGCCTTCAAGCCAATTATCCTGCACGCCAAGACCTACCAGGTTCATGGTTCCACTTGAACCATGCAGCTTATTCCGAAGGAGGTAAGTCACACATCCCTCGACAACCAAACACAACTAACAACCCCTGCAGCTTGACAAGCTCACCATTGCCCACCTAGGCTTCTTGGCACAGCGTCGTCTAGCACGTGGAGTGCGGCTCAATCATGCAGAAGCTGTGGTAGGTGTATATTCTGGGGTTGTAGGACTCCCACTAACATATCCATAGGCCCTGATAGCTTCAGTGCTGCACGAGGTACGATATTCCCCGGCCAATTCCATATAATAATATCAGGACAATACACCCAATCAAATCAATGCGCAAACTAACAACCCCCGCAGTTAATCCGCGATGGCCACTACTCCGTCGCCGATCTAATGTCTATCGGCAAAACAATGCTTGGCCGTCGTCATGTCCTCCCCTCCGTACTCGCAACTCTAGTCGAGCTCCAAGTCGAGGGAACTTTCATCTCCGGTACCTATCTGGTAACCGTGCACCACCCGATCAGTAGCGACGAGGGTGATCTCGAGCGCGCCCTGTATGGCAGTTTCCTGCCCGTCCCCGCGCCCGAGGCATTCCCAGACCCGGACCCGGAGGATTTCACACCTGAGAAGATGCCCGGCGCAGTTATTCCTGTTAAGCAAGTGCGCGTGGAATTGAGTCCTGGGAAGAGACGTATTAAGCTCAAGGTTATGAGTAAAGGAGATCGGCCGATTCAGGTGTGTAAATTGTATTCGAAATATAGAGCCGAGAGACAAGACCGGAACCGAATGATTCTAATTACAGTGGTGATGGACAGGTCGGATCGCATTACCATTTCATCGAGACGAACCCCCAGCTGCACTTCGATCGCTTGAAGTCGTACGGTTTCCGATTGGATATCCCTGCGGGTACATCGATTAGATTCGAACCCGGTGATACGAAGACGGTTACGCTCGTTGAGATCGGTGGAAATCGTGTCATCCGTGGTGGAAATTGGTTGGCAAATGGGCCGGTGGATATGAGTCGTGCCGATGAGATCATGACAAAGCTGCAGACAGCTGGGTTTGCGCATGTGCCGGAGCCGCAGGCGGATAGTGCGCTTGTTTCTGGGTTCTCGATGGAGCGCGAGGCGTACTCGCGCATGTTTGGTCCTACGACTGGCGATCTGGTGCGACTTGGGTTGACGGATTTGTGGATTAAGGTTGAGAAGGATATGACAAGTTATGGGGATGAATGTTCTTTTGGTGGAGGCAAGACGCTGCGCGAGGGAATGGGGCAGGCATCTGGACTGTCTCATACCGAGTGTCTTGATACTGTTATCACGAATGCGCTGATTGTCGATTGGACTGGTATCTACAAGGCTGATATTGGTATCAAGGATGGGCTTATTGCTGGTATTGGCAAGGCTGGAAACCCGGATGTCATGGACGGCGTGCATCCTGATCTAGTGGTAGGCTCGTGTACGGATGTCATTGCTGGAGAGAACAAGATCATTACCGCTGGTGGCATTGACACGCATATTCACTTGATCTGCCCGCAGCAGGTGGATGAAGCTTTGGCCTCGGGAATCACTACTTTCCTCGGAGGTGGTACCGGCCCCACCACTGGATCAAACGCGACGACATGCACACCGTCGCCGAACCTCCTGCGCCAGATGATGCAGGCATGCGATAGCCTGCCGATCAACCTAGGCATCACGGGCAAGGGCAACGATTCCGGAAAGAAGAGTCTTAGAGAGCAGGTCCTAGCAGGCGCAGCAGGCCTTAAGCTTCATGAAGACTGGGGCTCCACCCCAGCAGCAATCGACAACTGTCTCGAAATCTGCGACGAATATGACGTGCAATGCATGATCCATACAGACACGCTGAACGAATCTGGATTCGTCGAGCAGACCATCGAAGCTTTCAAAGGCCGCACAATCCACACTTACCACACTGAAGGCGCAGGCGGCGGCCATGCCCCAGACATCATCTCCGTCGTCGAACACCCTAATGTCCTCCCTAGTAGCACAAACCCAACCCGCCCCTTCACCCTCAACACCCTCGATGAACATCTCGACATGCTCATGGTCTGCCACCACCTATCAAAGAACATCCCCGAGGACGTAGCCTTCGCCGAAAGCCGCATCCGTGCCGAAACCATCGCAGCCGAAGACGTCCTCCAGGACCTCGGCGCCATCAGCATGATGTCCTCAGATTCCCAAGCAATGGGCCGCTGCGGCGAAGTTATCCTCCGAACCTGGCACACAGCGCACAAGAACAAGACCCAGCGCGGACCTCTCGGCAGCGACGCCGGCACCGGCGCCGACAACTTCCGCGTGAAGCGATACATCAGCAAGTACACGATCAACCCCGCTCTCGCGCAAGGTATGGCGCACGTAATCGGGTCCGTGGAAGTCGGCAAGATAGCCGATCTGGTGATGTGGAATGCAGCCACATTCGGCACGAAACCCGTATCCGTGCTTAAGAGCGGAATGATCGTTACTGCAGAGGTTGGAGATCCGAATGCATCCATCCCGACTGTCGAGCCGATGATTATGAGGCCGATGTTTGCTGCGCGTGTCCCGTCTACGTCTATCATGTTTGTTTCGCAGGCTTCGATTGATGCGGGCATTGTGCAGACGTATGGATTGAAGAAGCGTATCGAGGCTGTGAAGAATTGTCGCTCTGTCGGGAAGAAGGATATGAAGTTTAATGATGTTATGCCGAAGATGAAGGTCGATCCGGAGAGTTATACGGTTGAGGCGGATGGGATGCTTTGTGATGCGGAGCCGGCTTCTGAGTTGCCTTTGACGCAGGCGTATTATATCTTCTGAGATGTTTTCTTTTCATACCCTTAGCTTTTGTTTTTTATACTCGCTTGAGTTTTGGTTTTTGCGTATAGGATTTTGATCCAATGGAAGCGATGATTTTGTTTTTCTTTTCAGCAGTTCCAGTGGTCCTTTAGTACTCTTCTCGAATATCTAATTATCTATCCAGATTTCCTTACCACCGACAAGTTATTCTGAATGAGAACTCGACCGTAGTTCTGGAATGCAAATCGCATGCCCATATTGGTCAAAGCGAAATTGATCATTTCGCTGAATCGGGCTTCGGTTTCTGTATGCACCTGTCCTGTCATTTTGACGAGGAGGTTTGTGGTGAGATCGAATGAGAGCCGTAGGGAGGGAGTGGTGGCTTGGTTTGGGTATTTGGGATTGTTTTATTGAGAAGAGAATGTGTTCGGATCGGAAATTGGATTCATAGCGTTCACGTTCAAGACTTATTATATCGCGGAATTGGGATAGCCCCATGTATGTGTATTTGGGGATTGGGAGTCTTTGGAGGCATTTTGAGATATGAGGTTTGTAGATTTGAATTTCTATGTGAATTATGTAGAAGAGCTTGGATTCAATGGAATGAGAACATGTTGGAATAGCACCCGATTGGGTGTAAGCAGTTATGCACATAGTCGTTTATACTTGTAGTGTCTTTTCAGTAGTCCCTTAATAGTCTCAGATATCATTCTGTTACAGATCTTGTTTTATAAGTCAACAGCAAAAAGTATGCTTAATTGAAAGCTAAGTGTCAATATCCTCTAAAACCCTAAAGAACCCAACATCCCCTCAATAGAATCAACAACAATCCCATCCGTCCTCCGCCCATCAGTATTAACAAGAATATCCGCCCAATGCAACAAACTAGCAACAATATCCTGGCACATACGCGGCACATTATGGCCATAAAACCCATACGGTTTAGCCTGCACATAGGCATTGCCTCGAGCATTAGACATAGCCACTGAGGCATCCTCAAGACGATAAACAGTGCCAATGAGTCCACGTAGACTCGCAGCAACGGTTGCGCCAGCATGCGGATTTGCCCGCAATATCCTCGCCTGCATCTCTAAGTCGGAGATGAAAGCTGCGCGCTCATGCTTGAAGGTCGATACTGGGCCTCGGGTAGCCATGACGTTGCTGTATGTCGAAAAGTGGTATATAATTCCGGATCTATCGAAAACACAAGTTAGTCATCTAGTCAAGCAGTCTTACGGAAATAGGAATGTCAGTGTAAGCGTTATCGAGCAGTTGATATGCAAAGGTTTAGAACCACGTAGATGCGGCTATTGATATCGAGACGTAGGACGGTTGATTGCTGTTCGATGGGTTACTAGGTCATCGCAGACCGCGATACCCGAGTCTGGTTATATACGCCATGCGGTGAATAAAATCGCAGGATACTATAAATCTAGGAAACAGAGAAGTCAATATAAAAGAATGCATTGCAACGTACCTGACTCTAGCTAAACTAAGCCGACGGAGACGACGGACGCGAGATAATCTGGATGAAATTAAGGTTAGCGAGTGCATGCTCCAACTCCTGTGCGATCGCGAGCTCGGTGTTAGCAACCGGACGGTGGGTGTGGTCCAACATGATCTCGTACATCTGGCGTGTGTGACGGCCGACCTCGTCGCAGATCTTGGGGATGGTGGTGGCGTAGTAGTCGACGCCCTTGGCAGCGACGAAGTTTATGTCTGCGGCCTCAGTAGCAAGAGCCTGGGAAGCCCACTTCATCTTGTCTGCCTGCATTTTCAGGGACTGGATGTTGAGGGTGACTTCGATAAGGTAGTTGCCCTCGGGCAGCTGGCGCAAAGTGACGATGGCGCGGCGGATGTTGTTTAGAAGGATATCGCGCTCTTTCCTGTACTCGAGGATGGCGCGAGTACCGCGGAAGAGACGGGAGGAGATAGATGGCATTGTGAGGGTGGTGGTATAAAAGGGAAGGTGAGTAGATGGATTGGATGTATTGCTTACCTTGTTAGGGTTAGTGGAGTAAGTGTGGAGTTGTGGAGCTGAGAGTGGTTGTACTGTGAGTGTGAGAAAGTGTGAAGCGGATGATACCTCAAAAGAGTCAAGATATTGGGGCTTATTTATGCATTTGGATCTTGCTGGATTGATCAGACTGGAAACAAAGCCTTCCTTAAGATGAAAGGAAGGGAAGGCATGTGAGTTATTGTTAGGAATCTTTGTTCTCTTTGTTCTTCATATCTGCAAGCGGCCATGATATTGAAAGAAGTTGGTATACAAGGCGAAGACAGTTCCAAGTTAAACTCAGCAAACCTTTGTTATGATTTTAACCTAGCAAGGCCATTGTCCAGTTCTTTGTTCTCTATGGCCCTGGTAGATTGGAGTGACAATGTCAATTAAAGAGATTACTGTTATTGATGGTATACTATGTACTAGCCAGGTTTGTACCGATAAGTCGAGGGAATAAATTATGGCCCTGATGTGGACCAAGCCTACTGTTTGTATATCAGGTCAAAGTAAGTCATATAGTAACCTGGAGCACGTAAACGAAGACAGTGATCTTCGAAAGGTGTCCAGACATAGTCCTATTGGCGAAATACGAGACGATATGGATAACAAATAATAAAAAGTAAAAAGGGGTATCATACACAGTAAAATCAAAGAATGAGATAAAAACAATAAGAGAAACAGATCCATCCGCCTGCTAATATGAGAAAAGATCAAGTCTATAACTCAATCTCCTCCTCGCCATGATTATCAGCCGAAACAATCGACACATCCGTCCACGCAGAAAAAGTACCTTCGCGCGCAGCTAGATAAGCAGCAACACGCGCACGGCGTGAGCGATCCACTAGTTCTTCTCTTCGCGCTGGGTCCCGTAGTCCATTTTCAACGGAATTTTGGTCCGGGGAGTCAAATGCTGACTCGGAGACGGAGAGAGAAAGTACGTCTGTGTGTTGACTTTCTGTATGCTGGATTGGGCGAGGAGATGTAGTACTGTCACCAGTTAGGTCAATGATTGTTGTAGAAGTGCTTGGTTCGGACCTGACTCGGAGTCCTGTAGCCGAAGGTTCTAAATCTGGCTGGTCAGGTATGAGCGTATCCTGTTCTTCATTTCCCTCGTCACTAGCCAGATCAAACCTGTCTTCTTTTTCTGTCAGCCATGTTGACGGGAGGGGATTGACTTGGAAGAGCCCGGGCTCTGCATGCTCTTGAAGATAGCGGTGTGCTTGACGTATTTCGTTGCGCTTAACTCTGGCCGGCTCTTCAGATTGACTTAAATCATGTAGAGAGTCCCGCTTTTGAGCATGATGTTGGCTTGCATCGGCGACACCAAGACTAAAATCTTCAATGCCACTACTGGTTTCTTGTGTCGACTGTGTAGAGAGCTCCATATCGTATCGGGCTCTTTTTCTTGCGCGCAGATCTCCCTCATCGTCAACATCATTGGCTACAGTCTGCCGCATGTGAATGTCGTGTGAGAAATTGGTCCCTGAACAGAGATGGCCGAACAAACGTCTGATAGAGACATCTTCGTTCCAGGTCGTTGGATCCACGGTGCATGGATGGATGTCCTTGGGCCGGAAGGCAGCTACGAGCTCACATAGTTCGGAGTAGGAAGAGTGCCGTGAATATGGGAATCGCTATAGTGTTGTTAGAGAGAATTACCTAAAGAAAACAGTAGTGTCACTTACAATCGTGTTAGGCAGATTTGGCAGGGATGATCGACTAGCGGTATCGGATGGGCCATGGCTTAAAGCGGTCACCAGATTCTTCAATGAAATTTCGCCCTCCTCCTTCACGCCGTATGTATCAAGTGAGAGTGCTTTCTTCCTCGACTGGAACGCATCCAGAAGGGCACTTCGCACCTGAGAAAGGGCTTGTTTGTCCTGGACGTGTTTGAGACACAGCTTCTCCAACTCGGCGAGGGCAGATTCATCTGGAAGCTCGAGTTCATGCGTTTGAAACAGGTCCCCAATACCACCGCCCGCACCGACCTCGGGGATTTCCGCACCGCCAGTTGTGCGATTCACAATAGGCACAATGTAGACCGTGTTAGTACCGCGAGCTGCCGGGCAAGAGACTCCGGGTTCACAACTGTGGATTCGACTCGACTCGTTGTTGCTTAGACAGCCTGGTACAGCTTCGTTTCCCAGGTCAAAGCCACAGAGAGCAGGAGCTTCACTAACCCCTCTATTTCCTGGAATCTGGACCAGAGACCGATAAAGTCCCATCTGGTAACGATCCACATGGATCTATGCTATATTAGCCAGCGTCGTATTCGAACTATATGATATTCTCACCTTTGTGTTCAGCGCAGCCGAGAGCGCTACCCAGACATCTTCGTAGCCAAAAGTCCATGCACGGAAGTAGAAGACTGTATCGTCAGGATAATCCTGGACTTTCTGCAGCAGCTCAGACAGTCCCTCGGCCTTGGAAGGGAACTCGCGGAATGGATTTTTCTTGCTTGCAAACGTAGAGTCCAGATACAACTTATCCAGGCGTTTCTGGCCCAGAGTATACGGTATCAAGATCGGGTGACGGACCAGGCTGCTCACCCACCATGTCTCGGCTGAAGACGATCAGCTAGCAATTCCACCAAGACAAGACTTCGTCGGCTCACCTCGGATGTCACCTGTGTAGATGATTGCCTTCCCGTTCCCTTCGATTAGAAACATCACAGCCCCGGTGCAATGGTTGGCATCAAACAATGTCACCTTGATACGACGTCGGGGTGTGAGAATAATCTCCGTTGGGGTATTCAGTGGAATTGGGCGCTGTGGGGAATGAGCTCTTATCTCCCAAAGTTTGTATAAAGATACTTACTAGAAGCTTTGCAAGATGCTTATAGTGCAGTCGGCGTGACTCCAAGATGCCTTTATTGAAGTTCATCCGATGGGGATATTTTTCAATCCGGAGCAGCAACTACACAGGGTCAGTTTGATGAACTTCAATAGGATATGAGCATACCTCTCGTGTGGCCGGTGAGCAGTAGATAAACGGTGCCCGAAAGGATTCGAGACCTTGTAAATGATCACTATGCACATGGCTAAGGAAACAAGCTAGTGGGGCAGGCCGATCGGGGCATTTCCGAAAGTAATCAACTGGTTCTCTTAGTTATAAGTTCAGTTGATCTCATAAGTGACGCTCACTTCGAATTTCAGGAAACTCTGTCCGGATTAGCAAGTCCAAGCGACTTGTGAAATGCCAGTCTCACCTTCTACAATGCCATCGAAGGTCGACATGGCAACTAATGAGGTTATCTGCAATGTTGAAGGTTGCCTAGGTGAAGATGGACTGAACCTGTTGTTCCTGTTAGTTGTTTTCACGTGATATGAAGATAAAAAAGGCCAATAAATCGATTTAAATCTTTAGAATTTCAAGTAATTTGATTCGACAAATCAAAAATGTAAATGTCGTGGCCATTGCCAACGCATACTTGGGGACTTCAGGTATAAAAAGCCCTTGTATGTCCTTCTGTCTTTACAAAACTAATTTCTTTTTTTTTTCCTTTTTCTGTTCTTCTCTCATTTCTATCTCTAATTTTCAATGGAACGTCTGTGAGACCAAGGGTCAAAGAGCCGAAACGTCAGCTGGGCACATCGGGATTTTCTCTATTATCATATCCATTGACCTGGATTACGAGAATTCAGGTTGAAAAAAAAGCATTGCATTCCTCACTTACCTCGAGGGTTTATTGTATGCGACCTCTCTAGCGTACTCTCCCCGCAAATCCCCCATCCACGTTCAAAACATTCACGGGGAATTTGACAAAGGGCAAGGGGGGGATCCTCCAGGGCTGAGTACCCTGAATTATCACATTCCAGGGAGTCTGTGACAACCTTACCTCCTTCATTTACTCTTTTACCCTCTTTACTCCTTCCACACCCGGGGCTTTCATCATGCGTAAACCATCCGTCAGTCAGATCGTGTATAACGCCACGTTTCCACGACCTCGCACAAATGACCCAGGATCGTTTGGTGCTCACATTACCCGGAACCTCGTCCCCGAAGTCCGTGTCGAAACATCCCTTTTCTACGGCTCGCTAGACTGCATCGAAGCGCAATACCCGGGTCTGGACTACTCATATGAACCGCATCGCATGCGACTGGGTCGATTCCCATGGCACCGAAAACTTTTTCAAACCTTCGACGAACTCGGTCTGACAGAGGCTGAGATCTCCAATCTCTGCCGGTGGGAAGGGACCAAGTCCGCGCGTCAGCGATACGAGGCAGAAGAAGGGGTTATCGTGCGGGACACCACGGCCCACTCAGTCCGACCGGCATCACCCCAACCCGGCCCGTCAATCGAGGTCCACTTCAACGACAGTGACTTCCGCGCGATAGAAGAGGAAGATGACCAGATCATCGAGACTCAGAGCAACGATACGGTCCGTGCGGTGGATTACCGTGCCTCTAGTTACCAATCCACCGAGGAGTACGAAATCGAAGAGGAACTTAGCGACGAGGAAATAGAAAGTTGTGGGCTAGCCCTCAACACCCGCATCCATGCTGCGCTGGCCGCTCGCGACCAAGGTACTGACGTGCCGCTAGACGAAGACTGGGAACAATGGCTGAAGGAGGCTGGAGAACGCGGCGGTTTCGAGGTGGTGCAGGCCATTCGTGCGAACCAGCCTTTGACTCGTGTCGCCGACAATGTCCAATTCCCACTCAGTCACGGTGCGGCCCTGGTGACAGGCCCAGACAGCATTATTGCAACTAACACTGCTCTTCCGTCCTCATCCAACCATGCCTCCGGCACGACTCAATGACTGCATACGACTTGACCATCAGACCCTTCGAATAGGGCTCCCGCTACGATTCGTGTTTGCATTTTTTTTACGGCGTATCTTACTTCTCTCGCATTGTCTGAAGTGGACTGGCTCCTTCTTCTATGGGTTTTCTTTGCTTTTATTGATCTGTATCCATCGCTCTACTCGTGCCTTCAGAAGAGTCTCTTGCTACGCATAGATTTCGTTGTCACCTCATTTTCTCTAATACCCTCATGTTCCTGTTCCTGCGTTGTTGCTTGACTTATTTCCTCTTTTCATCATTTGCTTTGCCGGGCATATTCATATTCAACGTGGTCGGAGAGATTTGCAGTACACGGCAAAAATTGTTCTAGCTGATTCAGAAATACATGAAATATCACATGCTCATGATCACTGTAGAGTGCAGACTGGATCTTCCATAATATTAACCATTATCTGAAAAAAGCTAGTATCAAGAGATAAAAATGAAATCAGATACCGTTTTTATGTTCAACACGAATAAACTCCCATACTGTGCCCTCGTCTCTGTTAGTGCCAACCGCAAGTTGTATGCCCGAACCGTCTATCTGCATCGGCAAGAACCCAAATCCTTGTTTCGCGAGGATGACATAGCCGCCATCGGGATGCGCTCGCACACATAACATTTCACTTTCATGGTGCAACAACTTAGCCTCCGCAATGAAGTGACCCTTGTTATACCCTATAAAGGTACCAGAAACCACATTTTGGAACCCCAATAACATCTCGTTGGATTGAACGCACGACCAGTAAATACCACACCCATGCCCACTGCGTTCAGATACAAGGCGTAAGATACCTTTTTGAAGTCCAATCACCAGGTTTGTAAGAGGGTCGCGAATAATGAACGTTCTGCCTTTCCAAGGACAATTCTTGGACTGCGTCACAACCGAGTCACTCAAGGACATCCCTTTTATTGATCTACTGCAAGCACAACTGCACGTAGGTGTATCGCATCCATCTTCTGTAGTAGTTGAAGACATAGTCTCCTCGGTCTATATTAAAACGGAGGGTTCCCTTTCCGTTGGGTATGATCTCAGGCACGCTTCTAGTATGTTCCTGTGACTGAGGCTAGCCAATCTTAGCTTGTAGCTATTATTTGAGGGGAGAAGTACTTGCCAACTAGAAACTCTAGTGCAAAAAGTGAGGAATAGAATACCTACGTGAGATATCCTGAAGCTGTTGCTGAATCAAGTTGTAGACCGTGCGGGGATAGCTGGAAATTATATATCACGTGGTCTCAACTTCAACAGGGTTCAGCCAATCAAACAAACGCGATGTACAAAGTCTAACCTGATTTGGAATAGCCCTGGGAAATATTGATTTCGATAAGCTCTCCGCTCCGAGGTCCGCTCCGCAACTGATCTCCATGCCATGAACATGTACTCATTTCAGCGCTGTATTTGATTGAATTTGGCCGATAGACTGCATTACTACGCATTTCTTCCAACTCTGCAGAATCTCCACCATGATCAAGGCAATCTTCTACAGTAAATTCGACACGATAGAGGGTATGGACCTTCAATACCATGATAGACCTTCAATTCGATACTAACTACTGTTACGCAGGGCCCAAAGTCGTCCATCAAGTTCCCGATGGAGCCATCGTCCCCACCCCTACCGCACCCTCACAACCACCCTTCCTCACCTTCTCCGATGTCTCCTTCTTCGTGATTCCCCGCCAAGAGCTCTGTGGAAACCTTTTGCAAGTATGCACAAACGGATATCGTATCCTGGGCTACCCAATATGCATGAAATCAGTGCGCTATGACCGCAACGAATTTATCTTCAACTTTTGTATAGTCCTCGCCGAGGAGGACGACTTCAGCACGTATAAGAGCGTGGTGCAGAAGCTAGCAGACCTAATGCATGGTCTGGAAGAGCAAAATGGTTTCTTGTCCCGCGATTTCTCGAAGAGTGGTGAGGGGAAAGTGTATAGTCTGTGTGAGATGTTGATGGAGGACTTGAATAACTATTGCGAGTGCATGATTCCGATTGGTATGTCCATGGATTTGTTTCGCATGAGGCCGCTAACTAATCTATTCAGACGAATTGAATACTCTGAACATCAAGCTATTCCCGATATACCCTTCTCCCCCGCCCGTCAAGGCCTGGCAAGTACCGCTCTTCACGTTGCGATACCAGGCCTTCATGGATGAGAACTGGGACTTGACTATGCAAAGAGTATGAGGAAGATAACACTGCCTCTATGACAGAAAACACAACAGCTGACCTCAGCCAGATTGTACCACATATCAACGGCGTCAACAGCGTCCGCATCATCTCCGTCCTAGCCGACACAGACTTCTCCCTCACCTGTCGCGCCCTCCGACACCTCCTCTACTACGGCTGCCTATTCATCCTCGACATCTTCTCCTTCTCCGCCATCTACGCCCCAACCGCCCAATTCAGCCCAACAATAGCCTCCGATGAAGCAATGCAACTAGAATGCGCCCGCTACGTCAACCTCCGCTTCGCACCACACCCACCAATCGGCCCCGACTCCCCCCTCCCACCAACCCTAGTCCGAACTCCCAGCGCCAACGACAGCACCGACAGCACAGGACCAGCCCCCTTCCCCAGCTCCCTCACCACAGACCCCGCACCAAGCCTCACACGCGAGGAATCCCGCTTCGACGCCGAAGAAATCTGGCCCCTCCTAGGCCCCGAAGAAACCCCTACCGCCACGTCCCCAAACGCCCTCCACAAACCAGCGCTCGTCGACGGCGTCGCCCTGGTAGAGCTCTACGCAAGTTTAAAACAAGGCCAGAGCGTCAAGCAATGGTACGCAGCCCACAGCCGCGCCCTGACAAACATCGACATCCGTCGTTTCATCACCTTCGGCGTGATAAAGGGCTTCTTATATCGCGTGCACAAATACGCCTGCGCAACGAGCCAGCCTGCGCCCCCGCGCCCGTCCTCGTTTACACCGACTGCTTTGTCTTCGCGCGCGAATACAGGTACCAATACGCCGTATGCGGTATCGAGTGTGTCGGAAGACGCGCCTATCTCGGCGGTTATGAGGGGAGAGTCTAGTCGTGAGCGGGCTGGGTCTGGGTCTGTGATTAGTGGGGGTCGGAATGGGAATGGGAATGGGAGTGGAGCGCCATCGGCGTTTTGGGAGGAGGAGGAGGAGGTTGTCGGGGATGAGGTTCTTGGGAGGTATCTTGATGGGACGCATTGCTTTGATCAGATTTGTACGGAGTTGGAGATGAGTGAGAGGGAGTTGACGGCTAGATTGAAGAGGTATCCTTGGGAGGTGTTGATTCTTCATAGATGAATTTGGTGGGAAGTTTCTTTGGGAGTTTCTTTTGAATTGTTGGAATTGATCGATACCCTACTTTTGTTTATCATTTTGGCGTTTATGTGGTTGGGAATATATATCAGGTGTGGAGTACTACAGTTACCACTGAAAACTTGGAAATTTGAAGATTGGAAAATTGTTTCATTGAAGCTTACAGCTCAGAGTTTAAGAATAAGAATACACATAGTCACATCTCACTAGATACAGGTTGTGGGAAAGATCCAGTGTGTATCTTCAGGCGGACTCTGCAACAGTCACGCCAGGGGTTCACATTTGATGCGTGAACAGGGAAAAAAAGAGGTATCCGCTAACGCCACGCCAGTCCATCATGCATTCGTATCGTATCGTGCGGGAAATAAATTAGAACAAGGTTGCGGTGGCTACGAGGCAGCCAAAGGACAAAAGACGGTCGGGTGATAAAAACCGGGAAGAGAGCATAAAGGGAGGATTTATTCTTCATCCCAGTTCTCAAGCTCGGCTTTTTCGTACTCAGCCATAACTTCTGGGTCGAAGATCGTTTCTCCCTCGGAGGGGATGGTAGTCTTGATGTCGTCAAAGATAGGCAGGAATGCCTCGTTCCAGCGACGACGACGGTCCATGACAATTTTTGCAGCGTCTCCGACAGCAGGACGGGAAACTCCCGCAGTACCGGCAACATGGCTGCCGCCGCCTGCACCGCCAGGACGGTGCTTGGGCTGAGCGCCCTTCTTGCTCTTGCCCATGGTGCGGGTGCGCTTGAGATAGGCTTGTTGGACCTGAGAATCAAGGTCGTCTTGGATGGTGGTAAACTCAAGCATGGCCATATGCTCCTGGGCGATCTTCAGAATGCGAGCTTTGCGCGCGTTGTTGGTGACGATTTGCTTCTTCAGCTCACTTTGGAGTAGGCGGAGTCGCTCAGCAACTTCATCATCGTAGTGAGCGTCGTAGTCCGGATTATCATCTGCACCTAGAAAACCAATGAATCGAAGTTCGGCTTTGGCACGCTCATCTAGTTGGGCATGATCCAGCTTTGCGACCGAAGTTTTGAAGTCGTTTGGATCTGCGTCGCGGAAGGTGGTTGCAGCAGGAAGAGGTTTGGTTTCGTTCTTGTTCTCCTTCTCAACAGTGGGTTGATCGATGTCCATTGCGTCTCCACCCAGTCCACTCACACTACCAGTGTCCCCATTTGCAGTTGGGTTGGAATCCTCGGGCAATGTACGGTGCTCGTAACGGAGGAGAGAGCAGAGCCGGCTGAGGAGAGGTCCAACCGAGACTTCGTTGGTTTCGGCTTTATCGTCAGTCAGCTGCTCAATGCTTCCACGACCTTGATTCAAAGGCAGCTGGTCCTTGTCATCTTGATTCGAATCGTATGGCACTCCATCCTCCTCCGCCCAAATTTGACGATAGTTTTTCTTTCCGCGACGGGGCATGATGAACGGGGTAGTGCGATCACCCTATGAAAGTTAGCTTGCGTTGCCATGAAAGGAGCTGCAATTGACCCACCCTTTCTTTCAACCAGGCAATGTCCTCCTCAGTAAGAGGGCGGACGTAAGGTTCAATGTAAGTCTGGAAAGTATTCGCGCTGACTTGGTTCGAAGGTTTGGCGTTGCTGAAGTCCTTGTCCGGAGCCACACCGGCTGCCATGTGGGAAAGATCGGTCTTAGGGAAGTGAGCAACACTGTAAATCTCTTTCTTCTCATCGTCCGTCATGCCTGGGAGCACTTCTCGAATGTTGTAAATGGTCGGGTCGTCAAACTTCAGCGGGTTCTCGCCAAAGACTTGTATTTGAGGGATTGCAGGCTGGGGCTCAGGCTGGTGGGAATCGGCACTGGTGTCAGAACCGGGGGTCCCGGGAGGAGGGCCATCGCCAACAGTGGTAGTGCCGTTGGGGGACATCATAGACGGAGGCGAGAGCGAGGAGCTTTCATCCGAAATCGCATTCTTGGAGTTTTTCGAGGCTGGAGAAGCCGCTTTTGATGGTCAGCAAAGGTTGAATGGTGGGGAAAGTCAAAGAAGATCGGAGTTGTGGAGATGGGTCCGTAGAAACAAAGCGTGAGAAGAAAGCGCAGGGTTGGATCTCTTACCTCCTTCAACCTTAGTCTCAGCTCCATCCTGGCGCGCGATCTCATGTGCGCCATGATTTAATGGCCGGTCCTCCTTCCCACTTGGGCGCTCCTTTCGCTTCTTCAGCTTCCCGCCCTTATGAATATCGTCATCCTCTTCAGTTTCACGTTTCAACTTGGAGCGATCTCGAACTTCTCGATCAAGCTCCTGATCTTCCACTTCTCTGCGTTTTTGAGACATTTCGCGCATTCCAGCATTGCAAACCTCGCCTCTAATATCGGCCATGTCGCTAAGGCCCTTCAGGTGCTCCACTAATGTCTCCAGTGTTTTCGAATCTGGAATGTTCTGCGCGGATACCAGATCCAACACATCGGCATACTGCGTACTAGCCAGATCAATGTGCTTGGTGACATCATTTTCCAAGTAGCTTTGGATGGGCAGTGATGGGACGACGGGAGCACTAGCGCCAGACGGGGTGGTATTGCGGCTACGCGACTGGCGCGCATCGCGGCCTTTGCCTTTGCCTTTGTATGCGGACGGCATGGTGTTTATTCAGACCGATAATCGAATAAGGAAGAGGAAGGGATGAAATGATTGAGACACCAGAGACAGTGTCAACGAAAAAGAAAGACTGGTCGATAGAGAGGATCCTAGGAGGTATGGATGGGACTGGACAGACACATGCTGTCGTTGGTCACTGGGAGTGAAGAAGAATGAAAGGAGGTTGAATATCCCCCAAAGAGCGTGATCATGAGCTAAAACAGATACAGAGCAAGAGATTCTCTCAATCACGGATGAATTATGACTTTCCAAAGGTGAAATGATGGTTGGAGGTCGCTAGTCGACCAGAGTAGATGCACGTGATGGGGATACACGACTCCTATCATCACGTGCACCATCATCCAAGGTTTAGTCTCCAGGGTGTTCCTGGGCACTACATCTGGGCGAAATAGGTGGGAATGAGCATATACCCACATGTCTAGGCTTTGAGATGATCCTAGTTGTCATTTTTCATTATACAATGCACTATACAGCTTGCGCCTTACTAGATGGCTTACACATTGCCTCCCAAAAATGATCACACACATTCTGCGGAGAGAACTCCAAATATGGCTAACTCCGATCGCATTCTGAGGGCTGACCAGAGTGTAATCTAGATCTTTTGTGAATTGCAAGCGTTGAAAAATTACTATTTATAACACAATCTAGCGAAATCCCCATGCCAAGTGCAAAAGCTTGAAAAGTTGCCTGTTGATGATCATCGCCACAACCGGTCTACCGCGAACGGCCATGTTTAGCGAAGTATACAATGGAGACTATGTCCTCGGTCATTTTTACTTGTTTACTCGTTCACGGATATTTCTTCGAAATGTGAAACTCAGTGTAATTTAGCCAAGAGGTTTTGCCTCTTGCCTCGTGGTTGGAACCAGGCTTATTTTACATTCTTGTGACGGTCCCGATAGACTCTCGCATTCTTCCGCCATAGAGATCTAAATAGGAAGATGTATGGGATGCTTCAGGGCTGAGTATCGTCTCAAATGACTTTGCCTAAAATCATAGAGAGTGCCATTTTCAAACATTGAATTATTTCATATTCAAACTTCTTTCCCTTAGTATGCACACACCTTCCTCACTGGTCTCAACCATCTACACTATATCTTTCCCTTGACACATATTCTCACTATCTTCATTATTTACCTGAGCCCAACCATTAAGCATGTCGGCTGCTACCATGTCTACGAGAAATGACTCGGAGGGCAAAGTGGCTACACTTTGGGCAGGTGAAGGGCAAGCATCAAATTCTACCTCGTCAGTCGAAGTAAGTACGCCTACTTTATTCAGAATTTGAGAGACTCCGGGACTGTACTGACTCGAATAATTGTATAGGAGAATGTTGCCTATCGGTTTGTCCTTGATCGCAAGGTTCAAACGATATCGAGCAACAGCATTCCCGAGGACGGATTGGTATCAGGCCTTTTGTTTGTGCCCAGTCTAGAGCCGCATGATCCGTGCTATAACATTACCGCTTCGTCTGTGCCGCCAGATGTGACCCGTTATGAAGATGTGTCCGACTTTGGATACTCCTTAGTTGGCCTTGCTCCATGGGTAACCGCAGAATGCTCGCTATCGTACCTCTCCGCCGCCCAAAAGGTCGGCACACATGCTATGATCTTTTTTCAGCCGTCAGACAACGAGACCAGCATACCACCTGACTCAAGCGACTCTCGCTGGGAAATCAACGATGGGGATAGATGGAGAATGGATATCAATTACCCAGTGTATGCCATTCCAGGGCCAGCTGGAAAATCATTGATCAACGATCTCTCATGGTATTCAGCTGAGACACCAGAGAACAAGAGAGACAACTCAACCGAGGAATTTGCGCTACAGACTACGACTAGCCGATTGTTTGCTAGGATTGAAACTGGTAGGCCACAAGAATGCGTCACTATCCAAATTTATACTCAAATATCGCAGGCTCAAACCCCACACCGGCGACGAACGTCTGGAGCTTCGTACTTGCAATTGCAGGAACGGTTCTTATACTCAGTATCCTCCTAGTCATAATTTATCGACTTATCCTGCGCAGGAGACGGTTTCAGCTCCAGAGACGTGTTGATGCAGGTCAAGTCGATATCGAAGCTTTCGCATTGAATCAAATGATGGCTCCTCCGGAGGTGGTTAACAAGATGCCTCTTTATACATACTCGGAGATTATCCCTCCAACGGAGCCAGCTCTTCGACAAGATAATACGCCGGCCAATCCCATCGAACGTGATTCTGACGACAAGACTGAATCGCTGTCCCTCAACGAAGACAACCATGCACAAGAGGATGCTGGCATCCAGATGCCCGAAGCAGCGATCGTCAAACCTGGACAAAATGATTCTTGCAGAAGCAAGTATCGTCTAAGCTATACTCAAACAACTTGTGCTATTTGTCTCGACGATTTTGTCGCCGGGTCATCTCTGGTACGCGAACTGCCGTGTGGACACATATTTGACTCAGCGTGCATCGATCCATTTTTGACTCAGAACTGTTGCCTTTGTCCTCTGTGCAAGAAGACCGTCTTGCCAGCGGGATCGTACTACATCTCTGTTACCAATGAAATGGTCGAACAAGAGTATCTTTCGAGGCGTCCTTGACTGCAACACATGAGGCTGCTTTTGCTTTTTCATTTCTGTATTTGGAAGATATGCCTTCTATTTTAGCATGGGAAGAGCGGGAATTATTAGTTGCATTTACCGAGCGTGGTGATTTGGCGATGCTAATGTCTTTGTATGATATCTTCATAGCGATCGAGTGTATGGAAAACGCATTTCAAAATCAAACAATTTCAAACAAAGTCATCGAATTATAGAACTGTAATACCAGTGAGACACTTGTACGGTCTTTGTCCTTGACGAAGATTTGAAAAAACTTGAATGGTCTTCAATGTTTTTCTACTTCTAGTAATTGGTCTATACTATATACTCCACAAGAAATACTTATTTCCAAGGCTGAATCATAGAAAAGGATAACCCTTGATCTTCATCCAATACTGCCCAAGTGAGAAAATGAACAGAACTCAGCCAGTGCCCAGCTGACCTCTCAGTAGGGTTAGTTGGTCAATGCTCACATATTTCTGCCTGAGATATAAGGGAATAGGCGCCTGACATTCAAGGCATAAAGTCCCACAATTCCGTGATTGGCTGCAGTGGGTCAACTCGCTAATCGCTAGCGTCCCACACACAACCTCTGCCTCTAGACGTTTTCCTCCTCGAACTTTTTGCGACAACGACAACCGACGACCTCGTACAGCCGACAAGGTACGTTTGATCATCCTTCATTTAATCCAATCTCAACCGCCAGTGCATTTCTCTGACATAAAACCGTCCAGATGGGTGCCCTCAAGTACGTGGAAGAAATCCAGAAGAAGAAGCAGTCCGATGTGATTCGCTTCCTGCTGCGCGTCCGATGCTGGGAGGTGAGATAAATCCCTTCGCCCCTCGATTGCCTAACATCTCCGCCGAGCGCTCGTGAGCGTTGCCTTAGGATATGCCGTTTTTTTGTGGTATTGCTAGGCGGCTTGAAAAAAGTCATTCGGCGGAAATGATTGTGGCACGCAAGAAAACCCATATGGGCTTCATGTGTCTTGCTATACACTCGTTGAACTTTGCTGAGAGTGCATAATATAGCTCCGCCAGCTGAACGCCATCCACCGTGCCTCGCGCCCTTCGCGCCCCGATAAGGCCCGTCGTCTCGGTTACAAGGCCAAGCAGGGTTACGTTATCTACCGTGCCCGTGTCCGCCGCGGTGGCCGCAAACGCCCCGTCGCTAAGGGTGCCACCTTCGGTACGAATTTTCCCAGTCGAATGCAGATTTTCTGGAGATCTGTTGGAACTGAAGGATTTTTTTTTGGCTAATATGTGATTTTGTGTGAACAGGCAAGCCCACCAACCACGGTGTCAACCAGCTCAAGTACCAGCGTGCTCTCAAGTCCACCGCTGAGGAGCGTGTTGGCCGCCGCGCTGCTAACTTGCGTGTCCTGAACTCCTACTGGATCAACCAGGACTCCACCTACAAGTACTACGAGGTCATCCTTGTCGACCCCCAGCACAAGGCCATCCGTCGTGATGCCCGCATCAACTGGATCTGCAACTCCGTCCACAAGGTGAGTTTGGATCGAAATTCAACTGCAATACCCCGGAATTTTGCTGACCAGGTCTTTCTTTCTAGCACCGCGAGTCCCGTGGCCTCACCGCCACCGGCAAGAAGTCCCGTGGTATCAACAAGGGTCACCGCTACAACAACACCAAGGCTGGTCGCCGCCACACCTGGAAGCGCCAGAACACCCAGAGCTACTGGCGTTACCGTTAAGTGCGATAGTGCACTTTCCCAGTGGTTTCGGTTGGAAAATGTTGGTTTCGGCATGTGGTCGTTTATTGAAACACTTCTTTCCCAGACAGTGTTCTCCACGCTGGGTTCAACTTTAATGCAGGCCAGCCGGTTCTGTTGTTAGCCAAAAAGCCATCTTGTTCTATTTTCAATTCCCCTATTAACGAAGTATGACTGGTTCAACTCCATGCCACTGGTACTGAAGAATTCGTAGTTTTGAATTAGTGATATTTTGTACTAGTTCTATGGATGTATGTCTCTTGTGAGCTTAATCTGCTTCTTGCTGTAATTGCTGCCCCGGGGGCCAAAAGTAGTTTGCCTTGGCGGATCACTAGCAAATGGTCTAGTGCACCTGTGGCTGGGAGCTAAAAAGGTATGTTTCTTACAAATTGGGATCTTTATACCTTTACTGCTGTCTTTGATTAACGATCGGATATGAATTGCCCCATAAAAATAGATCGCCTGCCATATTAGGCGGCTAATCCATAAATAGAACTAACAGCCTGAGGCAGGAACCACTTCCCACCCCCGGCCGCTTTCCCAATCCGTCCACAGACTATGAAATGCTGCTGTAACGATCCATCACTCTTCTATTGGATTCGAGGTGAGATAGATCTTTATTTAGTGAGACTTGACTTGCTTACTGATTGTCCATCCCTGAAATAGCTCGTCTCATTTACCAAACAAAGAACCATAGCTCAGGTCGCTTTACTCGACTGCCTTACCCCCGCTCCGTCCTTTACGATCTACTCGCATGTGTCTGGCACGAAGAACAAGCTCCACGAGCTGGGCACCATACTGGAGAGGTTGAATTTGTTTAAACCAATCCCAATACAGTTGATGCGCCTCCATGCCGTCCCGGTTTGAACGTCATCTACCTGTGCCTCCGAGCTCAACTTCTGGCACCGCCGCCATCCCACTACGTCCTTCCCAAACTTCTGCTCTGGAAACCAGCCCACGCCGCGTAGTTCGGCCCCGAGATGCTTCGACCATGCCCCCGGTAAATGGCAGTACGCCCAAGAATTCGCAACACCGAGGACATTCACGCTCGATTAGCAATCCGTTCGCTGGGTTTGGGCGCAAACGGGACAAGACAGCTTCCAAGCATACGACTTGGGACTCTGACTCTGACGATGACGATGAGGTAACATATCCCTTGGAGCCCGAGTCATCAAGTCCCCGGAAAGGTGCAGCATCTGGGAATGAAATGGCCGAGGGCAAGTGCCAGACTTGTGATGCTACTGTCCGGTGGCCACGCCACTTGAAGGTGTTTAGATGCACCGACTGCTTGATGATCACAGACCTCGAGCCGATTTCTCATGAATCCAGAGACAACCCCCCACAAGGGTCTCAAGGCGGGGCATCCAAGTTGGCAAACAAAGGTAAACCCATCAATGCTAGTCTTGCTTCATAGCTTTGTTGAAGATGCTGATTTTTTACTATAGTGTTTCCTTTGACGGCCAATCAAACTCGTGGTATGATCGGAGGGTGTCTCAATATGTATTTCGATAGCCTTTTGGACAATGGCTCTCGGTCATGGTTGCCGCCTGACAACGACGGCAAAAACAAACCACTGCCTGATCTTCCACCAATGCAGGTTCATGCCTCTGGGTCGAACAACCTCTCGCCGCCGCGTACCGAGAGTTCTCGAGGCCGTAGTGCTTCACATTCTAGTGAACGGGAAAGGTTGGCAGCATCAAAAGAGAATTCGGGTTACTTAACACCACAATCTGTTCGCTGGGAGGGCAATGACACGCCGGTTAGAGTCAGAGCGAACTCAGATCTCCGATCATCCCCGAAGCTAGAGTGCAGCCCGCAAGATGTCTCGCAAGCTGGGAACCCAGAGTTTCAAAGTAGCGACAATCGGACACACATTTTCAAACGGTTGGAAAATACCATCGCCACTGCCTTCAAAGGCTGTGATTGCCTCAACGAATCTTTCACCACGTACCCACCTCCTCGACCACCTCGATCAGCCAGTAGTGGTAACCCGTCGAGAATGAAGATGGAACCGACCACAATGCCACAACCATCGCATGACGCTCCTGTCTTTGAACCAGATGCCAAAACTCTTCTTTTGGGAGATTTGACTGAGAATTCCGCTTGGTGGATGAATGAATGGGCCGAGGCCGAAGGGCAAAATCCCGCGTATTCCAAAGAGAAGAGCACCCCAAAGTCTCGGATGGTATCATCACGAAGCCCTCGGATCAACTGGACCGAGGTAGGTCAGTGGTATCATTCGATTTTGTCTGCGGGGAGCTCTTGGTCTGAGGTATGGGCGGGCAAAAAACCTGACCCCACACGATCAGAAGCGGATTTGATCCGAGCCAAGAGATGGGCATCTATTGATCCATCCTTGATTGGGAGACAAGTCAGCGAGTCTCGCTTACACTTACAAAGGGCACTGTTGAAAGCTACGGAGAACCTCCTCAAGCGCCCGCGCCGTGTGCTGAAGAAGCCGGAAGACACCAGGTTCTTGTTTATATTGTTAGCCAATCCTATACTGTCTTCACCTGCGTTGTATTGCCAGCACACGCCGACGACGTCGTCTCACCGAGACGACAGACGCCCGTCGCATCCAAGAGACCCTCCGAAGTCGACAAACCGAGACGGAAAGCCCCCACACAAAGCCTTACCCAAAGCCGCTGCTCGTTCAGAGGGCGCTAATCACCACTATGGAATTATCAAGCGGATCCTGGGACTGATGTCCAACTTGCCCAATGACTGCCATCACTACTTCGTGTCTTGGGCTTCCCGTTTCTCCATCAGACATTTCGAGCGACTGGTTGAGCTTGTCGGTGGATTCCTCACTTACCGTTTGAGTCGTCAGCATGGGCGAAAACGTCATCAAACCCCTCAAGAGGGAGATGATCTAATACCGAGCTTCGCCAGTGCTTCGGGAAACACTGCTGCGGAACTTCATGCTGCGATTAACCGAGGCAACACGACCAAGAAGTCAGGCAAAAAGACCGAGGACCCCATTGTATACGCCGAGGACTGGCAGATCAGAGCAGCGGCAAGAGTAATGTCGCTGTTCTTTACGGCTAACATCTCCGCTGCAACGAGGAAATCTGACGGAACCCCGCGCAGTCTTGAAACTCCCAAGAACCCAGGCCCTCGTCAAGGACATATGATTCCGATCAGTACATTTTACAACACACTGTTGGACTATTCGGATCTAGTGACGGACTTCGAGACTTGGGAAGCTAAAGTAACGAAGTTTTCGTTCTGTCAGTATCCGTTCCTCCTTAGCATCTGGGCCAAAATTCATATCATGGAGCATGATGCACGTCGTCAAATGGAAGTGAAAGCACGCGATGCATTTTTCGACAGCGTCCTCAACCACAGTGCGGTTAGCCAGTACCTCGTGTTGAAGGTACGGCGTGACTGTTTGATTGAAGACAGCCTCAAGGGAGTGAGTGAAGTCGTTGGTACTGGCCAAGAAGAGATCAAAAAGGGTCTGCGGATCGAATTCTCGGGCGAAGAAGGGATTGACGCTGGTGGCCTGCGGAAGGAATGGTTCCTTCTGCTCGTCCGAGAGGTCTTTGACCCGCTTCATGGTAAGCCTTTTCTGATTCTAACTGTTGAATGACCGACTAATCCAAAATAGGCCTTTTCATCTACGATGATGATTCGCAGTACTGCTACTTCAATCCTTATTGCTTTGAATCATCCGAACAATTCTTCTTGGTTGGCGTTGTTCTAGGTCTCGCCATTTACAACTCCACCATCCTTGATGTTGGTCTCCCCCCGTTTGCGTTCAAGAAGTTGCTGGCGTCGGCGCCGCACGCCAGCGGGCCACAGGCCGCTACCTCCTTGCGTTCACCCTTCAAATGCACTCTAGAAGATCTTGCCGAGTACCGGCCAGCTCTCGCCAAAGGACTCCGGGGTCTACTGGAATTCGAAGGCGATGTTGCAGAAACATTCTGCTACGATTTCGTTGCCCAGGTTGATCGCTACGGCGAGCCTATCAGTGTGCCGCTCTGTCCAAATGGCGAGAACCGGCCAGTGACCAACTCCAACAAGCGTGAGTTTGTGGATTTGTATGTCAAATATTTACTAGACACAGCCGTGGCTCGACAATTCGAACCTTTCAAACGCGGTTTCTTCACTGTTTGCGGTGGCAATGCGCTGTCATTGTTCCGACCAGAAGAGATTGAATTGTTAGTCCGCGGCTCAGATGAACCACTTGATGTCAGTTCTCTCCGGGCCGTGGCCACCTACGACAACTGGTCACACCCACGACCAGAATCCGTCCCCGTGGTGCGATGGTTCTGGGATTTCTTCGAGAAATCGCAGCCTCAAGCGCAGCGCAAGATCCTGTCTTTTATCACTGGCAGCGATCGGATCCCAGCCGTGGGGGCTACGAGCCTTATCATCCGTCTTGCTTGTCTTGGGGATGACTCTCGCCGTTACCCGATTGCCCGTACTTGTTTCAATACGCTGGGTCTTTACCGCTATCCCACACAGGAGAAGCTCCAGCAGCTGCTCTGGGATGCGGTTGTAAATAGCGAAGGGTTTGGCTTGAAATGATCTGTTTACTCAGAACTTGCGTTGCTCATGGTGTTTGGGATTTTCATAGACGCTGGACGTTTCGGAGTTGGTTGCTTTTTTTTTTTTTTTTTTTTGCTTTTCATGGTGTCTTTTTCGTTGCACACGGGGGTTTTATGTTTTTATCCGACTGAGAAAGTCGGACATTTGCGTTCTCGTCTCTAGCATTATGTTACTCTGCTAATACAGTATCCTTCATAATACATCTCAACCCAATAACTCTTCAGCCTTCCACAACAAGAAAAAGCAACTCGAATTCCCCCACCACCACGCCAATGCCCTAATCCAACTCCACGTAGGATGATCCACAAGAATATAAATAGCCCCATACGCAACCCGCGCAATAGTATACGATAACGCCGCAGCATTAACCGTCTGCGCGGGAACACCAGCCATCGACGCAAAGAGCACGCCCGCAACCAACAATGGGAAATTCTCCACCGCGTTAGCATGCGCCGACTCATTACGCTTCAGCATGTCCAGCTGTCTGCGCGTGATCTTGCCTTCGCGTACAGCAATCTCGCCGTATTTGGCTAGGTCTTCGCGAGGCGAGACTTGGTGGTCTAATCCGTACCATTGTTTTAGGGTACGCGAGGAGAGGAGGCCGTAGGCGAAGATGAAGTTGAATGTTAGGAATATAGGGCCGTGGTTTTGGTTGGGGTTGATGGAGGCGCGGAGGCCTAGCGTTGTCAAAAGGGATGCCATTGGAAGTTATACAGGGGGTTTTGTGTACTCTGTATAAGAAAGAGAAGAAGGAAAGAAGAGGAATTAGGGGTTGATATAAGCAATGGAACTAAAATCTCACCTCTCAACTGATGTCTTCAATGTTATTGGTTGAGGCTTACAGGGTTGGATTTGCTTGAGCTTCCCCCGCCTTTGTTTTCTTCCTTTCTTCTACTGCAATAGCTCGAGCTAACAATTCACAATGGAGAAAAGTTGCGTTGCATGTGGGTGGACATCTGACCAACAAAAGCAATGCCATTATACAAGCCACCTTAAACACTTCCACGGCCTCTCTACACGGGCGTGTCCATTGGATCCGCCGTGATATACTTGACTGGGAATATGCTGCTTTCTTTTCTATTTGGTATGAGTATGTTTCGGCGTCTTTTGGATTAACAGATATGAATATCGAATGGAAGAAGTTGCTCCGGGAGCGTCTGGGTTTCCATGGCGAGGCGCATGAAGATGCTAAGGCATTCTGGACCGGATTTTTGTAATTTAAGACATCCAAATCTGGAGAAAGGTGAAGAAACCTTGCAGAGACTGTCCTAGATAATCTTGCATCAAGTCAGAACATGCGCTAGAAACCTCTATTTACTTATGTAGGTCCAGATGTCTGGTATGTATGTACAAAACGTCTATAAGCCAAAATGCAACTAACGGTATAAGATACCATCAACCATCTCACCAATTGCCAAACAACTCGTCAAGCCGGGGCTCTCAATCCCCAACAAATTGACAAACCCAGGCAAACCCTCTTCCTCGCGGATAATAAAGTCCTGGAACCCTTTACCCTCATTAACAGCACCACCCCTCCCCAATTTAGGACGAATACCACAATAATCCAACGCAATAGCATCAACATCAACACCAGGCAAATAAGCCTTGATCTCCAACAACGCACGCTCTAAACGCGCAGCACTCGGCACCAAATCATCAGGACTATCCACCCACTCAACATCCGGACCAAACCGCACACGTCCACCCATATCAAGCGTCAAATGCGTGCCCAGCCCCCCAGTTCCCGGCAAAGTAGCCGGGTAAACCAAAACCGAAGTCTTTGGTCTAGACGCCGCATACGAGAAGTACGTGCCCTTAGCATAATGCGGAACGAAATGGCGTTCTTCCGGGAGGAGAATGTTACTAATAGCACACGCGCCGTGTCCAGCACTATTAACCAGCGTTTCAGCCGTAAAGGAAGTAACAGAACCATCCCCTGACACAGCGGTGATCTTATATCCACCACGGCCGCCGTTGATAGCCTCCACGTCCGTCACGCGCGTCTTAAATGCGATATCGCCCCCGCGATCCTCAAAGTCACCCTGCAGATACGTCATTAGAGAATGACTGTCCACGATGCCGGATGTCTCGCTCTCGACAATGCCTGCGTCAGCCTTTACGTCCGGTTCACGGTGCTGCGCTTCCTCGCGTCCTATTAGTCGTGTCGGCGCGTCTAGTCCTTGTGCGTGTGTGTGCACTTTCAGACAGGCTTCCCATTGCGTGGGGGTTTGCGCGACGATCCATTTCTTCGTGTTGCGGTGGGGGATGTTGTTTTGTGCGCAGAGGTCGTAGAGGAGGTTGCGGCCGCGGATGCAGAGGTTGGTTTTGAGGGAGGTTGCTGGGTAATAGAGGCCTGCGTGGATTACCTGGTGAAGTGTTAGTTTTGGGTGTGGGGTAGTGTGTTGGGGGGTAAGTGCATACCTCGGAGTTGCGACTGCTCGTCTCTGTCCCTGGTGCGTCATGTCGCTCTAGTAGAATTGTCGAGGTGCCTTCGTGAGCTGCGAGTTGTCGTGCTGTTGCGAGGCCGACGACGCCTGCGCCAATTACCTTTCGTTCGGATTAGTTTTGGGTCTGTCTTGGAGATCTGTGTACTGTACCGCATGGGTGAAATCTGCATTGGTGGATCGCGTGGTGGAAAAGCAGCGAGTTAGATTGTTTCTAAGCTTGAACTGCTTAAGAGCACGTGCAGACATCTCGCAATTGACCAGCAATCTGCGAGGGAACAAGAAGGCCAAGGTCGATCTTCCCCTCGAATAACCTCGGGAATGACGTGACGCGCGAACACCCGAACCTCAAAAGTATTTGACCATATAAAGGAAGTATAAAGAACATACGAGACATCTATAATTACAACAAAGAGCCAAAAGGAAAATACCGAGAAAGAAAATAAAGGCAATTGTTTCTAACAAAGACTCGACATAAACCAGACTAACTATTTAAACGATCAATTCACCTGCCATAATGTATCTCAATCCATCAATCCCAATTACCTCCCCAATTACCTTCAAACTTCATACTTAATACTTCATACAAACCACACCATCAAACCATCCCATCTACAAGATGTCCTTAGGTATGTTCTCCCACGCAGATGGCACCAACATCCCCGAGCTCACCACCGACGAATTCGTCCATTGGGTAACAGTCGACTTCACTAAGTTTGGCGGACGCACCAAGCCTAATAGCGGCGAGAGCATGATGCGTCTTATGGCCGAGCAGTGTCGATCCGGAGTAGCCACTATTACATCCATGCCTCAGCACCACAAGCAGAAATGCTGTCTCTCGTTGCCTGTTGTCGGAGACGCGGAGCTCGTGCGAGTCCATATTTTGTGGCGGGCTGCTGAGATTGCGGATTGGCATTGGGAGGAGATTAGGGCTGGGAGGGAGACGTTGGATACAGATCAGATTTTGGGGGAGACGGCGGCCTCGTGGTGGAATTGGAATAAGATTAATGGGGAATAGTATGTTTTTAAGATTGGATAGAATGTTAGTGAATTTATTGTCGAGTTGAGTCTATAAACTCTCAGTACTATGTAGAAACTAATAGGAATGTATCTTCGGAATTCTAGTGACATCGTCGATTCATGAAAACTAGTGAACATGAACATTATAGTCGAGTACGTGGTATATAGATTCTAGTCATTCTCTACAAGTCCCAAAGTAACCCGTCCATCACTCCCCCGCAAGGCCAAACGACTCCTTAATGATTCCACCTTCTCCCTCTTCGCCCACTTCCTCACATCGTCATCATCCATCTGATCCGCCACCTCCAGAATCGGCTGCGTCTCTTTCGAAACAACCTGCGCCACCGTCTGCCAGTAACTCCCAATGAATGAGATCTCGGTCGATATCACAAACATAACGACGACTACCATCATGATAACCGAGTGAATCACAATAAGCGCCATCCCCAGCACGAAGAATGTCCATCGCACCGGAATTGTCGCGGTGAGCGAGAACGCCGTCGTGGCCACGACTGGACGATCCAACTTGATCAGTTGCTGGTAGTATGCCATCTGATAGATACGGGTGAGTACGGCCTGCAGGGCTAACGCCGGACTATTCGTCGTAATCAGGGTGTCCTGGAACAGATCTACATGAGTCATATGGGCGTTGCCGAAGCTGGTGACAATGATTTTACGAGAGAGGATGACGCTGGGGTCGAAGTTGAAGCTCGAGCCGACAGAGTTGGGGAAGCTGACGGAGATGGATGAAAAGAAGTTGGGCTCGGCTCCGAGTGCTTTACCAGGAGCTCCTGGAGTATTTGGTGGAATGTGGAAGTCTTCCCATTTGGATCGGGGGTCTAACGTGAGGATGCCTCGGTGATTGTTGGAGATCTTGTTGTCCAGGGATGATACACCTAGTTGGAGGCGAGAAGGTGCGGTGTTGTAGCTTCCAACGTGGTGATCCCAGGTAGTCTTGGGCTCGAGATTGTCGAATGTGCTGTTCATTCCGACAGTGACGGTTTTCACAGCGAAATTTGTGAGGCAGGCGGAGATGCGGAAGGCTTCGACGTTTGGTGATCCATTAGAGATTATTGCCCAAGGGTCCTCGGTTCGGATTGTCTGCAAGGTTCGAATGTGGCTTAGTGTGTCCAGCATTGCAGCGTCTGAAATGATGTCAAGGACTAGGAACAAGGCCGAGGACTCGGGAAAGCCGTAGGGCTGGATCAGGGGGTCTTCGTTGAGGACCGTCCAGTTTGTGGATATTTTGGGGACGCACAAGCTAGTCTCGCCTTGCGTCTTGGTTTTTTTTTCTACTGGGCTGGGTAGTCTGCAGGTGAAGTTGATATATGGGTGAGGATATGAGTCGAGTAACAATGGATAGGCCAATTCCTCTGTGGGAATCTGTCCGGACAGGCGCATATAGTTCTGCACGATCGAATCTAGACTCAAGTTACTCAAGGGCGGACTTGAGCAGACGACCCGATGATCCATGACCGGCACTGGACCGTGGAGGCGGCGTAGTTTGGTTCGTTCTGCCTCCTCCTCGAAAGGAAGGAAAGCTCGAAAAGTGTGCCCGGTATCATGGAACCCCGATCGATCATCAAAAGACTCCTCCAGCTCGGCGAATGTCCAGCTGGCCGCAAAAGGCATCGACCATGCAATGTCAGAGATATCTGTGGTATGTAGGATACTGACATTGGTCGAGTTGCTGCGCTGGGAGAAGGTTCCATCGCCAAAATCAGCCAGGAAGATGGTGGACAGAAACTGGGACGCTCCTGTCACCAGGACCTCGGTGAGCACCAGCGCATAAATGAAGCGCGAGAGGTGAGGCTGGAAGTTGGTCGCAGTCCAAAAGTTGCTAGGGGCTACCTTGACTGCCCGGAGCATGGAGTACAATGGACCCTGTAGGAGAGGGGTGCCTGCAGTCTCCAAAGCAATTGCTGCGACCATAGCCGTGGCAAGACCGGCCTGAAAAGCCACCACCGCTCGAATAGAGGCGGTGCATACTGTCACTAGTTGCGCTGCCCAGCCTGCATTGACGATGCGCAGCCAGTAAACATTGGGCTCTCCCCCGTTGATAGCTTTCATTGATTCATGCCAGAATAGGGCCAAAACTGCCACTGCAAGCAGAAGGAGCGGAAAACCGAGGAATATAGTCAGAACACTGGTAGTATCGATTCTATGCCAGATATTGCTTCGCTTGCGGGGCTGTTCCTCTTCAGCCTCATTGTTCGGGTGTGCGTTGAGGGCTTCTAAAGGGACATAATCCACTGTATCAGGAGCCATGGTACATAATAGTATGTAAGAGTAAATATTTAGACAGTCGGACGTAGCATCATAAATATATGAATTCTATTCGAGGTTTTATTTTGGCCCCTGTAGCCAAGTCTTCAAGATCAGCCCTAAGCTAAGTGAGGCGCAGGTCCAATCAAGCCATTGTGGCTCATTTTTGCTTTTTCTTGCAATTAAAGTCCTCTAAGCCACAACCGTTGACTATTCAGGCAGACTCGATATGCCTTACTGCCAACACAACAAAAAAGGTAAACTAGAATATAATTTATTATCCAGTTGAGATATCACTCCACATCCATAAGAACATCACTCATTATGTATAAAATATACGAAAACTGCTTGACACTCCATTTCCCAGAATCCTTGAGAAGCGAGGCATAATCAAGTAGGATTCTCCGCGCAGACTGATACCCACCGTGGAAAGGCAGTCCACGCAGGTATATAGTAGCCCCATTTCGAATAAAGTTAACAGCAGGATCCGCCGACGCAAAAGTCTGGCTTCCCCCAGGCTCCATGAAACTTGTAAACCCATCAGTCCCTACCGACCTCCAATCAACATCATCCATCAACTCCACAGACCCGGCAGACGGCGAAGTTGTAGACTCCGATGCCGTGAACGTATACAGACCGAGTACCAATCCCGCCGAGAAGAGCGAAAACATAGATTGGAACGTGGGGTGGTCGGAGGCTTTGCGGTTTGCCATGACTTTGTAGATATGCGCTGCGTGTAGACAAGCGCGTCGTGCTGCAGGTGTCTGCGACCACTCGCGGATATCGTCAAGGGCTTTACGCGCGGGAGCTGGGCCTGCGCGGCCGGCTGCGAGGTCGAATATTTGGATATCGGCTGTCAGAGTCATGCACATGTTGTGCCATGTAATGAGAGCGTTGGGGGTTAGACGGTCGAGGGTTTCGCCGTAGTTTGTTATTAGCTGGGATTGGAGGGAGGGGAGGCATCTGGCTCGGCCGTCCATGGCGTAGGTGTGACATGGAGCAAAGGGGTAGCTGGCTCTATTTGAGAGGAGGCGGTGGTAGGATTCGGACTGGCGAAGTTGAACTATTGCTAGTACTGCTTGTATACAAAAGTCGTCTGCGGGGGATTCTAGTGTGGGGATATTGATGTTTTCGGATGGGGCGAGGATTGTTGATGAGAGGATGGAATTGCCGCTACGGATTAGGTGTGTCCATTGGATGGAGGAGTGGGCGCAGAAGAGAGATTCGCTGCAGGGGAGGATGAGTTGGATCGAGTCTGGGACTGCGATTGGACCTGTTGAGAGGAATGAGGAGTACCAAGAGTCCAGGAGCAGTAGTCCGATGATTATTCTTGGGGAGATTGTTAGTGATGTGTTGTATGGGCGGGACTGCGGCATACCTCTTGGTTGATTCGACCTTGCTCCAGGATTTCCATCTCATATCAATATCGGGGATTGTTTCAAACAAAGTCATGTCAAGGCTCTGTCCCTCGCTGGCTGAAAATAAGCCATGTCTTTGGGCGACCTGCAGTAGTTGCCATCAGAATCATAGCAATAGAGAAAAACAAGAAGGCTCTTTACAAACTCACAGACATGACGTTGATATAAAGAGGTTGACACTGTTCCAGGTGTGCCTTTTCCTACAGAATGACATCGATTAGTACCTGAATTCAGCAACCTTACTCGCGCAAGTGATTCATACCCCAGTCAAACCAGCTAGGTTTATTAGAAGCAAAGCTGTTGCAAATAATGTCATAGTGCCGGAAGCGCTGTCAACTCCCATCGAGCATTGAGCAAATTCAGCTGTCACCTTTTCCAAAGTGCCCTAATGCCTGTCAGTAGGCTACATGTATAGTGCTTCGCAATATTTGACCCACCGAGAAATTTCTGGACACAAACGCAGTTGTTCCTTTCGTACCAAGCAATGTCATGCCAACCAGCGTCATAACATATAGGAGAGATGGTCGCGCCTTCTTTGCCGAAAAGGTCGGCTGATGGATAAATGGTAAGAGCGGATTGAAAAGACGGAAAAATAAGTCTAGGGCCATATCAAAGATCTCAGCAGGAGGGAAACCAGAATGATTCAAGGTCGAGGTAGGCGCGATTGGAGCAATGATCCTATCTGTTGGAGATTGTATATGTGCAGAAACAGCTATTGATCCAAAAGCTGCCTGTAGGCGCTGTCTGCAATCCTCATCGAATCCGCACCGCGATCCCTGAACAACACTTGGCTCACTCGGAAGATGTGATGACTGCGCGGAGAAGATATTATCGACAGTCGACATGGCGATATCCCGCCATAAAGTGTTGATAAGACGCCCAGTATTCGGCGGTGCTAACCAGCACTGCTGGACTCTAGCGAAGCGTTCATTGGGAATGCTATCGCGGTCGACTGAATGTCGATCCTGCTCTGGTGTGAGAATCAAATTGTCACCCATTAGAGGGAAATGGCTATCGTGCATTAGATCTACTGAGTCATTTAACTTCGAATCTGGGTGAGGTTCAAGCCACATTTGTAGCATGTCTTTTGATCCAGGGTCGAAGGCCAAGCCAGCTTGATGCGACACTTGATCCGGCATGGCTGCATTCCACCCAAAGTACTGCTGGTCGTTAATCATCGCGCCAATGTCTGACTCGGCGCGGCCATGGTGGGCTGAGATGTCGGCTAGGTAATCTAGTGAGGATGGGAGCCCGGCTGATGCATCTCGAGTGGTAGATAGAGGTGGGATCTGTGATTCTGTGCTGACAAAACCATTTCCTGGGATCATTGATGTACCGGCAATTACTGGCTGTCGATGTGGCGCTTCCGATGGACCGGCTGTTGCATTGGCTTGATTATGGCCCTTGGCATGTCGGCTCAAAACATCGCTGTACATTGTATTTAGGGATTCGAAGAATTTTTTATTACAATTCTGCAGAATTTACCTTCGAGAGAAACGCTTGTGGCAGACATCGCATTCATATGGGCGTTCTTTGGTGTCTGTTTTGCCTGTTAGAATTGCTCTTGCAGGGGTTCGTCGTAACTGACGCGACCGCTCATGTCTCTTATAATGTTCAGTTTTTTTAAACACCCGCGAACAGATTGGACATTTTTTTAACACCATCACGGCGCTCTTAGGACGATTACGGTACAATCTCTCGAGACTTGCCCCGGAAAAGCACTCGAGGGGAAAAACATCTGAGTCAGCAAGTCCGGGGTCCACGGGTGATAAGACACCTTATATAACAGGCATCTATGGTCTGTTTGCCTTGAGTTTCTGTTGAAGGCATCTATTTAGCCTCATTTCAATTGATTGCTCTCTTCAACTAATCGAAAATCTGTATCCACCGTAATATTTCCATCGCCATGCTCTCTCTTCAGTCCGCTCATCTCGACTTGTACGTCGCGTGTACTCAATAAGGACTCGTCCCAGTCAAGCGGCGTTGGTTTGCGAACAAAGATCTTTTTCTTCGCTGACTCCTGGTTGCTTGAAGTCTTAGCATATCTTCCCGTACTAATGCCAAACACACGAGCGAGGAAAGACCGAAGTAGCGGATGTAATGTTGGAAGACAGGCGCATACGATGCCGATGGACGGCTCAACGCTGGACCAGATGAAGACGTCGCCCATGATCCAGGTGACATCGGCCGAGTTTTTGAGGAAGGTCATATAATAGATCCGGACGATGCTTGCAATACAGACACTGTGATATATTAGCTTGAGTCAAATCCATTTGGGTCGGGGTGACATACAATCCTCCAAGCAAAAAGATACCGGATAGCATAACTTTCTGTGTCTTTCGCATTTGAAGCTTCCACACAAGGGGGATTGGGACCAACAGAATGATACCATCCGTAACCACATTTGCCGCAGCGTTACCGATGTAGAACGGGTAGAGGTTAAAGATACATACTCCTCCACTAGGGTCTGCATACTGCGTCCAGTAGTATGACACTGGTCTGCAGCAAACCAGGAAGGCGACCATGCAGGAGACGAAATATCCGGTCGTCAAAAACACACAGAACCACATTGAATATGTCATGCCGAAGATACGTCGATAGAAGAGGAGAATCGATAACTTTATAAGTGGAACGGTGACCACGTAGACCAGGACGTAGGCGAAGAGAATGCGCATCATTTCCACGACTTCGGGGATGGGAACAATCCATACATGTTTCCCGAGACCATGATATCCACCTATTTTAGTCAAGTTAGAATTGAGGCTTTGCGTCAAAGGGTGTATACATACCAACCACAGTCAAAACAAGACTCGCAGTTACAGACAGCTGTAGATTTGTCAGAAACAAAGTCATTGACGGTTTGTGCGACAACATACAAAAGCAGCCACAATCATCCAATCATCTGCAGCTACTTGCACAATTTGTACTCGAAATCTCGTATAGAACCGAAGACCAACAGCTATCGCTGCAAGAATAAAGGTTGTGATGACAGCGGCATTGTTCCGTAAGCCATGATCGGCGGATAGATCCGTCCCGGGTGGAGGTTCCCCAAATGGGCTGAGAGCCATGGAAAAGAAATTCACATTCGAAGTTGAATATACAACATTCGAAGCAAATTTGATATCAATTCCATTGTTGAAAATTTCCTCGGGTTTTAAATTTTAAAAGCCAAGAACGGCCCCCGGATGACAGCGTCAATCGACGATCCACTTCATCGTCCATTTCCCGCCATCCTGTTCGCCCCCGATGGGACCGACTCAAACATATCAACCTATGACACGGCCCCCTCATCCCACCCGCGAAGGATTCAGGTCTAGTCAAACGCCGGCTAAAGCTACTTACTTATTACCACCACTATCATGGCAAAACTTATGGAGACTGCCCCTGAATCGGGACCGGACTCTTCCCGTCTTCCGTCTTCCTATAAGGGCAAAAGAAACAGACAGGGCCAAAAAAAAAAAAAAAGTAAACCCTTAACTGCAACCTGTTGACCAAAATCCACCATGCCGTCTAACGAATCCCTTTATAACGAGGCTATCAATGTCGATCCCGGCCAATATGCATTCAAAGAGCGTAAGCTCCGTGTTATCTGCATAGGGGCGGGGTTCTCTGGCCTGATCCTTGCTCATAAACTGAAACACGAACAGCCACTTGATTTCGTGGACTTTACGATCTACGAAAAGAACTCCGAAGTTGGAGGCGCATGGCTCGAGAATGTCTATCCCGGTGTTGGATGCGATGTTCCTGCCCACAGCTATGTCTTCCCATTCGAGCCCAATCCAAACTGGTCCAAATGCTATGTTGGTGGTGCCGAGATCGAGCAATACATTGTCAACACGGTAGACAAGTACGGATTGAAAGATCCGATCGTGTTTGATACAAAGCTCGTCAAGTCTATTTGGAATGAGGAGCGAGGTAAATGGGCGCTCGACCTCAAACAGAATGACAAGTCTATTCAAGATGAAGCCGACGTTCTCATCGATGGCTCTGGTATTCTGAACCGATGGAATATGCCGAACATCCCCGGTTTGGACAACTTCGCTGGCAAGCTTGTTCACACAGCTGGTTGGGACAAAACGTACGACTGGACTGACAAGAAGGTCGCGGTCATTGGAAATGGCTCATCCGCTCTTCAAGTTGTTCCTGCACTCCAACCAAAGGCTGCAAAAATTGTCAATTACATCCGTAACCCAACCTGGGTCTCGGTCAACCTCTGTCCAGACATCACGAAAGATGGAATGGGAACCAACTTTGAATATACCGAGGAAGAGAAAGCGCAGTTCCGAGACGACCCACAATCATTCCTGGAGTACAGGAAAAAAGTCGACAACTCGTAGGTTGCTCACTGCTTCTTTTTTATTTGAATCGGACTAACTATACTAATCATAAATAGTGTCAACACCGTCTACCGACTGATGTTATCTGGCTCTGAGCATAATAAAATGTTATACGATGCGATCTCAGGACTCATGCGCCAACGTCTCAGTCAGAATCCCCACCTGATTGACAAACTCATCCCGAAGTACGAAATCGGATGTCGCAGACTAAGCCCTGGAGATGGATATCTCGAATCGATGCAGCAACCAAATGCCGAATGGTGCTTTGAAGGTATTGAGGAGATCACCAAGACCGGCATTCGCACAGCCGCGGGCGAAGAGGAGTTCGACTTGATTGTCTGCGCAACTGGCTTTGATACCACCTTCATTCCTGGATGGGAGATGGTGGGTCGAGAAGGTCGACGACTCGACGTGGAGTGGAAGAAGACACCCGAGGCATACTTCTCTATCTGTGCCGGCGGAGTACCAAACTACTTCATATTCAATGGACCCAACTGTCCGATTGGCCATGGAAGCGTGCCCCAGATGATCGGCTGGACTGCTGATTACATGCTGAAATGGGTGAAGAAGATGGCTCGGGAGGATATCAAGTGAGCATTTTGTGGGATGGGATACATGGGCTCTCAACTGACTTCTGAACAGGTCCGTCACAGTAACCGATTCCGCTGTTCGAAACTACAACCGTCGTGCGCAAGCGGGTCTAAAACGCACTGTCTGGAGCAAGGCTTGTCATGCTTGGTATAATAACGGACAAGCTGTTACGGCGATGTATCCAGGCAGTGTGTTACATTATAAAGGCAAGTTTTACAATGGTAGAAATATCTCTTGATGATATACTGACTTGATAATAGTGGCTATTGAAGATATTCGGGGTGAAGACTTCGATATCAGACACAACAACACCTTGGATCCGTTCTCGTATCTTGGAAATGGAGAACTAGAGTGGGAGAGACAAGATGGTGCGGATTTGTCATTCTATTTGAAATAGATCTAAGATGGTATACCTACATAGTCTCATTCGGATTTTGGAATACTAGCGTTTGCAACAAAGGAATATAGATCCTCATCGCCATCTGACGGAAGTTGACCACTGAGCATGAGCATCCAGCCCAATCCAGACTCCAGTTGGAAATCACGGGCCTCAGGCTGTGTGTTGTAAATCCCCCCGCCCTTCAGTATTGTCGATTCAGATGCATTAAGTGTTCGTGATCGCTTTCTAGGAGGATAAACAGCTCCATCCGGACCGCGATCCGGCCGTGTGGCACGGGTCCGAACCTCCCATTTACGCTGTAGTCTTACCAAGAGGTCTTTAGCGCGATTGGCACTCTGCCATGATAGTGAGAACTCATCGAGGGCTCTGAAGCAGGTACTTAGATGAGCGACGATATTCTCTTCTTCTTTGGTTTGGTATTGTGAAACGGCGGCGAAGAGAAGTAGGAGCACGGCGGAGGAGGTAATTGAGACTGCTTTAATGTTTATGCGGCGGAGGGTATATCTGGTCTCGTACAAGACGAGGATTTTGGCTATTGAGATAGCGGAATTAATGCACATCTCTCGGGCGTGAGTGGAGCCTGGTCCCTTCGGGGGTTGTGGTTGCAGGTAGCCTTTTGACATCCAAGGTCGATGGGTGTAGATGAGATTTTGATAATATTGCATGCTTTGGGATGGATTAGCAGACATCTTCTATGGGAAATCGAAGGAAAGGATAGTAGTAACTCACTGAAGGAGCAACACATGCGGAAGATAAGGAGAAGTGTGATCGTTGAGGTCAATTTGTAAAAACGAGGGCAACTGAGCTTTCCACTTGAGAAGCTTGGCAACGTTGTTTTCATTGAGTTGTTGGAGCAGAGTTCTTGGAATACCTGATGTTCCATAACTTTTCGGGGCGAACGTTAGCTGAAACGACTCACTTAAGCCTAACTGATGCCGAGATACAAACGAGAACGGGAACTTACAGAAAATAGCCGCAAGGTGCCATAAGCTCACATAGTGAGACTTCCTGTTGGCTGACGGCCCCCACACAGTCAAATAATTCCGAATTGTCGTCGAACGGAATGGGAGATGCGTAGGGTGTCCATTTACAAGGTTCTCGATGGTCGACGTTACTATTCGGCTTCTTGACTGTTACATCCTCCATGTTGGTATAAAAAGGTCTACCAAGGTAGAAGCCGACAAGACTGAATGCCAGCAGATTAGTGATATCCTAGACATACACGGAAACAACGCGGGAACTCACTGATCCACCATATACGCGGCCCAAAAGACGGTTCCACGTAGCTCAGCGTCAGCAGCGGTGACAGATCCCTGAGCGACATACGGAGAAAGGTCAATATGCAAGGCAAGATCGAAAGCAAGTCGAAGGGCCATCCCTAAAATTGTAAGCTAAGCAAACTAGGAACCGGCGACAGGACTTACCGCTGTAGAGCCATCCACGTGTATCCGACCCTACACCAATTTCATGGCTGCTTAAGATAACTAGTGCCTGGACTGTTGCCACACATGGAGAGTCGAGTTCAGCCTCAAGAAGTTCTTTTGCACGGTCGCCGAAGAATTCACCCAGAGATTTCGGGAAGGTCACAAATGATGGGTGATAACGGGTTTCAAAAGCGGCGCCAAGAGAACACCTTTTTGCAAATGTTATTTCATATGACCCATTTTCCAAATGGAATGGACTCACATTGCAGAGCAGAGTGCCTCGGAATAAAACGGGGTCTCTTCTTTCCCATACCGGGCTGTCTTTCCCTTCTCGAACATTTCTCGGTCAACGACGTGAAATGATGGATCTTGCCAGGTAAAATAGAGATTAAGAAGATGCTCCTCGAGAGATAATGGGACTTGGCTGTCCCAGTCTGTGTCGTCGAGATAATTGACCGTACGATTTGTCTGTGTGTTCCCAGATACTGGAGCATCGGCAAGGTTGAAGGTCGATGTTGGGCCATAGAAGCGAGCTTTTCCTCCAGGACCGAAGCGCAATGTGCCCATCCGATCGGAAAGCTCGTCGATAAGATCTTCGATTTCTTCTGTGCTCCTGGTATCACTGTTGAGGCTTGGTGGGGTTTGAACGACGGCAGGTTCAAGTGGCTCGGGTAGCTTCTCCAATTGCTCTGCTGGCGGCTGTAGTGGTTCTATACTTTGATCTTGAATGTCTGGGGATGATGGCGTAATGTATGTTCCAAAATCCAAGGTCCAGTCCCAATTGGCTAATGAAGTATCCGAGTGCTCATCCATCTGTGGATACTGCTCTGTAATTGGGATATCCGGATTTTCAGTATCGATTATGGGTAGCGTTGATACGGGATGAGGGCCGGAAAGCGTTGTGAGACCGGACTGGGAATTTTGCGATGTGTTGTCCGGAGATGCCTGAGGCCAGGTGCTGTTGGAATCATTTCTTATACCAGGAGCGGAGAATGGCAGAGAACTTGGGATATCAGAAAGAGGATCATCGACTGTAGATGGGGAATTGGAATTGGAGGGTTTGCTGTTAGTTTGTTTGCTTCCTGCCGCTGAATGAACTTCAGTCAATCCAAGAATATCAAGAACTTTGGCCAAAGCTGTGTCCTTTTCTTGCTGCATAGGGGGAACCTCCAATCCACTTTCACGAATGAAGAGACAGAGCTGGTCAACTCTGCTTGATAGAAGTTCTATGGCAACACGGAGTGGGAGTCTTGACATAATAATCAGCACTATCATTCAACCGATAGTCTCCTTTTTATAGATGGATCTCAATGTGGCACTAACTTCCTTTTGTCTACGGCCTGATATCGACAATCACGGTGCTTGTTCATGCAGCTGGAGCATTTAGGCTTCCCGCCGTCACACTGCTGGGATTAGCTCTTGTATTTTCCACTGGACTAATTAATAGTCACCTTGACTTTACTCTCCCGACATGATACACATGCCATAGAGACATGGTGCTTCCTCTTTTGGGGGACACTGGTCTTTGACATCTTTCCCTTGTTCTTCTAGGGTGCCATGAGAGTATGCAGGTTAGAGGGGTTGAAAGATCTAATTGCAGTGCGGGGTATTAATGGGGAAATGTTTAATCCGAGCTATATCCACTGTTCGCGTTCTATTTATGGGGCTTTCAAGCTGGCATGTATGATATACAGCCTTGTTGAAGGAAATGTCGTCCTGATTTCGTTTCGAAGCGTTTCCTCGAGTGACCAATCGCTGATATTACCGAGGTGGGTCTAGCCTAATTGGGAATAGATCGTCCTTACGGGAATCAGAACCCGAGAGGATGTGCAATCTGTCCGCGGGTATATTCTTGCCATATTGAATTTTTGCTTCCTGCAAATCCTCTGATACTTCTATTCTGAGCGTTTCTTCATTATTAAAAAGCCGTGAGAAGGTGACTGTACCATATCAATAGGTTGCAGTTGAGACTACAACCTGCGAGACATACAAACAGGAAGAGCAAGCAATGGTACTAACTGCTAGTAGACATATGTATATTTTTACACGGCCGCACACGCCATATTCATTCAATACCTAACACTATTTATAAAAAAAAACGTAATTGTTTTCATCTAAAAGAAGACTGCCATTTAGATTCACAAAAAGCAGCTTCGTGTACAGCGTGTGTACCATTTAAAAAGCGTCCTGTACTTTATAGAAAGGCGGAATTGGCCGCTAACTGGGCCAAGAGCGAGTACTCTAAAGACATATCTTTACATTCAAAAGTAAAGGATAAGGACTATATCAACGACTTAAGTTAAAATCTATTGCTCGTGGATGGGGGTGGCCTATTGCGTTTGCATAGCGCACTTGCCTCGGAAGAAGGGTTGATCGACGTAACGTACGTAAGGTCGCCGGTCCATCCCCGTGCGAGACTTCTGTTCTATTCACAGAGCACAATATTTGGAATCATTCCACCTCAGTAGGGACCTTTTTTTTATTCTTGATATCAAGTTGTGATGGAGCTATGTCATACAACATTCAACATAGAGATTCAAACCCTGACACCGGAGACCTGCAGGCAGTCATTCTGATAGACCCCCGCAAAGCCCATAGATAGGCCCGAGGTTCGAGTCAATAGCCTAATTAGCGGGCCGTGGGCCCAAAGATAGGGCTTAAAGCCTAGCCCGTTAGTGGGTTGGCTTGGGCTGGATTGTGGGCTTTATGGGCCTTGCGGAGGTCTAGCCATCCATACTGCAACCTGAAGGGGCCAAATGTTATGCCACCCTTAGAAGTGTCCTGGATCACAAATTCTACGCCTATGCGGATGCTTCCCACGGTGATTATCCATATAAGAAACCGGCCGGACGAGCTGTGGTTCTTTGCAGATGCTCTGATGATTTGGGTTTCGAAAAAGCAAACTATCAACACACATTAAATGCTTCTAAATGATGTGCACTACAATAGGTTCAAGAACTGTTGTGTTTGGAAGACACCAAGTCGTCAAGAAGATACATGGGGAGCCTGTCGAAGCCGTCCTTGATATTTAGGGTCACAAACTCAGCCTCCAGGCCAATATGTTAGTACACCGGTTTGAACTATGAAATTCAATCTAATTATTCTTTTGACTAGCACTAGCATGAGTACTTTCCCAGGTTTCCTTTCGTGTCGCCAGCTTTACTAGGCACTCGGAGCTTCAAGTATTCAACACTGCGCAGTGTTTTCACAATCAGCTCGCATGGCTTAGTGGTAAAGCGCATCACTAGTAATGATGAGATCCTCGGTTCGACTCCGAGTGTGAGCATTTTTTGCCTCTTGTGCTTCTGTTTGAGAATATTTTTTTATGTGGGTCGTGGTGCCGTTGGCCCACACTAAAGACGCTAGTTATTACATGGAAAAGATGTACTCCATTGGTCTTTACAACATACCTGCTGCTATTAATCTTTCTACAGAACCTTGGAAGTGGAGATATAGTCCGATATCAGAGAGATATAACCGGGCATCTTCTAAAACCAATTTTACTCACTACTGATAAAACGCAAAACTACAATCCAGCAATTCTACTTCCACAATACCGAAGCCAAACCAAAATAATCATATTATCACGCCTTGGGTATGTGTATATCTCTCAAACGCCTCTGTATTATGGGTATTTCCACCGTTGTATCAAATGCTCATGTATCAAACCTCCCATTTGGCCCCATAAACCCTCAACGCCGATCGGACACCTGCCGTCGGAAAAGCAACGCCCGATTAATCCGCACTCTCCCATTCCGAATCTCCTGGCAATAGTAGTCAGCCTGCAGCTCGGCCGCCGCGAAAATAGATGCCTTGTTGGAATGGTAGTCTCCGGGCACCTTGATAGAGACGCACAGAGGGTGCTCGTGATGCTTGGCATGGACAGAGATCGAGGCGGTGCTAGTTCTGATATATGCGGCAACGGTGCGCATGAGGGTCTCATCATCTGAGTGAGAGTCCCGTGCCTTGATGTAGACGTTCACCCAGTTGAGGACTTGGCGGGGATCGTATTCGGGTTCTGGGATTAGTTCCCCGTCGAAGTAGAACATGCTCTGCATCTTTCTGGGGTTGGAATTGAGGATGGGTAGTTTTGGCTCTGGGTATTTGCTGATCTGGATTTGTTTGGTGGTGTGTGTAGGTGTGAGAGGAAAGATCGGAAGGAGGAAGGAGGGATCGAGTTCTGCGGTATAAGAGCTCTGTTTAAATGCTCTCTTGTCTGGTGAGTTGTTTTTCATAGTCGGGAGACTGAACAAAGAAGTTATGATACAATGCTATTTTCAAGTCTTTCATCTATTCCAGGACGTCTTTGTGTTGTGTTTATTGATTTGGGAGGTATCCCAGTTTGAGATCTGCCTAGTTATGACTCGAAAGAAATTTGTACATTCTGGCTGCCTACTATATTATGATAATTGATCTTTTAGCTTGAGCTTGAAAATATAATATGTGTAGTTAATTGGCTATTTCGACTGGGAGCACGGTATGCCGGTATGCCAGCATGAAAGGCGATACTATCAAGACATACTGTCTCGGAATCTCAGACATAAATGATCGATACGACTGCTTCATCTGACTGTAACTATACTCTAGGCCATCTTATACTCCTACAGAATAGATATAATCCACATAATAGCGAGAAAAAAAAACAAATACAATCTAATTCTCTCATTCTATCAAGTACGCCGTCTAAACAAGTCTATAAAACTTAAAGAACCCTTTCCCAAGAAATCAACCACTATCTCCTCCAAAAAAGCAAATCCCGATTGATTTGAACAGACCCTCGAACAACCTGCTCTCTCAGATATTCCGCCGATAACTCCGCAGCAGCAAGAATCGACTCCTTATCACCATGTTCTCCAGGCACCTGTATCGAGATACACAGCGGGAAATCGTGGTGCATAGCATGACCAGTGATGCTAGCAACTCCTGTACGGATGCAGGTGACGACTGTGCGCATAATTGCGGCGTCGTCGCATCTACAATCGCGTATGTCGAAGAATACGTTCACCCAGTTTGTTCGAGGGTTATATTCGGACTCTCGCATTAATCTTCCATTTTGGTAGAACATCCCTTGGATAATGTTAGTTGGGTTTGTGGTTTGTGGCTAGAGAACTGACCTTGTTTTTTGATTGACCTTGTCTTTCTGATGATAATGAATGATGAGCGAGTAGAGATATTCGAGTTTGGCTTGAAGGTCTGAATGCTTTCTGAGTGACTGTGAAGCCCTGATATAGGGTACTGAGCCCGTTTAAATGTTAGACGCTAAGACAAGTGTATACTGATGTGGTTTCCATTCCTTTTAAATGAGGAAAACAGGTGTCATATTGTTATAATGGCATTTTCAGGTTTCTTAGTTCTTGGGCTCCTGATCTGTTCCGTCTTGTGCGAGATGGCTTTGAGGGTCTCTTTATATGGATATTCAGATACTCATACAGTTTAGTGATGTTTATAAAACTATTCTTATGTGTTCCTCATTACTTAAAAGATGAAAATGTCTATATTTTCTATTGTCTGATATTCAAGAGTCAACTGATTAGTTTATCCAAAGTGTTATTGTAGATGATATAGATGATATGAGACAGGAAAGATTAAACAAAGAAGAGAAGGGATGAAGGAACGAAAGAGAAAAAAAGACAATGAATTGTCTCAGATCTTTCACAACTTCACAATCCCCAGACAACATCCACAACCCCTTGAGTGTCAGATTTACCCCAAGATCAGAGTCAGAATCCCAGGTACCGGATTCGCAACCCCCTTTCCAGTAATATCAAAGGCACTACCATGGACTGGTCAGCTTTCTCTGTACTATCGTCCTCTACGAAGGAACTAGATGAAGCAAAATAGGCCACGGCCATCCTATTGATTGTCTAGTGCTCTCTCGAATCCGAGAACAAAGGACGACCGGAGTCTTCCGTGAGGAATTCATAATCTATCACTCAAATCGAGCGTACAACCCAGAGAACATAGCAAGGGAGAGATGAAAAGGAAATAAAAAGAACTTCACGAATCCCTCCCAGCAGAAAAAGGAAAAAAGAAATAGAAAAGTTGGCGAAAAGTTGTCAAAGGAACCACAGCGCCTAGAAGAAAAGACTTTTACTGACAATCAAGACAATTCAATACAGCCCAGTCCGAATGATACTAGAAGAAATCGGAAAAGAAAAAAAAAATCCGAATGTCATACCGCATTCACTAAACACCAGGAAGGTGACTGCCTAAGAACAAACTTTTCGAACCGAGGGATATCAGGATCAGAGGGAGATGGGGAAAGGGTAAAAGATGGGAACAAATAATGATAGAAAGGAAAAGTCGTCAAAAACGTGCGTCCAAGATTTCCGAGAAGACAAAAGAACACATCAATTAAGACTTGTTCTCCTCAACAGGGGCCTCCTTGGCGGCTTCCTGGGGCTTGGGTTCGGTCTCGCCATCACCCTTGTTCTTCATGTACTCATCATAGACGTTAAGGGCCTCATCGACCTTGCCGCGGAGAGCCTCCTCATCATCGAGCCTAACAAAGTTAGTAAATCATGTCACATAAAAAGGGAATCGGTGTAATTTACAGGCCAAGCAGCTCAGCGTTATCCATCTCAAGAAGCATGCCAGTGATCTTGCCAGCAAGCTCGGGCTGCTGAGCCTGGATCTTGGGGTAAAGAGCCTCGCCGAGCATCTGCTTCTGCTGGGCGGGGGGAGCGGCAAGGAGAGCCTGGTTGGCAGAGGCGGGCTCACCACCAGCGGGCTGACCGCCAGGGGCGGGCTGGCCACGACCACCACCGCGACCCATCTGAGGACCACCACGGCCGAAACCGGGGCCACCACGCATGTTCATGGGCATACCGGGAACACCACGGCCACCGCCGCCACGTCCGAAAGCCTGGGGCATAGGGTAACCCATGCCGTTAGGAATACCGCCAGGAGCCTGCATGCCCATGGGCATACCCTGGAAGTTGGGAGGAAGCTGCTGGTTAGGGGCCATGCCACGGCCACCCTGGGGGAAGGGGCCGGGGTACTGAGGACGTCCAGCGGGCATGTTAGGCATGGGCATACCGCCCTGGGGGGCGAAGGGCATACCACCACGCTGTCCAGGGGGCATGAAGCCCTGCTGGCCAGCACCGTAGAAGACGGCAGGCTGCATGAACTAGTCAGGTTAGTAACTGAGTGAATACTAATTGTGAATATTGGAACTTACAGGCTGGGGCATACCGGCAGCGGCGGCGGCCTGCTGCTGGCGGATGGTGTTACGAGCCTGGATGCTGGCCTCAAGCTGGCTGCGGCGGACATCCTTGCGCTGAGCGAGAGCAACGTAGAGGGGCTTGCCGTTGACCATACGCTGGTTCATCTCGGTGACGGCCTTGGAGGCCTCATCGGGGCTGCTGAAGCAGACGAAACCGAAGCCCTTGCTCTTACCGAAGGCCTTCTTCTCGGTCTTCTTCTCCTCGGATTCCTCCTCGGTGGCCTCCTCGGTCTTCTTTTCCTCAGTCTTCTCCTCGGCCTTAGCCTCGGTCTCCTCGGTCTTCACCTCCTTCTCCTCGGAGTCCTTGGTCTCCTTGTCGGCTTCCTTCTCCTCACCCTCGGGGGTGGGGGAGCGCTCAGCAGCATCACGCATGACCTTGGCGGAAGTGATAGTACCGTAGGGGGTGAAAAGATCACGGAGCTTCTCATCATCAATGTCGTCAGTCAAGTTCTTGACGTAGAGGTTGACACCCTGGTACTTGGAGGCCTTCTCCATGCGGGCAGCCTCGTACTGCTTGCGCAGCTCCTCCTCACGCTCGTGCTTCTTCTGGGCACGACCAACGTAAAGCTTCTGGGACTTGACCTCCTTCTCGTTCATCTCAGCCACGGCGGCCTCGGCGCTCTCGTGGTTGGCGTAGTTAACGAAACCGAAGCCACGGCTCTTGCCATCCTGGTCGTGGCTGAGGGTAGCGGAGGTGATCTCACCGAAGGCCTCGAACATGGTGCGGAACTCGTCGTCGGTGATCTCGAGATCGATGTTCTTGATGTAGATGTTGGTGAAGTTGGCCTTCATCTCCTCGAACTTGCTCTGGCGGTCCTTCTTGGAGATGTGGTGACCGACGAAAACCTTCTTGTCGTTCAACAGCATACCGTTAACGTGCTTGATGGCGTTGTTAGCGGCCTCGGCGGTCTCGTAGTGGACGAAACCGTAACCCTTGGAGTTGGCGAACTCGTCCTGGGCAACCTTGCAGCTGAGAATGTTACCGAAGGCAGCGAAGGTGTCGTGGAGAGCCTTGTTGTCAATGGCGTTGTCGAGGTTCTTGATGAACACGTTACCCTGGCCAGTCTTGCGCAGAGCGGGGTCACGCTGGGACCACATGATACGGCAAGGCTTGCCCTTGATAAGAGTGTAGTTCAAGTCCTCAAGAGCACGCTCACCGTCAGCTGTGTTGTTGTAGTTGACGTAGGCGTAACCCAGAGAGCGGCGGGTGACGGCATCACGGCAGACACGGATGGAGGCAACCTGGCCGATGGAAGAGAAGAGCTCGTAGAGCATAGCCTCAGTCACGGAGGGGTCAAGCTCGCCGACGTAGAGGGAAGCCGAGTGGGGCTGGTTGTTGGCAGCATCACCGGCGGCCTCGGTAGTGGCCTCGACGGGGGTGCCATTGGCCTCAGGAGTGGCGGCGACAACGTTGTCGGTGACGGGAGCGGTGGTGGGGGCTTCAGCAGACATGATGGCGGCTGTTTTCACTAAGAAAAAAGTGTGAGCATGTGCATGCCCAGCATATCGCGGAGAGGGGGAGGGGGTAAATCAAGGAGGCATATTGAGATAAGGTTACACGGCAGTTAATGCAGTCTCTTTGACAAGCAGCCGAAGGGGGTAATGAGAAAAATGAGGGGAGAATCAATGAAAAGGGAGGGGTGCCATACAGCAAAGTATCCACGAGACAAAGAGTTCAGAGAAATTTCACTTGAGCAGAGAGCACTGGATAGCGGGTTAGCGGGGATGGGGGAAGCGAAGAAGCATGCGCTGGAGAGATAGAGCGATAGGGGAAAGATGTAGAGACGACTCGATTAAAAAAGAGAGACAAAAAAGAGAAAATGACTAACCAGGTGAAAATGAAGACGATGGAGGCGTTGAAAGAAAATCTTCCACACAACACACCGCACAATCGGGGATGAGATAAGATAACTGTGAAAAAGTTTTTTCTGGGGTTTTTCGTGTTTTTTTGAGATTTTGTATCTTTCGTAAAGATTCGAAAAGAAAAGGAAGACTTTTCCCTAAAGAAAGAGAGAACGGAAGATTGAGGGGGATGGAAGAGAAAAAAAGTTGAACCAAAAGCAATTGGTTCTGGAAAACTCAGAGGCCGCACGAGATGGGGACACTAGTCCTATTTGGGAAGGGTGGCCGCTTTAAGGGCTTATTAAGTATAACCTCGGACATTTTATTATATTTCATTCTTTATAGTATACTACAATACAATAATATATCTTTCCCAATCTCTGTTTATGCAATTAATCTGTCTATTCTGAAAATGTACAAGATGCATCTTAACTCAAATCAAACCCAGCACCCGAACTAACTGCATACAGTAGTTTACTCCTCAATGTCTCTGCATCCGAGTATCGTGGCAGCTTGAGAAGATTCACACAGGTACTAGTACTCGGCAATCGTTCTTGATCTTCACTAGAGTCTCTGATGCTAAAGTGGGGACGAAGATGGCTGAATCCCAGCAATGGAGCTCGTGGGGTAGATGTAACGAAACGGATGACCTTTTGTCGTTCCTCGTTGGTCATCTCGTGCATCACCTGCCAGAAGAGTGCAATAGTCGGGTGTTCTAGGTTATCATCTCCAATCACATACACCCCTCCGTAGAGAGTGTTCCGGCGCAGGTCCTCCACATCAATATCAGCCTTGTCTCCGCTCACTAACGTTTGCAACTCGGATTGATTGAACATGGATAGCCAGGAGGGTTGAATGATCTGGCCTAGACCTTGCAAAAAGGCGTTGGTCTGTAGAGCGGGTTGCAACTGCAGACGGTAACGAGCCATGTAGGAGATGTAGACCAATCTGTTCTTGTTGGTCACGGCGGTCTGTGAGCCATTTGGTTTCAACTCTACCGTGACAGTGCGGTTGTTTCCACTAGGCATCCGAATTACGTTGTTAATGGTGAAGTCGAGTCCAAAGTCTTCCACATTTCCAGGGTAATTCTTGAGTTGTAACTAGTGGAACATATTCGTTAGCTACAGGATCCAAAAAGAAAACGCAATCTCGAGCTTGTCGAGTGACATTACTTACCAAGCCCTGGTACAATCCCTCATCAAGGTCCTTCAAATCGTTCAAGTTGGCACGATAGGAAGATTCCTTCACCGCAGACCGAGAGCCTCCTGTCAAGGCCCACTTCAAGAGAAAGAATGGTGCAAAGTTGACATCCACCAAGATTCCCTCGTAAAGACACTTTCCAATGATACGGCCGAGGAATTCATAACGTCGAAGAAGACCGCGCACGTCATCCTGCCACTCTGCACTTGAACTTGTGAGTCCAGCCTCGCTGAGTACTTTTTTAAGTTGGTCAACAGCTGTGGGACTGGGATACAGCAGATGGTGATCATTCTCCGCAAACATGCTCTCGTAGTCATCGGTCTTGAAAGCCTGGGAAGTGATACTTGTCAGGAACTCCTTTGTCACGCCGCCACCATCGATACCGGCCTCCATTGCGCCAAACTGGTCGATAAAGCTGATCTGGATTGGCTCTTTAAGACCGTCACCCAGGCTATAGTATTGAGAGAACGCATCTTCAAATACACTCTCACGCCGGATGTCCGCATGGTGTCGGGCCAAGATATTCGCCGCCCCCTCAGGCGGTCCATTTATCATAGCACTTTGGGCCACAGACAAACGCCAAGACTCAGGATCCACGAAGCCTTTTCGGCGACGCTGTTGATCCCTAAAGATAAACTGACGGAATATTTGCACTCTCGTGGCAAACGGGATGAAGAACGGCATGTTTCGAAGTATCTCTAGCCGTGGAGCAATTGCTGCAAGAGCATTATTATGAGCTTGCCTTCGTTGACTATTTCGCATGGCCTGGATGTGAATCAGTCGACGCGCATGACTATTGCCGACAAGCTGAGAAGGCTCTGGGTATTCCTCGTCGAGAAGATCAGGCTCAGCATCTTCATCGTCGTCTTGGAATTCATGGCGTTTCTCCTCTTCTGCCACAACGGCTGGGATAAAGCCTTCCATGTCAAATCGATCTGTCATCAACCAATGATTTTGAGGAAGGAACTTGCGTCGAGAACTAAAGGCATATCAGCTAGGATTCTTACATAATACCGAATAGAACATCTCGACTTACTCTCGCTCATGCAGCATTCTGAGCAAACCTGTAACCAAGCCTTTGAAGTAGTCAAGTGGGATACCTGTCACACCGGGAAGATCATTGATTTCCTTCTTGGCGTCCACTTCAAAACGCTCCGTTGGTTCAGAAACCTGAGCCGTGTTGCTGAAATAACTTCTAAGATCCACAGCAGATGACGGAACAGGGCCTTTCTTAGTCAAGTCGGCCACATTCCAGTAAAGGGTGAAGGCAAGGTTTTTCAGAAAGACGGTCATATCTTTAATGTCATCAAGTGGCAGCGCACTCTCTTTCGTCCATGAAGACAGGACATTTGATGAAGCTGTAAATGGTGACGCGCTTGAAAAGAACTCTTCGTCATCCATGACTTTCAAAAGGAATGTGTAAAGCTCAAAAAAGAGAAGAATAATTGTCCACTCCTGGTCTTGATCCTCTTGATCCCCTTCTTGTGGCGGCTGAAGCAACGGAAGAACTTGCGTCGAATCCTTGCTGATGATGTCAAATATCCGACTGGATTTTGATGCCTGCCAGAAGTATTTGATTGCCGGTATTTTCGCACCTGGTTGGCCAGAAGTCGGACCTACTGAAGGTGCCGAGCCCAGGTATAACCACATTCGAATGTCGTCTCCACGCCGAGGGAACACCCTCAGCAAGTTCAGAGCATAGGTAGCAAGGATTTTCGCTTCTTTCGAGGCGTTAGATTGATGGGTTGATAAGTCTGTGTGAGATAGGCTGGATGTTTTGATGCGAGAAAGTAACCCTGTGATGCTACTTTGGTTAACCAGGCTACTGACCTGATCTGCAACAAACGGATCCAGATAAGGGCCCCTGATTGGATCAGCGCCACTTTCGTCCACCTCCAGGCACCGTGTCAGATAGATAGATGTTGAGTTAAGCAACGCAGAGACCACATTCAGGAATCCGAGGTCCGGTGCTTGCAGGTTGGCCTGACCTGGAAGAGCATATCGGTGAAAGAAGATCAAGTATGCAAGCAGCCAAAGTCGGCCTTCGATGCCCTCGACATCGTCGGGCGAAAGGCGTTCTTTGGTCAGAGGAATATACGATTCGATTGCAGACGCCAGCAATTTGTAGTTTATTTGGTGCGCCAATCCATCGAGCTCACGAAGATAAGAGGGTAGGTTCGGAATGGTGAGATATGATATCGCAAGAGCCTCGTAAGCTGTCATTGTTTCTGAGGTGATTGGTCTCAGAAGTGCCAGAACAGCGTTGGTCAGATGTTCTGGTAACAAAGTGCCTTGCCAATGGTCAATATTCTTTGTCAAAAACGCCATCGTTCGATAGTAGTGTTTGGCAATCATTGCCATCTTCTTCGGTATCAAGTCAACAAGGAAGACTATCGTCCGAAGGAGAGGCAGAACTGCAGCTTCATGAGTCGGACTGTCCCTTGCTGATCCGAGGGCATTGAGAATAGCGATTGCCAGCCGTTTCAACAGCTCGGTCCATTCATTTTCCGTAGCGATCGTGGGGAGAGCATGGAATGTCTTCTCAAAGACATCGCAGAAGTATACCAGACGTAGCACATCTTCTTTCTTCCTTACCAATCCCACAAACTGAACCAGAAGCCTAAGCTGATCTAAACATTCCTCTGCTGTGGGATATGGTGGTGCAGAAAGACGTGATAGACACTCCAGACGCTCAACCTCCGTCGTTGGGGCCCGATCATCATCGAATCCTAGGGCGCTTGTGACCCTCTTCCACTCGATATTATCCCATTCAGACTTCCAGGTCTTATATGTTGCTTTCCTGCTTTGATGACCACGCCAAACTCGCTGAACAGTGCGAGATGCGGTCTGTCGATCTCTCTCGTGCTGTCTCAGGGCTCGCTCCCGTTGGGCAATAGCTACTGCACTCTCGGGGTTCGCGGCATGAGGAGTTCTATTTGGCGAGCTTCCGGGGAATGCAGCGAAGGGATTAGTGGCTCGGCCACTGAGGTTCACCTGCCGCGGGCGACGAGAATTGCCTGTGAAGGATTGAAACATGGTTGCAGCAGGAGCTGCCTGGGAAAACTGTCAACGCGGATGAAATGAAACCCTCTAGATGCAGAGAAAAAAATCAACGCAAGCCCGCATCACGGTTGGGAGGGAAAGAAAGGTGAAGAACTATGACATCGCTGTCGCTGTCGGGTGCTGATACGGGAGAGATGGCGGGCTTATCGGACTTGTGTGCACGGACCATATATCCCCGATACCTCCAGGGCTGTCCATTGCCACTGGAACATTCTGGTTAAGCTGAGGTGAGATGGTATATAGACAAATGTATTGATTATATGGAACTTACTATATATGCCTTCCGAGTAAAAGATCAAAATTATCATAGAGATACATAGTAGGATATGTCAACAAACAAATACAACAAATGCCCAAAGAGGCGAGATACTACTTCAACTGTTTTTTGGTCTGATATTTATGGAACTTGTCAAGATAGTACACAATTACTCCTGTCTCAATGCCAAATGGTACACATTCCACTGATACATCGAGATCCTCCGTGGTCCAAATCAAGTCGATGTTGTAGAGACTATAATACATGGGATATATTCAATCAACCACCGGAGAGAAGGTTGATCGACGAATTTGAGTGATGCCCAGCGAAGGCGGTTGTGGATGGTATGCTGGGCAGCTGACAGATATATTAGGGAGTATTCTTGAGTGTCTGGGTTGCTGCACACTCACATTCAGTTGGAAGCACATAGACAATCCCCGCTATGCAGTGTAAGTCTTTCGGGATTTCTAGAAGAGGAACTTCTTGTGTTTAGGCTCAGGAGTGTTGGGCATTGGGGTCGGTTGTTGGGTCGGCTTTGGACTCTTAGTCTGCTCAGTCTGCTCGATCTGCTCGGTCTGGTCAGGCTGCTCGACCTGCAAGGCCGACTTAGACTCAATCGTCTTGATATTCTCAGGGTACGGTTGTGCTAGTCGGGCCTCTGCGGCTTCAGCGGTGTCGGCCCACTTCTCCAAATAGTCGTGGCCTTCAAATCCTCTGATCACGGTACTCCGTCGGCCATTTCTCTCGATATCTTGAACGTAGTTCGACGGGGTTCTGCGCATGTGTTTTGTGATGAAGGGAGCGAGCTATAGCCATGTTAGATCCGACATTTCAGCCAACTGGCGTCAAACGGGGTTGAATCCTCACGTTGAATGGCTCCTTCGAAGTCTCAGGAGTGTAATACCTCCCCGGAATTTCGAGTTTTTTCGCAGGCATATAAACACGGTGCTTTGACAAATCGGGCCTGTACGTGCCTCTCTTGTCGAAGTGGCCCATGGAGCCGGTCCGGTTTCCCTTGTAGTAGCCACCATTGACCTGCTTGGTGGTCAAGCGCAAACGCACCATCATTGGCTGTGTGGGTTTGAACATTATAGCGACAGTTCTGTAGCCTTGAAGTTGGAACAGAAGAGGAACAGAGCGAGTCGAGTTGTCCCGGAGGGAGTTGGCAGACAAAACTCGACGAATGAACGGGTCGCGCTAATCTCCGCGCCGAGAACTTTTTTTCCCGGCAGAAAAAAAGTTCAACACCATTTACACCCCTCTTAAAAGCAGCCATCAGATCATTTAGTACTTTTTTAGTACTGATCTGAAGCTTCTTCCTTGGTCGGGAATTTGATTTCTTGACTCACACGCCAATATGCCTCGCAGCCAGACTCAGAAGCAGGGTCCGAAAGACCGCTCAGCGCAAAAAGCAGCGCCGAAGCGGAAAAGCACTCGGTCGCTGAATGCATTGTCTATTGCAGAGAAAACAATTCACACTAAATTGGGTGTTAAACGCAGTCGTCTTGGAGCCTACGATGATGGTTCCTTCAAGGGCAAGAGAAACACAGGCGATGACGACGAGGACGACGAAGAGAATACTGCCGCCCACTACAAACGCCGCAGAACCGAGGACACCGGAAGTCTGGATGGTGGCAGCGACAGCGAGGGGCACGAATGGACACTCGGTCAAGTGAACAGCGATAACGACAGCGAATTGGACAGTGACGAAGCTCTCGGTGAGAGCGACGAAGAGCGATTTGAGGGCTTCACGTTCCGCGCATCCAAGTCCAAATCGCAGCCGAAAAAAGCGGCACCCAAGCCAAAGAAGCCTACAGAGATTAGCTTATCTGAGGATGTCGACGAATCGGATGAAGAATCTAACGGTGAAGACTACGACGAGGACGATGACCTAGGAGAAGACGCTGTCGACCTCGCCACGGCCTGGGATATGAATGTAGCGGCCGAGGAAGAGGAGGCCCAGGAAGCATCCGCGAAATCTAAGCGGGCTGCGAAATATGATAGCGACGAGGATTCTGGGTCAGAAGGGGACAGTGAAAGCGATGCCAGCGACGACGGGCTTTCTATCTCAGACGATGATGATGCGGATCCGCACGGACTTTCCAAACTACAGGACTTTGTCCAGTCTATGGAGACCGAAAAACCTACGAAACGTACTCAAAAGTCACAAGAACAAGGCAAGCACTCGGAATACGGCTTGACCTCCGCCAACAAATTGACTGTCGCCGATCTCCTACCTTCAATCACGGATTCTCGCCTCAAGAACTCGCTCAAACATATCGACTCTGTTGTCCAGGCATCAAAATCGGGTATTCCGGGCAAGCTAGATGCTCCTCTAGCAAAACGCCAACAGGACCGACTTGACCGGACTGCTGCCTACGAGAAGAGCAAGGAGACCTTGAACCGCTGGCTCGAAACTGTCAAGGCCAACCGCAGAGCCGAACACCTTTCCTTCCCGCTACATGATCCTGATGCTGAGCAGACCCACCGCTTGGAGTCTGCCAAGCCACAGACAGACCTCGAAAATGTCATCCAGAACATCCTTGTGGAGAGTGGGCTGGCTGAGGCTGAAGGAAAGACAGCCGAGGACCAGATCCAGAGTTTCGAAGAATTACAATCCCGCAATATTCCTATTGAGGAGATCCAGGCTCGTCGCGCAGAACTCCGCAAGCGACGTGACCTGCTTTTCCGAGAGGAAGTGCGCGCCAAGCGCATCAAGAAGATCAAGAGCAAGTCTTATCGCCGTGTTCACCGTAAAGAACGCGAGAAGATGGAGAAACTTGAGCACGATGCACTCATGGAAGCCGGCGTGGATATGGACGACATGGACCAGGAGAAGAACGAGCGTCTGAGAGCCGAAGCTCGCATGGGCTCCAAGCATCGTGAAAGCAAATGGGCAAAGGGCTTGAAACAGACCGGTCGCACTGCCTGGGACGAAGAGGCCCGCAACAGTGCAGCCGACTTGGCCCAAAGAGAGGAGGAGCTACGGAAGAGAATCGAAGGCAAGCGTGTTTCTAATGGAGACGATGACTTCTTGGGCTCTTCCAGCTCCGAGTCAGAAGATGAGGACCCCTGGAACGAGGAGGGTTCCGATGTGGAAAGACGAAAGATCCAAAAGAAGCTCAGTGCCCTCGAGAGTGGTAATGATGCTGGAGATGGCGTGAAGGGACGCCATGCTGATCTTTTCGAAATGAAATTCATGAAAAACGCCGACGCCGCCCGCAAAGAACAGAATGATGCCGAACTTCGCCAACTCAACCGTGAACTCCACGGAGAGGATTCTGTATCTGAGGCAGAGTCGGAGGTCGGTCGACGAAAGTTTGGTCAATCAAAGAAGACCGACACCAAGTCTCGTGCACCGCAATTGCCCAAGAATGAGTTTGAGGAGAAGCTAGACTCCGATGATGAAGCTGCACAGGCAGTAGGATCGGACGATGATGTTGACATGGTTGCCAACAGCTCCACCAAGCACAAGTCAGGAGCTTCTGGCAACAAGAAGGTTTCACGATCTACACGCGACTCCGATCAACAAGAGGATACTCCCGCAGAGGAGGAGAATCCTTGGTTGGTTCAGACCGAACGGACCAACCGTCGCCGAACTGCCCCAGATGCCCAAGAGAGCATTGACATTTCACTCGATGCTACTCAGCCCGATGTTGTGCCAGCGAAGCAACAGAGCAAGAAGCAAAAGAGCTCCAAGGCAACCGTCGCGAAACAGCAATTTGCCGAGGATGACAGCGACGATGAAGAGAAGGTACCCGTCTTGCTTAAGAACCACGACCTCGTGAAGAGAGCCTTTGCCGGCGATGAAGTTGTCCAGGAATTCGAACAGGATAAGATGGATACCATTGAAGACGAAGGCGACAAGGTTGTGGACAACACACTCCCAGGCTGGGGTAGCTGGGCCGGCGAAGGTGTCAGCAAGAGACAGCAAAAGAGGCAAAAGCGAGACCTGACTACTGTGGCAGGTGTGAAGCCTGCGCAGCGCAAGGATGCAAAGCTTGAGCGGGTTATTATCAACCAGAAGCGAGTCCAAAAGGTAACACAACTTTTATTCCTACAGATGAACACCTCACTGATTTTCTCTTTAGAACAAGAAGTACATGGCAAGCCAATTGCCGCATGAGTTTGAGACAAAACAGCAGTATGAACGGTCTCTGCGGTTGCCCCTGGGCCCTGAATGGTCTACAAAAGAAACCTTCCAGAGTGGCACCAAACCTCGTGTCATGATCAAGCAGGGCATCATCAAGCCCATGTCGAAGCCCATGCAATAAATGTAAATATCTCTTACGGATATGTATTTCACCATATAGCATGTCCAATGATAGCACCTAATGCGACCCATTTTGCGCTTTTTGAAAAGCATTTTCAGTCATATAATTTGAATAGTTCATACCTCACGCTTCGGGTTCACGTATATAACCTTGGAACTATTAGTCTTATACTACATTATGTCCCATGATTCCATAAAGGCAACTAAAAAGTATCCCATGGATTGTCTGATGATTCATATTGAGTCATCCTCTTTTATTTGAATCTTTGAAGATATTCATGTTTTCTTCCTCTTTTCATCCTATCAGTTTCTACTCCACATAGGCGATCCCTTGGCAACACCCCATGTGCTGCCTAGACGTGACTTCAATTCACTTACTAGTGCTCCCATATATCTCTTTATTTCACTTACCTCGGTAACTTATAAATTCAGTAAGTAGATGTGATTTTACACATTCTTGGGAGTGGGGAAACAACCGCACCTTGATACCCGCGTGGACTCAAGCTGCGCCCTACATTGCTGAACCATACACGTTGCCCAGACCCCTGTCATTCTCCTTGATAAAAGAATATGCACCATATACTAACATCTACGTAGATCGACGGTCTGTGGAATTCATCTGCAGACCCTTCATAACAACCAGCCGCGTCTGTTATCCTAATCTGGACCTGAGTGTGCCCATCTGGAATCCATAGTACATACGCGTGAGTATGTCTTTCTCAAAAGTCATTTGTCTTCTTTTATCTCGCGTTGCCTTTTGGACCCCTCCGAAGTCGTCTGTCCTTAAAGAGATTCATATCCGATCGGATTGGATCGAGGAATAGCACACAGATTTCTTACAAGCTCCGTGTGTTGAACACTCGTGACAAGATCTGGCTTTTCAACATGGACTCACGCTCGAAATGGAAGGCTACAGCTTTGCTGATTTGTCTCACCACAGAATTAGCCCACTGTCTCCCGCCTGTGGGAAATGTGGTAGAAGCTGCTCTACAGAATACAGCTGCCGGGCCTGCAAGCGCCTTTGAGACTCAATATCCACCTTCCAACAGTGAAAGCAGGCTTCTGATTCCCGAGTCCAAACCAGTAAGTCTCAGAGAAATGCGCGCTCAAGAAATGCGCTGCATCGTATATGGCATGGTATTAACATCTAGGACTAGGTGTATCGAGTGGCTTTAGAACAAGACGGCCATTCATCAGAGCAGCCGTTTCCACAATTTGACGTTGGACAGTTTATTAACGGCTTGGAAGATTTGCTGGGTGAAGAAGATAATACTGATCGTGCACCAGAACCTGTTGCGACAGAGCAGTCTACTGATACAGGAAGCCCAGATCCTGTCCAAGCGACAACTACAGCACAACTGCCTGAAACCTCAGCGCCAATTGCTACAACTGGATCTGTGACAGACTCACCGCAGGCTGAACCAAGTACCACAGTGGTGCAAGGTAAAATTTAACATGAGTTGGTATAGCACTTCGCATATATTCTAATGCTTAGTAGAACCCGTTCCCACGGATCCTTCACACGAGGTTGAATCAGATAATCCTGAAGCTATGAACGGCCAAGATATCTTCCAGCCAGTTGGCACTGGTCCTGTGCCTGCTAATATCCAGTCTCGAAGTGACCACCCTGTGCAGAACCAGCACGTAAGATAAAATCAAGTGCGAAAGGGCGATACGAATCAAAAGTTCTAACGAGGTGTAGGCCAATACCAAAGACCCTATTGCGACGAATAAGTTCTACGCCGGTCTTTTCCTAGGCACTCAGACCAATGCTACCTTCGCTCAGCCCTACTCTCTATCATGGTCCAAGGGAGGCGGCACCCTGAAGAGCTGGGGTATGTCTGTCTCCCATATCCAGCCTCACATGCTCGCATATGGACCTAAGAGCGAGAAGATTCCCGGAAACCCAGTGCAGTACTACATCAACCCAGTCGGTCTTCAGCATCTGATTTTCTCTGCGGCTGAGCTTGATCAGTCTTCCATTATGAAGATCGAACAGCCAAAGGCTTTCTCGGCCCACGCTGTCATCAAGCGCTCCGAAGGCTCAGCTCAGCAGATTACCTTCCCCGTTGTGCAAGGCATGGGCTACACAACAGCTGTATACAAGGATCTACAGCCCGTGATTGAAAGTGGTGTTTTCTTCCGCAAGGTCGTCAGCGCCGGTTCACCTAGGCCCGGCATCTTCAAGTCCCAGGTTTACCTTGAGGATGACACGAGCTGGCTTCTATATGCCACACCGGCTGATGGCAAGGATCCGAAGTTCAAGCTAGTCTCAAATTCCACTCTTCACGGTCCCCAGGGCTTCTCTGGTACTATCCAAGTCGCAAAGAACCCCGCGGGCAAGTCTGGCGAGAAGTTCTATGATAATTCATCTGGTGTCTACCCTGTATCAGGAGAGGTCTCTGGCTCTGTCACAGGTGATGTAGGCAACTACAGGCTCACTTGGACCAAGGCCGGAAAGGATGTCAAAGGTACACCTCTGATCATGTTCGCCCTACCCCATCACGTCCAGTCCTTCGACGGTGCCACCAAGGGCCGTATCACCGATATTCACCTTCGCACCACAACAAAGGGCAACTCCACTGCCGTGATCGGAGAAACCTGGACCATGGTCCAAGAAAACCTCCCCGTGGATATCGGATTCGCCCCGTGGTCAACCACCCAGGGCAGTGTCCACGAGCTATCAGCCGCGGCCCGACATGCCATCATCGAGGCTGCTCCCAAGGAGCTCCAGCAGAACATTTCCGAGCAGACAGCTCTCAACAGCATGTACTACAGCGGCAAGGCGTTGAGCAAATTCGCCACACTAGTATACACGGTTAACCAGCTCGGCAAGAACGCCGATCTAGCAGCCGACGCCTTCCAAAAGCTGAAGAAATCCTTCGATCTATTCGTGCAGAATAAGCAAGAAAACCCGCTTGCCTACGACGCCGTCTGGAAGGGCGTTGTCTCGACCGCCGGCTACAACGGCGATTTGAACCAGGACTTCGGAAACACCGCGTACAACGACCACCACTTCCATTATGGCTACTTCATCCAAACAGCGGCCATCATCGGCTCTCTTGATCCAAGCTGGCTGGCCGCGAACAAAGAGTGGGTGAACATGCTTGTTCGTGACGCTGGTAACTCTATTGGAAATGATCCGCACTTCCCATTCTCGCGCTCATTCGATTGGTATAACGGACACTCCTGGGCGAAGGGGTTATTCGAGTCATTCGATGGGAAGGACCAGGAATCTACGTCGGAAGATACCATGTTCGCATACGCGATCAAGATGTGGGGAAAGACGACCGGCGATGCGAGCATGGAAGCTCGTGGCAATATGATGCTAGGCATTCTGGGTCGATCTCTCAATAACTACTTCTTGATGGAAAATGATAATGCCAACCAGCCGGCAAACTTTGTCGCGAACAGGGTCACTGGAATTGTAAGTGCCATCATTATTGCGTGTTTATCCCAAACTGGACACTGACAGGCCAAAACAGCTATTCGAGAACAAGGTCGATCACACTACTTACTTCGGTGCCAACCTCGAATTCGTTCAAGGGTATGTATCACCCCTTCCCTCATTGTTTTCATTTTGAACTATTGTTGACGAGTTACCATTAGTATCCACATGCTACCGCTCATGCCACACTCTCCCTTCACACGACGAAAGGAGTTCGTGAGCCAGGAATGGCAGGCAATGTTCGCTGAAAGTGCAACCAACCCGGCCTCAAAGGTTGACGGTGGATGGAGAGGTGTGCTATACGCCAACCTTGCTCTCATCGATCCGAAAGCGTCATGGAAGTTCTTTACCCAGCCGAATTTCGACTACAGCTGGATTGATGGCGGTGCTACGCGTACTTGGTATCTAGCCTTTGCTGCTGGTGAGTCTTCTAGGTATATTATGATATCGCTTCAGGTGCTAACAACTTTGCTAGGTCTTGGTGGTGCTCCTTAGAGGTGAATTTGAGTCTTATTTTGATGATGGGAGTTGGGGATAATTTGTTTTATTTTATGACTATTTCCTTTGGTCTTATGATTTGCAACAGTGTTTTATGTGTTCTTCCAAGGTTGTTTCTCGGGTAGTCGATGGTCTTACTGTGGCCGTTCACTGTGTATGTAGCTATTCCCTGTGCTGTACTGCGTATATATAGATTTAAAGAAAAATTATATCATCATATTCCTTGCTCGGGTTCTATGTAGCTACTTTCAATTGACGGTTCTTTTTTGTGTGTATACACCTTTTCCCTAAGTCTTGGTATATATATATCCACCTACACATACAACTCAGTATCCCTATCTCCCTCAACATTCACTATTATGCTCAAGTTCCGGAATATTTTGGCTCTTAATGATATATATATATATATTTAACCGAAACCCCACATCGCCTCTACATATTTCCCTAGTAATAGCACCAACCTCCTTGTATCAATTCAGTCGTGCATCCATAGTTACCTAGCACCATACTATATCTAGGAACCCGTTAAGGTAAGATATACCACCAGACCCTATGCACCAGCGACAGGAAGCTCCAAATCAACCACCCACGGCGCATTCCTCGCCTCATAATTGACCGTCATAATACTCCCATTAACAAAAAGCGTCTCCTCCCCAACCCTCAACGGCCTCTCCGCCCCATCACTAACATCACAAAACGCGCCCCGACTCTCCAGCATCTCCTCTATATCCGTCGACAAATCTTCAAGCCTAACACCACCACCCACCTCATCATCCCACACCCCACGCTGCGCACCCCATCCTTCATGAATATGTCCGAAGAGATGCAAACGCGGCTTCGCCCGCCGCACGGCACGGAGGAGATGCTCACACCCAACATTCAAATCAGGCGGCACCTGGTCCAACACACCGACAGGCGGGCCGTGCGTTAGCATGATATCGACGGCAGGGTAATCCGGGACCGGGTTTACAGGCTGTGCATGCGCGACAGGGGCAGGGTTGTATCTATCTTCGGAGCGTGGGTATGCAAAAGCCCAATTATAGAATTCCGGCTGGTACGGCGAAGCGTAAATAGTGAATCTCGCTCCTGTTGAGAGTGTGAAGGAGTGTGTTCCTTCTTCTAGGTAGATTATTCCTGCCTTCCGGGCAGCTTCGCTCGTCCAGAGGGATTTTATGGAGCGGGCGTAGGCTCTTAGGGAGTCTTTGTTTGGGGGTGAGGTGCGGAGGGCGGGATGGAGGTCGTCTGATAGTAGGATGGATTGGTCGCCTAGTTGTTCGGGGCGTTGGTGGCGGGTGTAGCCGAAGGATGTGAAGTAGTCTTCGTCTAGGGTTATGTCGTGGTTTCCTGCTATTACGAGTTTGAGTTCGGCTTCGGCGGTGGTGAGCATGGAGATCATGGCTTCGTGCTCGACACGGTACCCCACTTTTGTGAGGTCGCCGGCGTGGAGGAGGATGTTTGCTTTTGGGAGGGGGTGGCGGTAGGCATGGTTTGTTGCTTGGGGTGGGTGGGGAGTGCTTGTATGAGTGTCTGAGATCATGCAGATGCGGGTTTTGATGGTTGCCATGGTGGGTGGTTGAGGGAGGTTGGACTGTGGGGAGGGGAGAGATGGATAAGCATCGAGCTCGGCCCCGGAAGGATCCCCGGAGATCTTCCACTTGATGGACAAGAGTATTGATATGTTTTGTAAATAAGTTAATTCATCTTACTACTGGTACCTATACCCCATGCTAATCATCTACTCCGTATCTAGTCGATCTACACTACACATAGGAATGCAATTACCAACGAAGACGTGAAACTAGGAACAATCCCATGGATTTGACGGCTCAGAGCTTTACAGACAAATTGCATCCTGTGGATGCTCTGATCATGACATAGCTGAAACTCCGATCCACCCGTTGCAACAACCGAATATTTTATTTTTTCGTTTACTTGCGGATAGCCTTCTGGTAGAAAGCAAGCTCCTCACCCTCCAGAATGTAACCGTCACAGCGGCCAGACTGGCCGGGGCGCGAGGCAACAACGGCGAAAAGACGACCGGACTCGAACTGGCGCTCGATGGCGGACTCGGTCTTACCGGACTCGGCGAAGCGGGTAGCCTGCTTCTTGGCGACGGAGGCGGACTTCTTCTCCTCCTCGGCATCGGTCTTCTGCTGGCGTCTACGGCCGAGGGGCTGGCCGTAGTGGGCCTCGTACCACTGACGGAAGGGAGCAGCGTCAACCTGGACAACGGCGGACTTGGTCAAGGTGTTTGTGCGGACCAGCTCGTTGTTGGAGGGGTGGAAAGACACTCCAATGACACGGGTCTTGCGGGAGATACCCTCAGAACCCCAGGAGAAGTTACCGGAGTCGAGACGGAGACCACGGAACTTCTGGTTACCACCACGGGTGCGGACAAGATGGATGCGCTTGGTACCAATACGGGTGTTGGCAGGCTGGCGACCCTTCTCGAAGGCTCTGTAGGACAAAGACATGTAAGAAACTGTAACTGGTATATCGAATCCATGTTTTCTTCCTAAAGGAAACATTCACTCTCATGCTGGGTTGATAAAATCGTACCTCTTCTTGCGGTAGTGAGAGCGCTTGGCGCCAGTGGCGCTGCGCTTGTGGCGAGAATCCCGAGAAATACCCATGTTTGCGATTGATGGAGGGGTCTAAGTTGACGGAGACAAGTTAGATCTTGTTGATTGTGGGCCTTGAACAAGTTTCTTTTTTTTTTCCCTTTCAATCCTTCTGTTTCGTCGCGAACGTCGTACAAAATCAATCTTCGAATACCAAACAGTTGGGCGACGATGGTATCGGAGTGGTTGAATGACCGTTGAATGCGAGGCAGTATCGATGGTTGATATGGAGAAATTGAATATCGATGATCGAAATTGATGGGCGCAGCGAGCGAAACAGAATTTTTCGAAAGAAACCATGCAGGAGTTGAGATAGCCGGATAACTCACCTCTAAATGTGCAGCCCTTCACCAGAAACACAAATTAGTTGTCGTAGGGTTGTCGTGGGAGTTTGAGGTCGTGGAGTCCGTGAATTTCGCAGGGCGCACTGTGTCGCTCGCTTGTGTAGTGCCCTAACTGACACTAGGCTGAATTGGGACTAGTGGTTCCAGTCTCTGGATCTGGTCAGGTGATATTGGTTGACTGACTCAGCATATAGTCACGTGCAAATACATTGATCACGATCTGGAAGGGGCCATCAAACACGATCTGAATATTCAATCCATTGGCATTCAGACGTCGTACAACATTGAATATGAACTTGTCTATTTTTTTTTTAGATTTCCTTTCAGCTACCTGATTAAAGATACAAATGATTGAATTTTCTCTGCCAGTGTGCTCCCATTGAGCCCATGCTCTCTACTGGCTCTTGCCATTTTTCGCCTTCTGCTCCTTCACAATATCCTTAATGCGCGCGAACGAACCGTATCCCTCGACAGAACATGATGCCATCCACTTCCACCACAAACCCGACAGAACGGGCACATTCAGCGGCTTCAACATAGTGACAGCCAGCGCCGTGGTCTCGAAGACATGAATAGCGACAACATATGGCTGGATAACGTAGACGAAACGCGGAAGCCACGGCACACGCTGGAGTCCCAAGTACTCGTAGAGAGCCGAGCCGGGTTGCAGGCTGCTGCGCAGGAAGCAGGTGACGTAGAGAAGGAAACACAGCCCAAAGATCACGGCGTGGATACCGCGCGGGGCACGGTACTCTGTGAGTGTGACCTCACTGCGGCCCAGACGCTTTAGACTGTCCTTGTGCATGGCGACCATTCGGCCGCGTGCCTCCGAGTAGTTTTTCATCTCGGGCTCGATGGGGACGCTGTAGCGAGTCCCATTCGCGGTGATGATCAGGTTTGAGGTGCTGATTTCTTCCAGTTGGGCATTTTTGGCTTGGGTGGAGGTGATACCGCAGTAAGCTTGTAGGAATAGTATGAGGGAATCTTGGTGGTCGGCATTCATGTGTTTGACGATGAACTCTTTGGACGACATTGTGGCGGTTATTGGGGGATGTGTACAGTGCCGATGTGTCAATTGAGCTGGATTTGTGCGAAACAAGTGAGACGGTTGGGATTTGAACTGGGTACAGAACCGAATACAGACACGTACAATGCAAGAGGGGAGTTGGTAACACAACGGGTTGCTAGATTTAGTGCCAAGGCCCGGGGCCTCGGCTTCATACTTTCCGCTATGTCTGACACTTTACACTCATCACATCATACTATCCATTGCTACACTATACTATTACACTTTTGCACCGTTGCACTTGATGAAAATTGAATTCAACTCCATTTGATCGCCCAAGGAATATACATAGCAATATACACTCCAGTGTATTTCATTCCCTTGGCCCTACACGCCGACCAGGAAAACCATTGCAAAAAAAGAGAAAAAGATCCCGAATAGACAAATGAAATATTAAATCAAAAACATGGCTCTATGAAATCAACATCAAAGCAATTGAAGCATCGAAAAAGGATCACTCGTGACGACGTTGGATGTTCGTGATATTGGCAATGGAAGCCAGAGATGGGTGATCAAGCCCTGTTGTTGATAAACGCGATCAACTCCTAGTTCGGTCTTTGAGCAGACATTCTTGAAAGGGTATGAGGGGGAAGGATAGCATGCCTCAGTTATTACTTACATGAGAGCTAGGGTGAGGTCGCCGTGGATGCGTGCCTTGAGCTCGACCTCAATTTCCAAATTCAGTTCCAATCTCAGCTTCATACCTTCCTCGTCCAGCATAGATTTCTCCTCTTTCTTGAGGACATCCATGCCGCCGTTGGGCTTGAAGTCTGAGTTTTCATTCGAGTAGGGTTGCACGGCTTCGTCGTCTGAGTATTCATAATCATCTTCGTCATATTCAGATCCATCCGTGTATTCATCTGAATCGTATTGTTGAACGGGTTGTTTTTGTTTTGGCAAGTTCTTCTGCAATTGTTTGTTGGGTAGTTTGCCTTTCTGGTTCTTGGTTTGTGGTACTTCGTCCTCGTATTCAGAATCGTCGGTGTAGTCATCGGCGCTGTCATAGTCTTCCCCGTCGGAGAGGTCTTGTACGGGAAGCTTCTTGGGCTGGAGCTTCTTTGGTTGCTCTTTGGTCTTGTGAACGGTTGCCATATTGAATGTGTGTATGTGATGAATTAGATGGAGTATAGAGGATAATTTTTAAGAAGAAAAAAAAATGTACAAAAGAAGAAGGATATAAGATAAAAACTGAAAGGAAATACGGCGCAGACATACATATCAACTATGACGTTGGAGGCTGTTCGTCATCAGATTGGAAGAGCCTTGATATGCCGTGTCCACACCGGTAAACCCTCGGAGTGGCCAACTGAATATCCGCCTCACTATGTAACGATCCGTGGAAACAAATGAAAACTCGTGGCTTGAACCAAAAAATGAAGAAAAAGGAAAAAGACAGGAACAAGTAATTTGCCCTGTTTAATCCGATCATTGGTTAAATGATGGATACTCTTCATAGAATTTACTATATTTACTGAGACCATGACGCCACTCGACGTCAAGGCCTTATGAGACTGAAATCTTACGTTTACTTTAATTTATATAGTGGAGATGTGAATGCACTAAATTCTCCGAGATCAAGTCTAATTGGTCAATGAGACCAAATATCAAAATCCATTAGGGCGCTTAATCCTTGTCCCCGACGTCATTACACTTTTGATTAATTATACGTACTTTTAATATCAAACCAGAAAAGGGTCTTAGCCCCGTCTCGCATGGATCCGATAGCCAAGCCCTCCAATCTGACGTCGGAGGCAACTAGAATCCTATTTACCAGACCCGGTTTTATTCCGATGTGGCGCCCTCTGATGATATAAACGGTTGAACAGGCATTCATTTCAACTACATCATTGCACTTCCCATACTTCATTTATCCCTGACGCTTTGTCCTTTAATATCTCGAAAACAATTCATATTCTCCTCATATCCCCCCCTCTCTTAACAACTTTCTTCTACTTCCAATATGTCTGACCAAGAACAACCTCCCACTCCTACCCCAGACTCAACAACCACAACACCCAACAAGCCGAAGCGTGCCCCTCCCAAGCTAGGCAAAAAGTCACCGAAGCAAGAACAAACCCCTCCAGCTTCGGAACAAGACCAAGACCAAGACAAACCCAACGAGCAAGAGCAAGAAGACCAGCCCAAACAACAAGAACCGGACTCAGAGCCTGAGCCCGAACAAGAACAAGAAGAAGAAGAGGAAGAGCCTGAACCTGAACCTCAACCCAAGCCCGAACGACGTCGTCGCAGACCTCGTCCCCGCCCAGAATCAGATACTGAATCCGTGCCCCGCGAAATGGAACCCGAACCACCCAGACCCCGTCGTGTTCGTCGCCAGCGTCGCCCAGAGCAGCAACAAAATGGCCCACTCGGCGGACTCCCCGGTGTTGGCGGTGCCGATCAGGCCGGTCAGCTCGTGCAGAATACAGCCGGTAATGCCTTGAACGGTGTTACTGGTAGTGCGGGCAAGGCTGTTGGCGGGATTCTGAATGGTGGCGAGGAGAAGAAAGAGGACGATGGTGGTCGTGATGAACAGCTTCGTTTGCGATTGGACCTTAATCTGGATATTGAGGTTCAACTCAAGGCGAAGATTCATGGTGATTTGACGATTGGTTTGCTGTTAGTATTCCCATTTCCTTTCTTCCCTTCCCAATTTCCTTGTGTCGTCACATCTAATCCTAACCCTACAAACTTACTGTTGGTGCATTTCACTGACTGACATTCTAGTAATTAATCTCAGCAAATAGAGTGTATATATATACCTTCTATATCTGCTATCTCGAGATGAACTCCGAACCTACGGGTAATCGGGACGGATCTTCAATGACTTGTTATGGGTTATGTTATGGTGATGCATGATGCATGGGTTTTATGTCTATTTCTTTGTCTTTTGTCTTTGCTAGGTTATCTCCCTAGATCTGGTCTCTACGGTGTCTGCGGTGTACAATACTTTAGCCTTTTGGAGAATTGGAATAATAAACTAGGCTTTTGTGTTATGATCTTCCATGCGTAGAAAAGTACATACCTACCAAGTAAACAGGGAAACACCTTACACAGAAGATCGAATCTTAGACATCGTGCAGACGATCTTTTGAAATCGGCTTAGTCCAAGTCGGACAGTGTAACTATTCTCATGAAAAATATATGCATTGAACACCCTTGGACAACCCATCTATCTATTATCATTTGTGCAACAGATCCACCCCCAACAGAAACCCATAGGAAAAGAATAAATACAAAGAATCAGACAATAGAGAAAAGAGTAGGTAGTATAACCAACCCCAATATGATTCGTACACTTCATATATGTTCTCGTTTTTTTCGAGTATATGAACCAAGTCTAAGCAAAAAGAACCGCAACATCTTTCAGTGTCACGAGACCACTCCATCTACAACCCCGCAACATACATCAGTCCATATCCAAGGGTGACAATCACCACAAAGGCCATAAGACTGGCCGGGATGCCGCGAGTGAGGAAATGGCGGACTTGAAGATATCGCTGGCCTGTGGTGGGTACTTCGGTCATGATAGCAGCTAAAGACAAGTTAGCAGAGAGCTCGATACAGTTGAAGGGGGAACATACTCATATTAGGGAATCCACTGGTGGGCAAAGCCATCGCAACAGAACACATCAAAGCACTGGCCATGACCAGCAAGTTCGGGTGAGGGTCCTCCATGCTAACGCCGATCTGGCGGACAAGCGGGAGGATGATGAGGGCAGCAACGGTGTGCGAGATGAAGGTAGCCATGACAATAATGAGAGAACAAAAGACCAAGAGGACGCTGTACAGACTGAGGTTCTCGACGCGGGCGGTGATTCCCATGGCGATTGTGTGCAGCAGGCCTGATGAGGTGACGGCCTTGCCTAAACACAAACCACCAGCAGCGAGAATGATGATGGTCCAGAGGAAGTTATTAAAGTCCTCTTTGTTGAGGATACCGGTACCGAAGAAAAGGACGAGAGGGATGATGGCGATTACGCCCATGTCGCCGAAGATGTGCTCGAGCTGGTGGCTGGTGCACCAGAGGATGATTGTCATAATGGTGACGATGCTGATGAAGGACTGCATGCCGGTCCAGCGGTCCTTGACGGGACGGAAGGCCATCACTGTTGTGTTGCGGCCCGGACGGAATGTTACCAGCAGCAGGACCCAAATCAGGAGAATGGAGATGATGCAGACAGGAAGTGCGATGAAGAACCATGTGCCCCAGCTGATGCTCGGGTCCATGTTCTGCAGGGCAATGATGTTCTGGGGCGAGGCAATGGGGGACGCTGCACCACCAACATTGGCGGCTAACGCGATACCCAGCACGAGTGCCTTGGCAAAGTCTGACTCGGGAGGCATATTGCGCAACAAAGGCTGGATGATTGAGTAGCAGAGTACGGGAGATGCAACATTACTGATCCACATGCTCAGGAACATGCTCACAAACATGTTGGTCAAGAGCACTACAGATGGCTTCGATCCGGCTTTACTTAGCACGAACATGGCCATGCGCCGTGCGATATCGTACTTGGACAGTGCCGCTGCGATTGAGAAGCCACCTAGGAGTAGCATAATCACAGGAGTCCACATCGCTGCGAACACCTTGCCGACTGACTCCTTGGGCCCCAGTCGCGTCTGAGCTTCATCGTCTGACCGCATGATGCCTAGAGTCACGACTAGGAATGGGATAAGAAGCGAAGTGACAAACAGCGGGATAGCCTATCACTCGATGTCAGCATTAAACGTGAGCAGATGAACAAAAATTATCTCATACCTCAGTGGCCCACAAAATACTAACGAGGACCAACATTGCCAGGCAGTTCTGCTCCTCGGGGGTGTCCATTATGTTCACAGAAAGCAATGCGCCGAAGATGGCGATACTAAATACCAGCGTACCGAAGCTCAAGCTGCAAAGCCAGGTCGGGAACTGGAACCGACCAAGCGGCGTTGATACCTCATGAGTGCGCATCTCGGTCTTGTCTCCCTGGCGCCGTGCAGTGGCCGGGTCCTCATCACCACCCAGGAGAGTCTGGCGAATACCAACATTGGCAGCCTGCGCACGACGTTCGATCTCGATCATCTCACGCCAGACGGTATTCCGCTCCCAGACGACATGCTCACGCAGATGCAGACGCAGCTCGCGCCTAGCAAACTGCCTGTTGTTTTTCGTGACGATGCCCGCATACACACCCTCCACGTTCTCGATATGCTGATCGATGGCAGCCATAGTACTGTCGGTGAAAGGTACCGCGGTATGGACAACAGAGGCTAGGTAATCTCTGCGAAGGCTGCGATCCAAGGTTTTGTCATACTTCTTTAGGGCCTTGGCGAAGCCAGTCTTGTTCAGCTCGATAAAGGAGCGCAGTTCGCAGAGTGAGACGTAGCATTCGATCAGACGCTTCTTCAACGATATACCGGTGTTGTAAAGAGCGATGAAGTCCTCGTCGTTGAAGTGCGACTCGTGCGGTTCTCGGGTGGTCGGCTGTCCAAAGTAGGAGTCTGCCATATCGCCGTGCTGGTCATCCGTGTTGGACTCACCATCAGTCGACTGTAGCAACCTCCGGCGCTGTGGGACATTAGCCGGGGACCGGTCGTCGTCGCTATCGCCGCCTTCTTCTTCATCGTCCGCCATCGAGTCATTGCTCAGAGCACTGGGCCGCCGGTGCGGGATGGTGGTATTGCCATTACCGCGACGGGAGCTTGCCTTGATGACTGTCTCACTGACGGGGTCCATATTGACGCCGTCAGTCTCGGAAAGATACACATCAGCGTCTTTGATGAGCTCATCCGCGAGTTCAAAAATCTCCGCCTCCTTCTTCTTATAGAAAGAACAGATCTTATCCATCTCAACGTCAAGAGCCCGTTTAAAGGTTGCATCCGGGTTACTTGGTTCAATACCACTCAACAACGGAGCAGACTCTACATCTGTGGCCACATGTCCATCGATGCGGTTGACCTGTTTCTCAAGGGTGTATATCCTAGTCACGATGCAACGTTAACACGATTCAAACAATTATCCGACCCAGTCAGTCACGCATCGATCTTGTGCAATGTGACACCAATTCAGATTTCCCGAAATTGGTATGTACACACTACCACAGCCACAGCCACCCGACGATTGAGATAAGCCACTCACAGTTTCTTCAAATTGCTATACGCGATGTAATTGGAGCTCCAATCTGGCACCGCATTAAACTGGACACTATGCGAGAACTTCATCTTTTCGGAATCCGGGTCGACGATCCCGTGCGATGCGTTATAAGCGCGGCGTCGGAGAGCTTCAGCCCAGAACCTAAGACGAGAGCCCTCGGGGCGAAGCTGGTCGAGCTCTAATCCCTCCTTCGATTCTCGAACACCGATGTCAAAGCCAAGCGGCTGCGAGTCGGCGGCAGGGTCGAACCGCCTAGCACTGTCTTGAAAGTCGTTTGAGTGGGCGCGACCAGAAGCACTTGCGGTTGCTGTATGAGAGGTCGGATGGTAGTCGACAAGTTCAATGGAATCACCGCGCAATGTAGGAGCCACCTTCAATGGAGGAGGCCGGTGGGTAGTCGGCCTAGGTCATTCAAGGTGTAGAGAGAGACGCAACGCCGAATGGAACGTAGGAGTGGGCTCTATTGTGGTGGGGGGCGCAAAGAGGGCCGAAAAGTCCGGGTCAGCTGGAGCTTGGGGTTGCACTGGGCAATGGTCAGGTCGGTAATAAGTATAACGCTATCCACGGATCGGGGATGTATTGTATATCCGGTTAGAATCAAATTCAAGACTGTAGAAGAAGAATATTGAAAGTCTTAGGGGCTATTTTTTTTGCTTTGACTCCAGGAACAGTTGCGTTGCTGGAGCTAAGCTGTAATTAGGTAAGCGTGCTGCAAGGCGGACCCGGGGTGCGGGTGCCTATCAGACATTGTTCTGTAGACGAAGCAAATCCCGGAGTTTTTGAGGATCCCCGACTTTGGTGCCCGAAGCAACACAGAGAACAAGGTTATATGCGCCTATGTACACAGGATAATGTCTGCCAATGAATTTTCCTATCTGAGCTGCCGCCGCTTTTATGAAGGCACTCGGTAGACGTCAGCATGGACACAGAGAGGCTCAGATCAATCACGTGATCAATAGATGATGCTCAGTGCGTCCTTACAGGAGCTCAGTGCGTGACCACTGACACTTTACTAATGGTCAGTGACTAATTGATTATCCTGATTCGCTCAGCCTACTGTGGCTTATACCAGAATGGGATAGGGCCCCACAGAGTCGTTTATTGCCAAGGATTCCAAGGTTGTGATGGCTACCTCTCGCTAAGAGCTGCCCTCCTTTCCCCGGAGGATGCCATCACATCAAGAGTACTGCATGTCGGCCGTGCATGACAAAAGGGGGAGTCTCGTTTACTCCATCGTGTATAGCGGCTCGAGCTAACATCCCGAAGTATATAAAGACGTTGTATCTCCACGTCCGATCTACAAACCATTGGAGCATGTGCCGTTGATGATGAGACCAAACATAGCCGAAGCAGATAACTATCTCAATCTTTAGATTGAGTAAGCGACCACCATCCTTTTAGACTATCAGACTGGCATATTTTGGTAAACTGAAGTCATCCTGTGGCTGTAAACAGCCGGTCAGATGCACGTGACGGGTTTTATGCAACCCCCTTCCCTTTAAAACTTCCATAGCTGTTATCCAAAGACAAAAATGCGAGTCTTTCTTACATCGTATCTCTCTTCATGGTGCTCTACTGTGCGCTATATTATTTGTCGTAGTTGGCAAATCGTTCAAATACGATTTGCCAACTTCTATCATTCGTCAACAATCCATTGCGCGATGTTGAAAGAACTCCTACGACACCGACGGAGCATCCTCCTGTGGACAAGCTGTCAGACAATGTTGCTTATACTCTAACAGTCCAGTACCAAACGGATCTTGATATCATAGGTGTTGGAGCAGCAGGACAAGTCTACAATGTCGATGATCATATCGTTCTGAAGTCCTGCCGGATATATGAGCCTCTGTCCAGCGACGCCACTCCACGAGAGTTGTGGGATTATGCCTCAGAAATCATTTTCCACGTTGGACTCCAAAAAGATGAGAAGGCCGTGTTTCGTCTCCTTACAGAACATCCTCGTCCAAGCATCATAGAGGCCATTAATACGAATTATCCAGAAGGCATCTACCTTTGCAGATACATTCCATACTCTGACATGACATCAACTCAGTCAGACCGTGTTCTTTGGTATCGGGACATCATACGAGCGCTTCTTCACATATACAGTCTTGGCATCACCCATTCAGATATACGCAAGGATAATATACTTTTCGATACCAAAGGCCACGCTTTCTTTGGAGATTTCAGCGCCTGCTGTCCATTCGGAAAGCCCAATCCTTCTCTACCAGTCCTACTTAAAGGACCGTCGAAGACGGTCTCTGATACGACAGATATATTTGCTATGGGTTGTCTGATTCACGAATTGGAGACCGGAGTCCCGGCGAAAATATCCATGGACGATCAAGACCGCCTTGTTTTACCCCAAATCCAGATTGGCCACAGTGATCTTGATCGTCTGATCGAAAAAGCTTGGCGCGGACGATACAACTCTACAGCAGATATGCTGGAGCAGGCCGAGAATCTTAATGGGCCCCAAGATAATCGTGGTGCAGTTGAATATCCTATCTCGAAGGCGGAATTAGTCGAGCGAATTATACGGTGGAGAAAGAAGCGACAGGAGCAGCATGGTAGCTTAGCTCCCATGGCTTCAGATAATGATCGTGGCTAACGACTACTTAGGTTGTGTCCTCCGTTCTTTACCAACAGACCATCAACTACAACCTCTACTAGTGGAGCGTTATGGCTGGAATGTTGATGAAGAGCAGCATTTTCGTGATGATCAATTTACGTCCCGTGGATGTATGTCTCTTGAGTGATATTGGAATATTATCTTGGGGTTTGTTGTTCGGAACAACTCATATCAAGTTGTGAAAAGTAAGTATACCATTGAGGTAATGGACGCCAATTGCGTGCATTACGATGGAGCATCGTGAGCAGTGGACCTCACTGGGGGCCCAGTCAGGGGCGTGCCCAATTATACTCAGTGAGCAAAAAGCGGCGAGGAGTGACCGCCAAAACAGCAGGGGAAAGACAAGAATTGCTAGACATTATGCTATGTACAACATATATACGGTTGTACGCAGTCGATGCAGACTCCGTAGGAGCAAATGACATGCAGGGTATGTAAGTTTCAGGGCAGGCCTCTAATAATAGAAAATGTAAGTAACACTAGGGAGTAACGCATACCTATATAGGGCAATGATACCATGAGATCACAAGCTCATAAAAACTCAATCAAATTCACGGAGTTATACTATGTTCAGTTCGGAGAATCAATAATCGTTATCCATTGTTATCGCTTCGGTTTATCACTTCCCGCAAGGCTGGAGAAGCTGCTTAATGGATCTTCGAAGACAGATGCATTAGTTAAGCCTCAGAACACTTAAGACAAAATAATACCATCCTAAGCATATGTAGGAAGAATTCGAACTGATCACGATGGAAGTTAGACACCAGACCGATGTCGTACCGAGAAAAGACCAGTATGCGCTTATCACACCAAGATTCATCCACATAGACCAGGTGGTATAAGGAAAATTCTGAGATCAGACGACTAAGTCACCATGCGAATCTGTATTTCATTGGCTTTATCGAGTTTTTGTCGTTAACCACCCTTTTCAATATAGGGTGTCGCTAATCATGGATTTAGGAATAAAGACATCGAACTTATACAGGTGAATAGTTCTATCTTAAAAAGGTACAAATGGCTTCTCAAGTAGATAATTATCCAAGATCTCTAATATAAGTGGAGTGATACTTCGTAGGCCTCCGACTTAGTAGCTTTGATAGTATCCAAAGCGTGAATATCTGGGGGTAAACTATTATCAAATCCAACTATAATCAAAGTAAACCATCTAAGTACAAGAAAAGGTACACGTAATGCTACTCCAATCACCCACAATATTCGCCCCTTTATCCAGCGTGCATCCATCCCCATTGAAGTCCTTGCGCTGAGCCCCATAGTCCAAGTACCCATCGGTATCACCGTTCGTGTGAATACTGTTGCAGTATATTAGCATTTCTTTCCCGAAATGGACAGATATCAAGTATTACCAGATATGATTCGGTAACTGTGAGGTATAGCAATGATCGCCTGCATGCCACATATCTCTGCACTCCGTAGCAAGGCTGTACTTTTCTCGGCTGTCGCCGTAGTCCAGAGTTGCACTGCAAACTAGCGTGTTATCGCCGCCGACAAATGGGTTCTGTTTATGTTAATGTCTATTGATCACAGCTTGATATGGTTAACTCACTTGAGTCCGTCGCTGATAGAATTCGACAGTGCAGGTTCTATCACGAGGTACCACGGCGGCGGCAGATGTGCCTACCAGCAACGCGGGGAGAATAAGGAGTGTAGAAAGCATGTTTGGGATTGCTGGATAGACTGGTTTGAGAGGAATGGTATGTTTACAATGGTGATAGAATGGCATTCTTATAGCAATAACTTATATCACCGGGCCGTAGACTCTTTCTCTTCTACCCTCCTGGTCCCCATTGGAAAACACCCAGCATGACGTATAAAGACACAGCCTTGAGCTCGTATAAAAACCAATATGTCAATCGAAGCGGGCAAAATGTCTCGATGCGAATGTATCTCCGTCGTTCTCACGGGCCAAACCCTTGAGAGTCCCCCATCTCAGGAGGAAACAACTATAAAGTGCTAGTGTCAAAGTGGTAACGCCAAGGTCTGGGGCGATTCAAGGCTGATTGTCGACGATCGTGAGAACGAATAGGTGTAGATGGCTGCCTTGTGCTCTTCCCTAAATAGATGGAGCCAGGTTAGAGAAAGTTATTTCGGGAATGATGCGCGGAGGAAAATCAAAATAACATCTCGTTAGTATCAATGACAAGAAAGCGGCCCTAACAAGTCGAGGTATAAAGTAGCCCCCAATTTCTTGACCAGTACCTCTTTGGCCCGAGAATTAGGGCAAATCTGCCCTGACAAACAACATTTGAATGTATTAGGTATTATGGTACGGTGGCCAATGTCACCTATTGTGGGACATATTCCAGGAACACTCATTCTATATAAGATGAAGTCCTAATTTTAATGAGCTCGTTCCTTTCTATAGAATAATGAGCTAAGTTATGCAGATCCTTGACAACTTCTAAGCCTGTGTAGTCCAATATCGACCTAGTAAGCATAGGAAACATAATAAGACAATTAGCGGGTATGCTGACAATTCTTAAGACTATCAAGTCTGCAATATTGGGCACGTTGACTACGCCAGTTCTTTTTGATGGATCTAAGGGTCGCACATCATAGGATTGGAGTGTCGCATTCTCCAAGGTATCAGACAATGTTCTAGACGAAGCAACACAAAGAACAAGGTTATATGCAGTGCAAGTAAAGTTCTAGGGCCTCTAATAATAGAAATGTCAGTAAAACTAGGTAGTAAGCCACATACCTACGTAGAGCAATGATACCAAGAGATCCCAAGCTATTCAAACCCCAATCCAAGGGTTATACATCCAGTAGAAAAACCCAAGAAGAATAAAAGTCAATTTTTGACCAGACTATAAATGTACATATGCAGAAGTGCTCAGAGATACAAGACCAACCCCAAAACCCAGAAAGAAATACAAGCCAACACAGTTAGCGACGAGGGTTAGTATTCAAGTTTGCACGACCAGAGATACCAATCTTGTGCTGCTGGTCCCTCTTATCCCAGACACCGCTACGACCTTCCGCAACAGCCACCACCTCCGCCGCAACACGGTTCGCGAACAACGCATCGCGACGCTTATCCGACGCATCGAGAATCCACTTGATGGCAGTACGGCGACGCTGACGCAGAGTCAGCGGGTGGGGGATCTGCACGGCAGTACCACCACCGGCGATACCCTTCTGCTGACGGATTCGGAAGAGAGGCGCCACGGAGTCGACGACGAGAGTGAGGTAGAGGACGGGGTCGAGGGGGAGCTGGGAAGCAGGAGGGGCGCCGAGGAGACGACGACGGGGGTTGACCTGTGGGGGAGAGGAGGTGCGGAGGTGATCCAGAACCAGAGACATGTTCTAATATTCCGTTAATTTTCCGCAAAGATAAGGAAAACGAAAGAAACATACCTTCTGCGCCTTGGTCAATTTCCCACTCTCCATCATCATCTTGGTGAACTGATCCTGCATGGTATCGTAGCGCTTGCGGAAGTTCAATGTCTTAAGGTCCTCGGGGACGACAGGAGGGTCGAACTTAAGTCCGGGGTTCTCTTCAAGAGCCTGACCCTGCACCTGTTCAATCATGCTAGCAAGAGCAGCGGCGGCCTCATCGCTAGCGCCTTCTCCAGCCATACTAGGCATGAGGTTTGACTCAGGAAGGTTGTTAGACTCAGGCCCAACGTGCATATCGTTCATGAGGCTCCGAGCCGAAGTGGAGAACGAGCGCGAGCCACCAGACTTCTTCAATGCATCCCGCATAACCTTCGGCATGTGCTTCATAGCGTCCTTATCGCGGCTGAGGATCTATTCGAGACTCAGTTAACAACCATATCCAGACAAGCCATTGGATTATGTATTCATGCTCACCTCCTCAACGGGTGACCCCTGATCCAACTCCGGGGAAGAAGGAATACCATCACAGCGCTTTTCCTTATCCATGATTCGGGAGATCTCGTTGGCTTCCTCGGTGACATCGGGGAGCTGATCGGAAGTCGGGAAAGTCTTCTCGTCAAGCTCGGACTCGACTTTCTTCGAGCCATCGCTTGAGGAGTTCCATCGGCGCTGAATGGGTAGTGACTGGACGGCGCGGAATCGGACAGGGCTGGCGATGCTCCGGGGGGAAGACAGTGCGGAAGTGGTGGATTGGCGCAGGGCCGAGACGGCTTTGTTGGCTGTGAAGAGGTTGAGTCGAGGCGCCATGATTGCGGTTGTGAGAATTGGCCCCTGTACAATTATTGAGACGGGGAGGTCGAGATTAATCTGCCTATTTTGGGAAGTTTGCGGTCTCGAGTAAATTTCCGGGATACTTATGTAAGCGCCAAGGATTTCGATGTGAGGTCATGAAATGTACAATTAGAAACAGGATTGAAGGGTCATACATATATGTAGATGCAGGGGGATAATTAGTCTAAATTATGATTAAAGGGATGGAACTAAGTTTTGATTCATCTACCCAGGTCTATGTGTAAAGAAAAGACTATTTTTGCCCGGTTCTAGGGTTATGTGGTATAGATATATTTCCGCAATGTACATGATGTCGATATAGGAATTATATCAAGTGATTCGCTTTCAATAGAATTTTTACTTATTTTAACTAGTAATAAAGACTGACAAAAATATACCCACACATGCAATTTTGACTACCAGGACATGTACTATAAACAAGCAGGTTTGACACAAGAAAAACATGGTAGATACCAGGGTAGAATCAAATAAACAAAAGAGAGAGCCTCACAGCCGCCCCAACCCGAAAAAAAAATAAAGAGAGAAACCCAACAGCCTAGGTCTTGTTGGGAGTATCAGGGTAGACATAGAATGCCAAGGCCAGAATGATATACATGCCGAGACACATACCACCCTCAAGGTAATTTGACTTTCCATCCTGAATAAGCAGAGTAACAACCAAGCCGGAAATAAAGAAGGCAACGGTCTCAAAAGTCTGGAAGTGCAGTGTCATCTCGACACCCATGATCCAGCCCAGAATAACCAAGAACGGCGTGACAAACAGCGCAATCTGCAAGCTGCTACCAATAGCAACTCCGATGGCGAGATCCATCTTGTCCTTGTACGCAACCACAACGGCGGTGACATGTTCTGCGGCGTTACCCACAATTGGAATCAGTACCAGTCCGATGAAGGTCTTGCTCATGCCGGTCGTCTTGACTAGGGGATCGATAGCATCGACTAGGTAATCGGCGCAGATAGAGACGAGGACAGTCACGACGACAAGGACCACGCCCGCAGCCCAGGGACTAAGAAGGCGTTCTTCTTCCTCTTCCTCTTCCTCGGCGCCAGCGTTGTTCTCGGTATCGCTGGCATTCGTCTCTTCAAAGAGGTCGGAGTGGGATACCAGCTGGAAGTAGAGGTACATGACGTAGATAAGCAGCAGAATAATGGAAGTGCCGTGTGACAAGATGAGGATGTTGTGCTGGGCATCCTTGGTCCGGTCTATGATATCTATACCGCTACCGTCGGGCTTGGGTTTGCTGTCTGGTTTCTCGATGGCGGCGTAGAGGGTGGCAGGGATGATAAGCGAAGCGGAGGCCACAGCCATGAGCGAAGACATGGTTGATGCGACTGTGCTGTTGAAAGACTGCTCGCGGTAGCGGAGTCCACCGACGAAGAAGCAGCAGCCCAGGACCAGTAGGATATTAGACAGGATGCTGCCAAGCATACTGGCCTGGACGACGCGAATCTGGCCCTGTTTCAAGGCGATGATGCTGACCTATCAAGCAAAGCAAATTAGTATCAACATTGGTACGTAGCACCGTATCACCCGCTACATAGTAATACATCGGGCATTAATTCGGGGCTGAGGCTTGGCAAACTTACAATCAACTCAACAGCATTTCCAAATGTGGCATTCATGAGGCCGCCAAGCGATTGGCCCAGAGTAGCGGCTAGCTCCTCGGTGGCAAAGCTGAGCAGTGAAGCGAGGGGAACAATAGCAAAGAAATTCAGTGTAAAGACAGTGGTGGAGTTCCAACCAAGAGCACCAGAAATGATGCCCAAGGGGACAAAGATAAGCAAGACATTGACATAGTCGCGAACGATGGTTCTCCAGGTTAGATGGACGACATGCATCGGCCAATGCACCCAGACACGGTTATCTTTCGGATGGTGGTGATGCTGTCCATGTTCTGTGTGGTCGTGAGGTGCGAGGCCATCGAAGGAGCCACGGTGTGAACGGAGAAGGCCTGTTCGCTCATTGGCCAGGGAATTATTGTTAGAGCTCATTCTTCGTGGACCGAAGGTATGGCTTCTGAAGTGGGAACGGAAATTTGGGAGAGCTATAAATTAGTTAGATCCGTTGCCAGAACGGAGATATGAGGACTTTCACAGAAAGCCGGAAAGGAGCGGATGAAGAAAGGGGAAAGGGAAATAGTATATAACCCACACATGGCCAAGCTTCCAAGGTTGAGAATTTAGCGACTGTGACCTGAGATTTGGGGGAGAACCAGTGGAAATGGAATGAAAATGTGGAAAACAAGGTTAGCACAGCCTTTCATTAAAGAAAGTGGAGTGACAATTGGTCAAAGTCGGTGGAGAGAGGAGCTTTGAGATGACGACCCACTGAACTTGGAAACTCCACATTACACATAATAAAACAATTTGATTGGTTAAAAGAGCTAAATAGCCAAGAATCAGCACTGCCACACATTCCAGCACGGACGATGTGTTTTTTAGTGGGACAAGAACTCTACCTAGGTAGGTACATAGTATGAACTATGGAAAAAACATTATGTTTGGAACTATATAGTGGATATATATCTTTTAACACCCCAATCCACATAAAAAATAAATAAATAATACATCAGGGTAGTAAGTCACATCAAAAGAAAAAAAAAGAAAAAAATAAAAAGGAGGGTTAAGACACAAAAAAATGAGGTATAAAGGATAGAATCGAAAAAAAGGGGGGGGGGGGGGGGGGGTCATTACTCCCCTGAGGATGAGAGGGGGGTGGGGGGCGCGGTCATTACTCCTCCGGCAGAGCACCATTGCCTTTAAAATCCAGCCGACTGCTCTTACGCCCAACACCCTTCAGCATACTGAAACGACGGAACACCGAATCCCGCATCCCACTATTACTATTATTCAAAACAGGGGATAGCGGTGCCGTCCCGTTCGTAGTCGTCAAAGTCATCACATTACTATCACGCGTGACTGGGCGTGAATAATCGCGCGTAGACGGGAGTGTCGACCATCCACCACTAGACGCAGGCGCAGCCCGATCTGTGGCTGCACCCGTGGCAGTAGGGCCGCGGTGCTGGGAGCCAGCGCGACTGCGGCCGTCGTGCGAGCGGGGGACCGTGTCACGGGCATTGTGCGTGTTCAAAGAGGTTTGGGACTCATGGGCAACAGACGCCGAAGAGCCATGCTTATATGTCTTGTCGCCGCCAAAGAAGCTGCGACGCTTCTCGCTTCGGCCACCGCGGGAATGGCTGGTAGTGCGACTGTGAATTGTGGCCGTGTCGTCGTCGATGTTTTCGTCATTTTCACCAATTATTTGGCCCTTGCTGTCGGATGGCTGGATTGTGAAGATAGAGTTGGTCGCGCCGTGGGTTCGTTTGAAGGGGTTGATTATGCTGATCCGGTGACTGACAGATTGTCTATCGGAGCGCTTGCGCGTGTGGGTATTGCCCCGGCCGGCGCGGTTGACGTCTTGTTCCGGACTGACAACTCGCTGGATAGGTGGCATCCGGCGGCTGTCGCCTATGACGGGGGATTGGCGGGCTGTTTGTGTGGGCGTGGGGGATGAGTACTCCACCGGAGCCGGCACGAGAGATCCCAGCTCGGATTCGAAGACATCTTCGAAACGTCGAAGCAGTTCGGCTTGAGTAGCTTGTTGAGCGGGACGCTGGTAAAGAGAGAGTGCGTGCTTGATAGCCAAGGCGTGGTCGACGAGTGCCACGGAAAGCGCAGTCTCCATTGGGTCCACAGGCTGCTGTGGTTGTGTCTCTCCAGCATCTTCATCAGCTTCCTCAAGCAGCTTATTCCTTGCCATCTCCGCATCGGATAGGAATACGCGGTACGATGCCACACAGTTAGAGTTTGACGATCTGAGCTCAAGCAGTGATTCCAAGGCTTCAGTCAGATTAGACAGACTAGAGTCCTCACCCGACGCAGCACGGCGGCCAATAAGCTGGAGCTCCTGTGTCTTGCGCCACGTGCGCTCAATGGCAGTCTGGAGAGGCGACAGAGCAACCTCCTCAGTAGAAATAATTTCACTGCGACGGAGGATATTTGGGAACGCTTCTGAGACCGTGAAAACGAACTTTTCAACAAATTGCTCACGGACATCCGAGCTGGTCGTGTGTCGTCTTGAGGTAGCAGAGAAACGGGACGGATCTGAGATCAGCAGGTGCTCACGGACCGAGGACGGAACCTTGGGGCGTTGGTAGACAGGATGAGACACGTCGCGGTATGCGTTGACAGCGCTGATCTGAAGGAACTGGCCTTCGTAGTCAGGAATCTCGCCAGTAGACATGACCTGCGCAGCAGGGTGTTCCCGCTGCATGCGATCCACGAAAGAGGCCATGCGTTCTGTAGGAGACGCCTCGAAGATGAACTCCTTATCACGCAGGCCGGGAGGAAATCCGAGACCCTTGTAGACCACACGGAAGTAACGTGGGAATTGTTTGTTGCCCTTGGCGATGATGTCGTAAATTCGAGCCATGGAGCTTTGGGCTCGGGAGAGCTTGGCGAAATCCATCGTCGTGTGCTCGTAGTGCGCCGCAAGCTCCTTGTAGCAAGTCAATGCGGGGCCCCAGGCCATGGCATTTTCAAAGTTCTGGATAACGGAGAAGTACAGAGCCTCTCTCCGCTCGAATGCACTTTGAGCTGGGAAAGCGGGTTTGAGCAGCTCCGGCATAGGCTTGGTGAGATCCCATTCGTACAGATCAGCATGGAACTGGAGGGCAAGACCTGCTTCAGTGAAGTTGCCTGCAGCAGCCTGAGCCTCCGCAAGTTCATGAACGTAACGAATAAAGATATCCTCGCGACCCATGTCCTTCATATATTCCATCAGCTTCAAAGCGTGCAGACTCTGGGTTGAGGCGCCGCTCTGAGAAGCTACCAAAAGATCCAAAAGTTCATCGACCGTACCAACAAGACTCTTAACAGCATTCGACAATAGATCATCGGATATACTCTCATTCTCGAACAGATCCAATAGCTCCCCGATAAAGATCTTCTGGCTAACACTTTCATTCATCTGCTTGGACTTGAATAGGATATCCAGGCTAGAGATGATCTCCGTTTCAATGATGGAGATATCCTGGTTCAGATCCCATTCACTCAGAATCATCGTCTGCAGTATTTGAACAGCAACATGTCGCAGCCCCTCGTGAACACTGAGACACAGACCAATGATGGGAGGAACCAGGCCGGGAACATACTGAACCTGATAACCGCCGAGCTTTTTCAAATTGAATCGCTCCCTCTCGTCGTCCGTGGTTTCCCAACCAATGGCCTCCCAGGTAGACTGCAACAAGTCCGCACCCTGCTCACGCACATCGCCAGCGATCTTCCAGACAGCGCGGCGTTTCTGCTCAGGGAAGGTCTCGAGCGCAAGGACATCGCTAGAAATCACCTTCAATAGAGTGGTGAAGAATGACTCCCATAGCTTCGTATCAAATGTATCGGCATCATCCGGTGCCGGAAGGAATTTATCGATCAGCAACACCGCAATATGTTCAAGACTTTTGATAGTCGCGCGGTGATTGTACACATGAATACTGAACCAGTTCTCAGGATAAGCCTCGCAGTCTAGGATGGAGTTGTGGGCCTCAAGTGTCTGAGCAATAAACAGTGCGAGCTCCAGTTCTTTCAAGGAGGGAAGCTTGGGAGACTCGATCTTGGCAATGGCAGCCATGAGCGCAGACAATTCGACCAAAGACTCATCGAAGCTTTGAGGAGTCTTGGCAGTCTTCATCTGGAAGGGGAACGCCTTGCTGAAAAGCAAAGACAGATATTCCGTTTCATCAACCCCCTCAGTGGATATAGCACAATAAGAAGCGACGATGTTCGGCATGAATCCATAAATCAGAGGATCCGGTTGACTGAGCAATTGAGCCACGATGGAGCTGCACAGTCGCACCTGATCACGATACAAATCTGACACGCTTGAGGTTGCGCCCCAGTATGGAGCCAACCAGCCAATGCAGCTGGAGATCAAGGTTTGTCTCTCCTCGCCAGAGGCGAAAACCTCGAATAGTGTATAGTTCTGGACGAGAACTAGCTTATATAGTATCAACATGCCGGTGACATCCTTGCATGAATCTATGAAGCTTAGAGCGATCATGATAATTTCATCCTTGTTCAGGACGTTGGAGAGCTCTGGTAGCCATGTATGGAAATGTTGAACCACCAGTGTTTTGCTGCCCACCAATGCCGGCGAGGAGTTTTTCATCAAACTCTCCAGAGCCTTGAAAATGGTATGCATATCTCTGTTGAAGGTGGATTGAACCGTGGTAATCCCAATACCTTCCTCCTTGGCCTTTTGCTGCTCGCGGGCCTTAATGATGAACTTCAACAGATGGCGTCCCACCTTGAAGGCAGCGCGAAGACTGCGAGATTGCGTACCATCGGTCGCTGCATTCAAGAGGCGCAGGTAGCTTCGAATAAGGCAGGGGGTGACGAATGGGAAATTGAACTGCTCATCAGCGTAGCGGTCGACCAGCGGGCCTAGGTTGTATCGTCGATCATGCACAATTCCCAGAACGGTGACCAGGTCATTGAAAATTAAGTTCTCGTATTCTTCATTGCCAGCATGTTCGACCAGGATCCCGAACAGCGCATCGAAGACGCCACTGAGTTGTTTGACAATCTCGATCTCAGGAACAAAGAGCAAACGCTTCAGTGTATCCAAGACCTCGTCCACGGGCCGCTCCCGCCAGTTCAGAAGACTCAGAATGACTTGATCCTGGGAGTACTCCGTGCTGCAGAGATGGGTTTCAAGGTGCAAAGTGGACAATGGACCCGTCACAGCTTCATCTTTGGCAGATTCATTCTTGCCAAGCGCGCTCCACGGGAGGTTCAGATAAGCACCCCTTCCATTCTCAATGCTGGATGTCTGTTTGTCATAAGCATGCAAGAGTAGAGAATGGCGCCCATCTCTAATGAAAGCCTGCTGGTCCCAAAGGGGCATCCAGGCAAGAGCAAAGGGAAATTCGGGTGCATCTGCAATACTCATCACCATATGCGAGCCAGGAATTTGTTCTGTGGGGATCTTGAGACGAATAGTCTGGTTCCAAGGCGTGCCGCGCTGGGCGATTGTAGTACGCCATGCCGTGTTCGACGTATTGGATGACGAAGGGAAGACACATTTGTCTATCCGTGCTCCTTTAGCATCACGCACTTCGAGAGTAAGTTGGAGATTGTGCAGTCCAGTGTTCGCTTGTAGAGGAATTTGACCAGCCTGTGGATGAGACAGGAGAGCATCTGCCGGAAATACGGCCTGAGAGAGCGTGACGTAAATGTCGGATCTTGGCTTCGAAGGAGCCTTGGAGAATCCAATGCGCTGTGTCTGTACGACATCGTGCAATATAGTCGGGTTCTGGCGAATTAGGAACTCGGCGTCGGTACTGACAAAGGGGCGCAGATGGAGGTGTAAACGTGCTGCAGGATCGGCACGCACATACCGGCCGGTAGGACTAGGAAGTAATGCACGGATCAATTTGTCAAACCCATCCGTTAGCCCCTCACCGTCTTCTCCGTCTCGACGGGGCGACCAAATGTTAATCACCTGCTCAGCGTCCTTGTCCTGTCGGAGAATGGGTGAGATCTCCAAAATCCCGACGCCGACAGTGCGTATCGCCGAGACTTCCTTCGTTGGAGCGGGTTGAGGGGTGCTTGGCTCTTTAAAGCTGGATGAACTGCTCGATGTTCGTGGAGTCCCTTGGGTAGTGGGCTTAGATGGCTGATCAAAGCTCGGTCCACGTTGCTTTCCCGTCCACATCATGCTGCGTCGCGTTTTCAAACTGCCCTTGACCGAGGGTTGAACGCCCCCATTTGCCGTGGCCTTGGTTGGGGTCGGACTGTCCCGTGAGATAGATGGCCTCGACGCAGAAGTGGTATCAGCTGTCGACCGCGTCTCTGGAGCACGTACCCAAGCAACTAGATAAAGTTGCCGCCCATTCGCGGATCCATCTCCGATGTCTGTTGCAGCCAAATCAGTGAACAATGTCTTCAGTTTACTGCTTTGGCTCATGTTGATGAACTTATCAGGAGACGGAATATCTAAACCAAATGTCTCAGATAGTGGACTGAGCGCACCAGCGTCTGATCGTGAGAACAGCTGGATTCCGATGGTCACTTGGCCCGGTGCATTCCCTGATACCGCGTTGATTTCCAGCAACATATGATGAAGTGCGGTAGCATCGGATGTTTGGGTGGGATGGGCTTCGAGCATACTCATCTCGGACTGCAGCTTTGCTAATTGGATAGCGGAGTCATCACCTGTTAGCAAACGACCTCTTTGTTCCGGATCGCGAACGATCACGTCCCCGCTAAGCATTTTGTTTGCCTTGACAAGTTTCCAAACTGTCTCATCCCGCAATGCTTCCTTCTCCTTTCCAGTTAGAACATTGTGTAGCAATTGTCGTCTCGCAAAGTCCAGCTCTTGTACAATGGTTGAAATTTCCTCCAAAACATCATACCGACGTGCCAAAAGCAGTTCGTGCAAATTAGTCGAATGCCATTCGCGCAGACACGATGCGATTTCATCGACTAGTGGTTCTGTGAGGGATGTCGGAGTTTCATCACCGATCTTCAGCATCGGAACCGGGGCAGCAGGTTTGGGCGCATCAGGGTCGCGAGGAGCAAAGGAGACAGGCGTATGCGGGATGGAGCCCGTCCGCCATCGCGGACTGGGCTGGTCTGACCCATCTGTCTTGTGAATAATAATCTGGGAAGGCTTCCCCTTTTTCGCAAAGACAACATCGGACACTTCGCCCCCAGCCTGAGAATCACTGACGGAATAGGCCAGACTATTTCGAGGCATGAATTCTCCCTCCCAGCCAGACAAGGTCAGGCGATCAATGCTTTTCCGGTCGGCATTCAGCAATGCTTTATATCCATCGCCGTCGCCCAGCACCTCTCTAATCTCAACACAGTTCCGCGGGAAGATACCAGAGAACACGCGAGCTTCGAGAGTCTGGCCCTTGGTGCTTGTCAAGCCGGCCAGCAACGAGGGGGGCGCGACCAGATAGCCTCGGCACCACTCGCCGTCCTTCCCTCCTTGTTCAATTATGTAGAGCTCATCGCCAAGCTCCAATGGTAGGTCTGCCGGGGAAGATGGATTGAAAGGGTATATAGCCACGGCAAAGGCGATCCGAGGCAGCGGCCGCCAGGGCATGGCTGTTATGAATCGCTCGACGCGATTGGAGCTCGAGACACCAGATTTGAGGCGTGCCAATCCCCGCAAATGGGTCTCCGATCGCAAGGTTCGCGGGAAGGGAATTCTAGGTGTGGATCAGTTCGAGGAATGTTCGTTTCGATCAATCGAAGGCCACATGTAGGAGATCCAAATCGAGGAGGGAGGGGGAATAACGAGCGGAATGTGGAAGTTTGAGGAATGTTATGCAACAAGTAACGATCTAAAGCATGATTAGAGAGGGGACTATGTGATTTGACCTGTCGGAAAGCGTGGAAAGAGAAGATAGATCTCTCACAGAAAGTCTGGAGCAAAATGACCGTGCCCCCCTTGACATTTTTGGTGGAGACACAATTTAGAGTCGTGGGGAAGAAACTCACCGTAAGAAATATACACACACACGCACACACACACAATGATCTGAAAAAAGAGAGAAATTGAAAATATCAGAGAGAAAGAAAGAGAAGCTTAAGGAGAAAGATTAACCTCGAAGATCATCCCCACATATCTCAAAAGTTGGACCTTTTGGACTTCGGAGGATAACTGCTTTGACCTTGCTTCTTCTGCCTACACTTTTTAAGATTACATCTCCTAACATCATGTACAATAATTGATGCTCATTCTATGATCACAGCATTTACAATATAAATATGATTGATCATACTGCAATACTCTGTACTCTTTGCCTACATTGTAGATATTTCCCCCCTGAACCATATGAAGCAACCGAACGGTGGGTCAATATAGCCAATGAGAAGATGTATTTTCTTACATATAAAAAGAATAAGCAAAAATAAAATGAAAGTTTCAAGATCGTTTCATTTCTATTGATTTCTTTCTATTTTCCCCCTTTGAACGTATTCGGCAATTCGTAACAGTTGCATGCATATGTATGCCCCAAGGGATAGAATTAGAACCCAAAAGCTCTAGATACATAATGTCTTACCTGGTCCTCGTCTTGTACATAGAGAAAAAAAAAAGCGAGGGTTGTATTGATATTTCGGCCTCAAGCAATCGTCTAGCGGACATCTATATAGAGATTCAATGTTCTAACCTGTCCTAATGATATTCCCCTGGAGATAAAGAGAGAATATTTCCCTGACCTTAAAGATACTATATATGTTGCACTTGTTCATGCTGAAGAAGTCGCATTAACTTTTGCCCTTGTTCAGATATCATATTGGGTCTCATACATGTACTTATCAACAGAAGTTCCAGAGAGAACAGGAAAAAAAAAAGTAAAAACAAAGGGGAATTAAATGTCAATAAGTACATCTCATTTCCGGAACATGCTAAGGGTCTCTTCCTTGCGCCAGTCCATATCCAATTGACCCTCGTAGACATCTTCAATAATCTGCCGGGTACGATCGTACGTATTCTCATAACGGTTCTCACACTCCCGGAGCACTTTGACAACAAGGCTGCGGCTAAGGCCAGGATCATCGGCGTCACCGAAGTGCTTCTCAACACGCTTCTTGAGCATTTCGATGCCACGACGAATTTCCTTATTATCATACGAGGCGAGAATCTTCTTTGCCACCATACGGGAGTGGCTGGCACGGGCTGCGATATCGGTCGGGTTACCGCCTGCAGCGAGCAGACTGTCAATTGATTGCACGAAATCAATTAATTTGCCTAGTGGACGGTGAATGACCGCATCGAGGTAGAGCTTCATGTGCTCCTGGAAGTCTTGGTGGGCCCGATGAGTCCACCGTTCAAGCGCGGGGATGTTATGCACATCCACTTCCTCGATGTAGTGGTTCATATTCTCAATGAGGAGGATGTGGTAGTTCAGAATCTCCTTATCTTCCGGATCTCCCGCACCCGCAGTGCCACCCGGAGGTTGGCCGGGAGCTTCCTTGGCAATGAATTTGAGTGACTCCCACATCGCACGGTTGATGCGGTCGTACGCGTCATTGACGCTAACGCGAATATCACAGAAGGCATTGGACGGGGAGGACAGCATGCTTTCCACCGCATTGGAGAAGTTGGGGAACACTCGCATGAAGGAAATCACTCCCTTCCGTTTGTTCACCTTAACTTTGGTGTCCTCAATGCCTCGAATTTGCTCATCGACAAATCGGTTGAAGAGCCCCATCAGGCGCGAATGGATTTTTTGGAGTGCATGAAGAATAAACTCTTGATTCGTGTCATCAAAGTCATTCATGGCAATCTCCAAGGCATAGAGAATACCGATTCCTTGAAGGGGATCGGCCTGCATCGCCCAATCCACCATGCTTTGCATGTCATTCGGCCAGAATGAATAAACCTCATCCATGATGTGCTCGACTCTCTTTGCCGTTCCTCGATCAGGGTCATGCGGCTGGTTGGCAGAGAAATCGGGACAAGAGCGGTTTTCCGGAATGGTCGCAGCCACCAAATCGGAAAAATCGGCGCTGGCAAGAGAATCGAGATGGAAGAATTGGATAATGAAGTTCTGCTCCTGAGCCATCATGTTCAGTGTCTCCCGCAAAGTCCCAGCAAATACCTCAGACGGCTCAGCCCTTCCTTCCTTCTTCCCACCACCCGAAGCCAGTCGAAGCCCTGCGGCAGCCCGCACCGTTTTGCCTCGCCGCACCGTCAGTTTTCTTGCAGCCATGGTCAGGCCCTCAGCCTCTTTCTCTTTCTCTTGATGTGTGAAAAGGAGTTCCTGCTCATCTCCCGTCGGTTTGCGCGCGGTTTTCTTCCAAGCCAGATTATTGTCGCGGAAGTCACTCTGGTACGAAGGTTTGGATTGCTGCTCATAGAGACCGACAAGGCTATGCCACTCTGCCATGCTGACCTCCTTAGCAAATAGCATCAAGGCATTATACCGCCAGACCTCTTGACGGAAGTGCCCTCGTGCGGCACTGTCCAATTTCATCGAATCCTTGGCACCATTGGCGAAATCAACACGTTGTTGTTCTGCCATTTTGAAGGCAAGGGCCATGAACTGCTGTAGTCGGCTGAGGAACAAGTTTGCAGTAGAGCGATACTCTTCCTTCTTTTGTTTGATCGCACGCATTTGGCCAATTTCTGTATCAGCATACACACCGACGCTGGCATCCACTTGACGCTTCTTGTTTTGTCCAATGTCAGAGTCAATCGTGACCATGGCCTTGTACAACGTCGCCAGGGCGCCTTCAGTATCCTTCAGCCCATCTGGGTTGCTCAAAGAAGCCTCTTTGAGAGGTCCTAGTTCAGACGGAGATATTGAAAGTGTCTTCAAAAGCGTTTGCAGCTCATTTTGCAGCAGCTTCTGGTTTGCTGCCTGTACCTGTAGACCTTGACCTTGAGCTTCAATATAGGCGACATCTTCGTGAAGAGTCTATAATATAGTATCATTAGCAGACTGCCAATCACCCAGATTCTGTAATTCCAAAACTTACGTTAAGTTCATGAGAGTAAAGAGTCAATAGACCATCCAGCTCATCACACTCTTCAATAGTTCTGTCGATCAAGCTTGCAAGTTGTTCCACTTTTCCTTCCTGTTGCTCAAGGTTGCCAAGCCAGCTGGTGGCCTCGACACGGCCAATTTCACGGCGAACATCTGCTTCTAAATCTTCAATCTTCTGTTCATCGGCCAATCGCCCATTCCATCCTAGATCAGTGAGAATGTCATCAAAGTCAATACCACGTCCGTCGAGAATGCTGGGATCAATTCCAAGGGCTTGACAATATTTCATAGTGTGGTCTTCACGACGCCTGCGACGACGTCCCTGGGCTGCCGGGGATGGCGATCTTGAACGATCTTCAACTTTTACAACAACATCAGAGAGGTTATCCCGAGATACCTCGGGAGTCTGGACATTGGCCGCCGCGGTCTCCTCAGGAGCTGGCTTTGTGATCTCGACAGTAGGTGTCTCTGAGCCTGCAGCGGGGGCGGGAATTTGTAGATCTTGTTCTGACGTTGTTGCCACTGGACTCTGTGGGGGATCCGTTGCCGACCGAGTAAGGGACGGTGCCGGAACCACGCTGGTGATGCCATCAGGGCCCGCAGCATCGACCTGTGACTTCTTCGCGGCTGCCAGCAGTCGCTCACCAGCACCACCAGCCCTGGGCTTGAAAGAACTATAAGCATTTGCAGCCTTTCTCCAGGCTCCTGCAATATCTTTGCCTTCCTTTTTCTTGACCATAGGGCCGAGTCCCGGGCGTTCTTCTTCCTGCTCTGGAGAAGCCTGAGATGGCAAGTCCACAGCAGGAGTGGTTTCGACAGGGGTCTTGGGCTTTTCATTGGAAGGATGAATAGGCTCTACCGAGGGCAGATTTGCAGCAATCATAGCAGCAGGCTCTGCAGCTAGTCCCTCAATTGCCGGTGACGAAGATGGTTCCCGGGGCTGTGCGGAAGTCTCGGATACCAAGCCATCTGATGCAGTTCTCTCTTGAGGCGGGGAGGGCTGATTAAAAGTGAATGCCTTCTCGCCGCTACCACGCTGGGGCGACTTTGGCCCAAAGCTAGGCGTGGGGCGTGGAGGTGTGTCTTCACTCTCGTTATTAAATGAACCAGAAGTGGTAGGACGAAGTGCCTCATTGCTGCGCATGAACTCCGGTGCCTTGCTGGGGATTGACTGAGTGGCAAGAGGTGGGGGTTGAGGACCACGGTCCTGGCTGCGCGTGGATTCCGGCGACTTGCTCTGCACTGGCTGTGCAGCAGGAGCTGAGAATTTGGCACCACGATCCTGGCTGCGAGCCGAAGATGGGCGGAGTGACTCTGGGATATCGGCATAGCTGCTAGCTTGTGCTGCAACGTTTAGATTATCTGTTCCTCTCGGCTCTAATAGTGAATTCGGGGGTTTTGCGTTTGCTGCGTTACGCTCAGGCGCACGTGGCGGGGGTTGCTGGTCCAGAGGTGGTCCAGAAAGGAGCGAAGGAGGGGATTTATGTAGATCAAAGGGAGATGGTGCCGGTCTGCCCTGTCCTGTAGATGGCCGAGAACCGGTCGATGGCCGAGACACCTGCTCGCGGCTCTTTTGCGTGCGAAGGGTGGGGTCTTCGGAAGGCTTCCTTTTGACATCCCGAGGCGCATCGCGACTGGGATCACGGCCTCTATAGGACGGTTGTAGCGAGGTGGGCAACTGACTATCCGATGCCGAAGGCATTTGGCCCGGGCCCCTTGTCGGTGGACCATTTGAAGGACCGCCTGGTTGTGCTGGAGGTGCTGGTTGTCCCCTTGGCGGTGGGCCATGTGAGGGACCGCCTGGCTGTAATGGCTGACCCCTTGGTGGACCATGTGAAGGACCACCCGGTTGTCCTGGCTGTGCTGATTGCCCCGATTGTCCATGCCTCACCAGCATTTGTCGCTCATTGTCATCAAAGCCAATAAGGTTGGGGACTTTTCCATTGGTGTATTTCCTGTAGATCTTGACCAGGCTCCCGATGAAGAACTCCTTTTCCTTAGAAGTTCTGGCATGCCAGTAGTATGGCTTTCCAATTGTGACCGTGAATCCTACATTGCTAGCCCATTCTTTTTGTTGCTGTTCTCCTGGTGTTTTCGGCACAAGAGCGGTAAATGATTGGATTGCGGTTAGATCGTCAAGCATCCAAGTTTTGCCGATAGAGAAAGTCCCCTCGTTGTTCTCTCGAGCTTTGTGTATGCGGACTCTGCCCGACTTTCGAACCGCTATGATAATGATACGGGGTTTCTTGTTCTCCGGTGGTCCTTTTGGCGGGGAAGGGCTCGAGGGGTGCGCTGCATCCTCGGTGATGCGGACGTGGGTGATGTAAGATTCGAGTACTGAGAGAAACAAGCTGGGTTAGCTAAAATCGCGGGTGAAATGACGTTCCGACGAAGCAAACGTGTTGCGATCTGGTCTAAGCGCTGCGCGTCACTTTCGCAATGTGTTGCTAAGCACACCACTATTGACTAGAAACGGGAGGGTAAAGTTGAGGAAGTACGTTGATTGTGTACGTACACAGGCCATCTTCATCCTTTTTTGCGAAACAGCTATGAATGATCCGCTTCTTCTCGTCCTCGAAGGCGGCCCCTCTTGTCATAGTGCTTGGGCTAGAGCCCGTATCAGACTGTAAATCTCCACGGTTTGGTAGCGGCCCTGGCGGAGGCCCGCGGGGACGGTCTCTGCCGTTCATCATGGTATCGAGGGATACAGAGCTCACGTGTGGGTAGCCGCGAGATCAAGGGGACATGGTCGGGAGGGTCGGGATCGGCAACGCCACTACGCACCACGCGCCGGAGGAATTGAAATCCGTTGAGGGACAATGCGTTTCAGGCGGAATATAGGTACAAAGCAGTACACGTTGTGGCCCAAAGTAATGCAAGTGGCCAGCGCTGAAGTTCGAATTAGCTCATCAAGGTGTCTCGACGGAAGGCGGAGAGCTTCGAGCGGAGTATCGAATTGATCCGGGGTTGCCCAAACGCGGTAAACAAATGTGTGGAATGTACGATATTAAGTCCTTTTTCATGATCGAGGCTCAATGGAGTCTCACTATTTTATTTGCTTTTGTAGTCACTGAAGTGTATCGCAGTGCATGACCATCCCTGACTTTAATCCTATTGGCTTTCAATTGCCAGGAAATTAGTCATCCATCCCCAGCCCTCCAGGACTCCAGGCTTCAGTCCAATGCTAGAGCCTGGGGCCTTGAGGCTTTCGGTTCTATCACATGCAGAATAGACATTGCAAATGTACTCTATCCCACACACCAACCACATCCTGGCATTGCGTCTCTAGTCAATCATGTCCACCGTTTCAATTAAGATCGATTTCATCACTGCCTAAGTGGCAATAAGAACAAGCTTGCTGAAACCAGAGCTATTCTGGGTGACATGGTGCAGCTTTGAATCAAAACCTTGGGATTCTTGAAATTCAGGGCTCTTTTGTAGAAATTGTACGAGGCAAGTGTCAAAAAGAAGCTATAGTTACTTGAGCATCACCAGGCTAAGTGTATATAGGTGCTTGCTTCTATATGTCAACGGTCCTGTCTTGACAAATGATAGCGCTCTCGAATTTAGGGTACTTAAAATATATGTAAGGCTGATATCAATTGCTGTTCTATCCTCTCTAATACCACCCAGAAGTGGTTCTACTCTGGTTCTACCTACTTTGCTCTAGGAGATGACGGCCTGTACAAGACACTCGCAGCTTATGTGACGAGATAGCCACAGCTGTATACACATTCGTCTTCCCTGCTGGCTCAGGATCTCAGCTATACATTAAAGCAATATCGTTCACTAGCTGGCATGGCAGAGTAGGGAAAGCGGTATGTACAACGTTGTGGAACTAGACCGAGGACGGTAGGAGAAACAAGCCAATCAGAGAACTAGAAGTTGATAATGCCGGCATAACCAAGCGCCAACCACCGCCCATCAGCGTGCATCAACCTTCGCCAATCACCGTGGAGCTGACAGCTTACCGCCTCCTTTATTGTAGTTTTTTTTTCCATCTCTTTTTTTGGTTCCTGGCAGATTATTTCTAAATAGTCTCTCCTTGCCCCGGGTTCTCATATTTTCGTTGTCGTCGAAACAAATTGTTCCACCATGGCCAAAGTTTCCAGCAAGAAGACCTCGGTCAAGAAGGTATGCTTCATTACCTTCGAATTTGAAATGCCCATTGGCATGATCTACAAACAAACCAGAATGGTTGGACTGACAACGCTTTAATGTTAGACCGAGTCTCCCAAGACCACCAAGTCAATCCCTCCTCAGCTGATCGCCTCAGTCGCGGCTTTCTTGTCGGACAATTTCCCTGAGACCAGCACCGCATTCACCAAGGAAGCGACAAAGTCGCTCAAGAAGAGCGATGCGAAAAACGTGCCCTCTCTCTTGGAACTCTTCCAGGCCTCCGAGCAGGGTTCTGGCGTGAAGAAGTCCGCTAGCCCCAGCTCTTCTTCCAGCTCAAGCAGTAGCTCTGATAGTGACTCGGATGTTGAGATGGGCGAGGCCACTCGTTCATCCTCTCCGTCTTCTTCGTCTTCCTCCTCCTCCTCCTCCTCTTCCTCTAGCTCTGACAGCGATGCGGATGATGAGGATGATGATGAGTCTCCTGCTGCCCCCGCCCCGGTTCAGAAGTCTGCCGGCGTGAAACGCAAGGCCGAGTCTAGCAGTGAGTCTAGCAGCTCTTCTGACTCGTCCTCTTCGTCCGAAGATGACAGCCCTAAGGCCAAGAAGGCCAAGACCGCTGCCACCCCCAAGGAGGCTTCCTCCTCTTCGTCCTCGTCTTCGGATTCTTCCAGCTCTGACTCCGATTCCTCGTCGAGCTCTTCTTCATCCGATTCGTCCTCTGATTCCTCGTCTGACTCTTCTTCCGACTCCTCTTCCGACTCATCTTCTGACTCCTCCTCTTCCGACTCCTCCTCCGACTCTTCCTCCGACTCTTCTTCCGAGTCCGAGTCCGAGAAGGAATCCAAGAAGACTCTGAAGAAGGCAACGAAGACTCCCCTCCCCGAGTCTGACTCTTCTGACTCGGAACCTTCATCCTCATCCGACAGCAACACCCTCGCCGCTTCTCCAGAGACCGAGACCAAGCCAACCAAGAACCCCGTGGAGGCCGTGCAGACCACTTCCTCGAGCGCCAGCCCCGCTCCTGGCAAGGGACCCGCCAAGAAGAAGCACACCGGAGCTCGCCCCACCCCTCTGGCCCTCCTGAGCGAGTTGCCCCATGACCACCCGTCGAACGACTACATGTCTTATGCCTACGCAGAGCGCGCCTGGAAGGACCTGTCCGTGACCCGTGGCAAGGGATTCACTAAGGAGAAGAACAAGAAGAAGCGTGGCTCCTACCGTGGCGGTCCCATCGATATCGGCCCCGCAACCACTTCGTTCAAGTTCGAGGACTAAATGACGACTCTTTGCTTTTGCGACACGAACGTACTTGTTAGTCTATAATATCAGGCTATCGTCAGCATCTAATCAGGAATTTTGCCACCAAACCCATAAAGCACCCCCGAGACTGGGCTTTTGTCTTGGATGTCGCTTTGCCGGAGGGATAATCGCTATCTTTTTGTCGCTGCAATCTTTGCAGTACAACTTAGGTTCGCTGCCATGGATGAATATGGGGATAGCGGCTATAATATCCCGCATCATACTTTACCAATTTCACTCAGCACGGCGCACACGGGGCTATGGACAAGGTCTTTGGACCCAACATTTGCCATAGGATTTTTTTTTGCTCATTAGCTTATATCAATCAAAAGTTTGGAATCCGTTCTCAAATGGGGGTTCGAAGTATTCTCAATCACTCCTAGTGAAAAAAAAAGTGTAATCTACGTACAAATCAAGAAAAATCGATATCTCACCTATCCTGTCTCCTCCAAGACCCAGGCTCCTCCAAACTCTCCCACCTGCAATCCCAACCCTGCGTCTCACTAGCCATATCATCATGCTCAAGGTCTCCAAAGGCGCGCTGGTTCCTCAGCTTAGAAATAGTAGCGGTGTCGTTTTCGTCTGGACGCTCATATCCAGCCAAATTGAACGCCTCGGAGTTCCAGCGCTGTACAACCTCCTGACCACGTGGTGAAACCTCATGACTCGTATTCACACCCAGGTCCAGGTTAGATGCATACCACTCTTTCTGCGGACCGGTTAGGTCATCCGTGGACGCAAAGTCGAGCTGGACGACCCCATCCACGAGGCCTGTGTAGACAGTTGGCGAGGAGGGCGAGGGAGAGGACATCGTGTAAACGGGGCCGCGGTAGGGACCTCTTTGGCGGTTCCGGCGCATAGCTGGAGCTCGTTGGGGGAATGTGAGGGGTGGGTGATGGGAGAGATAAACGGAGAAGCCCTTTTTAGCGTGTGATTTTGCTTTCATTCTGGGTGTGCTAACATTGGTATTTGTTGTCTGTGTGCTCTGCGATTGCGAGGCGGGTACTTGTGCATCCAAGTAACTGTATGTGTCGTCCATGCGTAGGTCAAAGATCTTGACTAAGCCTTCAGCGCCGGCTCCGGCTAGGAAGCGCTCACGGCCGAAGGCGTGGAGGCTGTAGATGGGGCTGAGATCCGTCATGTCTTTGTAGGAGACCTCGTAGGTGCTTGGGGAGCGCAGGTCGTGGAGTCGCACGGTGTGGTCGTCCCAGGCGGCTAGGAAGACTTCGCCTGGGGAGGCTGTGAAGTTGTAGGTACTGAGAGGTTCAATGACGCTGATGTTGGGCCTTGATCTGAGGCTTGCAGACTCGGTGTCTAAGGTGCCGATTTCGATGTCACGATATGCGAAGACGCCGTCTGGTGTGATTTTCGAGATAGACAAGGTGTTTGCTACATTTCCAGTTCCCACCGCCACTAGTGATGAGGATAGGAATTTGGAGTAGTTGGTTCGTGGGGAGTATTCTCGGTGAAGCCATGTGAATGGCTCGATTTCTTCGTTCTCGGTCTTGGTATTGTAGAAAGCGATGGATCCATTTTCGAAATGCGCAGCCAAAACAGAGTCTGCGTCACTGCTCAAATCTGATTTATTGAGTCTGAATCCATGGACCTTAAATATCTGCTTGTATTCGAATGTCTCTTCATTGGGAGATATGGCAAGGTGAGCGATATCACCTCGAACCCGACCAAAGATCAGATGCTCCACGTTGGTATTGTTACTGTAGTGATTCCCCGAGGGCAAAAGGTGCAGAGAACAAATGTCATCATGGCTGTTGACCCATTCGTTAGCATCATTGAACACAAACCAGTCTTCTTGCGAGTGAGCGCCGGTTTGCTTGATCCTCATCACAAGCTGGTGTGCAGCACCCCAGGCAAGAACCTCCTTCCGATCAGCCCAACGTTGGCCATTCCATACCTCGTAAGAATCGATTGGAGGCCTGTACCCAAGAGTCGGGTTGTCTTGGCGAGTCACAAGAGGACCGATCTTAGTCGCACTTTCAGGTGGCACAACAAATCGGCCGATAATGGCGTTTCTGTCGAAGGCCCGGGACCTAGAGGTCAAAGCTTGTGCTGCATCTTCCCAGTATGGTGGTGTCTCGATAGATGGAAATCTGCTTCGCACAAACGCTCGAAAGATTCGAGAATTTTCAGCTGTGATAATGGTGTGTAGACGATAGCATGTCTGAGACAAATGTGCTAATGCATTGGCAGTTGGAAGATATGTTGCAATTTCATAGATGATCTCCGAGGGGAGCTCAGATAGCATGTTGAAAGTGAAAGGCGGTGATGTGAAAAGAACAAATTGTGTTGGGGCTTTCAAACAATTGCCATCGTTGATTTTAGGCCGCCACTTTCATGTGTTTGGGTGTTCAATGAGGCTGAAAAGGGAAATGTGGAAACAAAAACGTATTTTGACACTAGACCGTTCTTATTTAGGGCTTAGCAGGGCTATATCTGTTTGTCAGGGATTTCTCCAGAAAGAACCTCATTGGTTTAACAAACATATATTAAAGATTTGATCTCTTCTTCACCCCACAATTGTCGATTGTGTGAAATCCATCCAATATGTAGCAATTTCATATATTGCCCCCAAGTGGGCACTCACCAGTTGCCTTATGACGTAAGCACATTAGCTCGCTGCTCCCTTGGGTATGTAGCTCTGACGCGCTGTCCTTTTTTGGCGTCAAAAATCAATTTAGCAGACCCTCAAGCTTTGAACTTGAACAACAAGACTTCAGCGTAAATAATTTGCAATCCCCAGAACAAGGGATCTGGAGGGGCAGTCCTGGCGTACAGCCCATTATCAAGTATGGTTATCGCCCCATCACCTTATCATCTTATCGCTTTATCACCTTATCGCTTTCGCGGGGAAAGCGGTAATGCCGTCGTAGGTTCTCAGAGGTTGGACAAGATAGTTTCCCTATCAAATCTACCTAGCGCATGTATTGAGACCCGCTCGCATTGATCATTTGGGAAAAGCCTTCGGAACTCTATTACATAACTGTTCACCGTCGGCAAACGCGAAACGAATCAGAGTGAGTGGAATTCGAAGGGTATGGGGCCTATAGGTTAATCTTGCAATTAGGGAACACATTCGGCACCACCTGTAATACACGGATGGGTGTTACCTGGACTAACAATTAGTGGCATAGCGGCGTCGGCAAACTTCATTGTATACGGCCCTGAGATCCGGATGAGTTCTTAAGGCACTTTTCTTATACCTGCTTTTGGGGAATAGATTCCCTCTCGATTCAATATTCACAATGACATATTCGATCACTACCCTGGCGGCAGCATTTGTCGCTGGTCTCATCTTCTACAGAGTGTTAATTTACCCTGCGTTTCTCTCCCCGCTGTCGAAGATCCCCAATGTGCACTGGAGTGCTTCCATCTCGCCCGTATGGATGCTATGGAGGCGCTTCACAAGCCGGAACAATCGGACCATTCAGGCTGCCCACGAGAAACTCGGCCCTGTCGTAAGATTAGGACCGTCAGAGATCTCGATCAACTGCGTTGATGGAGGAATTAAGTCAGTTTATGCTGGCGGATTTGAGAAGCATGACTGGTATCCACGAGTCTTCGCGTCATTTGGGTTAGTATGGATAATGATCCATAGTAAGCAAAACAGCTCACCATGAGAAACAGGACAGTGAGCATGTTCACCATGACCGGAAGCAAGGCACATTCAACCCGAAAAAGGATGTTGTCCAACATCTACTCCAAATCTACTCTGCAAGCATCCCCTCATATGCGGATAGTTTCAAATACAGTCATTTTCGAACGGCTGCTGCCGATTCTTCAAAAAGCGGCAGTGTCTGAAAAACCCGTCGATGTGCATGATCTAAACCAGGGACTGACAATGGACTTCGTCTCTTCATATCTATTTGGTTTGAAAAATGGCACTAACTACCTACAAGACGACTCAGTGCGTAAGCACTGGCTTCATCTTTACATGTGTCGAAAGCCATTCGAGTTTTATGCTCAGGAGGTTCCATATTTGGATGGATGGTTGAGACGGATTGGTCTTCGCGTGATACCGAAGTATTGCGACGAAGCCAATGCAATGCTTGATTCCTGGGCTCTGGATCTATGCGATAGGGCCGAGGAAATAGTTTCAGCAACCGAGCCAGGCATCGAGCCAGTTGTCTACAAGCAGTTGAAACAATCCCTAGACAAGCATTCCGCAAAGAATGGAGAAACAGCGCCAGACAAGGCCCAACAGAGACTCGATATAGCTTGCGAATTGTATGATCAGCTGACTGCTGGCTTTGAAACCAGTGCCGTTGGCCTCACATATCTATTCTGGCAACTCTCCCGACACCCAGAAGTGCAGAACAAGCTCCGAGAGGAACTCCTCACTCTGAGCCCTCCTGTTTCGTACCCAAAGACAGCCGATCTACCACTAGCCAAGTCAATCGATAACTTGCCCCTATTGGAAGCGATCGTGACAGAGACCTTGAGACTTCATGCTCCGATCCCTGGCATCCAGCCTCGGGTAACGCCATCTCCGTCGTGCACTCTAGCCGGGTATGCAGATATTCCACCTAACACCAGGGTGAATGCGCAAGCATATTCACTGCACCGCAACCCGGAGGTATTCCCAGATCCGGAAACCTGGCAGCCGAAGCGTTGGCTGGAAACTGAGAACTCGCCGGCTGACCTGGAAGAGAAACGGCGGTGGTTCTGGGCGTTTGGGAGTGGAGGACGTATGTGTGTAGGAAGCAATCTTGCACTACAAGGTACATATAGATTGATGACGCCCATCCATTGAATTATGCTGATTACTGCTTGTCAGAAATGAAACTGGCCGTGGCTGCGATCTACACCAACTTCCGCACCACCATTGTCGATGATGACAATATCGAAGCCATCGATGCTTATACTGTGAAACCAACAGGCGATAAACTGATCCTCAAGTTTGAGTCTGCACAAGATATTTGAGAGGAGATAAATGAATACTAGCCTTGAGTTTGAGTTTACTTCCCATCTACTTAGACTCTAGATTATAATACTTGCTGCTGTGACCTTCTGCTATTTGTTGTGGGAGATGGAAAAAGAATGATATTTCTATGGAGCTAGCTAGTGGCCGATGTGTGAGGTATTCACCTGCTCCATCCTCGAGTTTCGAATCCTCATTGTACTCGATACGCCGCTTTCGCTACCACCGTCTTTCGTCTCGATTGTTTGTGGGTTCGGTGCTATGTAGTAAATAATGGACAACTTGGTAGTCTCCTTATCATCCCACTTCCCCTCTTCCTGGATACGAACGGCCTGAGTCTGGCGGAGGCGGCTACTCATTATCCTGAGCGCTTTGGGCGATGAGTTCTTGAAGCGTGGTATCGCCAAACTCCGAAAAGAGGTGCGGAGAACCTGTCGACCCTTTTTATGGCATTGCACCATGATGAAAAAGAGATATTTATCGGGACGTCAGGTGAAAAGTGATAGTGAGGGGAAAGTAGAAACCCTCGAATCTCAATCACACCGATTGTCTCAGGAACTTATTGAGAACTCCTTTCATGAAATCGAGGATCCACCTTCACAGCTCATTTTCTTGTATCGTAAATAGACGAAGAGATAGACGTAGGGGGGAGGAATTCGCGAGTATCGCAAACAGTATAATATCGATGGCGCACCATGGAGCTGCTTCATTCTCCACAGAATGCTGTGTAAACTTGTTGTCAAATGCCAACATTCCCTATAAACTGTTAGTTCAAGCCATAAGAAAACAGGGAATAGCCTGAAGTAATCGCTGGGAGGCATACCTAGAAGTGGTACGTGGGATCTTGAGCTCTGGAATTGAGAGAAATGGCCAACGGTTTTCTTTCAGTCATGGTTGAACAACTTGAATCTTGGGCTTGGACCCATCGGAAATGTGATCTCTGGTCACATCCTGATTTTTGCGAGGGTTCCCGGGATTAGGACCTTTGTCCGATGTGTATAGCCCACAATTGATTTCTTGTTCTCGCCGCGGACAATGTCCCAAAGCTGAGTCCGCACTTCGGCGTGGGCTGACATATGCTGCATATGCTATAGGTCAGAGAAAGTATGCTAGGTGGATTGAACCCGGGGCAACAAACAATGGCAAAGGGGTCAGAAGGGAGACGGGCAAATTCGGCTTCTTTGACGAGAGTCACAGACATGACTCGAGATTCAGAGTATAGATGGAGTTATACTAGCAGGTATGTAAGAGGATGGTAAGGAATAGAGTCGAACGCTGTGAGTGGGGGATTTGATTGGGTGAAGTTCGCTGCTCTTCATTAATCTTTCAAAGGACCTTCCAAAATACGTCTCGAAATGAATCAATCCAGAGCATATGCTAATCAAAGCATAAATTGTACATACCCATAACTACTAGAAGCAGTATGAAATAAGTGTATAATCAATTGTTGTGACAGGTGATTCCATCCCACATAGTTGTATATTGTACATATGAGTAAAAGCCAACTCCCATAGCCTCTGATGCAAAATAAGCGGACCAAATCAGCAAGTCCTGATAAAGGCCAGAGTATTCGCGTAATAATGTATCGAAAAGAAACCCAAAACTCCAAGGGGACAACTCGCTTCTGCTACCAAGTCCGGATAGACAATCGCGAACAATCCAGTCGTGCAAAGTACATTTTAACCGAGAACACCATCCTTCTTCCGGGGGCCAACAACCTTGGGGTACATTCTCATGAGGTGGTAGTTGACAGTGTTCTTCTTCTGCTCCCGGGATTTCTGTATGCGGGGGTGACTCGTTAGAAGGATGTTGACAATCAATGAAAAGAACGATGGTGGGTTATAACGTACCGGTGCGTCCATGCACTTGCGCAATTGAGCCTCGAGGGCAGCGCAGCCCTCTGCGCCGTATCCAGCGGAAGCCCAGCAGTCTGTTTGCAACGCAATATTGTCAGTAAACCACTCACAATTTCGAGATTCAAGGTATTCGACATCTGGAATGCAAAGCCAAAGCGACGAGAGAGGAAAAGAACATACTAAGCATAGACGACATCACTACCACGCAGGGGTTCTGCTCATTTTGATTCGGCCGGCGAACACGGAGGTGGTTGATGGTGTTGAGACGCATCGGGTTCAGCCGGGTAGAGAGGGAGCCCTTGGGTGCCATGGTGGGCAATTATTAGGTCCGTAAAACTGGCAACAGATTGGAGCGAGAAGAGGCGAAATGCCTTGAAGCGACCGTGTGCGGGATTAACGATGGGAGATTGACGCCGGCGACGGATCTTCGACAAACAAAATCCGAAGTTTCGGCCACTCCGCGGAGGTGGATGACTAATTTTGATCGTTCCCCGAGCTCTTTGTCTACCTCAAGAGCTTGCCACCCTATTGACAACTCCTGTACACTATTTTTGATACCGCAGGTTTGTTACATCTAACAAAAATTTACTCGGTATGCCTGGGAGATACGGTTTGTCAACACAACTCCGTGGTGTATCTTTAGCATGCAAGTCGAGAGCTCCAATAGCTCTTAGGTCTAGGCAGTTCTCCGCATCATGCCACCTGAATCAAATATCGCCCTCATCTACAGTGAAGGCAGAGAATAAAGATGGCAAAGACGGCAAAGACGGCCTAAAAGAGGAAAAACATGAAGAAAAAAAAGATAGTCCGATGGGACGGCGTCTAGCTCAGCTGACTGAAGATGCGCTCCTAGAAGGTGGACGATCTGCACATCGCAACTTTGAGCAGGCAGGTTTCTCGGAAGAACTGAAAAATGAGCTCGCAGAGCGTATTGCTGCTTCATCATTCAGGAGTCAGTATGCTGCTGCTCATTCTATAGTCGAAATGCCCGTATGTGATCCTTATCATGTCCTTTTCGTCCAACAACCACTGACCCACATTCCTTTATCGTAGGCTGGCGCAGGACAAGGCACACGAGAGCAAGCCGCCGCTCCAGCATGGACAGGAGTAGAGCGCGTCGAGGACACGACTCTGCGCATGCTAGATGACGCGAGCAAACCAATCCGAATGCCCTACAAAATCCCCGATCCTGTGAACCTCAAACCCGCCCCGAAGCCCAAAAAGTCTCGTGGAGATCGACTTGCTGAGGCTAAAGACCGTACTTCTACCTACAAATTGAGTCAGGCCCCTGGGTTCTCTGAAGAAGAGCGCGAGGATATGCGCCGTCAGATGAGAGAAAACTTGATGCCCGGGGCTCATTCTATGCCAATCTCGGTTACGGGTCTTTCGTCGCTGGCAGATGAGCGAATCGCAGATGCCATTGCGCGTGGACAATTTAAGAAGATCCCTCGTGGGAAAGGCGTAAATACAACTCCAGATCACAATGCCAGCAGCGCATTCATCGATACAACCGAATATTTTATGAATAAGATCATCCAACAGCAGGAAATTGTGCCGCCATGGATCGAGAAGCAACAGCAGCTCGGTTTGGAGCTTAATCGATTCCGCGGACGTCTTCGAGCAGACTGGCGGAGACATGCTGCGATGTTAATTGCGAGTAAGGGTGGTTCCTTGGACGTACAAATGAAGCGGGCAAAAGCCTATGCTGCAGCTGAGGCTCGGTTGGCAGACAAAGAAAAGTTGGAGGCTTCTCTTGGACAAGAAGATACATCCGTCTCTGAGATCAACACTGATGGTCGGATAGTCTCCAAGTCGGAGACTTCCCAATCACCTGCGATCAAGAATGACAGCGATGAAACTTCGGAAGATCTAGCACATCTCCCACCATTGCGAGACCCCGGCTACCTCGCAATCGAGCGTTCATATCACGAACTCGCGGTGAAACAAATCAACTCTCTCGCACGCACATACAACCTCCAAGCTCCAGCCTCCGCCCACAAACCATATATCAATCTTGAGCGAGAGCTCAAGGCATGTTATGCCGCGGTAGCACCTGAGCTAGCAGACGAAATTAAGCGTCGAGCGACAGAGCGTGCGCGTCCATCATCAGTCGTTCCGCCGGTTCCTTCCAACAAGTTTGGGCCACTAGGCATGGCGCAGACTGTACAGGTTCATGAAGAAGATCAGGCAAAGGGATACGGCATGAAAGAGCTGTGGCGCGATTTATTCACTAAATCCTGAGGACAGCAAACGACAGAACAGAGAACTCCCCCGCTTTTCTTTCGTTCATCTTGTATAGGTAATAATACACCAATAATGTGACATAAACATGACGAGCAGGATCACTCGAAATAAAACAGTCAAGGTTGATCTTTTCAACACCACCTCCTGGCCATTCAGCTCCCCACAACGCTGGAAATTGCCCTCACGAAATTGAATGGGAATCCTCGGCTCTATCAGAAAGAGCTAGTCTTCACAGAACGTGGCTTTCTCGTCGACCACAGCATGAATAAAGGGATCCCAACAAGGCCGGCAAATACAAGAGCAATACCACCCCCAAGCCCATTCAAAAAAGTCAATGTGGGAGCATCCATTCCCCTCGTGCTAGCAGCGAGAGCAGGCACGCCTAACACGTAACAGGTGATAGAGAGAGCAAACACCATGAATGATTCACCGAGGCCAATCCAAAGGTGATTCTTTGCCATACGCCTGATTGCGGCTGGATCCGGGTAGAGATGTGAATCCTCCCGTAGCCATTGCCAGTTGGAGAAAGCTCTAATGACGGAGGTCGTGAAATAGAGGTACATGCCGAGAGCAAGGAAAAGGAGCAAAGCCCCGAACAAACACGCGGCACCTTCGGAGATGCTCGAGTACATGCCCAAGTACCCATGCTTTGGTAGCCAGTCCGGACAACATCCACGACAAATATCATTCTTGGAGAGTTCGGCAGTCATGTTGCTCACTTCGTTTCGTTTGTGCATGGGGATGATGAAATGATGCCACGGGATCTTTGGGAAGTCTCCCGGGGGCCAGCCGGCTTGCTCGAGGTCGGAATCACCGAAGGGTAGACGGGAGATGATTTCAACGTCTCCTACCCAGATCTCGTTGACGGCGTTTCCTTGGTCGTAGAAATGATCTGATTTGACGCCGTTCACTGCGGAGACCTTGTTTCCCATTAGGGGTTGAACAAATTGTGGGATGTAGATATAATATAACAATTGGTGAATGCTGTCGTTAAAACAATGCTGTGGTATACAACATATATTTGAAGTTGATGGATGGTGAATTCACTGCGCAGGTGGGCATCTTGCCCAGTTGACTTGGGCAGGTGATCTTGGAGTCAAATCATTTGGAAGGAGCACCTGGGCAACAGAGGGAAGGTGTTTTGTTCCTTTTGCGATAAAGATCATCTCTGTAATTCTAAGATTCGAACCTATCCTCTATAGCTTCAAGGAGAATGTTTGTTCCACCGGCCTTGAAAGTGTTGGGATGAAGAGGACGAGATATCCTATTTCGATCAAATGCTCGACAAATTGTATTATAACATAATTGTAAACTGTAATAGAGCAATATAGCTCGTATTTAACATTCTCTAAAGCTTTCCTTCGGCGATCCTCGTTATCATAAGTGATACGAATTGATTTTCAGTATGGCGGCACTGGCATATACTATGCCTCGAGGAGAATACCCTAACTAACTGTCCTATATAGTAAATCCAAATGATAATGTGCTTTATTTTAGGTCTTTAAGTGTACTTGAGAATATTCCAACTCCCTCAATCATATGATAATCCCTAAAATAAATCAAAAGGACTTTTGGCGGGGGAGTTAGGGTTCTTCCCTGTGAGTGGTCGCCGCCAAGTGACGATCGTGCATGAAGGCGCGTATTTGTGACCAACGACAGGCTGAGACTTGACCTGCACTGACTTCTCTTCACTTCATCACACCCTATGGGCTGCTTCTTATACCCCCTCCCCTGCCGCCTCATCACCTTTGGAACATGTATCACCCCAAATCCTGTGGTTTCGAAATGTCGATCAGTGACTACACCTACTTTTAAAATCCTTTCCTCTCCCTTTACTTTTTATCATGGCACCGGAAATGACTACACCGGTTGTCTTCTTTTTGCCTGTCCTTTTTACTATCTTAATTGTACATAGTGACTCGGCTCAGGCTCAGAACATCCGTGAATCCAAATCGGCTGCGCCCCCAACAGTGGATAAACCCTTGCTAGCAATTCAAATTGGAAGCATTGTGGGCGCCTATGTGATCTTCGTCGCTATACTTCTAGCCCTACTTATATTCGTCGGACGTCGCCTGCGTCGGACAGTTCAGTCATCCAACTATACACTGCATATGGAAATTCTGAAGCCTGCTAGACCTCCCGTTAGCATGGATCCCAGCCCAATTTCACCAATGTCGCACAACCTCCCCAGTCCCAAGTCAAGTGGGTTCAAGTCCTGGGGATCATTGCACAGAAGTGCCAGGCCCTCCCAACCATCCATGAACGGCAGCATGGTGACCATCGATGAGTCCATTGTCGCTAACGACCGACAACGAGCCCAAAACGATATGGAAATGCTGTATGCGGCAGTCATGGAACATGATGCCCAGAAAGCTTCCGGAGTTGATCTGTCCGTCCGCGAACATGATTTCCAAGCGCAATCACCAGATAGCCAACTCACAAACCCATTCACCGACCGTGGCTCTCACGTATCGGATAATTCATCGGCGCCATTAGCTCCATTGAAGTCCCCAACAAAGGGCTTCAACAGCTCCCGCCTATCCAAGCTCTTCAACTCCGGCTCGCGCGCCAATCCAGAGCCGAGCAAAGTGCGCTCACCACGTCTGGATATTCGCAAAATGCCCATCTCCTCTCCATTAGCCTCACCAGCTGTCGTCACGCCTCGAGTCTATGTCCCCGAAGACCCGCCTCTTTCCCCGCGTATCTATAACCCGGGTCCTCCGCCAGTCGTACCGCAGCAGACGAGCAAGACACTCATGCCCCCTCCTGGGCGTGCCCGTCCCCCGGCGCCTCTAGCCCTGTCTACTCCCTCGCCTGCTTCATCCGTCCCGTCCAACCTACCTTTCCGTGAGGCGTACCCGGGGCAAAGTGTCCCGGCAACCAAGACCACTATCTTGGAACGGCCGGTGAAGAACCGGATGGGTCCTGTCACGGGTATGGCTACACCGTATAGTCCATATATGCCGTTTACTCCTGTGACGCCCTTTACCCCCGGGCGCACGGTGACAAAGCGGCAACGGAAGCGGGAGGAGCGCGGGAATGGGCTGCAAGTATTGAACGAAGATGATTTGGTCAAGGATGATGATGATATCTGGGGATAATCCGGGGAAGCGGAGTTCAATTGAGGAAATTAGGCGTTCAAGTGCAAAGGGGTTCTATCCATATATCTACAAGGAGATGTTCACACATAAATATATGATTGATGCGTTAAATGAGTGTATAAGCGGTCTTCGTTCCCTTCTAGATTTAACTATATGCCAAATTTTCTTGGTAACAGAGTGACTGCGATTACTTTCGCTGCTCATCCTGGCTAACCTTTTGAACAATTCATTCAAAAACAAATTTCTCATCCGTCGAACCAGTCAACCAAATTTGTAGATCTCTGAAAGCATCAAGGTCGTTCTTCTCAAGCGAAATATCAACAGTAGGATCATGCCAGTGGTGGGTTCTTTTTGTTTCGGTGTTACGCAACGACTCCCCAATAGATCGACAGCTATCGAAATCGATGAGAATAAACGTACCATCATCATCGAGCATGATATTTGCAGGGTTGATATCATTATGAACAAGTCCGAGAGAATGAAGATGTTTGATAGCGGCCAAAATTCCTTCTAGGCCACTTTCTATATCTGCTTTCACTTTCACTAGTTCGCGCGCACTTGAAAGGAAAGCAACCTTGCCTAGGCGCTGAGGATTGACTACTTCAAGTAGTGTCGAGTTATATCGTTTGAAACATAACCCAGAGACTCGACCGTGAGTATCATGATAGCCATAGTAGGTCGCGATATTGGGATGAGGGTTCTTGCGAAGAATTTCGCATGTTTCGATTTCGCGAGTGATTCGCTTTTCAAGATTTCTTTCGATATATGCAAGGAGACTTGGTGTTTTTATATAAATCGCTGACCAAGCGGCTTTCACTTTTGGGCCTCTATCCTCGGTTGGTATTTTCTTGAGATCTTGGAGATCGTCTAGCGTCTTTGGTGAATCGAATCGATTCGTCCATTTTCCGGAATATAATATGCCATCTTGTCGGACAAAAACCTGGACGTAGGAAAATTGCATTTTGCCATCAGTCCTTTTGAATGCCTCGTTCTTTTGGATGACTTCCATATGAGAATATCAGTTCTGTAAAGCTGTGCTGGCAAAAGAAGTGTTGAGTTGGCGGAAGAGAAAGGTGGTGGGCCAGGAATATGTGAGACTTGTAATTATCTGAGAGATTTCACTCCGTCACAGGAAATGACATATGGTCAGAGGAGCCAATAATCGGTGCGGCTGCGTAGCCCAGTTTGATGAAATGTATTCTCAAGTTGTTTGACAAAGAGAGGCATAGGTACCTAACTTCGGGCAGTATCAGGCCTTGATAATCACATTGCCCCTGTAGAACGATGACACCGGATTATAGGTCAATATGGCTTTCCATTTCTACTTCACTGCTCACTCTAAGCAACACTGAGCACCCGGAACATTATGACTACATGAAGGGAAATTTTGACACCCCCTTCTCACTGTAACTATTTTTCATTATTCTCTTCACCTTTTGTGCATTTACTACTTTCGCTCCTAAGTTTGATATCCTATGTTATGATAATGAGCCAAACATTCTTAAGCTCATGACCCGCAACTGCATGAGACCATCTTTGCGAAGAAAAAGCTCCGCGATGGCCTTGATAAACTAAATATGAAATGTGTAGTCTATTTGGCAAAGGATTCCAACACCCACAGTCGGGCTGTTTTATCATCTGATCCTGACACCAACGTCTTGCCATCCGGTGAGAAGGTGATAGAATTGATACCTTTCTTATGGCCCTCGAGTATTTGTAGAAAGTAGCCTGTCTTGGGATCCCAGAGCCGGACACTTCCATCAATTGATCCTGACGCTACCACCTTGCTATTCGGTGAGAAGGCAATGGTAGTGATAGAAGCAGGGTGACCCTTGATTGTGCATAGAGAATCGCCTGTCTCTGGATTCCAGATTATGACTGTACAATCGTCTGATGCTGAAGCTAGCAACTTGCTATCTGGTGAGAAGGCAATAGTGGTGACTTTATCCTCATGTTCATTAAGTATCCAGACACACGCGCCTGTCTTTGGGTTCCAGAGCCGGACTGTGTGATCGTCTGACCCTGATGCTACCATGTTGCCAGTCGGTGAGAAGGCCACAATATGGATGCGATCAGCGTGGTTCTCGAGAGTATGCAAACAAGTCACTGTCCTTGTATCCCAGAGTTGTAATAATCCCAAACCTTCATGACTTAGTGACGCCAACATGTTGCCATCCCGTGAGAAGGCTAAAGTTTTGATATCATCGGGTGTGACAAATTTCCTTAGAAAAGCGCCTGTCTCTGAATTCCAGAGCTGGACTGTTCTGCTCAATGCGGACGCCAGAATCTTACCATTTGGTGAGAAGGCCACAGTTGTAACATATCTACCTGAGAGATTGTCGCCCTCGAGTTCTTTTGTGAGAGCGCCTGTCTGGGGATCCCAGAGCCGGAGTACGCGATCGTATGATCCTGACACCATCATCTTGCCATCAGGCGAGAAAGCTATAGTCCGGACTGTATTACTCTTGTTTTTGGGGTGCTTGAGTATCCGGATAAAAGCGCCTGTCGCTGGATCCCAGAGCCGGATTGTTCCATCCGCTGATCCGATGCCACCATGTTGCCATCCGGTGAGAAGGCCATGGTGTAGACACATGAACTATGGCCTTTCAGTATCCAGAGACACGCGCCTGTCTTTGGATTCCAGAGCCGGGGTTCGCAATCGCCTGCTGCGGACGTTGCTGACGCTAGTATTTTACCATCCGGCGAAAATGTCAGAATAGTAATACCGTCACCATGGCCCTCGAGCGATTTTAACAAAGCGCCTGTCGCCGGATCCCAAAGCCGGATTGTTTTATCACCTGATCCCGATGCAACCAACTTGCTATCCGGTGAGAAGACAATGACAGCGATATTATTACTATGGCCCTCGAGTGTTTTCAACAAAGCGCCTGTCGCTGGATCCCAGAGTAGGACTGTACGATCAAGTGATCCTGATGCCACCAACTTGCTATTCGGTGAGAAGGCAACGACAAAGACATATCCACTATGGCCCTTGCCTGTCCAGAGACGAGCGCCTGTATGTAGATTCCAGAGCTGGACTGAATTATCACCTAATCCTGACACCAGCGTGTTGCCATCCGGTGACAAAGCCATAGAAAAGATGTTACCATCATGGCCCTTAATGTTCAAGGGCTCAGAATTCATAATTGAAATCGGGGCCGCCATCTTGAAGTCTGATTAAAGGTCACAGAAGTTAATGAAGCGACTATAACGCTTGAGTATCTGTAGACACTTACTTGTAGCTGGATCTTAGACCTGAAATAGCTTGCCACGTAAAAGGCTCCTGAAATCGGAGGCCAGGATGCGTCTGTAAAGACCGACCACGCGATTTGAGGGGGTTTATAAACATTCGACAGTGGGCTTAGTAAGTTAAGCAAGCGACCTTCTTGCCCAGGTGGAAGGGTAGAAATGGTGGCGTTACCATATTGCATGTTGCACTGCCGGGCCAGCTGAAACACATTTGTGTAGCGCATTGAAGATAGGGTGCGAGAAACAATTGATGTGGATTGCTGGTTGATCGCAGTTGAAAACGGTGGACCAACAGGGGACTCACCTAGGCAAGGTTTCAAACCTCCGGTGTGAGCTGGGTGTTAGCTTGGGCTGATATCCGCTGCAGACATATATTTACGTTCCCCTATGGATGGCAATAGACGAGTAATGAATCGGGTGTGCTATTCATCTTCGCAGATCATACAGCCAGCCACATCTCATGCCCCACTATGCGGTGCAGACTTATGACGTTTAATAAAATGGGCTGGAATGGGCCCGTTGAACATATGTCCTCCGTATGTTGTAGAAGAACTCCTATCCCTTTAGTAACAAGCTGTTTATATCAAAGTCCCACACAGCCCTTGGTCATGGAAGAAAGCTGGTTGTGCATAAATTTATCGATATGCCAATGGACCTTCTTTAACGGGAACGAGGAACACCAGATTGATAAATTAGAGCGAACTCAATATAGTGGGCCAGCGTGATATAGAATGATGCTCCTTGGATACCCATGTAGGGAAAAGAGCGGTGGGTAGCTGGAAACAAAGAGTAGCAGCTAAAGTTGCCAGCTCATATGGGCCTGCATTCAAATGAAAGATACAATGTACGGCGTACTAGTCACGACCTGGGGCTGCATGTTAGCATAATCAACACCTGTTTTATTGATTATCTAAAATAACACACTATTGCTTTGATAGAGAATTGTGCACCATGTTGAGACCATTTGCGAAAGACAGGCGCATAAAATGATGCGGAGAGTCAAGTATAAAGAGAAGTGGACAACTCAACTGATCGGCAGCGAGTATAGTTGATGAAAAATGACAAGGAATTTGGTTCGTAGACTACAACCCCAGATTTTAGGCTGCGCGATATGACTTTCCCTTTCCGCTGATGTTCACCCTTGCCGCTTGGGAGCACCTGCAGGGGCCCTGATATCTGACAATTACATAAGCCAGATAAACTTCCAAGGTTCCATGGCCAGGTCTCGGAAAGGTTCCAAGACCGCTATGGATTTAATTTTGACTCACAAAGCATGGTACAAAGTGTGCGGATTGACCAGGCAGATGATTCGCTGCCAACCTTGATGCTTTCTGTGCTACTAGTGAGTGGGCTCTTATTTCGTGAGCCTACTTATTATGCATTGCAATGAAAGCAAGATGTTAGTATGTAGTATTTTATGGGCGGATGTACGCATGTCTATATGTATTGACAGTAAGCTCAGAGTGTACATATTCATGTCTTTTTTTATGAAAAATTTTAAGGCCCCGGGGCATCTGGACACTCGCGTGAATTACTTGCTCAACACAAATGTGATACTCTGGATATGTAGTTTCTATTTCCAACCAATTTCCCTATCATCTATATCTACATCTTCTCCTTCAAATGCGTATTCCCCCTAATAATAGCCTCCGCAAAATCCGATCTCGTCCCCGCCTTCTCAAGACTCAATAGTGTCTGAATAGTACAACCCCTCGGCGAAGAAATACTCTCCCTAACAACCGCCGGATGTTGTCCAGATTCCAGAACAGCAGACAACCCCCGAATCCCCTGTAAAACCAACTCCATCGCATCCCCGCGCTTAAACCCCTCTGCAACACACCCATCCAACAATCCCTCAATGGGAAGCGTCAGCGTAGCCATAGTCGCGCCAACAAGAACAGTTGCCAACCCAATATGCTCAGGACCTAGGTACTTAACCGCACCGACATGCTTGAAAATCCACTCCGTGGCCGCAACCATAGATTGCGGGATCGTCGGCGCGGGAGTCTCGATGATCGTCATCGACTCCCCAAACTGCGCACCCATGTTCGGGATCGCTTTCATGAGATGCGGGGGATCAGCGGCGCTAGGGTCTGGGTTGATGAGGAGGGTTAGGGTTGGACATGTTGGGCCTGCTAGCATGCTAATGACGAGTTTGCCGGCTAGGGCGTCGCGGACGCCTTCTTCGCTTAGAACAGCTTCTGCCATGAATGGCTTGCAGCCGAGAATTATTATGTCGGATTCTTGCATCGTTTGGACATTTTGGTCGGAGACGATTTTGATTAGGTCTTGGTGCTCTGGTGCAATTGAGTTCTGTAGACGGGTGGCCGAGCTGGCGGTTTTTGTGCAAGCGATGAAGCGATTGATTGGCTTTTCTGTGGTTTCGGTGTCTTTGGTTGAGAATGCGCTGTTTAGGAGGCCTTTTAGGACGGCGCCTCCCATGTTACCTTGGGGTTTGTTAGTGATGGTTTTGTAATGGATGGGACATATTTACTTACCGCATCCAATGAATCCGAGGGTTTGTCCTGAGGCCATAATGATTTTCTAGATATTGAGAGGTTTGAAGAGTCGATTGTGTTCTGAATTGAGCCCTGGAGGGGTTATCTCCTTGACTCATATGGATCTCGGGTGAGGCGCCCGACATTGGCATTCGGCAGCTGATGCCGAGATTTATTTTAATTTTATATTAGAATCCGGAGAATGGTGTTTTAAGGATTATCTTTTTTTTAGAGCTGTATTTGAGATGATACTCTAATTGCTCGCTCAATGGTCACCGTGTTAGTAATTTCACCTTCAACCCGTGGACTGCGGATGTCATGTCTTCGCATAGCGACCACAAACTCCAGCGACATGGGAAAAGAGAAGAAATGCAAAAGGCAGTTTTGACCAATGCAGATCTAAGTATATCTCATCTAAGGATCAAGCTTCCAAACGAATACGAACAAGCCTGTGATATCTGATTGTTGCCTCAGGAATCTGGCTGCTAAGTGGCGTATACAAATTTCCGCATTGGGCTTGGCTTCGCATCCTGAATGCAGCTATCTTTGATATTCTATTCCGTACTCTGTACACTTTCTTCTTCAACTAGACCTTCTATCTTTCTATTTCCAATTTCTGATCAGGCCTGTGACTTGAACTGTTGAATTACTGCTGTTTTATATTTGCTGATCCCCCCCGCTCTCCCCCCACCTCAAAGGTCGCAGCTGTCGTCATCCTCGGCGAAGGCGACTTGGCTCTTTCCGACACCGAGTTATTTCGCCCGAGTTCCCCATTTTTTTTTTACTCCATTGGGGCTTGGTAGATAACTTGTGTGTACAATAATAGACTGTGAGCTGTTTCACTTCTCTCTTGGCAGAGGCGTGGTGGACTGTCTTGGCTAACTGGACCTTCTTCGCATATCTTAGACTTTCTGTTCCCTCCCCTTCTCACATTTACACCTCTCTCCCTTTTTTGTTTCCAGTACCGCCTTCATGCCGCTCACCATCATCTCCCGATCCCAGCTCCGTGAGCTACTACATGCGCTCTCTCGCGACGAGATTCAGAATCTCCAGCGCAATCTCGCCGAGGCTCTACGAGAATACTCCAGTGGATCTCAGGAGAAAGGTTGCTCAGCAACTTATCAGCCCCAGCGAACTGCCATTACTCGTAAGAATGGCCGCACCACCCTCTTCATGCCCGCCAGTACGGGCCAGACAATTGGTATCAAGATGATTTCCCTGCAGGACGGGGGCGATGCCGGCTGTGCGATTGAACGGGACAACCTGGACACTCAGGAGAAGGAACAGATTGCCTCGCGTAGGGGAGGCTCTTTCCGGAACTCGGTAGCTTCCTTATCTTCCGAGCTGAGTGATTTGTCCGTGGGATCGGAAGAAGATAAAGAGGACAGTAACTCAATCAGCCCTGTCACCACCGCCAACGAGAGCAGCACAACAGGATCAAGCGTGGAGAGTTCCACGCTCCTCACTGGTTGTGTCAATCAGCAAAATGTTACATCAAATATTTCTAAAACTCTTGGCGCTTGGCCGGGCGCAGGAACTCGTGACACATCGCCCCGCGGCTGTGTGACACTGCTAGATGGTGAAAGTCTGCCATTCGCCTTGATCAATGCCCATGAGCTGACGGCGTTCCGCACGGCCTTGGCTTCACTGATGATGTTCAACAGGCGCAAGAAGGTACGCACTATTCTCGTATTCGGAGCGGGCACACAGGCCTACTGGCACATTCGCTTAGCGTTGGTTCTCCGCGGTGAGGATATCCGCCGGGTAATCATTGTGAACCGTTCTTTCGACCGGGCATCCAAACTTCTGCAGGAAATCTATCAGCCCGAAAATGCCGAATGGCGCGGGGATGTCAAGTTCTCCGCTGTCAGCACCGATTTCGGCGAGTATAGTCGCATTTTGAAAACCCATGTGCGCAAGGCCGACGCGATCTTCTGTTGTACTCCATCCGCGGAGCCGCTTTTCCCTGCGGAATACCTCACCTCCGGCGAAGGTCGCCAAAAAGGGCGGTTGATTTGTGCAATTGGATCATACAAGGCACATATGACCGAGATCCACCCGGATATTCTTCGAGATGAGGTCAATATTCAGCCCGCGCATCGCCACTGGCACAAGCATATCCACCGTAGTGGTGTGATTGTGGTGGATAGTCTAGATGCGGCCATGAAAGAGGCAGGCGAGATTATTCAAGCCGGAATTAAGCCGAAACAGGTTGTCGAGTTGGGTGAGCTACTGATGGTTCGTGATGCCACTCGTGATGCGGCGACTGTGGATGAAGAAAAGAGCCTTCGTGAATGGTCCCAGCGGGGGAATGTCATCTATAAATCAGTCGGACTTGGGTTGATGGATCTCGTGACGGGCGGAGATTTGGTGCGCTTGGCACGAGAGCGGAAGTTGGGGACGACAGTGGAAGATTTTTGAAGCTTTTGAAGCATTTGATTTGATACCTTTTTTTGCTTATTTTACATTGTTTCTTATTGGCTAATCTTTTTTCAACTTCTATCCAAGTTTTTTGGTTGATCAACAGATCTCCCGAGCCATAATATCTTTAAATTAAGGCTTGAACATGGAAATAATATGAAATAATGTAAAATAGCATGAAACAATATAGCCATGGCTGTGATCAGAGTATTAAATAGTATTTTAAAACTAGAAACAAGAAAAAGAATCAAGACTTTTGTATAGATAATATAGCTAAACACAAGTTGAAGCTCATTTCAAGCTCCATAGTGGGCTGATGGTCTGCGTCACCGGTCATGTAACCTCTCGGACAAACTTCCCTTCTCTTTTTTTTCTGTCAATCTCGAGCTTCACATTACCAATCCACTTATTCGTATTGGATATTAAAGCTATTGGATGATTTGTTCACCCCGCGCAGTGAGGGGAAGGGATAAAAAGTCTGCTCTTATATAAGAGGTCGTTGGACTCCTCCCAATACCTCTAAAATATTCTCGCCATGCGAAACACCACCTGCCACTTACCCAATGGCCTCACCTTTGACGTATCACCCGTTTTTGGTGGGGTGACCTTCAAATCCACTGATTTCAACATACATCACAAGTCCACCTTCCCCCCAGGTTGGACAATCATAATCAACACCGAGAAGACTCGGAAGACAGAGCAAGATGATCCAGATTCAGAGAAATCCCGCGACTCTGAGGATAGTTTTGGCCGTTTCACTACCCCCACCTTGACCCGCGACTCTCTCTACATCTCGTATATAGTCAACCCACCAACAAGCGACTTCAAATCCGTGACCTCACCCACACGCCATATCGCCATGATGCTCTGGGCAACTCTATCGTGGTACTTTCACGAGCCAGAACCAGACCTACACGTGGAGACCGCCGCCTCAATCAAGACCCCGCCCGATGGACGACCAAAAGGCGAATGGCGGATCAAGATCAAACGCGAAGGAATCTTCAAAGGCCGAAACCTCCTCCAAAAGCTCGAGCGGATGGGCTTAATCGCGACCGAGGACTCCTCCGTCGGCCTTCAGCCCATTGAAACCCGCGACTCAAGCAGCTGGTCAAGTATGTTTGTAAGCCGACGCAGTTTCTGGCAGCTTGACCCACGTCTATTCCTTTTCACATTGTCGCCAACTGGAGGAGGCACAATAACACCTCCCATCCGGTCGCTTACTGGGTCACCTGCGCCCGACTGCCGAGTCGGCCCACCGCCGGCCACGCTAGCGCCCATGGAGGCAACCTTCCACACGGCGAATATGGGCCAGTTCACCTCGGTAGGACCGTTCACATCGGGCAGCCATCTACCAACATACTACCCACCCCCGCCAATGCAATTCACCTCCACAAACGGCGTGCGACACCCCGTGCGCCCGAAACCCCCACACCAGGGTGAGGTGTTCTACGTGCGCTACATTCCCAGTCTGAAGCAGTACCTTTCGTTCCGGGTCGCGTTTGTACCGATGACGTCACAGAAGCGTGGTGATGATGGTAGACCCGGGACGCCTGTTAGTACGTCTGTGACGAGCGTCGCGCAGCATCTCACTGAAGATATCTCCTCTGATCTCGACACGCTGCATCGGTGGATGAACGTGCCGCGAGTGGAGGCGATGTGGTCTGAAGGAGGACCGAAGTCTGTGCAGGAGAAGTTCCTGCTGGCTAGTCTGACCAGTCGCCACAGTTTCCCTGTTATCGGATGTTGGGACGGGAAGCCATTTGGCTATTTTGAGATCTACTGGGTCAAGGAAGATCCGCTGGGACGACTTGTTGACCACGTGGGTAATTACGATCGGGGTATTCATCTGCTTGTTGGGGAGCAGGAGTTCCGCGGTGCGCATCGGGTTGCGGTCTGGTTAAGTGCGCTGGTGCATCACTGCTTCTTGGCAGATATGCGGACTGAATCTGTGGTGTTGGAGCCGCGGGTTGATAATCTCAAGTGAGTTTTTACCGGTGTTATTCCCAATCAGGAAAGGATGATATGCTAACCTCTCTCAGACTTATTAATTACCTCCAAGAAGCGGGCTTTTATAAAGAAGGTGAAGTCAGCTTCCCGCATAAACACTCTGCTATCATGAGGATCAAGCGCGAGTACTGGGAAAGCCCGGCTTTATAGAGATGTCCGGTGGCGGTTTGCATTGAGATGATCATGAATAACGAAACAGCTAGCATTGCCTGGATTTTACCTTTTCTTATTTCACTTGATTTCAATATTGTCTTGCTCGTTTATCATGGGCGGCTTAGTTCAATAAAATTACCGGTCTGGTTATTACTTATCGAACTGGGTGACATTTGATTTCACCAACCTTCTAGTTTCAACCTAGACTCCTTTCCCGGACTATTTAGACGCCTAGATGTATGTCAGCCCTACCCAAGTAACATCAACAATTGTCCCACAAGAAATCCTCCACTAAAAGCCGACAAGTTTCTCGCATGCACTCATACATCTTCCTCAACCATACAATGTCACTGGTTAAGATACCTTCTTTTCCCTGTAATAGGGTCCTTGAAAAGAGCCTTGTAATAGGGTTTCAGCCCATTTAGAGTTAACCTCACTTCGTGAAGGAGATCAGCTCCAAAACAAGGATATTCTTGAGCCAGCTTAGCAAACTTGTGGTCTTCGATTTGAAGATATGCCCCAACACATGCTTGAGCCAAAAGACGTCGAACTGGATGATCGCGATGTAGGATAATCCCCGAAATAATATCTTCCCGTCCTATCAAAGCCGTATTATTGTCGCATACAATCCTGTCTTCCGTCGAGTCAGGATCCGGATTGGCGATGATGATTCTCTTGATATATTGCGTTATCTGCGCTTCTATACCCGTGATATTGTACATATCCGCAAGCCTTGCAAGTTCAATGGCAGCGGAGATCTGTTCTCCGGGCGAATTATCATCGACATCAAACTTGACGGAACGAAGGTATAGCCATTGGATGAGAGCTTCGAAACTCCGCGGAGAGATGACGTCTTCTATTGCTTCCAGTTTTAGTGTTTGGTCTTGGGCTTCGAGAAAATTGCCTTCGAATATGGCTGTGAAAACTGGTGATTCTGCGCAGAGGAGTCCTTTCGAAATTGTGTATTCGTGGCCGAACGGTTGGATTTGGATTTTAACTAGCGGGCCATGAATTAGTGGAAGTTTGCTAGATGAAGTGTGAAGTGTTAGATGGATTTCACCCTCGGGGGATATCTTACTTACACTGTTGCGAATGATGCAACGCTTTGTCCAGGGGGCTCATTCATTCTGACTTTGATAGGGTGGCTAATTGAAAGGCTGGATGTGGATTTTGAAGGGGAGATTGACGAGTGATGTGGAGATAGCTTTATATGATGGCTTCTAATGGTATTTGTTTGTCTATGCAGTGACTACAAACACCAATACAAACTTCATTCATTAAGTGTAGTTCATTGGAAGGAGATATGGATAACTCCAATGTTGTTGTATGGCCCTCAGAATATAACCAGTGGGGTCCCGAGGAAGCAATGGCGAAAGCCCCTCGAATCATCGCAAATATGAAAAGACACAGAAGAAGTCAAAATGAGTATGTAGTGAAAAGAATACTAAGAGCCACCGGACACCCCCCGAGTCGTGGCCGGAGAACTCATTGGAAAGAATCGAACTGTCACTGCCTCACCATAGGCCAAAAAAGCACAAGGGAAAGCATCTACACTTCCCAAGAGAAAGGAAAGCCTGCCAGGTATGCAGACATGGTGTCATGATCGATGTGGTCAGCAGGCAGATGAGTGTCGACGGCGAGAACGCGCAGGGTGCGGAAGGCCGAAACGGCCGCATGCCTAGCAGCAACCAGCTCCTCATGGTTAATGAGACGGCGCCACTCAGAGGCCTCAATAGCCAACTGGTCCCAAGGCATCTCGATCTTACGGGTGTTCTTAACGATGCGGTTGTTACCCAGCGACCCAGCGACCCAGCTATCATAAGATGTTGCGGATATCCTAGATAGCAAATGCAAGGTTAGCAATCCAGCCGGACACGGGAGGAGCTCGACAGTGACTCACCAGAGTAATTGGTGTAGATAACCGCGGTTCTTAACTAAGCTGTCGAATCTGGCGAGGATGTCGCGAATCCCAACCGCAACCTCCACGACCAAGGTCTCATGAAGATGAAAGGTTACCTACTCCTTGTCGTCATCAATCTGTCCGAAAAAGATGCCAAATCCTCCAATACTGTTATCCAGAACATCATTAAGGCCAGAATGGACAATACGAAAATCTTCAAACGCCATCGCAATGTCCATACTATAAATCTTCTCAGTCCTCGAGAAATCGCCTAGCCTCCATTTCATCCAAACCTTGGGCTCAGATGCAGATCAACCTTAGCCCTGGACTGTTTCCTCTAGTCTAGTCAGTGCTAGTAGGTCTTTTGCCGTTTTGATTGCTGGTTCTCGTTCGAGTCTAACTACAGCGTGGACCCAGACGGCTGTAAAGACTTTATCCCGCCACTCAGTGAAACTTTAGTTCAAGCCTGATGCTTGGTGGCGGATATCCATGCGGGACAGCTCGGTCGCATAGCTGGAAGTTTCAAGGAACGGTGTGGCTCTAGGCCTACCACGTTAAGCGGAACCGCCTTGCCCGTCCCTTTCTCTTCTGTGTCGCTGGATTGAGCCGACTTCTTCCGTTCCAGCAGATATGGGCTACATCAATCAGGTTGGTATCCATATCAGCTCAGCCAGCTTTATGGCAGCTGAGATACTATCTTCCTCACTGTCGGTGTCGGAGTTGGCAATCCGGAGACACAGCGATTGGATAGGTGCGTCCACACCACGTATCGAGATAAGACATTCTTCTTCTTGCGAGGTTACTATCTCCTGGAATTCTCGAAATCCGGGCTCGAACATTGCGGAAAGCACTCATGACTCTGCGCAGAGAAGATCCCTCGAGATGGTGTATTCCTGGCCGCTTGATAGGAGTTGTATCATCATCAGGGACCGTGGATGAGTGGAAGTATACTAGGTAGATAACAAGTGTTAGAACACACCTTCCCAAGAGAAACACGGGTTACTCACGTTGCTATGAAATGACTATCACTTGGCCCGAGTATTTCTTCCGTTTTGCAGGTCTTTCCATGAGGAGGAATATCCTGCCTCAAATGTGAGAGATATTCAGTCTTGAAGGGCAAAAGATAATGAAGAATGACGAGGATGTGACTTATTCCAAGCTGAGGTTTTTCAAAAGGGGCAAAAAGGGCGTCAAGTTCGGAGGTAGGCAACTGGACCTTGTTTGTTATTTGTGCAACCACTTTGTCAAACTTCATAGTCCCTAGGACCAGTGCATCGTCCTCCACTCTTCCGTAAATCATCTCACATTATAGCATCCATCTTGACGTAGGCCTCTCTCTTAGGCAAGCTGTGAGTCTGGCACCTATCTAGAGTCATCAATAACATGTTATTTATGAAAGATATCAGTTCGCACATCACATACCTTTCTGCTGCGTATATTCAGTTATAGAAGGCATATAAAAAGATATTTGAGAGATATCTGAGAGGCATTTGAGAGGTATTTGAGAGGTATTAAAGACCTTTAAGAGGTATTCAAAAGAGATGAATAAATAGAGAGGTCCCGCTGTTTTGACATGGTGGAGAATCTGGCGAGTGTATTCTCTTGGTTATCCGATTCGCGCGTGCTCCCAAGTGTACTTAGTCGTATCCATCCCGTGGAGCGCCTCTGGAGTGGAGATCACTATCGATAAATATAAGGTCCCTGGCATCTTGCCATATCCTTGAGAGTGGAGTCGATCAAGGACAGTTGATATATGGAGAGAGGAAGAAGTCAGGGAGGCCTATGGAGGTTTAAATAGCAAAAGTCCACAAGCAAACAATTGCGCCATTTGGGATGGAAGTTTAGGTTTTGACGAGACTGTAATTCTGTTGGGGAGAACGAGGGTAATGAGGCTGAGGATTAAGGTTATATGTAAGACAAGGACAGTGGGGGGTGGTAGTGATATTCAATATAGACTCCTGTGTACGCAAGGAGTACACTATATTCTTACTTAATACTTACTACTATAGTAACACTTTTACAATACAATATAGATCCAAAAGAGATTTCATTGTCCAAGTAGGAGGTAAGTACATCAAGAGTACAACGTACAGCGCGAGCAAAGAGTCTAAGCGTGGGATCATATAATCCAGAACGAGTGAAAGGTAGACAAGGATAAAGATAGCAGACGACATACAAAGGCCGAATGCGCGAGATGCAGTAGCGAGGGTGAAGAAAAGACGAAAGGAAATTCAGAGAGGGTCACAATTCTCGCGGAATCAAGCTGGACGTATTGGGCGAGTGTGAAGGGGGTATTGGCACATGTGCGTATCAACGGAACAGCTTTTTTCAAAAGCAGGAATATGGAAATGGAAAAAGGAAATAAAAGTCATATGGAGTAGGATGTGTAGGGCATAGATGAGATAGGAAATAGGGATGCGTAACATCAGTGATTAAGTAAAGATCAGCATTGCTAAAAAGAAAAATCGAGAACCGGCTCGATTTAGTGGGATCGACGACCGCCCATGTATGAGCCTGTTGCGGAGGCTAGGAAACGAGCCACGAAACCGCTGCTGTGGGTGTTGCTGGTCTTTAGCTTCTTGGATGGCTGGCGGATAGGCTCGATGGACTTGTCGAGTTCGGCAACGTCCACGTAGCCGTATGTTGGCGAGGCGGATGATGGGCTGCGGGTTGGGTCCGTGAGCATGACGTCGTCGGCGCCATTGGAGGAAACGGTGCTGATGGAAGCTGGTGTGCCTCTTGAGCTTGGGGCGGCACTGGATGAGCGCGAGCAGAGAGAGTTGAAGGTCTCGGCGTGGGAGAGACCTGGCACGTCTCGGACGGATGGTGGGGAGACAGATCGGTTGACTCTGTTAGGAGATGCGCGCTGACGCTGGTAGGGGTTGTAGCGATCATGTTCGGCGGCGTTCTGTGTAGCTGCACGGATGTTGTGCATGGCTGGTAGAGAGACATGACTGGGGAGACGACGGAGAGACTCGTTTGCGCGACGGGTGTCGCTGCGGGTCTCGGGCTTCTGGCGGCGAAGGCGGCTGGATAGTAAATCCGCTGATGCGTGAAGACTGCGCCTGGGGTGGGTTAGTTTTCAGAATAACAGGTGATAGAAAGAGATGCCATACCATTCGCGGTGTTGTTGCTTGTGAAGATTTTCCTCCTCGAGACGTTCTTGCTCTCGGGCAATGAGACGCTGGCGGTGGGGACCCAAGAAGGGCTCGAGATAAGTGAAGAGGTCCTGCTCAGTAATGAGCAGGTCCCAGTCGAGGAGGAAGAGGAGCTGGCGTTCCATGAGGTTGACCTCGGGGAGAGAGAAGCCGAAATCGTCGAATCCCCTCACTGCGGTGTAACGGGCCCAATGTTTGTTTTTGGGGCTGGAGTCATTAAGCTGCTTGGCGGCAAGTATGAGCGAAGCAAGGAAAATGCGGTGGACAGTGCAGCGCATGCCCTTGGCGACTGGAGGCAGACGAGAACGCAAACGACCGAGGTAGACCAGACAGCTCATGAGAGTAGGTACCTGCACCTGCGACCGGGCGACGAGTGAGGCAATGAAGACCTCCATTGATGGCAAGTCAGGCAAGTCTGTGGGTTCCATTGGAGGTGTGGATGGTGGTGTAGGTTGGCCATTCTGGTTGACGGTGTTGGTGACATGAGCTTCACAGCGGATGACCTGGGCTGCCTGTTGGGCCAAGTATGCCACCATTTCTCGAGTCACTCTGGTAGTGACGAACTCATCGAGAGCTGCGCGGTTGAGTGACAATGAATCCATATTTATGATATAGGGATGTGACAGAAGGGATATAGGTAGAAGAGGTAGAAGAGGTCGAGGATGCGAATTAAGTATGTCGACAAACAGGCAGAGATCAAAGAGTTCCAAGGGACAAACGAATTGTCTCGAACAATCTAATCGAATAGACAAAAAGGTACAAAGGTCTTTGTTTTGGGGGTATCAGAGAGTCGACACAAAGTGCAAAGGAAAGATGTCAAAACACAATGTTCAGAGTGAAAAAGTTGAATTCCTGACCAGCAGGATAACTTTCAAATATGAAGTAGTTTCTTCGGAAAAAAGAATGTTGCAAGTAAGGATGGGATAGTTGGGGTTGTCGTGTCAACGCGTATCGATAGCCCTAACTGACGTTTTTTCTGAGACCTGGGGATATTTATTCGAGACACAATCCACAGTATGCAAGTGAAGCAATAGATTGGAAATAATGTTTCTGAGAGGAAATTATTATAGAAAAAGGTCCAAAGAATAGTATTAAAAAGAAAAGATGAGGCGTGTGAATGTCGTGAAGAATCTGGGTGGAATACCTCTCTAGTTATAGTATCTGGTATGCGCCAGAGGGGGAGGGGGCACCACTATGATTCCCCTGCAAGGATGGGGATCCAGTTAGAAGAGAGGATAAACCAACAGGGGGATAATAGAACACCTGCATAGTTGGATCTAAGATATCTATTTTTTTCTTTTTTTTTTTCGCGCGCGAAGGTCTGAGACGAAAGACAGTGAGCTGATTTGTCGAGGAGTTGTGTGATGTACATTTTGATAGACTATTATTGTACCTGTGCGTTATTATCCCTAGATTTATCCAATAGGTTTAGAACAGTTTTGGATCTTTTTAACTAGTTTACTGTTGGTTATTTAGACTTTGACTTAATTGTGATAGTTATTTCTTTATACAGGGATATCCTATAACCTCATTTGACTATGTCCATTCCATTCCTTGAACGCGTCCCAAGTCTCCAAGTCTCTAACAAATATCCAACAATCCATCTAAAATAGTCAGCTGAAAAATAAAATGGTGGCGATTTCAGGTTGGCGCCGTGAACTCATTCGTGCCCAATCAATCGAAACCTGTCAGTTTCCGATTTCCCCTGTTCACCTTTTTTTTCGTTTTATGTCCTTTTTATTCTATTAGATTTCTCATTGGATCCCAAATCCCTGTCACAGGTCTTTAGCGTGTTCGAACTCCTTGTAGGGGAAAAACTATCCAACACATTTTGATCTCCTATCCCACCTCACATAAGGGAGGTCATATTATCACTGAACTCCGTACATTATTTTCCCTCCCTTTCCCCCCCGTGTTCCCGTTAGATCTATCGATTTTCATTCCCAACCTCTTCCTTTTTTATTTTCTCTCCGTAGTAATCGAGGCCGTGGGATGCATGCAATGTTCCGTGCATTAGCACTCTTAGCGTTACCCTAAAAAAAGACCAAACACACTGCATATGCATCTATATAAGCGCCCTCTTCCCTCCCACCTCCCGCCCTCCCGCTCAGCGCTTACAATCCCAACATCATGGAAGCGCTGCGACGTTTCGCGTTTCTAATTTTGTGAGGTTATTCTTAGTTCTCTACGCGCGCTACTCCTGCTTTTGCAATGCTTGGGGATTTTCTGCGGATCGTCACCCGCCCTTCCGCCTGAGAGTCCTATGAAATCATCGTATGGAATGTTGGAACCTGCGCCTCGTGTCACTGAGCGTCTCGCTATTTAGACGCTGTTGGTTCCTAAGCTAGGTTTCCACGTTTCCTTTCAGCTGTGAATCAGGCTGCATTATTGTTGGGTCTATTGGGGGGTCTAAGAGCTATGCGCTTGTGATGGGGGCGGTATCAGGATTCGTAGGGCTTGTTTCAGTGTTGGGTGGGCGGTTAGAGCTGTTGGTGGAGAGGAGTTATATGCGTGGGGGTGAAACACAAAGAATGCGACCGTGAGTACGGAGTACATATCCTGACAACGCAGGTCTATGTCACTATGGCTCTATTATTGGAAACATGGTACGTTATGATTCCGGTGTTTGAGGGGTTTGAATTCTATATTTCATTTCTTAACGAATATACACCATCCCCGCCAAAGTCTCAACATTCTGCTGCTAACTATTTAAACAACGGCAACAGTGTATGATGAAACAGTCAGATCGGCTTTACCAGTGAATGGCTCAGTACCAGCCTGAACATCAATCAAGTACAACCTATCCTTCAGACCCTGGTCCTTCTCGAGGTACTTGAAGAAGTCCATCAGGTCTCCAGAGTAGCTCGTAACCGTAGCCTTGGCGACGAAGCTGTACACGGTCATGGCACCATTAGGACCGACGTACACATCCCACTCCTTACCACTGATGGTGACGGTAGCGATGGGCTTGCCAGTGGATGAGATGGCGCCCGCACCACCCAGAGCAGCAAGCCACACCATGATCTCGTACTCCTCCTTGCCATCGGGAGTAGAGCTGAGGAACATATCGTATGCGACATCAGCAACGATATCGGTGGTAGAGTAACTATTCCATGGTTAGCGTAGCCCTTCATTCGAAAGTAGCCCATGCGCCACTCAAATCTTACCTCCATTCCCAGGCAGACTTGATGCTGGTAACAGCACTCAAAGTCTTAGGAGTAAACTGCAACTTGGCATTGGCGTAGCTCTTAACCTGCCACTTAGTACCGGCCCACGACCACGAGGTATGCCACGAGATCGTCTTGCCGTCGACCTTGTCCAGTCCCGTGCACTGGGTGCCGGATGGGTCGTCGTCCTGGCCCCAGAGGTTGTTGTAGAGAATGTAATCGTCGGTCGTGGCTGTGCCCCACTGGTCACAGAAGTCTGCGCGACGTACGAGGCCCTTGGTTGGGACGGAGGCGGCGTCGCCCAAGGTGGACAACGCCAGGGAGAGGAGAGCGGGTGCGATGAAGGACTTCATTGTGCTTTGTGGAACAGATGTTCAGGATAGATGAGACTGCTGGAATGAAAACGAGAGTCTGGGGGTATAGAACGGGGGTTGTCGGTTTGATTTATACATGCCATGTTCTCTCGGAAGCTCGTCTATTTAGGGAATGACATCGAATGGGTTCATGCTCCGTATGGAGCACGGAGTAATCCTGTCTCACATTTCAGATTAGGGTGCTATTCACTATCCATCAGCTCATGACAGGGACTCCACAACCGGCTGATCCGATGCTTGTAAGAGGCGACTAGGCTTACCGGGCAGCCGGGATTGAGGGAGATTGCCGGAGCCACAAAATGCGCCTCCTTAGACATTGTGGAGGAATTTTTCCACGACTGGAAGCTTGTTATGCAGGGCGTTATCCGTTTTCCTGCTGATTCGGGAAGATCTCCGGGCGTTGGCAACAAATATGAGACGATGGCGTCCAGAGCGGGGCGAATAAGTGCTGGTTCTATAATGTGGTCAAATCAGAGGCTGCTGAAGGTATCCGCTTTGTTGAAGATTCCCCTGAAGAAACCGACCTTAGTATTTGCGAAGTTTCTCCGAGAGGAACATGTGCTTGTCTGTGTTATACAGACAGGGGCCAGTGTGAAGGGAACGCATCTGGGAGATGTCAATATACAATGCCCTGGAGATTTTGAGAATTGCGAAACAGCCACATCGTCACCTCCAATTCTTCAACCCCGCAAAAGCAACCCAAGACTCCCCGGAAAATAGATGCTAACCCCAAAATCGGCTGCATATTAACTCCAAGCCGGAGATTGCGGAATACCGACCGTTCTTCAATGGGCGATGATCGACATTTTGACTTTCAAGTTGAAGTGGCAGTGAAGAAGCCAAACGGTTCTTGTTTTCATTCGATATCCTTGGTATCAGGCACGGACGCATCGAACTCGTCATCACTTCCGAGGCTGCTCATGCAATCGCTGTATTTAGCCGATATGTAGCCTCCTAGCTTCAAGTCCGTAACGTCAACCCGTTCACACAATCTGTTCTCAGGAGAATAGCGGAGGTGACCCTGGGCGAAATCCACGACAACAATCTCCTGATCACACTATATCAAAGGCGCAGGGAGCGGAAAAGGGGCCTTGGACGGACCGATTTTAATCATCTGTCGGAGCATTATACCAAGTAGACAGCGACATACTCAATGATCTGACTCCGCCAGTCATGGATATATATGTATCCGGACCGTTTACCGACACTATGTCCTCGCGGAGGGATTCTGTCTTGCCGAAGAACCATCACCTGAAGGACGCTGGGTTGATCTACACCCTCAGCACATTGTCCACACCGGACGGCGCACAATTCGGCAAACATAATTGCTACAATCGCTGAGAGGTGAGATGAGATGACATGCAAAGACCACCAACTGTGGTGATCCAAAATGATGCATCCTATTTGCCAGGAAAGGCGGCTACGTTTTCACCGGATGTTGCAATGAGGTGTGTTGCTCAAAAAAGGGATTCCACCGGTATAGTATTACCTGAAAATCCAGCGACAGCGGCACTTATGAATCAACTCGCTTTGGAGCTCGGGGAGTATAGAAGAGTAATGTTTGATATCTCTTGGCGTCGGGTTCCGCGGACTGCGGATCACAGCAAATGCGATGTGAGCCATCTATTGGAACGTCGGACAGTGAAGTACAAAGTACCTCCAGCATAGGCAACCTCATTGGCAAAATACGATGTCGAGGACAATTGGCCAATGGAAGTGACGACAATTCGGATTGTGAACATCCGGCATGGCCTGTTGACGGTGTTAAGGTAAACAAACAGTGCAAACACATACAAACGCATCTACGTGCAAAATCATTCAACTCGACAGATTTCACGAGTACATGAGAGGTGCATGTATTAAACTACATATACATATGTAAGAAATGAAACATATTCGAGCAAGGAATTTATAGTACATGTATAAAATCAATTGAGTAAAAGTGAGGGTGTTGAACTACATATATTGTTTCAATTGTTTTGCTTTGCCCCACTTGGGGTGGAACTCCGGGGTGTCCAGGGGTTTAAATTTTATATTTAAAGACTTCAATTGTCTCTCTTTTCCACTCCAGGACCTTTCCCCCAATCCCCAAGATGCCTTCTAAATCCTCCAAGTCCTCCAGCTCCGGCTGCCGCTGTCGATGCTTCTCCCTGAAGTCTCTTAGCTTCCTCGCCATCTTCCTGGCCCTGTTCTCCGCCGTCTACCGATTCCTCGATGCGCGCCTTGAACAATTCTACATCTTCGACCCGGAGCATCTGCACGATCTGTCGCAGCGCGCCATCACCGCCCACGGCGAAGACACCCGCTCCATCGTCAACTTCATCGTCGCCGAACTCGAGCAGAAGGTCGGCCCCAACTACCTGAGCACCCAAGAAGAATGGGTATTCAACAACGCCGGCGGCGCCATGGGCGCCATGTACGTGATCCATGCCAGTATCACTGAGTACCTGATCATCTTCGGTGAGTTTTGCGCCCGCGATAAGACCTTCCCCGTTTCCGTTCCTATTTCTAACGTATATTCTCCGCAGGTACCGCCATCGGAACTGAAGGCCACACTGGTCGCCACACCGCCGATGACTACTTCAACATCCTGCAGGGTACCCAGCTCGCCTACGTTCCCGGCGAGTTCAAGCCCGAGGTCTACCCCGCCGGTAGCGTGCACCACCTGGTCCGCGGACAGGTCAAGCAGTACAAGATGGATGAATCTTGCTTCGCGCTTGAGTACGCCCGTGGCTGGATCCCTCCCATGCTCTTCTTCGGCTACGCCGATACCTTCTCCAGCACCCTGGACTTCCCGACGTTGTGGGCTACTACTCGCATCACTGCCCGTGAGATGGTTGGCAACTTGTTGCAGCTCAAGCTGTAATTTAGCATACTATTTTGCTTTGTTGATATGAAGGCTTCGACTGGATTGATGAGGTCTATGGAATGTATGATATGAGCATTGGGATTTGATTCTATGCGTTGGGTACCTGGCGAGGTACGGTTTCGGTTGTAAAAGTTACTGGATATGGTTGATACATACTTAATCGGTAGTGCCGAGCACATTTTTAATGAAATCACCAGCTGAGGTTGTTGCTGGTTTTTGAAAGACTGATCGTTGAATTTTAGCTGTGGTTTAGGACATGCCTGGGAGTACAAACGGCAACTATAAAGAGACTTGAGAACGTCGAAGTATGGAAATAATCATTACAATGTTGCATTGCCAACAGTTACTACATCGCATAGAGTTATGTAGTTTTGAATGGCCTATAGCTAAATGCATATTCCCATTGAAAAGCAGCCACTCCCTCGGGTTAATACTTGTTCTGGATGCTTCATTTTACAATTTGGCATGAGGTCCGATTTGAGCAACTCGATAAAATAGCGAGCTTTCATTACCTACACTAGTGGAGACTACGACGGGGTTCATAATGTGAATATTAAACCTAGGTGATAAATTCTGTAGAGATCACAATATATATATTCCAACATTGCCCTCAATCAAGGTTCTTCATCGACCAATATTTCCTACCACAATTGTCCGTTCAAAATAAAAATCCCCTGGTATATCTGAAATATAGCATTGTTAGTCAAGCTAAAAAGTGTGTAAAAATGCCATACCATGTCTGTTGTGAGGCCTCCATACTTGACTAGCAGGAGTATATAAAGGGAGGGTTGAGGCTAAGAACGTTAGGCAATCGCTTTTTAAGATAACATGGTATTATTACCTGTCGGACTTCTCATATATTTCCAAACACAACAAGATAGTTGTGCTAAGGCGACGAATAGAGCAATGATCGCGATGATGGCTTCAGGATATAATATCTGATACCTAGGTAGGTATCAAGTATAGCTTAATAATCAAGTGCTCGCAAATATAATTACAAAAGACATTGGGGATTTGCTTTACGAGTTTCTATAGAGCCCTTTCTCTAAGGGAGAGAAACCTTACTATTTCCACACTACTTTGGGTAATGCGCTGTTTGGATAGGCTTCCTGGAGAGCAAATAATGGGGGGTTGGGCGTGCAAATAGTGACTGGCTCTACAATTCTTTTACAAAAACTACGGACCATATGCAATTGTACCTTTTACTAGGCGGACCATACAAAAGGTACATATATAAATGTTACTTTATCGCAACCACTTTATATTGACAATCTTTATTTTAAGTATAGAAATGATATAGAAATGCCATGCTAATGCTCTTATTAAATTTTAAGCGCAAGTTTCAGGGACCCCTCAAAAGTTGAATATCTTATGTTAGGCACCATAGAGGTTAGATCTTTAAATCACAATACTATAAGAGGGCTCCCAGAAACCTAGGCTGAAAATCGAATATAGTATCTAAATAGCTGACATGTTATATACTATAAGTTATACTAAGGGAAAAACTAGATTTTCTACCCTACTATCAGCTTGCGAGGGTCCGTATTTTTTGTAAAAAAGTTATGGGGCCAGTCAACCGGCCCCTGAAATTCTTTGACCATACAAGTTGGGCTACCTTGCATGAGGTAATAGGTTGAGTCGGAACAAGGCTAAGCCTTGATTATTGCCTATAGGAACCAATAATCCTAACATCCGAAGTAACTAGTAGTGTACAAAGTTATTCTTGATTGGCAGAGGATCGAAGAAGAGCTAAGATAATGTTTTTATAGATATTCCAACCAACTCCCTTTATGACAACTCTTGAAGATTTGATTTCCCGGGGGTCTACCTTTAATCTTTTTCATTCATGAATTGAGGTAGGTGTGAGTATATTGACAAAATCCGAGTAGCAGAGCGAAAAAGGAGGATGCGAATCTCATGCCCAAGGCACGTTCGCATTTGCCCGGGTTCCCAATATGCATGCATCCGCATACTCATATGCCACGTCACGGAGAGCTTTTGTACCATTATATATCTGTTAACCCTTCTATCATGGGAATGTGTGTGCATGTGTTGCTAGCTTCTAAACGTTCGATCGAAGCTAATTGATCGTTTTCATTCCTCTCCGTGATGCAATCTTGTCACAGATATTATTTAAATTACCTATTCATGTTTATTCAAGTCAAATGCTACCCTCGCAGAAATTCTATCGAGCGGTTCGACACCTACGCAACTTAACAGATCAACCATCCGAAGAGCATTCTTATCGAAAGGACATCCCAACCCAGTCAACAAAACACCTGTTGAAAGCCGAGGATGAGATGCAGCTTGCCGATGATATTGCCTTCTTAGCCCAGCGGGAAGAAGGCGTCGAAAATGTGACAGCTGTGACTCTTCAAGAGAAGGCACATGGGCTAGTCATCTGCCTCGCTAGCAACCACACGCCATCGGATAAAACAGTCGGTGAACTGAATGAGATAATGGCTTTGGTGAGCGAGTACGCCTCTGAAGGTTGTTCCTCGCTTGCAAATAACATATTCAAGACGGCTGACTTGTATAGGAAAACGACGGGCTGAATCTCGCGCCAAAATCTTCGATATGGTTGTTGATATCCGTGATGATCGAATTCTTGCTAGAATTCGTCCACCTTGGTTGCCCCAGCCTAGCCGTTATGTTAAGCGGAGGCCGTTCCTAATATCACAAGTTCAGGCATTTGTTAGTGAGATATCCGCGATCAGTAACCAGTTACCAGATTTTGAAATCTTGACGCAGAAGGCACATCAGTTGATAGCCTGCCTTTCGCCTTTCAAAGAACCTATTCCCCAGAATATGAGAAAGGAGTACCAGAAAAATGTCATATTAAGCTGTGCTGAATTGGCTGGCGTTGGCGGGACGGGGTTACTGGAGGAACACCTTCAACGGTTGCAAGTTTCTCCCCAAATCCGCGACCGAGGTGGAATACGTCAAATTGACAAGCTTGCACGATACTTCTTTGTTTGTCGAGATCTTATCAGAGTTGGCAGGCGTCTAGGGTATAGACCTCTATTTTGCAACATCACCATTGAAACGTTGAAAGCTTTCCAAGGAAGGAAACCACAAGGCTCTTCCTCTATATGCTTTGTCCACGCAGAGATGCAGCAGATTATCCATTACACAAAACACCCTCATAATCCTAGTCCGCGGTTTATTGGATGCAGCAAGTCTGCATGTTATCTCTGCGATATGTTCATACAAAAGCATAGCGAGTACCGAATCTCCCATGCTCACAGACGGCTTTATGAGAAATGGACATTACCTGATCTGGAGTATTCTTCCAAAGAGGCTCAGAGACTGCAAGCTGTATTAAAGTCCATGGCCGAGGAAATGGCAAACATGGCCAAAATGTTCCAGTCAGGTCTTCGTGCCCCAAAACAGTATGGAGCGGAGAGCCTGGCATTTTTACCTTTAACTAGTGGATCGACGGCGAGCAATACAACTATCACTCAACTGATGTCTCAAGATTCCCCCATATCGAGCGTCAAGTCGGACGATGATACCAAAATTGCGAGCAACGATTTCTCGAGGAATTCGTGCGCAGGCCTGTCTATTGAAAGTAGCACTACCTCTTATCTCCGCCTAAACCAAGATGATCTGCCATATTCTCTTAACATCAAAGACATTAAAAACGAGTTTGTGGTTCAGATCGGTGCAATATTTCTTGATATCGACTTTGCTTCCCCTGGCCGGCTCTCAATCCGCCATGCGGATGGGCCACTGCCTAAAGATGTTATAGACATTTCCCGCTTATCTACAATTAGTGAGACTAAGGTGGCCCACAATACATCTGTATCAACTATGCAACTATGCTTGCGTCATCCCAGTGGTTTTACAATAATCGTTGACTTTGTCCGGGATGGGGCTTGATTCAGTCCCGAAACGGTTATCCCCGTTATTATGTCGAAATCATTATCGCAATATTTGCTCTTCCAGGTTTCAGATGCATGGCATTGCACCACTCGTGTCTTGCAAGCAAGGAAACTTCAGAAAGTTCAAGATCCCTGTCTTGAATGGTACCTCTGTGATAACCAGGGAATAGAGTTGTCATTCTCGATACTAAGCAATAGTAAGGCTCTTGATCTACTGATTATAAGAAGCTTAAATTACTAATTTCAATCGAACAGACACTTCTATTGCAAATCCAGTATCTCTCCCATTGAACATGGACCGCTTGCAAACCCATGCTATTCACGAGTTTCCCCAAGAAGATCCTGCGCATTATCGACCAAAATCTGCTTCGTTGTTTCCAATCCAAATAAATCCTGCAGTCCATCATCCACTCTCTTAGCCAGAGACTCCGCCAACGCAGCAGGGGTGTATGGATAATCACTCCCATACAACAACCTGGACGAATCAACCAGCCGTAGAAGACCATGAATCTGATTCAGAAACGGCAGACCCGCAAGATCAAAATAGAAACGCGTCTGCAATAGCTGCCTAATCTTCTCCGCGGTGATCCCACCCCCCGAACCGGGAATCATGGCCGAGAACTCCGCAATCCTGTCCATGATCGGCGGGAACGTCGCACCGCAGTGGCAAGCCACGAATGTGATTCCAGGACAGCGATCGACCGTCCCAGAAGTAAGCAGACTCATAAGCGCCCGGGTGGAATCGAACATGAATTCCATAATAGGTGCAGGGACGCCGGGGAGCGGCGTCACCTTTTCAAGCGAGACATCGTCATCACCGTGCCGGATGAGACACGTAGTCGGGTGAAAGAAGGCAATGGTCTTGCGTTCACTTAATTTGTCAAAAACGGGAGCGAAGCGCTGATCGCCCGGGTAGATGCCGTGCGAATTGGTCAGGATTTGAAACCCCACTGCGCCAAGATGGTCTAGTGCATAGTCTATTTCTGCAAGGGAGCCTTCCACGTCTGGGAGGGGGAGGGAGGCGAAAAAGAGGAAGTGGGTTGGGTGATCGGCGCAGATTTTGGACATGTCGATGTTGGCGCGTCGGGTTACGGATCGGCCTTCCTCGTTGTTGCCTGGGGTTAGATGTGTTGCTGGGGATGACATGCTCAGCACTGATTTCTTGATCTTGAGTTGGTTCATCAAGTCGATGTGAGCTTCAGGGCTCCATTCCTGGATTTTATTTTAGGAGGATTCGATGGATGTATAGTGTTGTTCAAGAGGACTCACTGGGATAGCGGGCATTCCATCTGGGTGGCCTCTTCCTGCAAAATCGCTCTGTAGGCAGTACTCGCGATATGAGGGCGGTACGCAGTGGGTGTGTACATCGATTCTCTCCATTTTGGATGTTGCAAGTGTGGTATTTCTTGGGGGATTGCTATTGACAAGTTCATGTACTCCCCGCAGCTGACTGAGACCGACATTTCTACTTCTATTCTTCACCGATTTTCTTATGAGACAGCCACTTCTCTCTTATTCAGGACAAGCACAGCCTTAGGACATATGTCGTGTTACCACTCGTTCCTGCCAATGCTGTGGAACAATGAACCCAACAGGCTGGTTTAGGTATATCTTTGAACCGGTATGCGGTTTTGAAAATGACTATATCAGATCAACTTTTGGCAATTCCTTCGGCTCAACAATCAATCCCCTTGCAGCCAAGAGCCGCGCCTGAGTGAGCTTCAGAAACCGGTAGGTATTATCCAAAATCGGTGTATTCACACCCTTCTCCTTCGCAACACGCAAAGCATTTCCCAGAATAACCTCCACCTCCATGGGATTCCCCTTATCCACATCCACCAGCATACTAGGCCGGAAAGACAGCTCGAGAGGAGTGACATCCACCATCTCATCTACAATGCCGGGCCCGAGATCATACCCATCCGCCTTCGCAATGGCAGCCATCTCCGCCATACCAGGTCTAATCAAACCATGCTCGCCACCGAATCGTCGAATCGCAGCACTGTCAAGCTGAGTGATAGCGCACATTGGATTGAAAATGCCATTCCAGAGCACCTTCCGCCAGCGATAGAAGACAATATCATCAACGACCTCCGCATCGACCACTTTACTCCCATTATAGATTGTTGCGAACTCTTCGAGCTTAGCGCGCTCGAATGTCGCGTCCACGGATGGGTTGCGGAATGCGCCTATGTGGAACTTGTCATGGTCGTCGTGTACCACATGACCGTTGTGTTCATGTGCGCCGATGAAACTCGGGGCTGACAGCACCACATTTGACGGGAATGCTGCGATAATTGGTGGTTCGATATACAATCCGTTTTGGAATAACACGATCGTTGTATAATCTGGGGTTATGGCTGGAGCTATGATCTTGGGGATGTTGTTCACTTCAGGAATGTTCTTCATTGTAACAATCACATAGTCAAATGGGGTATTGGGATCGGCTAGAGGGACAGTATTGATGACTATCTATGTGTTAGCTTACTGAGCTTGAGTAGATGGATGTTTTTTTCGACTTTTTACATACTTGCGCTCGGTCGCCAAGATGATAGTTTCCCATGGTCAATGGACTCAATTTCAAATCCATGTTTGACCACATGTTCATAATTGGATCGGAGAACAGAAGTGACAGATGCTTTTCCCGATCTTTCGAGGGCGACACTGACCATCGTCCCCACACCACCTGATCCAATCACCAAAACTCGGCGTTTTGCCATATCATGGGACATATTGGGCTTGTGATGACTTTTTGAGGTGGCAGTGTCGTTGACAAACCTTGGAAGAACTTCAATTTATCGAATTTTAATTCCAACACCGCCAAGGACCGATACGACAAGTCCGATGTCGCTTCGGGATCTACTTCTCTTCTTATCTACATTCAACCCCTCACTGGATGACGACGCCGAAACCCGATTTGGTTGTTTGAATGTAACACTTGCAATGTTCTACGTTGAAATGGTTGGGAACACCACTGTCTCACCATGGACACGTTAAACCATATTCACAATATCAACTGATCGGATGATAAAAAGTGATGTAAACATGTCTACCCTTTCAAATAACCTCAAATCACCTGCATTTCCAATATAGCAACCCAAAATGAAGAACCCAGCCAGGCAAAAACGATCCTCAGAGTTCGGAATTTTCGACTTCCTAAAAGATGTCGCAGAGACCTCTGGTAGATGGGTCAACTGGCAAATCATTCGAGGCAAACGATATGTATGGTGGGAGACTGATCGAGACGTGCTATCTCGATGGGCGCAATCGATCATCGAAACAGAAGAGCGTCTGCGCGAAATCACCCAACACGAGATCTTCATCAAGGACTGTATCCAGAAAGTCGGTGCCCGGTCCGACGAAACAGCCAAAATCGTTCTGACGGATATGATCGAGGATATGATATCCCTAGACCACGAGTACTCGCGCATCGAACGCATATATGACACGATGGTAGCGGGTTGTCCTGTCAGCCCTATCAAGAGCGGATATCTGTGGATTCGAAAGCAGCCGCAGTGGCATCTTAAGAGTGAGTGGCTGCGTCAGGATTGTGTGAGGCGCGGTGGATGCTGTGGTCGTCCGTGCAGATGCTGTGAAAAACCTCCTGATTTGACGAGGAAAAAGGGTTGGGGCCATTGTACGGCTCAGTGTGCTTGTTGTAATATTGAGCGTGGATATCGACTGAGTGAGAGGGAGTTGAGATTGTTGCAGCCGGACTTTGATCTTACTGTTTACCCGTGGAGTAATTATAGTCGAGAGATGTTTCGGGCTTATATTTGGTCGCTTGACTAGGTTTGGTGATAAGTTGCTTTGAAAAGATGTTGCTTGAATGTCTGTTCGAAATATAGTTTCGTTGAGAAAAGGTCGAGTCCTACATTGTACCTTATGTTGTGGTCAAATAACGCAGCAAACGATCCAAATCAAGTAGGGCTGCATAACCTGGATATGCAGGTCACGGAAGGTAATCTCTGTTAGCCATAATCCATAATCCTTTATCGGAGATCTTGTATTCGTTTTCGCTTCCCAATGTAGTATCTTCTGACTTTGCCCCCTCAGACTAAGCTCTTAAGCTTTGCAAAAGGCCGTCACTCTGAGACATTAACACGGGGAAACAGGTAACTAGTGGCAGATGATAATGGCCTAGACGAATGAAAGATGATAAAACAATAGCGGGGAAGCGATTCCTGCCAAACCCGAAACCTGCCAAGCCGGCATGTTTCACGCCTCCTGATTCGACCAAGTTGTTAGTATCAGGACCACTTGGAGACTATACCTCGAGTTTCCCCGCAGTATATTCAAACTTGATAAGATTGCGGCCATAGATTCCCACCGAACTGCCGGGCAATAGATTGCTTAAAGGGCGACCTGCCCATCATGTCTGCTCAAGTTCACCCTTCTCTTCATCCAACCCTCAACTATGGATAACGACACTGATCAAGATGATACTATGTGGCCCCCAGGAACAGTCAGACTAGAGGATAGTAAGTGACTGCAACCAATACTACGATAAAGATATTTGAACTTACCAAGTCAGTTCACCAATCCAGAGGCCAACTAGTCCTATTCCCAACCCCATCAGCCGACCCCAATGATCCTCTTAATTGGTCCAAAGCTCGCAAAGTGCTCAACTTCACCCTTGTTAGCTTCTTCGTGCTATGGACCTTTGTACAACTTGACATCGGCTTCACAGCATGGGGCCCAATGCAAGAGCAGCTCAATTTCTCAGTTGATATACTAAACGCCGGAGCAGCCGTTAACTACGGTGGTCTCGCCGTAGGCTGCATCTTCTTCATGCCCTTACTTCACAAATACGGCCGACGCCCAATCTACATATTCAGCACTGCCATGCAATTCGCATCATGCATCTGGCAAGCCCAGACACACACCACAGGCGATTTTGTAGGCAGTAACCTGATCTCCGGGATCGGCGGTGCAATCAGCGAAATCATCGTGCAGATTACCATCGCCGACATGTTCTTCGTGCACCAGCACGCCACAATGAACGGCTGGTATGTCGTAGCCCAGTTAACAGGGGCGTTCCTTGGTCCCGTGGCATCAGGATACATCGTCGTCTCACAAGGATGGAGGTGGATGTGGTGGTGGTGTGTGATTTTCTTCGGCATCACACTACTCTGTGTGGTATTCCTTTTTGAGGAGTCGAAATATATCCCCGTGCTGAATGGTCGCGACACTACCGCTGCACAAGAGACTAGTGAACCGTCCGAGCCAGTCAAGGATGGGGATATAGTAGATGCAAAGAGTCCCGATGAGATGATCGCTGAGCGTGTATCGACTAACCCGGATATTCAGATGAAGTCTTATTTCCAGCGCATGGCTTTGATCACCCCCACGGATGAATTGCTGTGGCCGCATTTCTATCAACCCATCATCACGCTCTTTACCTTCCCAGCTGTTGGTTATGTAGCTATCACATATGGATCTGCCTTGAGCTGGTTCGCGATCATGACTTCGCTACAGGCTTCTTACATGATTCTACCGCCTTATAACTTCGACGCTATTGGGGTTGGGCTTATGAATGTGGCTCCGTTTGTCGGCGGTGTTCTCGGTTTTCCCTTTGGTGGACATCTGAGCGATAGATCTATCCTGTGGTTATCCAAGCGCAATGGTGGTATCTATGAACCGGAGATGCGCCTTTGGCTTGCTCTGCCTGTTGCTATTGTTTGCCCTGCGGGAGTACTGATGTTTGGCTTGGGCCTTGCCTATGTGAGTTATCTAAAGCATGATGTCAGTATATTCTAACAATATATAGGGTGCGCACTGGTCTCTTCTCGCTGTTGGATTTGGCTTCTTCGGATTTGCACTCTCTGCCGTTAGCGGTATCACGCTTTCGTATCTTATGGATTGCTATCAGGACGTGAGTGTTTTTATTCTGGGTGCTTGGCTTCTCTTTCTAACTTGATGGGTTCTAGATCATTGGCGACGCATTAGTTGGAGTGGTTTTCATGAGAAACATCTTCTCAGTGATTGTACTTTTTGCATTAACACCTTGGACCGAGGGAATGGGAATGCGAGATTTGCATATCCTGATTGCTGTCATTGCGTTCGTGATTTTGTTGCTCCCTATCCCACTTCTCATCTGGGGTAAGAAAGCTAGGATTTCTACGGCACCGAGTTACAGGAAAATGGCGACAAAGCAGCTTAGCCATCGGACTGTTTAGAGATATCAACAGCTAGAATACACAACTCGTCTTGACATGAAGAAAATGGTATAAGATTGTGAGATAAGCTCATGAAAGTATTTTTAAAAAAATAATAAGACTATAGTAAAGGCGTTAGATGGTAACGAAGGTATCACAAAAGAAGAATTATAAATGAGCGTGTCAAAGTTTTGTGTCGTCAGACTCCCCCCTCCCTTTCCCTTCCCCATGAAATCCGCACCCTTTTCATTCGATTCCGATCTAGACTCTCTCCATCTCCTTATCATCCCGGTAGTTGTCGTACTGGGACTCGTCGGAGCCTTGTGCAGTCATAAACGAGTCACTCTTCTTGTGCGAGGAGGAAGTGATGGTGGTGGTAACGCCTCCAGGGTTGCTCGAGGTCACAAGAGTCTTATCAGACATCTCAGAAACGTTGTTGGCAGAGCGAATTTGAGACCAGAAGTTGCGTTTGCCGATCGTAAACAGAGGGCGGAGGTTGGGAAGGCAAGCAGCTGTGATTCCAACTGCTGCTTCGATGCAGGTCCACACGATGACGGGTACTTGGTTGTCTGGAGATGGTTAGTGGCATGGATTAAAGGATTGAAAGGATTGAAAGGGGTCTTAACACAGTAAGTACTCACAGGTAATATCGGGGCCAGCCTCGACCAGTTTAATCATGGCATTGAGGCGGAAGATATCGAATATCAATGTTCTAGTCATGAAGTGTTAGTTTTTCCCACTACATGGATGGAATTATCAACATACAGGCCACCGACGAGGAAGACTCCAGAAAGTGCTGCCTTTTGAGACTTCGGGATCGGCAATGCCCACACAACTCGCATGGGCATGATCAAGAGGATGAGGTCGGAGAGGATGTTAGGGATCTGGATGCCGTAGTAGAACTTGGCGGGGTCAAGGCAAGCTCCTGGAATCGACGGGTCCCAGAACTTGCTGACGGGAATGCATAGAAGAGCACCGGCGACGTATACACCCACAACCCAGAGGGTGACGAATCCGAACATGACATTCACTGCAATCACCATGTGTCGGACAGCGAAGAGTCGCTTGTATAGGGCGAGAATGGAGTATTTGATGAAGGCGATGCATCCAGTATAGATGAATGAATTGGCGAATCCGAGCTACTTCGAGTCAATGTGGATACTTGATATGCGGGTGAGATGTTACGTACTTTGAGATAAACCAGGAGATTCTCAACAGGGATCATTGTGATGTGGGACCCCAGTCCGTTATAAAATACTAATTAGGGTTAGATTCACGTTAATCTGATAATGTATGTTTCACCACTCACAAACGACAACACCAGAGGAGCATGCATATTTGAAGATTAGAGCCATGATAATCAAGTAGTCATCCATGAAGAGCCGGCTTCCGGTCATCTTCCTTGCTAGTATCCTCAGACCAACAGAAAGAGTGGACAAGGTGTAAGCAAACACCAGTGCAATAGTCATCGACCGGCGGAGTGCCTTGTTGGGGTGTTCGAAGTCTCCTTCGGTCCACGTGGGGATGGAGGGATGTTCTGTGGAAGACATGACAGGCAAGTCTGGTGTATCAACACCAACAACGAGGTAGAATTAAACGAGAGTAAGTTGTTGGTTTGAAATATTTGGAATCATAAGGCTGCGTTGTTGTCTTTAATATACTTGAAGGAGATGAGAAAGGGGGGGAAGGGGGAAACCCTATCCTAAGTACAAGATGTCTGGATCTGTCATTTCTTTCGGCGTCCACAAAAATAACGCAAAGATGATATAAAGGGGTTCATACATCACATTGCTTACAGTGCACATCTTAGGTGCAGGTGGCATATCAGCCACGACACGGTCCAATGCGAACTGGAAGGATAACATATTGCCTTTTGGAAAAAAAAGCAAGATACAGTTTGATCAACGGGGCAGATCATACAGCAACGACGTATTATGTGCCTTGATCGTAGATATTTTGCGCCAATCATATAGAAACAAAGGAAGTCTTTCCCGATGTATCAACTTCAGGAAGTGGATATATCAGATTTACGCCTAATATTCTAGTATCCACTCTATTGCAAGAAATTTTCCCCGAAAATTCCATTAGAATCTGCTAAATAGCACAAAGTGCTCTACTTCTTTTGGAGTGAAGCTATTATTGAAAAACTGCAGTGAACACAATCGTTCATTGAAGTCAATTTTCTTCAAGAAGCTTAATTAACATTTGAAACTCATCCCTGTATCAAATGCAAGGGGTCAATAAAAGAATTAATCTGGGGTTTTTGAAAGCGATAAGGCCGGGGTAGAGTTTACTAAGCCTAGGAGAATAATTAGAAATAGATATACTGCAATGCCTCGATTCGGTGACAGCTGTCTCCATACAAATGCACAACGAAAGCAAAAAGCCATGATCGTCCAATAATTGGAAACGATGCAGGTCATCAAATACACTTGTGGAATCACCGTTTACGTAGATCTCTCGTATCTGTGTAATGGCACTAAGGTCTGGGGCTTACTCCATATGATATGTCTATTAGACAGCGGACATATCCGATTTCGAACCACATGGTGGCTTCTAGTGTTTGGTTAGCCGTTAACTAGTTGATCCACTTGACAGCATCTTTGTTTAGCACGATTATACATCTCACGCACACCTCGTACTCACCACGGGTTTGCATCGATGTCGTACATGATCTCGTTGCTTTTCTTACATTGTCGCACGGAAATGCAACGAGTTCAATATTACATGCAAACTTAATGGAATTGTTCAATACATTATCAACACGCAGGTACAACTGCTTGAGAACTTAATTGTCCAGAAAAGGAAGTTCATCTTGTACTCCACACTGAAGATCCCCGGCCTTTGCAAGGGGGGGCTATATCGGAAATTACAACCGTTGTCTCTGATTCTCCCCCAAGATATATCCTTAGGATATCTTCACTCTTCAGAGTTTCGGCTCCCTGCCGTTCTTCGACAAAGTTCAAAGTCTATGTTGTTCTCATCCCCTACAACAATGAAGCAATATCTCAGGTGTGTATGGAGTGTACAGAATTATTTGGCCTGATGTTGCCTAACCCTTGTTGTCGGCTCTAGAAGCAGCAAGAAACCAAAAAAACAATTAGCCTACAGCGTTGCTATGCACACTATGAACAAAACAAACCCCCCAACATACAGGGCCTTCCCATTCGTACGTGAAAGTTCGAATTCAGCAGAATTTTTGAGGGACAACGTTCGTCTAGATGCACAAGTATTTCTGCCGAGATTCGGCTTCCGATCTGCTGTACAATCTATGGAAACGGTATTCTCAATATGTCAAGGCCGCACGTCATGTCTCATTTGCGGGTCTCCGTGACTCGAGAAGCTCCACATCCTTGTCTCCCAACGCTTTCCGGACGCACAACCATCCAAAGGGACCACTAAAAAGACCCGAAAAGACATCACAAAGCCGCATTAGCGACTATTCTTGTGTGGCATCATTGGATATCGAGGGAATCTTCTTCTCCAACTAGCTCCACTGTGGGCCTATGAAGTGAGCAATGTCCTTCCGGCCCATTTGTTGAACTCGGTGATAATCGGACAGGGCATGGACCCCCAGAAGTGACGTTTTAGGTGCATGAGATCGATTAGCGCCAAAACGATACATCAAAGAAATCCCCCTCAACTAAAATATTTGCCGAAGTTCTCCCACTGTTCATCTTTCAGTTACAAATTCTACAATATGAGCAAGGTCGCTCTCATCACAGGCGGCAGTATGTACCATTTCACAAGTCTCAAATCACTCATTGACCAAAGTTCAAAAAAGCCAGTGGAATAGGTCTTGCGGTTGCCAAGCACCTAGAACAAACCGGTGATTGGCAGGTCAACATTATTGGCAGCAATCAAGAGCGAGGCCAAGCTGCGGCTTCTCTCTCCAATCTTACATTCTACCAAACCGACGTGCGAAACTATCAACAACAAGCCGCTGTATTTGAGCGGATTTTCAATGCAGCTGGACGGATAGACTTTGTCTTTGCGAATGCCGGAAGAGGAGATTACACTGATTTCTTTGCCAAATGTGATGCTGGCATCCCGCCTGACCCGGGTTCGGAACTTGTCGATATTAATCTGAATGGCGCTCTATATACCAGTTACCTCGCGATGCATTATTTTCGTCGCTCTCCGGAGTCAACAAAGGGGTATAGGAACTTGATCCTCACTTCCAGTATCGGGGGACTATACCCGTGCATGCTAACTCCGGTGTACTCTAGTACTAAACGTAGGTTGAGAAAAGAACAATTAAATTAACTCTACCACAAGGGCTTGCTAATCTGTTTCTAGATGCGCTCATTGGATTCACTCGATCTGTCGGAGAGAGACTTTGGGAAGAGGGAGTCCGGGTCAATGCTCTGTGCCCTGGGGTGGTGGAAACGCCCCTCTTTTCCGTTGAAGCGTTTATGTCAATATTCCCACGGGAGGTATCTATCCCTATGGATGTTGTAATTGGTGTAGTATCACAACTCCTGTCTGGGGCGGACATGGTGGATGCCAAAGGGATGTGTGTCACTGGCGATGAGATGCATTCCCGGGCTGTTCACATTTCAGGCGAGAACTTCTTTTTCATTGAAAAGCCCGAGATTTATGATGAGCAGACTCGGATAACCTGGGCTGCAATGATGGGCCATAAATAATTTATGCAGACATTTGCTGGTTTGACGGATCCATAGCCAAATGTTGGAATGGTAACACTCGCGTGTTCATGTTGAAGACGTCTTGCGTATATATTTACCTAGATCGAACCAGTAGATCTGGTCCTCGCGATCCCTAACATCCCATACTAAAGACAAGGAGCGTTCAACCTGAAGCTGCGATTGCCGGGAGAAAGTCACAACTTCAGGGATCTTGGTAACGGCTGCTGCTCGCGCTTCAGTCCCCGTGATCTCAAAACATGCAACCATGTAGGGAAGTGAAGTGCATGGTATTGAACGCCCTGTGGATTGCAGGACCATATCTATCTCCGTTGTAATAGCTCTGGACAACTGCAGTGCTTTCTCGTCGCATTGGCCAGAGGGATGGCGTATCCGATGCACAATAAGCAAAGCCGCAAGACGGAGGATTTCAGACTGAGATAACATTCCAGCAACCTCAGACTGAGTAAATCTTTTAAGAATATCTGGCGGTGGCGAGGCATGCCATTGCTCCAGGGAATCTTCTATCTTGCCCAATCGTTCAACCATCTCCATATCCATTCTCCCACCCCCGCCATTAACCTTCATCAAATGACTGGCCTCACAGACATCATATATATGAGCGAAAAGCGAAGAGCTAAGCCCAATATACCGATCGACAACATTGGTGCGATCATGTTCACCGACGCGGATAGTCGGCATCTCGGACCTCAGCAGACATTCAAAAGTCTCCGTACTAACCAGGCACATCAAGAAATCCATAATACTAGGATCCATGCCCAACAGAGTCTGATAAACGGGCTTGACAAGAGTCAATGTATAATGCGAGATAAGGAACGGCTGGCCATCGGCTACATGCATAGCGAACGTAACCATAGATATTCCGAGCACGACCGCAGTAATCAGATCTTGCTCTTTGGATATCTGTAATGACCGCAATCCGGACACAGCTAGTGCAGCTCGCCGATGCCCGATTTCGACGCTCGTCTTGTTGTACTGGGCATATTGTTCGCCGAGGAGCACGGCGGCACAAGCGAGTGTGGCGTCTTTTAACATGGACGAGTGAGCGGGTCGGAGTATGCTCTGCACGAAACAACGGTGGTGTGACTCGTGAAAGCTCGGTCCGATTAGGAACTTATCTAGTGGGGACGGTGCGACAATGTCTTTCACAAGATTGAGGATGTGCCGTTCCCACTGGTCTAGTTCGGGGAATAGGGCTGTATTGCTGGATATGCCTTTATCGAATGGCAGGTAGAAATGGGGATTGAGGGTGTTCTGTGATGAAGTTGGATCGAGTGTCTTTTCGCTGCGGGAGACTAAGGAGGTCGGGAGTTTATATGATAGTTGTCTTGCAACGCGAGGCTTCCGTCCGGGTTTTGCGAGGTTTCGTGTTGTTTTGCATGTTTGGCTTAATCGACCACATCGTTCACACGAGGCTGTTGGGCTCGGTCGTCGGCATTTTTCTTTTAGTGCGTGGCATTGATCACAGGCTCTTTTTGTAGCAAGCTGGGACATTTTGAAGTTGAAGTCAACCGATGTTGGATACCAAACAAACTCATCTCAGGCATCAGTGTTTCTAAGAGATCCCAACGATAAAAAGTCATTGGAGAGGCGATAAGGGTCGGGTGGACCTGACTATTGCGTGTAAGCGTGCGGGGATACCATATGAGCTTGTGATTGTACTTGTTTCAGAACATTTCTTCAACATTCAAGCTAAATCCTCTGGTTTCATTTCTTATTTGGAATCATAACTAATCTTGCAATGATACCTGTCAAAAATTAGACACAATTTAAGCCTGACAATTAAAACGACTGAGTATAAAATGTATACAACATACGTCACTAACATTTAACCTTTTATTTAACCTTTTGCACATTTTATTATGAAAGTATAGCCTAATTAAGTAATTGGACTCTTTTAAACACCCTCCAGTCATATACAGAAACAATGTAAATCACCCTTAACAGTTCAAATCATCCGCCATACGCCTCCAAACAGCTTCAGGTAGTCTCCCATGAACCCAATAACCACCATCCTCCCCATCCCGGCCTCGCGCTTTCCACGTCACCAACAAATCATCCAAATGAGTTTTAGTCTCTCGCAAAAGTCCGCAGTAGTCAACACTACCCTGTACAAATAGCGGAGTTTCACCTTGGATATCAATATCATAAAGGGGCAGATGTTTCCACGACGCTATGCGCGGTTGAGCCGCTCGCCTGCCATATGATCTTGGCACCATGGGACTTTTCTTTAGTCTCTTGTGTTGCACAACAATCTCTCCAATACATTCTGGCTGTTTGGCCTCGTCAACTGCACGCCGGATGTATGTTGCAAGTCGGACTAATGAAGGGGAGCTATATTCGCTTGTTGGCATTGGATCCGGCAGTGGCATCATGTACCAGGGGTTAGAGAGGTTTGTCTCGGACTGGAGTTGTTTTGAGATGTCAATAACTAGGCCGAAATTGTGAGGAGTTGGTGGATGTAAAGAAGCCTATGCAGGGTATCAGTGAATTTGTCCTTCGGGTTATCCGTTGGAATAAAAGGCGGCATTACTAACCTTGTAGATGAAAGCTAACAAGAGATCATGCTCGGTTACCTTGGCCTTTTTACTTTCGGCCTCTTCTAACCAGCTTTGAATTTGCTCTTGGGGAATCAACAAGCTCTTGCCGACCCGTCTTGCAGAAGGATAGAATATATCCCGCCCGATTTGCTTCGCAAGAGCCCCGAGTCCGGCTGCCCAAGTGCGACGGGTCGAATATTTGTGCAGGTCTGCGATCTGATGAGACTCGATCATCTCGGCGCATTTCTCGAGTACTTCTGATTTCAGTGACAAGGATTGTCGGGCACGGAGCGTATGGGTAATTCTCTCCCCTCTAAGAAGGGTGCAATAAGCCTGGACTATTCGATGGGCGCCTATAAGGCTATTATCAGCTCTATTACTCAGTTACTTTGTTGTTTTTTTAGGACGTTGCTTACCACTCGCATCGCAAAGGGGCTGCAGAAACTTAAACCCTATTACGCAGGCATCGTTCAAGAATACCGTTCGTATGGAAAAGACTCGCTGCTTCCATGCGTGCGAAATTCGATACCCCAAATTCAACACATTTTCGAGCGCCTCGGAGTCAATCAGCTGCGGGGCGTCTGGCTCGGAGGAAACTTGGAGAATCTCGCTGAGGTCTTGTTCGATAGTTCTCCCTTCCCACACCTCGGCCAGGTCCCCGGGATCTTTTGGGTCCAGGAATTTCGTTTTCTATTCCCTGTCAGTCTTTGTACAACTGTTGGTATAACTAAATACCTACCAATGAGTTCATTCGCAAATTCAGTATTGGCCATTGTGAGAGGAGAGTATCGGCGGCGAATTGAAAGTCGAGTGGACTAGGATGGGACCTCACGACGACTGACAAAGTGAATTCGAGAGGTCGGGCATAGCCCATATCAAGTGGGCTTGGTTTCATGTTGTAGTGAATAATAATTAGAATGGATGCTAAAAAAATCCTATAAAAATGCAAAGCAGTCTATGAAATCGACCTAGAAGATTATGCTAATAAAATAAACAGAAGATGAGGCCATCATGAAAATAAATATCTTGCTATTTGTATCTTCTCACAACTTTAATGTCTCTCCCCACATAATTGCCCTCTGGAATGCGCCTTATAGTTCTCCGCGAATGAGCTCCTTGGCATACACGATGGGGAATTCTGCACCGTGGCAGATACCATCTTTGGAATGTTGTGTGATACATCTAGCCCCGAGTAGACTTACCTGTCGCTCACAATTGCCCAAAATCAATAGCAGTCTCGTTGAAGGAGATTGGAAATGCGCTGGCAGGTAGTTCTACACCAATCGCTTGCTATTAGTCGACGGTTGCGGAAATCCTGACTTCATTCCCTATTTGACTGCAAGGCATGAATTCCACCTTGTCCTAATATCAAGTATAATGATGGACTCTTGTTCTTGTGAGAACTAGCCAATAGTCCGTGGTATATACACACGCCCATGAGAAATTCCAGTAAGACAAAGAGGCTTAAAGAGAAATTGTCAGAATTTCGGTACAAACGGTAATTATTTGAGTTATACCACGATCAATAGCAACACATATTCTATTATCTTCTCCGAACTAGATCACTTGTTTAGTAGCGGGTTTCGGGGAGGTCCTCAGTCGAAGAGGTGAGCGCGGAATGTCCTATATGGCCATTGATGTGAAACCCTAGAAGATTCTAAAACATCTATAGAGATACCACTGAACATCGGTCGGCTATTTGACATTATATGGAGTACCAAACGGAAAAGTCGTTCTGAAGGGGAAACCATTCCCAGCCTTCTTTTGCGATCTGATAAGGATATCGCAAAGGGATGAGCTGCAAAGGTCCAAGCGAACAAATACAATAATCATAGCATCTCTGAGTGGCTTCTCAATCTCTGCCCACGCATTTGGGACTTCACCATGGACAGCATTTCTCGTCTTCCAGTGGACTTTATTGCATTTGCTCTCACCTCCCAATACGACATATATTATTTCTACTTATACCAAATCTAGCAAACAAAGATCTCAAGTCTAGTCTAGCAAACAGAAAAGTAAACAACAAAGTAAACAGCAGGACATCACAACAGAAACCAATTGAGAGATCCTGGACTACTCGAGAGAACTATGAATTGAGTCTATTTTATGCCTTAGACATTGCCCTAGTTCCGTTTCCCCTTGCTGGTCATCTCATGATCACAGCAATAATTGACTGAAAACACCCTATCTCGGATTGGAAGGCATAGAAAATTTAAGTTCGATTTGGCGTTAAGGAGCAATGTATTGGCTCTAGGGTTAGAATAGAAATAGGATAATGTTCATAATCCACTTGGGTACCCGTGAACTAGGGCTCGGCCCGTAAGATTAAATATGAGAAGCAGATGTGATTGCGATCTCGAACCTAGAGAGCTTGGCGAATGAAATTCAGGATCTCGGTCTAATGTATCAATATAGGGATGGGGCTAGGTGCTGCATGAAGCGGTGAAGGTCAGACATTTTGATATTTTGTGATAGATCGATTAATTATCAATGTACTCTACCACCAAGTTCCAGCCTATTATAATTGGAAAGTGTATCACGATCATTTTCTTTGTATCTATATCTATAGCTTCGCTGTTATAAAATAATATGAGTGGCTAGTCGGGCTTTCTCGGTGTGGTCACACAGTTGCAGCCTCTTCCTCGCTGTGCAGATCTATCTGCATGCACCCAAAATCGGTGTTTGTTGCCATCAAACTTTCAGCCATACAATCCAAGAGACTACCGATCTTAACCTGTTCTATATCATGTCCGTAGACCCACCCAGGGGGACCCTTTGTACGGAGTCCTCCGCACAAGTTCATAGCATTATATATATCCCCTCTAATCCCGCATGTTTCCGCTTTACCTTGAAAGCGGGCTTTGGAGATTCGCATGATCCATCATGATATGGGATTATTATAATGGCAAGACGATATTCGTTACGGGGGGCACAGGCTTCATTGGGACTGCTCTTCTGTGCCGACTTTTGAGTCGATCGTGTCCGAAACAAGTATATGTGTTATGCCGGGGTGGCTCCGAGTAAGTGAATAAAACACATCCAAGTCAAAACAGTATTCACTAACTTGACCAGTAAAGCAAAAGCAAAATGGTCCGACATGCTTCCTCCCTCTGCCGCACAAATCCTCACCCAAAACGAGCGAATGACCATCCTTGACGGCGAATTGGGAAATACCGCCACAATGAGTTTACCAGAAGAGACAATCCAGATGCTGAAACGGACAGTACACATTGTATTCCACGCCGCATCATCGGTTGAACTGCACAATTCTCTGCGAGAATTAGCATATACGGTGCTGGCACCAAGCATATGTCTCACACAATATGCCCTGAAATTCCCCAACCTCGACCGCTTCGTATTCTTCTCCACCGCATACGCCAACGCCCATCTATGGAAAACAAATGAATCAAACGACGTGTCAGTCGATGAGAGAATATACCCGCTCGGCAGCGAACAGGAGGATTATTACAAGGTCGCACTCGAAGCATGGAGCGCAGTACAGAAAACCGGCTCATCCGACGAATACGAGGCCCATGATTTCCCATGGCCATACGCATACGCCAAACATCTAGCCGAGCGATTAGTCCTTCAGAAGGCAGCCGAGCGTAACAAAATGGACAAAGTCCTAATAATCAGACCCTCTGTCCTCGGACCAGCCGATAAATTCCCATACCCCGGGTTCGTGACTTCACACGGAGCGCCCTCGACAGCCTGTGCAGCAGAGTACATATTGCATCCAGGTCGCCGGATCATGCTCTCGACGCGATGTGAGAACCCAAATCAAGAATCCACGATCGATGAGGTCCCGGTTGATGTGGTCGTGGATCGAACATTGGTCCATGTGGCACTGGGGACGAGCGGATGTGTCCATGCTGTTAGTGGGGAACGGGGTCGGTTATCGACCGAGGAATGGTGGCGTGCGTTCAAAAAGGAGAGACGGATACCATGGAATGCGAAGCCCACTTGGACTGACAATGACTGGCATTCTCCTGATCTCCACCAAATGGCGCGGCGGTTCAAGATTATTGGGACTTCCTTTGCGTTCTCGCAGAAACGGACTGTTAAGGTTGTAGAGATGCTAGGGGCTGGAGATAGGGAGGATCTTCAGTTATTTGCTGATCGATCAGAGCCTTACTCTTTGCGTTTGAGACGACATTATATTTATCATCAAGCTTTGCAGGTGGCTAAGAGGAACAAGTGGCCTGTATTCTCTGTTAGGCTGCTTTGTCGGAAGGGAAAGCCTGTTCATCTAGATGAGGATGTAAAGGCTTGAATTTGAACATGAATGTAGTGGTTTGGTGTGTCATGCACAGCCCTTTTAGGGTCAAATCATTGATTTGGTTTCCTGTAGCAAGTATCAATCAGTGCTTCATAACGGGAATTCATTCGGCTCCTTGGTGAATCAAATTGGCGGAGCTATTTACTAGATCTCAGAATTGTACAAAATGGCAAGATAAACAAAATAAACCATAAAGCAAAAAAAAGATGGCCATAAACAAAACACTCCAAATATGATCATACACAGGCCCCCAAGAGTATCTTCATTAGAGATTCACGTCTAAAGTAAACGTTCCCTCGAGATCCGTGCAATCAGTTTTGGAGCAACAATCCGATCCTTCATATTCCACTCTAGTAGATTACTAATGATGCGATCAAGTGGTTCCTCTGCTTGGGTTAGCTTCGATCGACCATTCTCGACCATGTCAATCCACTGCCTCATCGTATTGAAGGTTCCCTCATCAGGTGAGTGGTGTATGTTCGAAATTAACCACCTCGATGTTTTTTCAGGCAAGTGAATATGGCCTAATAGCCATAGCATGACAACACCCAAAGCCCATATGTCAGATGGTGGCCCACGTAATTTTCAGTTCCGCAAAAACTCGGGTGGCAGATACCACGGCGTGCCACCACCCGAGGAAGGGTTGCTATCCCGGAAACTGAGGCCGAAGTCAATCAAAACGGCACCACGACCGGGGCTATACAAGATATTTCCTTGCTTGATATCGTTGTGTACGATACTATTACGATGGATAAAATACAGTGCCGAGGCCATATCAGCCAAGATCCTTTGCGCGTCGGCGTTCCCGCTGAAGTGATCACTGACTCGATGTCGTTGGCACAAGAGCGATTGGGCGTCGACGTGCTCAGTATAAATACTGTGGAAACGGGCATCAGAGCCGAGCATGCGAAGTATGGCCGACTAATGCGGGGGTCAGGTCTGGAACCAAAATGGATATAATGACAGTACATACATGATCCCCGAGAGATGAATGGACCTCCTTTTCATGGATCCAGGCTTCAGTAGCCTGGATTGCGTCCCTCTCTTTGCTGCCAGTAGTCTTGATTATTTTGACGACAATGATTTGGTCTGGCATGCCCGAGTGGTCTGCCTGCCATACAGACGAATTTCTCTGTTCTGCAATATCCTTGCGTCGTGTGAGCCGATATCCTCTGTCGCCGGCTCCGATATACATAGTGTCCCCTTTCGCAAGCGCCACGAGTGGGTTGTCAGCTGAAACAAGCTTCCGCTCAGGTGGTTCGATCACTTGGTATACCGATTTTCCTGATTTCGCCCTCTTTGCTGGTGGAGAGTCGGATCCTGGCGCGGGCCGCTTCGTAGCCAGTTGAGCAGCTAAGCCAAGTCCTCGTCAAGGGTCTCGAAAGTGAAACATGAACGGGGCAGCAGGGAGCAGGGTGGTGTGCAGCCCAAGAAGAAAGCCAATGGGAAAATGGCAACATCAGCTGGCGTGGTCAAGACCTCGTCAAGGGCCTCGAAAGTGAAACCTGGACGGGACAGCAACGAGCAAGATGGTGTGCGGAGAAGTGCCCGGTTGCAGAAACGCTCTGGACAAACCAGGCAGTAGTGTGCAGGGCGCACCGCTGAGAATAATAGCAAGCCTGAAAAGACCATTGCTTGCTTAGTCCTGAACTGCGAGTTAAGACCATTATTTCCGGGAATTTCCCTGTCCTCTCATCGCATCAAGGGATGCATATTTCCATCTACCATGTCCCAGTGTTGCTGCTGTGCATTTAATGCGGGATGGGCTTATTGGCTGGTTCCACTGCCATCGCCGAATACTTGATTCATAACTACGAGCAGAATTGATCTCATACGACATCCAAGTCACCCACCACACTTTTCAATCCATCCTTGAACAGTATCAGATCATATTGATTGTTGTCTCCACATTTTTCTAGGCCCCGAGTGACTGACCTTTTTGTTTTCCCCTTGGCCATTACATACGTTTACACTGTACTACGAGCATCTGTGTACTTTAAATCATCAGACCCGTTGTCATCATGACTCTCTTGACAAACAGCAAAAATTGGCCATAGTGAATGAATTCCGGTGTATAACACAATTTAAAGAGTTTCACTTCATAAACCTTAAGATACTGTCTCTATGCACAGGTGCAGTCTACTGATTATAAATCATTGGCATAAGGGTGCAGTCGCTTCGCATGAGTTTGGCCGATATTAAGGTAAGCGATCGCGATCAGGCCACTCAATGTACTATTAATATAGTTTAACTTGAATCAATGCCATTTCACTTCCCAGATGGGCTCATTTTCTCTAAGCCAAAGACCAAATATAGATCTAAACTTGGAACACCCACGGATAAGCGCCCTGCGCACGGACCATCTGATCGACCGCGGGGGGAAAGAAATTCTTCTCCGCCACCAAGTCACAGGCCTAACCCAACTCACCATGGCACCGACAGCGTGTTTCAACTGCAAGGAGGCGCGGGCTGTCATCATCCGACCTAAGAATAGGCACAAACTCTGCCGAGCCTGTTTCATAAATATTTTCGAAACCGAAGTACACGAAACCATCATCGGCACCAACCTCTTCTTCCCCGGCGAGCGAGTAGCGATCGGAGCCAGCGGCGGCAAAGATAGCACAGTACTAGCAGCCGTACTGAAAACTCTCAACGAGCGATACAACTACGGACTGGATCTATGCCTTCTGTCCATCGACGAGGGCATCCGCGGGTACCGCGATGACAGTCTCGAGACTGTGAAGCGCAACGCCGTGCAATACGATATGCCGCTTGATATCCTGGGATATAGTGAGCTTTATGGCTGGACAATGGACCAGGTTGTGGAACAAGTGGGCAAGAAGGGCAACTGCACGTACTGCGGGGTGTTCCGGCGACAGGCTCTCGACCGAGGCGCTGCCCGCTTGGGCATTAAGCACGTTGTCACGGGCCACAATGCGGACGATGTTGCGGAAACTGTGATGATGAATCTTCTGCGTGGTGATCTGCCCCGTCTGTCGCGTGGTACTAGTATTGTCACTAGCTCCGACGCTTCGGATATCAAGCGCAGCAAGCCTCTCAAGTACGCATACGAAAAGGAGATCGTCCTCTACGCCCACCATCGTCAGCTCGATTACTTCACTACCGAATGTGTCTACTCGCCTGAGGCATTCCGCGGTAGCGCTCGTACCCTGATCAAAGATCTCGAGAAGATCCGTCCCAGTTCGATCCTCGATATTGTCAAGAGTGGCGAGGATATGGCCGCGCTTGTTCCGGCGGAAGTCCGGGGTGCCGGCAAATCCAAACAGTCCGCCGAGGAGGAATCGGCTGGTGGCTGTGGGAGTCAAAATGGCCGAACAAGTGGCGGGGAGATGGCTGCAATGGAGGCGCAGCTCGCTGAGAACGACGAATCCGAGTCCCTCGAGACCGAAATCAAGCTTCCTAGCGGTTCGCGCGTGAAGGCGAATCGCGGCCCAACTGGTAAGGCCGTCAAAGCGCAGACCATCAAACACTGCGAGCGCTGTAACTACATTTCCAGTCAGCGGATTTGTAAAGCGTGCACGCTGCTAGACGGTCTGAATCGGAACAGACCTAAGACTGCGATCGAAGTTGGTGTTGGCATGGAAGACGAAGAAAGCAGTTCAACATTGATGAGACAGATGGAGCGCGCCCAGCTCAGTGCTACCTGAAGAGTCGATCAACGAAGCAATATATTCCCACTCTTCAGCGCTAGCGTCCTCGGGGTTCTGCGGCATTCCCACCATGACCCTTAGGCCGTCACCTCTGCAACACAATCACACCAGTGTCAACATCAGGTGTCCATTCTCGGTGCCCCAAACACTGTGCGGCAACCCACATGGTTCGCAATGAACAAGTTTTCAGATCAAGAGGATCTCATCAGATACCCCAATTTACGACTGGAACATCAGTCCAATGCATAGCATAGCGAAAGTTTTAAAAAAGAACAAGTCCATGCAAATTCGCAATGCTCTAAATTTTATTTTATACATGAACCGTAGTATACAAATCCCATATATCAACAATAACGCCATTCCATCGAATACATGCATCCCAGCAAAATCACACGATCTGTAGACAGCCAAGCCAATCCGCCTCTGTCGTAGAACCATCGTCTATCGACCGTATTCACAATCAATAGCCCACCGACAGAAGACGAATTATGCAAGGTCAACTCGCAATCCCTCTAACCCATCTATTCCTTCCCCTCAGCAGTATGCAACTCAGGCAAATCAAACCCAACCCGTCTAGCCGTGAGGCGAATCTTCTCTTCCTCGTCCATACCCATGCCAGGATTATAGCGCTCTAGGAGGTCAGAGTAGACACGCTGGGCGCGGGCATACTGAGCGAGCTGTTCTGCTTCTTGGAGACGGAGGGTGCGTTCTTCATCTGTTTTGGGGATTGAGAAGGGGAGGGCGTTGGATTTTGAACCCGGTTCCAACGAAGAAGTCGCTGGTGCTGAACGGAAGATTGCGCGAAGATTTTGGTGGAGTGGGGATGGGGTTTTGAGGTTGCGGCGTGGGAGTTCGCGGAGGAGAGCGCGGTAGGTTGTGCGCGCTTGGATGGGGGCGGACATTTTTGTGGATGGTTGGAACCTGGGGTTCGGTAGGTTGGTTTAATTGGGTTGTTTTGGGTAGTTTTGAGACCCTGATGCACCGGGGGAGTGGAAGTGATTTTGTCTTGGTCTCTTGAAGCTGGGCGGAGGTTAGGATAGCCGGGTGGATAAACTTCACGTGATTTGAAATGTATGCGGCATCCGCTATATAGCCGCACTAGTTCCGATGTTAGCTTGGGAATTTGATTGAAAGTATTTTGGCTACGAGCTACGATCCTATTTGAGGGAGGGATGATACAAGGAAATATATAGATATATAAACATGTCAATATATACCAGGGCAGGATGCTATCTACAAGATAGTCAATCACCATCGCTACCCACACCTCAGTAGGCATATGTACAAAATGTCGTAGCGGGGCGTTTTTTTTTTCCAGATGTATCACCGTTACAAGCGTCATATCGACCCCCACAAAGGGCCGAGTTCATAACGAAAAGCAGGCAAAAGACAACAACAATATTTATCAATCATATAGGGGCATGGCGACATGAGAAAGGAAGAGGGAGGTTAGGGGAAGGTTAAGAGGTTAGGGGGGAGGGAGGTAAGGGTGAAAATGTGAGATGGTCGTATGGAAGAGCAACCTCAATTCGTGTTGAGACTGGCGAAGACGAGTGCCTCGGGTTGCTAAAGGCGTGGTCGAAGAAGCAACAGGGTTTAAGAACGCAGCCAACCAAACTTCCTTCGTCCTTCCGCTCCCGTGGACGGTTCGACATGCAAGCTTCGAGCATACAAGTCCTAGATAACGTCAATGAGAAGAACAGTGATTTACAATGATAAAATATCTTACCTCTTCGTCTCCAGAGAGTTTCGAGTCCAGGATCAGTCGCTCGACATCATCAAACTTCTGAGCCTGCGGATGAGGAGTCTTCTGGCTTCGTTGGATGCCGAGAACAACTTCACCCATGACCTCGAATTTCTTCCAGTTGATGCGAGATTTGTTCTCGCCGACAAATGTCTTGTTGCCTTCTTCGGCGGAGACCAAGTCGCGACGGTGGAGAGGTAGGAATGGGATTCGCTCGGAGAACGAATTCTCCCAGGCAAGTCGATAAGCAAAGTGGCTTCGTTGGGTACTCATGAGGATGACTAAACGCATAAACTCTTTCTGAGCTGGGATGGGGATCAGGTCTCGAGTCTGCGTGAGGCGGTGGACAGGGGTGCCGTTGATGGCGGCAATCACGGCACCCAAGGAGTTGTAATTGTTTTGGCGTCGGAGTTTCTAACAAGAGGTGTTAGTTGCTGACTCTATAGTGATTAGATTCACAAAACTAACCACTGCGATGTTCATGAACTTCTCTAGCGCCTGCGCTCTATGCTTAGGCTTATCGCGCAAGAGGATCAGGCTAGCCACGAAGAAGGCCAGATGATTGAACTGCTTGATCATCCGATTGACATTCGTCAAGCTCTTGATCTTATCCTTGTCTATGCCCGAGATGCTGACATGACGCACAAGATCACGTGGCCGGAATGAATTGTACATGATCCAGTCAATTCGAGTCAGTTCTCGGGCGAACTCCTCTTCTGGGGTATCCATGAAGACCCGCCACTGGAGTTTGCCAAGTGATATTTTATTAGTTAATTCAAGACGCAAAGCTTCTTTTTGGGCTGCTTCCAGGCTCAACAATGTGAATGACTGGTTGGTGATGCTGTTGGATTTGTCGGTATTCGATGAGACTGAAAGAGTGCCCGAGAGTCGTGAGGTCGAATCATGTGGCCCAGTACTGAGGTCCAGCGCACTCATACTATAGATGGGATCTTGTTCTTCTTCGGTGTCATATGTGGTGGTTCCGGAGTCAGCACCAGCGTGAACTGCTGCTGGAGAACTTCGGCCGGAGTTGTCGAAGAATGTCTCAACCAGTTGGGGTTCATCGGAATCACCATCACCTCCATATGCCCAACCAATATCATCATCTTCTGCATTCGAATCTAATTGCGATCCGATCTCCTTGGCAGCAAACATGTAGAAATGGCTCTTTTCGAGTATCGCGACAAATTCAATAATTCGTTTGCGAAGGTTGGGATGAGCGAAATCTCCAGGATAATCCGAGGCCCATTGAGCCATGACATCAAGCAATCGCAGTTGATCCGCCATGCGGGCCAGCTGATCGTCGTTGCCCATCTCATTTCGCTCGAACCGGCTTATCAAGGCAGTTAGGAGACTCGCGGGAGCGGCAAACTTTCGGTACAGGCATAGGAATATAGAACGGAACTTTTGATCCTGTTTCGAAAGCGGCAAGGAAATCAAACGATCGACTAGCTCATCGAAGGATAGACCGGTCTCTGCACTCGAGTTGCTCTCGCTGCTCGGCTTTGGCCGCACAACTGCGCTAGGGCTTGGGGGCCGGCTGTGTCCATCATCTACCTCGTCGTCCATGTTTAAGAAACTGTTGAAGGCGTCTGATCCTCCACTGTGTCGCCAGGCGGTATGCAATCGTTGCTGACGGCTATCGTGATTTGGGGAATCTTCTTGTACTGACGGCCTGCGGGTATTTAAACGCGCTCCAGATGGCGGAGTTTGCGGTCGCACCGGTTGCGAGTTACTGCGGGCATAACGGTGGGAATTGACCGTATGCTGTAAATGGTCTCCGTCGGTTGGACGGTTCTCACCATCCCCGTCGACACATCGATCTGAGGCCGTTTGGCCTGTAAACACGGCTGAGGGGTTTTCCGAGTTGGCACGGGTATGCCAATTTTGAATAGTTTTAGGTGAATGTGAAGGAATATTCGAGAGATCTAGAAGGAAGAGAGGGGTTAGGGGAAAAGCAAAAAAGCTATGGGGGGAACAAATAGCGAACGCTCCTACCGCGACCCACCTTAGCCCGCTTCCGCTTGGGGGGGTCAAGGCACATCAAACCCGACAATGCTTTTGTATCCGAAGGGGGGAGGAAAAAAGGACCAACAAAAATCACTCACCTTCTCGAGTAGAAATCACTGCCCCCAAAACTAACGCTATACACATGCGTTGAGATCGAGGTGATGAAAATGAAGTTCGGTAGATCTCGTATCGGTCATGGATCGCATCCACTTTGGTATCTTCCAAGGGTTCAGGGTTGACATCGCATTTGCAGGCAACTTGCAAGAAAGGAAGATCCGAGGCTGCCAATGAGTCTAAATTTCGGAAAAATCAGCCCAATACGTACAGTTGGTTTAAACGGAAACCTACAAATGAGGTTCGTCGTTAAAGAAAGTCGATCCGGCTTGGTGGCATCGTGTAGAACCAGAACCGCGTCAATGACTGGGGTCTTATCGCGTCCTGCACGCGGCCAGATGATCTTCTTGTCCTGGTCGAGTTGAATCTGGGTCAAGTCGACTTCCATCAAATGCACAATATAGACCGATCCGTCCAAGGACATTTTCTTCTTGTTCATAGCGGAGGAAGGGGGATTCTTCATATCCAGCGCACATTTGACGAAGCTGGTCTTGCCGGCATTTTCTTCGCCGACGACTGCAATCGTCACTTCGGGGAAACCGCCCTTGGAAGATTCCTATACCAGAAAAAGTAACCGTTAGCAATTGGAGCTCTCTGTACACCGTGGGGATAGAACCACTCAGGACCCTGAATCAATTTAAATCGTACCTTCTCCTGATGAAATCCTGTCCGCTTGATCGGCTCGCCTGCAATTGGCGACCCCTCATCCTCCTCTACCAATGTGTGTTCGGATTTCGTCCCAGATCCTGGGTTCCGCACCAGATCGAGTTTATAAAGGCCCCCCGGAGCTGAAGAAGTTCGACTTCCCAAGCCCGGTCGTTGTGGAGCTGTAGCCATTGCTTGAGCTCTGTCACTGTGAGCTCTCTCTCGGCGAGACTGGGAGATCATGACGGAAGCGGTCGGCAATGAGGCCGAATGGATTCGGTGTGACAGCGCTCTGATTACTGTGTAAGTTCAGAGAGCAAGCCACAGACATCCATCGTTGGGATCAAGTTCGGTAGAGTGAGGCAGCCATCCGAGATGTTATCGGGAGACTTGAGAACCGCCGGATCTGCGTCGGATATCTTTTGGTCTTGGCAGAACCTTTATAAAGCAATATGGACAGATCACAAAAATTCCCAAGATTGGGGAAGATTGGGGAATATGGAATTAGCCTAAGAACCTCTTTTTTTTTATTATGGGTTTCTTGCATATCATTGGAAGCCCACCTGAGCACTAAAAGATCTTCGTGTTCGTGAAAGCGGCTCAGCTGAGCTCAACACATGGGCCAACTAGAACCGAGGCTGGGGTCTGAAACGATCTCGCTTAGACAACAGGTCTACAACTGGATATTCCTTATGGAGTATTTAGTGTTATTTGTCGTAGCTTTGACTGTCCCCCTCGGAAATAAAGGGCTGTTTGTCTTCAAATTAGTTCTTGTACAGAATACCCTGTACTGCATACTGCTTATACTCCATTTTTCTCATACTCCTTGTGACTAGTCAGAAACATACAGATCCTGAATTTTCAGTACTTTTGTACGAATTTACGGTCTGTGAAGGTTCTGGGCCGTTGACATATGCTCCGCTTTATTGGGGGCGCTAAAAGCGCCGCTAATCTGACATTATATAGGACTTCGGCTGCTAGGTCTTGGCTCGCATGGTAGCGTTGTATGGCGTTGTATTTGGTGTGATATTGCACTTTATGATACCGTCCCCATAGGGCCAGTGCTCAACGCTTTAATATACTAGTAAATGGGCTTATCAGCCATCCCCAAGAGCCGAGGGATAAGAATACAAGAAAGGACCTCGGGAGGCCGGATATTCGTAAGTTGCTTAGTTAAGGTTGAATATGGCTGAAGCTGTCAGATCTGACAGCTACTTTATTAGAGCAGTCAAAGTATATCAAAAGCCGCCACCCACCATCTTGTATATTCAAGCTGCATGTCTCACTCGCACGGACTCAGCCTATAAATGTGGTGCAATCAAGGTATATATGCCGACCGTCCAACTCGTATGCGGCTAGTTTTCCTGGAAATGTAGATGACTCAGGCGGTGTCCTTGCCCTTGACAAGTGCCATAAACCGCATGAAAGCCTCCGCGGTCGGGCCAGTTTCCGTCCCGTCCTCACAATCCTGTCTCAGCTTCCGGACTCTGCCCAGCCCGCGGTTGAAGCCTTTCTCGGACGTCCAGGGGCCACGGCTACGAGGAGCTGACCCTCCACGACCTCGCCCACGGCCACGTCCACGACTCCGTGCAGGGGGTGTGTAAGATTCCACCCATTCTTCTTCCAGGGTCGACTGGAACATATCTTGTAGCAGGCTGCGCAGTTCCGGGTATTGGCTGAGAAGCTCTTTCATCTCTGACGATGCCCCCACTTCTGCAGGGGTTATCGCAGTAGCATTGGTGCCAGATGGCTCTGCAGGTGTAGGGCCGTTGGCCTCGTTCTCGGGTGTGGGATCGACATCGGTCGCTGTGTTACTCGGTTCCTCATTCGATGGTGCTTTCGGAGCACAGTATATCTTATGTGACTGGGTGCATGCAAGTGAGCAACTAAATCGATAACCCTTAGCAACTGGTCCACGTATAGGGGTGGAATTGTAATCGAGTACCTCAACAATGCGCATGTCGGACAGCGATATTTTGAGGGCTCTAAAGAGCAAACCTCACAGGAACCAGGCATTATGTCGATTTCCCAATGAATCCATCAGCTTCACAGCGATCAAACTTGCTCGCTCATTTTTGACTGGTCCACGTCCTCGATAATGATGCAGGATAAGGCCTGGAAAGTCGAGCTACCCGATTTGCATGATTTGCACGAAAAACTAAGAAGCTCGGGTCATCTGTTCTGCCTCAGGCACCAACTTATATATGGGAACATGCGTGACAAGAAGCTCGATAAATATCCGACGTGCCATATAATTTGGTCGGGATGCTGCAAATACCTGCCAAGAGCGCAAAGTGGGATGTCAAATGTCGAATTTTCTCCCCGACGCCAAGTTAGAGCCTGATTGTCCACGTCCAAAATCAATCCTAACCCCTGTCTAATGTGACGAAACAAAGACAAAATGCACGCGATACATCAAGAATGGCCACGTTTGCACCGGGTGCGCAAGGGATCATATGTTTATCCACCACTCGGGGAGCCAAACTATGACATACACATATGTACAATGGCCTCGACAATCACTTGCGGGGACATCAACCCGGCCATACTAGGTGGGTCCCGACTACCCCCGATTCGATATCAACTCGGGGAGCGAAAGCAGTTTGTTGCAAATTGCTAGTTGCCTCTCACCTGATATGTCCACTAGTTGATTCATGACTTATCGAGATCATGTCGGTGTTCATCTGCAAGGCACGGCGCCTTTGTCCAATTTATTACGGGCAGTTCTAACCACTTCGAGCCACCACGGCCTGCTGATACAACCCATTAGTGAAACGTTAGCCACTCCACATTATATTCCGTTTGCTATTCCACACCGTCTAGACACCACTGCAACTTGCGCTAGATAAAGCGGCTACTTCTCTCGGGTTGGTATTTCTTGCGAGCCCTAATCAGAATTGACAGTTCTGGTATGCATCGCAAGACTGTACTCTGTACCGCGGAGCTAGTACATTGTAGGATCGATCTAAGTTGGAAATATGGCGAGGAATCGCTTTTTACAACTTTTCTTACTCACTTAGTGATCATCAGCGTCATATATCACTTGGGCAGTCCGGACCAGTTGCTAACAGATTGACCAGTTGGTGAATTGCTCTGGCTCAAGAGCATAGCTAGCCCATATACGGAGAACAGAGTGTATCCTTTACCGCCAATTTGAGTTCCTCATGATAGGTCATTCCACTGTATTCTACAATCTGTGCAAAGGGAAGGAGATGAAGATCATCCTCCTACTGCTGCCGTCCAGGTATCCCTGACTGGTCAGTCGTGTGGCCGGGTTGGAAAGCGGAACTATGCATTCAAGTATATCTATCAACCGTGAAAAAATAGAACTCCTTGGGATGAGCCAGAGCATGGCCGATCAATTGATGAGCACTTTTTATATTGCTAGACATTGAAGTCGCAGCAGACATGTAGCTTGATAATGTATGATACCTATAATCTTCACGCCACTCATCCCGCTCCTGGAAAATTTATGTCGCCGTGCTGTGAAAACGATCGAAAGATACAAAAGCAATACTCTTTTATCACAGACACGAGTGCCATTATGCCTAGGTGCTCTCTATTTATCAGACCGTAATCGACATTTTTGATTGCAGATTTTCTTGTGAGTCCTCAGAACATACTCTCTTCTCCTTTGTACTCAGCTTTAGAAGTTTCCGAAATCCATGGAAGCTCATTAGTCTACCATCTTTGCCTTTCATCGTACACCATGTTTATTTGCATATTTTCAGCTCATCTCCGTCTAAGAAAGAGCCGACTCAGTATAGGACCGAGTTAGATGACCCATGTATTCATGGCATTTTGATCCAGCTCTATTGATAAAATAAACAACATTATGGCACAAGAAAAAGGAGAAACATGAAAATGACAGAATAGATATCAGATTAACAACCATATCTATCCATGATAGCTCGGAATGACGGGTCACACAAAAAGGCTGAGTTGCAGTTAGACGTTTTTCTGGGCAATATTGAAACACTTTGCACATGATAGAATACACATCCTCTCGCTCGACCGGATCAGCATCGGGGCGAAAGCGTGCAATTATTGAGGGAGGGCCTTCCCTTGGATTAGGCTTTCGAGTTTGATCATACTAGGAATCTTCCACCCCGGACGGATATAAAGACCTTTCCATTGTCCATGTAGTGGACCTAATCGTGTAACAAAAGCATTCATTATTCCACCCGGAACCTAACTAGGGAAAGGCGCAAATCGAAGATAAAGCACGGAGAAGACGACCATATAACTCCGCATATCACAGGCAAGACTTGGACCTTTCCCATGAAGACGTTCTGGGGAGCAATACTACGGAGGGAAGCCTAGCTGAGTCTCGCTATCTTGAGTCTCACTATCGCTAAGCTTCTTTGCTAGACCTCGCCGAGAAAGTTGTGCATAAATTCTCGGGGACCTTAACTAGTAAAACAAACTCTCCTTTCTTCCATAGGTTGGCATATGGTATAGTTTGCTGTCGTGGTCGGCCAAATAACTAATACTTCTCAGTCCGATTGAGATTGTGGAGAGGGAGCATCCCCATACAGTTGCTCTCATTTAGATCTATGAAATCAGTATGATATATTAGAAATAGAGGGAGAAGTATCACTTACCACGGTGCACGATTCCTGCTTCGTGTAAATTCTCTAAGGCTTCTAGCAGTTGCCGAGCAGCGGACATGCGACTAGCCATCGATCTTTTTTTCCAAGTCAATAGGGCAAGTACATGGGCCCATCAAAGAGAACACTAGAACCCTATGTCGTTTCCAGGGAGAAAAAAGCGACTATATGTAGCACTAGATGGGAGGTATCCTTCACATTCTGTTGATTTCGCCATGTATGCGGTATTCGTTTTCCCCCCAGCCCTGTGAAGCCATGGATTTAAGGGCCAGGACTTTGAGGGCCACGTCCCTCGTATCCTAAAGGTCATAAGCCATTTAGACAGTAGAGCCGCCGCCAGAGCCAAGTTCATGGTCTATCAAATATCTCTCATTGAGCACCTCTCCGAGACATATGGGATAGAACACATTCGGCGTTTCCTTTATGTCATACTTGTGCCAGGGCTCTATAACTTCTTCGAGATCAAGCTCTTCCTCTTCAGTGTCCATAAAGTCACCGAAATCCGACGTGCTATCGGGCAGGGGTGCAATTCCAGTCATTTGACCTGCGTATGTATAGACTCTAGAAGGGGTGCTAATGGTGAATGTATCAGGGAGAAGGCGACATTCAAAAGGTTGGCGAGATGGAAGGTCCGTTCATACACCGTCCTTGCTACACCTGGTGACCTTTCTGATGAGTATACACTGTATAGCCGTGCGAGACTAAGTTCATATTTCAATATTCTTCTGTCATGAGACTTTGCAATTTGCACACATTTGAAGAACAGCCTCCTAGCAAAGGCTAACACAGGGAAGAAGCTTACTTCCTCAAAACCCTGATATTGCGAGTAAGGTCGCAATCGAGCATAGCATCCTATCTGAATAGAATGAACCACAAAATTCCGTTCTGATATTTGATTGATGATGACAACTGACCACGAACTACTAGGTTCTCAATCTCCGACAGTCGGCACATCCATAGTTGTAATCGTGCAAAACATGTCTTCTCATTGGCGGAGAAACCGCTTTCATTTGTCATCCGGCGATGATCTCAGGTCACGTGCAATCAAATTGCGTCAGAGCGGCAGCCGAAGGGACTCTCAAGTGTTTTTTTTCTACAATTCACCTGTTACCAACCGTCTTTGTACAGTTAAGCTGATAACATAATGTCTTTGAGCACTCCATCTACAACAATGTTTCGCCGCGCTCTGCTAAGCACCCGTCTGGCCACTCCTGTCGAGTGCTCCGCCCGAACAATCAGACCGGCATTCGCACGCTACAGATATGTGTCCAGCGCAGCTCGACTCCCAACCATCACAGCATCAGAGACCCGTCGTCGACCAACAGTGCGACCCCATCAGCAGCCCGCCTCACAAGGTGGAGTGAATGGCCTCTCACCAACCAGCAAACGCACCATCTTCATTCAGACCGAGAACACCCCCAACCCCGATGTAAGTTTACAGAACTCAATTGTCCCGTTTTAGCAAAAGAAACCGATCTAACCTATTGTCACCGATTATTTAGGCTCTGAAGTTCATCCCTAACCACCGCGTCCTTCCGGAGGACTTCCCCAGCACATTCCTCGAGTATATGTCACCACGATCAACCCTCGCGCCACCACACCCTTCCCCGCTCGCTGCGAAACTGTTCGATGTTGAAGGCGTCACCTCTGTCTTCTACGGCACAGACTTCATTACAGTTACTAAATCCAGCGACGCGAACTGGGCGCACATCAAGCCGGAGATCTTCAGCCTCATCACGCAAGCTGTCACATCTGGCGAGACGATCGTGACGACGATTGAGGGTGCCATCCATGGCGAACAGGAGAGTGCTGAGGACTCGCTCTCTTTCAACGAGGATGATGATGAGGTTGTCAGCATGATCAAGGAATTGCTCGAAACTCGCATTCGCCCCGCCATCCAAGAGGACGGCGGTGATATCGAACTGAAAGGGTTTGAGGACGGTATTGTTATGCTGAAGCTGCGTGGTGCTTGTCGCACCTGCGATTCCAGCACTGTTACGCTGAAGAATGGTATTGAGTCTATGCTTATGCATTATGTGTGTCCTTCCTCGCCCATTCCTTGATTTTGATTTAAGTGTTTTGCTAACTACTTTCTAGATCGAGGAGGTCAAGGGTGTTGAGCAGGTTATGGATGAGGAGGAGATTGTTTCCATGCATGAGTTCGCAAAGTTTGAGGAGAAGCTGCGCCAGCAGAAGGGTGCTGCTGCTACGGCTACTGCGCCCGTGGACAGAGCGCCGTAAAATAGGTCGTTTGGCAGCATATACCTTGTACATTAGATTTGAAGGCACAATGAATTTAAGTAATCGGACATCACTTATACCTTTCGGAGGATGTTGTCACTCATTGCTT